TAATTTTGGGTAAATCGTTTTTGTATTAAGGAATAATGAATTAACTATATACAAAAAAATTACCCTTTAAAGTTACTGGAGCAGTCTCAAAATAGATACACACACATATATACAAATAATTTATTCTCTGGTTTGAGTGCATGATTTTATAAAAGGACCTATTATATGGGGTGTATCACATAGCTTAAGTTTTACATGCCACATAACGCATATTGAGCATGCAGAGGCGTATTTAACGGAAATGTTAAATATTTGGATTGCATTGTGATGGGAGGATTGAATTGCCATCGTACATATAAAAAGACAAACCAAAGCTCTTTTTTGTCTACGTGTGACCGGGCTTCTTTCTGTATAAATTTAATTAAATTATTTTTGCTAATGAAAATGGTTGACTTCCTACTATTCAACATATGCGTATATGTTTTAATTAACATATATGTTTATAAACTAGGGTCTCTTCAGTGTCTTCGTAATAAAAAAACATATGTTTGATCAAAAATTTCCATAGGGGTTTAAAATAAGTTGAGATGGTTAGACTATTAATTATATCAGAGGTAAAGTAATTGAGTTTGCGTTGAAACTCCATAAATTCGAAGAGGGCTCGTAGATCAAGTTTACATAACTATAGTTTCCATTCCACTTTTAGTAGGGGTTATTGGTTCTTGTATTTTGGTGGATTTAGAAATCATCTTTGGATTTGATAAATTTATTGATTTCAAAATCAGCAAAATAGAAAAAAAAATCAAATCCATTCAAATACTAAAGGTTAGACTTTGTATTTGAGTCTTTGTATTTTAGTCATGAAAATCCTTTCAAATCCATTTAAATTCAATTAAAACTTAAATCTTTATAAAATTTAGATTTTAAAATGATAAAACCAATAACACTGTATTTCATTATGGATTTTAAAATCATAGAACCAATAACACTGTATTTCAATATAAATTTTAAAATACAAGAATCAATAACACTGAATTTGGTTTGAATTTTCAAATCCATTAAAATACAAGAACTAATAACACCTCCTTAATTTTTCTTTCGTGGGTTCTCTTAAGTCACTTTGAATTAAAAAAATTACTACTACGCACAGTTAGATATCTATTATATAAAACCAGTGCAATGAGACTTTTACAAGGAAATTCAGTTTTATTTCCAAAAAGGAAATATAAGAAGATATGGAAGTAACAAGTATGAAAACTTTGACAAAAACAGATTCCCGAAGTGTTTGTTCAACTCCTTGACTTTTGTCAATCCAAATAGGTTGACTCCTTTTGACCCATGTTTACATATATATACCTCTACTGAATTTAATTTCTGTTTTCTTTCATTTCATTTGAGTTTTTGTTAAGTATATAGACGTTATTAACGGTATTTACATTTTACAATAGGAAATGTGTATGCAGAGCCAGAATTATAAATACAAATATGATGACAATAACTAGATATAAAGGGCATTGCCAATTAGAGTTAGACTTAGATTCAATGTATGTATATTTCAGAAATGGAAAAATCATTTCGTTTTGAAATTTAGGAACTCGTTTTTCTTATAATCATATCAATTGAAATGATGGTTATAACTATGATAATGAATATCGCTATTATTTCAATACTTTCCGACCAACGCGTTATCTCCTCTTTCTTTTCTCTTTTATTTTTGTTGTTGAACAATTCTTCGTGTTTCTTAATTTTGTACTGGTTACTAGTGCTTAAAACTATTGTTATCGGTATGTGAATCTCCGCCGCCGACAAAAATCTGTACTTCAAGACATTCGTGGAACATCAAAAGCATTATAGAATCTGTACTCTACGACACGCGGATGAGGCGCGTGTATTACACCATTTATGTTCAAAGCCGTAACATTTGAGTGGATTAGCCTAATAAAATTAATTTGTTAATTCAGCAACAACAGCAAACTGTTGAACGCAGCAAATAATTAGGTAGGCGAACCTTAGTCTCTTATTTCGCAGGCTGATTTGGATAAATATTATTTGCTGGGAGACAGTAACTAATAGCTAAACATTATGATTCTTATAACAAAAATTTAACTAAACAAAAAAAAAACTTCAAAATGTTACAAAAATAAGTAAAGATACAACCTCAACTAGGGGTGGGCATTTCGGTTTTTGGTTTGGTTTCGGTTCGGTTTTTTCGGTTTTACGGTTTATCGGTTTTACGAAAATTCAAACCATATAAAAGTTATATATATTTCGGTTCGGTATGGTTTGGTTTTTTACGATTCGGTTTATTATGGTTTGATTTCAGTTTTTTAAAAATTAAATTTTTACGAAATTTTTTGTTTCAAACTAATAGAAATAATAATAATAGATATAAGTGAAATAAAATAATAAATTCAAAAAATAGAATCTAAATCATAAAAAAATCATCAATAACAACATATTTCAAAACAGAAAAACAAATAAATTATTAAATTTTTCATAATCAATAATTATAAAATAATAAACAAATTTATATTAAAATTTAATACCTATAAGGCTATAACCTTGAAACTAGAACTAGAAAACTTGAATGTAAAGAAAAAATAGTTAATCACGTTATTTTTTATTGAAAAATTAAGGTTTACTTTATTATTTTTATGTAGAGTTCTTTTATAAATATTATAATTTAAAAACCGAAAAAACCTCTTGGTTTGACGGTTTTTAACCAAACCAAACCTAAACCAAAGCTATAAAAAAATGATGGCCAAATAGATTTTTAGGTTTAACCATAACCAAATTATCACTTTTTTCGGTTCGGTATGATTTGGTTTTTTTGGTTATGGTTTTTGTGTCTACCTCTAACCTCAACTAATAAATAGTTTTGGATAAAATTGAGATAGTCGGAGAATCTTTTAACTATTTGAAGGAGCGAAAAAAAAAAACAATCACCTCTTTTTGTAATATAAAATGTGACATAGCAATTGTGCATGATAGACATTCAGGGCCGGCTCAGAGAGTAGGCGGGCTAAGCCAGTGCTTAGGGCCATCAATATTTTTGAAAAAATTAGGCTAAAAATAGGCCACAAATTTTGAAAATTTTTTAAAAATGAGCCACAAATTTAAAATGACCAAATAAAGTTTACATCTTTTTCTTTTATAGTTTTGGACCACTATTTTAATTGGACCGGGCCTGCAGACATTCAAACATAATTACCATATTGCAAATTAATACTCCAGTTCTCTAATATGAGAGGGTCAGATATCGACCGTTGCTTACAAAACAATTCAAATTATTAAACATAAATACAATTATTACCATCCCGACAGAGAGAATATAAGAGAAAAGTCAATAAATTAAAATGTACGTTGACGTTAACGGAATCGAGGGATAGCCGCACGCACGCCGGCCTCGCACCGCCCTTTCAACCTTTGCGGCCGTCTAAGCTCTCACATATCTCAACCACTTCCTTTTCCTCCTTTTTCAAACTTATCGGCCCAAAGACATATGTATGTTTGCAAGCATACGTATATACAAAATGAAATTATTTAAAATAAAAATTAAGACGTCTGTGTATGTGTATGTGTATGTGTTTGCTCATTTCCTTCGTTCGGGGCAGGACCGGTCCAACTATTTTAGTGGTCCAAAACAATTTTTTTTTTATATATTTAAAAACATAAATTTATTAATATTATGGTTTAATAAGTATAATTTTTTTTGAATATGTGATCCATAAAATATCTAAAATTGTTAATATTATGGTTCAATAAATATATATTTTTTTGAATATGTAATCTATAAAGTATCTAAAAAATTGGTGGTTCTAAACCTTGCTTAGCCTGCCTATCCTCTGGACCGGACCTGGTTCGGGAATGTTTAAATCGCACCGACTCACTCATTGTGTATATAACGCAGCCTACTTCAATTTCCCGAAAGTCCAGCCCATTTCAGACTAACCCAGGTTCTTTTTATTCAACGTTATACAATATACATCTGTCTTCCCGGTGAAGATTGTGCTAAAATTCTTCGGTGAAAGCATGCACCTCGTGTTCAAAGAAAATATGTATAGTCATAACTTTTGGTTTGTCTGTGAAACGGGATTCATGGAACAAAGAACATGTCTGTAAAAAGAATAAAGGAAGAGGAGAATCTTACGTTCGTTTCAGCAAAAAAAAAAAAGAATAATCTTATGTACGTAGAAGAAAAGCGGCATATTCTGTAATGAATAAAATAAAATCGTAAAGCAATGGCAAAACCGTAATTAATAGCAAAATATTTGTTTCTGCTTGGTAAAAAAAATCCGACCTGCCGGAATCGAACCAGCGACCTAAAGATTTGCTGTCACAGACTACAGTCTTCCGCTCTACCAACTGAGCTAAGGTCGGTTGATGAATTTATCTCAACATAAATATATATATATATTTTTCGTGCTAGGCTTTGTTTTCCAATTTCTATAACCGGAGACAGAACCGGCGACAGGATCGCTACCAAATTATTTTTTTCTATATTCGTTCGTCTCTCTTATAGTGTAAATATCAATTTTCGGTCAAACACAATTGACCATTCGGTTTTGGTATAAACCGGATACGCACGGTTTCAATTTGACTGATTCGCACGTGTAAAACCTGCCGCAAAGGCAGAGGCGAGGGAGGGAAGATAGAGAGAGATTGGGATATGCTACCGTCACTTGCGGTTGACAGATGACGCCGGATTTTCCTTCACCGGCCGTCGTTTAAAGCCTGAACCCAGAGCCAAACTCACACACCGAGTCTTTCGAACTCTAGTGATTCTCCAAAGTTTGAATATTTTGATTAGGTTTTCTGATTTGAATTTGGGGATTGTGTTTCGTATTGGACGGGAAGACTCTCTTTCGGTGCTTTTGAGGTCTTCTTCCTCAGAACCCAGGACCAGAATTTCACTCTTAAGTCTCAGAGTCAATATCCTGTATAAATACGCGAGAAGATGAACGATCCGTAGAATCATTCAAAGCACCTGGTGAAACATTCTAAATTTTTATTTATTTTTTATTTCCATCTGGATACTCTCGATTGATCGCGAATCAGCAATGGAGTCGGCGAAATCGAAGCCCAAATACCGCAACCCGATGAAGAAACCTGTGTCCGTCACGATGGAGCATGTTCTATTGGCGTTACGAGAGACCAACGAGGATAGGGAGATTCGGATTCGCAGTTTGTTCGATTTCTTCGACAATTCGAGCCTAGGGTTCTTAGACTACGCTCAAATCGAGAAGGGTCTGGCTTCGCTTCAGATTCCTCCCGAGTACAAGTACGCTAGGGATTTGTTCAGAGTCTGCGACGCGAATCGAGATGGGCGCGTTGATTACCAGGAATTTCGTCGCTACATTGACGCTAAGGAGCTTGAGCTTTACAGGATTTTCCAGGCCATTGATGTCGCACACAATGGCTGCATTTTGCCAGAGGAGCTATGGGAGGCTCTTGTTAAAGCCGGTATGTGATTCCATTTCTACTGTTACTCTTGCAAGCAATGAACATTTTGGTAGACAATGAACATTGGCTTTCATTGACCCATCTGATATCATGTAAATTTCGAACCTTTTGGCATTTGTGGATTTTGAATTGCTTACGGCTCGCTACTGGTAGTCAGTTTGGTCAGTCATTCATGATGAATTTGCTAATTGGTGTAACAGCGTGTTCTTGGTCAATCGGTCTTATTGTAATCTTTTCAAGAAGCTTTTATGTTTTGATTGTTGAGTATCTCCAACCCATATAAGCCATGTGTCCTTGTAGGCATTGAAATCGATGATGAGGAACTCGCTCGTTTTGTGGAGCATGTTGATAAGGACAACAATGGAACCATAACATTCGAAGAGTGGAGAGATTTCCTTTTGTTGTACCCTCATGAAGCCACCATTGAAAACATATATCATCACTGGGAAAGGGTGTGCTTGATAGACATTGGGGAGCAAGCTGTTATACCGGATGGTATAAGCAAACATGTCAAGAGAAGCAGATTACTTCTCGCCGGAGGACTAGCCGGAGCTGTTTCCAGGACTGCAACGGCACCTCTGGATCGCCTGAAAGTTGTTTTGCAAGTCCAAAGAGCACACGCAGGGGTCCTCCCGACCATTAAGAAGATTTGGAGAGAAGATAAGTTGGTGGGTTTTTTCAGAGGTAATGGGTTAAATGTGATGAAGGTTGCTCCTGAAAGCGCCATTAAGTTTTGTGCTTACGAGATGCTAAAACCCATGATTGGGGGAGAGGAAGGTGATATCGGTACGAGCGCGAGGCTTATGGCTGGTGGGATGGCTGGTGCGGTGGCTCAAACCGCTATTTACCCTATGGATCTGGTGAAGACTCGGTTACAGACTTGTGTAAGTGAAGGCGGAAAGGCACCGAAGCTGTGGAAGCTCACAAAGGATATATGGGTGAGAGAGGGACCTCGGGCGTTCTACAAGGGTCTCTTTCCTTCTCTTCTTGGGATTGTCCCTTATGCAGGAATCGACCTCGCTGCATATGAAACGCTAAAAGACTTGTCTAGAACATATATTCTTCATGACACAGGTTCGAGCATCAAAGCCTTAGATCCTTATTGTTATTTGCATATGATTGTTCTATGATATACTGAAACAGCTTCAAATTCTGCAGAACCGGGTCCTCTGATACAGCTCAGCTGTGGAATGACATCAGGAGCTCTTGGAGCATCATGTGTTTACCCGTTACAGGTTGTAAGAACAAGGTAAAAAAAAACTCGAAAGGTAACATTTTTTTTTAATTGTTGATTCTTCCTTGCCTGTGATTGTAAAAACAAGTTTGCGTCTTCTCATGTCAGAATGCAAGCGGATAGTTCAGAGACGACAATGAAGCAAGAGTTTGTGAAAACGATGAGAGGCGAAGGTCTGAGAGGTTTCTACAGAGGACTCTTACCCAATCTTCTCAAAGTAGTTCCAGCGGCAAGCATTACATACATTGTTTATGAAGCTATGAAGAAAAACATGGCTCTTGATTAGCCGATACAAATTTTTCTCGGGGTTAGTCATTCTTTTTTTTTGTTGGTTCCCAAAGGGGTCACTTGTTGACTCTTGAGCTCTAGATTATATATGAGATAACAGAAACCAGACGAGACGGTAACATGTCTGGTCATTGATGTGTTCATGATCAAGACTCAAATCTGTAATAGTCACATCTTCAAAACGGATCCTTAGTGGATTGAATTACGCTTATATTTCAGAATTTTAGTGGATTCTAAAGCAGTAAAGAACTTGTGAACGGCAACTTGGATCTTTATATAAAGATAGTTTTGAAAGAAACAACAAGACTGAAAAGATTTAAAAGAAACAACAAGACTGAAAAGATTTTCTCCAAGTAAAATGGAAAAACAAGATTGTAAAGCTATTACAAGCAGACGGAATACTTCTCGTCGGAGAAACAACACATCACCGCACCGGAGAGTTCGCTGGAAGAAGAAAAAGACTGGGAAAATAAAAGTTTTATAGAGAAATTTACTAAAAGAAGAAAGGCGTAGCCTTCCCTTTGCCTCTGATGACTTGCCGTTTGTGTCCTTCCCCTGTTAACAGGAACAGAGAAAGATAACGGAACCGTGTTAACTTCCATTAACAGTAGCTCGAAAGCTTCTTAACACCGTCTTCTTTTTCCGTTTCTTCCTCCACATCTTTTCTTCTTCCTTCGATTAGTGAAAAGGAGAGAATAGTGTTCCTTTCTGTTTTCTACGTCCATCTTCAACCCATTTATAATGCTTCATTTGGTCCCATATCCAAACAATAATTATTATTTTTTTTGGTAAAAAACAATAATTTTTTTCTTAAAACCAATATGTTTTTTTTTCTCAGTTTTATTTCAACCTACGGAATCTTTTTGAAAGTTATACCTAACTTCGGTAAAAATATAATAAACACTTCAATAATGTGGATGTTTTACTTTAAAAAGAAAGTCAGTTTGCATTATTGCATGGTATAAAATACTAAAGCGTGTCAGTCATGTTTATTATTGATTAATTATTAACAAGTAAAACATCAGTTTAATAAAACATTAGTTCAAATAGTTTATATCTTTGAACTTTAACGCTTTAATTATAAATCTAATTTCTTAGAAGAGTATCATTACTTCCTTACATGATGTAAAAAGAAAAATTAAGAAAAAACAATATGATAGACAAAATAAATTTAGCTATCTAACCTTGAAGCTAGTGGTATATTCAGAAAAACTATAAGGTAGTGAAGAAAGAATGAAAAACGATATGACAAGAAGTATCGAGGTGGTTTCTGTAGATGGAAGGAATTATTCTATAGTTTTTTGCTATATTTATCTTCCACTTGTCGGAATTATATACTAATGTATTATCTAAAGATCGCAGCCTAAACTATTGCTGTTGTTGTTGTTTTTCGTTAATTTTATAACCGATGTACGTATATTCTGACTAATTACGTATTGTGAAAAGAAAAAGACATTTATCTGTAAATGATTATAGTAAGCAAACCGAAATAGTAAGTACAAAGAAACGAAGGACCACATGGCGTCGTAGTGCGATTGCTTTGCATCCCCTTTCCCAAGTTAATAAGTAATGCTTTCAATCCCAATTTTTTTTTTTTTTTTTTTTTTCATCCCAATTTGATGCTAGCTAGCTCTATATTTTATGAAATGCGAAAAATATCAAAATTAGGCGTAAAAAAATATTTTCTTCTCCTTTTCTACTCCCTTAATTTTGTTTTTTTTTTGTTTTTTTAACTTCTCTATGACAACACAAGCGAGTTATATTTAAAATGTCGTCACATCCACTAAAAATAGTACATTATATATTCATATAAATATATAATACTCATTTTATAAGGTGGTGATCCCGTTTAGTGGTCATACGAGGACCACTTAGTTCATCCGCTCATCTACCTGACATCAAGTTTGTATTAGTTTAAAAATCAAAATATTTATCGAAATAGAATTATTCAAACCCTCATAATCTTCCGGTTTCTAAAATAATCAAATGAACTACCGTGAGTTGGTTTTGATATTTGCATACAAAACAATTTTTTTCATATTTTATTATACATAGAAATCGATACTATATAAAGAAGTAACAGATTCTAACTAATTCATGATATTTAAGATTTCCGTTGGCGTACAATATGAGAGATGCTTGATGCTTGTTAAGCTATTCTGTTTGTTTGTGAGATATTCTAATAAATTAAATTGTGAATTTGTTTTGTTATTAGTGTTCATGTTTAAATCTGTTTGAATCACATATTAGTGGTCATGTGTATTATGAGTAATATATTTTTGGCAAAATTACATCTTTAAATTATATAAAAGTAAAAGAAATTACATTTAGTTCATGTTTTAAATAAAAATTACGAAACAAAAAAAATCGTTGAACTTGAGCCAGACAGAATATAAACATGAACGTGAATATCTTGTATACATTTTGAATAATGTGCAGGCCTTTCTTTATAGAGAATTGTACAGTAATTTGGAAAGCTCTTTTGGCCATTTTTATAACCAAATTAGCAATGGCAATAATCACGTCGAATAAGCACTAATCCCATTAAAGTGGGAGCTAGTAAGCACCAAGCACTAGTTCAACTCGTATTAATTTATCGTATTTTAATCAGTATATAAATTTAGTTCTAATTCCTTATTGAGAAAGCTTTATACCACTTTAGTTACGTCTTATCACAAATGGAGCATGTCTTTTACAATTCTTTAAACATATTTTATTACAACTAAACCATATACTAATTAGATCAACAAGCTCAAATATATAAGAGGTAAACGTTAAAGATAATAGAATCTTGTTTACTCTTTAGCTACTATTATTACATTAGTCGCGATGCCATTACGCGCAATAGCACGATTATTTTATTTAAGCGACTAATAAACTTGGGCTTATTCGTCTATATATATCCATTTACCCACTTATTATTATTAAATATGGATTAATAATTTTATTAGATCTCATATACTTTTTTATTTATTGACAGGACCAATAATGAAGAAGAAAATTATGTAGATAGATCCCAACTACAAGGAATCTGATGTGACGTGGATCTTCAAGACACTTCCACGAATTAGACTGCATGCTCCTGAATGCTTACACGTGTTCTTATAACCTTCTACATCTCTCTTCTCAGCTCCAGATGTCTCCATCTTTCTTTATATTGTACTATCTTAAACACTGATCCAAACAAAGTATCAACCAAAACAAGTACGAAGCCAGAGCTAGCCCAAAGACGGATCTTACTCTTCTTTTCGGCTAATTTTTGCTCGCTTATTACCAGATTCAACCAGCTATGGCGGTCCGATCAACAGTAAGTACCCAATAGTCGACGGTGCTTTTGGTCAAATAATTTTTTAGGCCATTTTGACAATGTTTGTTAACGAGGTTTATACCAAGCGTAGCATTTAAATTTGGGATTCAGGTTTAGTAACACCAAGAAAGATTGGGATTTTATTAAAAATCGTTTATTGCAACCGCATTTGAGTGTAATACGCCGTCGTTTCATTGTGGTTAATTGGACCTCACGGTTGGACTTTTGTTCATTTTAAAGGGCCACTTGAAAAGTATGGTGCATAGGTTAAGAACTTACACGACGGCGACCATACCGAGATCCAAAGCGTACTCTACAGCGGCGGCAAAGTACGGTGGCGAGAGAACCACCACCACCACAACGGCGGCTACCAAGGGAGACTTCGTACCCATTTACGTCTCCATCGGAATGATTTCATTGTCCGTTTCCTTCGGTGTCTACACGGCGTATCATCATCTCCACGAAAACCCAAGCGTGCGTGTCAACAAGAAGACGAGGGCGACTGTTTCCGAGGTTGAGGATCCTGACAGGGTCGTTAACGAAGCGGACCGGTTTGCGAACAGGTCGTGGTTCAGGAAATTGGCTCACGTTCAAGAGTACGACAAGCAGGATGTGATTCCCGACCCAATCAGGAAAGACCAGTTCGCTCATAAACCTCGTGCCCCCTTGACGCTTAAGGATGTTGGTGTTGATCCTAAGATGTCGGCTGCTACGCCTCATTGAACTGTGTAGAACGAGTTCTATGTTTTTTTTTCCGTCTAAATAATATATAGCATCTCTTAATGAGATCATCAAGAGATATAAAAGATGGGTCGATTAAGGTTTTAATCTTTGTTGTCTGAATGTATTAAAGTGTAATCATCGTGTTACTAAAGAGCATGTGAATATATCTAATCGAATTTTGGTTCCTCACTAATCTTCGTGTAGAAAGTAAAGTATTGGACTGAAACTAGAGAACAGTTTTGGACCTTTTGGGTCAAGTTAAAACCCAATTCGGATTCTAACCAGTCTCTTCCGGTTTAGTCTGATTAGATATTCGGTTTACTTCATTTGACCTTCTAAAGTAGTCCGAGGATTTGATTAGGATACTACATTCTAGACAGAATGGGTTGAGAATATTACGTGAGGCCTAGGCCCAACACTAAGATCTAGGTGGGCATCTGGATGACGTGGCTGTTTGTGATAGGGCAGCGTCTCGTGGCGAGCGATATTCATTGGGAGAAGACTCTCAAAATGACGTACGATAAGGTTTAAACGAAGAGACCCAGTGTATATGTATATCAGAGAATACAGGAAACTACCGGAGAAAACTGAAACACATCTCTTCTCTGATTTTTGCTTATATCGTCGTATTCGATTTTGATTCTCTTTCTGCTTGCGAGAATGAGAGAACGGATTCTAGCATTCGTTTCAGTGCTTCTTGTGGCTTTGATTTCGTTTCAGAGTGTTTGCTACTGTGACGAGCAAACGGTAAGTGGTTTACTTTCGCTGGAAAGTTTCTGTTTTAAGATGTGGTCATTGAATTTCCAGCAACCTAATCTTCGTTTTGTTTTTGGTAATTTTGGTTCAGATCCTATATGAATCGTTCGACGAGCCGTTTGATGGTCGCTGGATCGTATCGGAGAAACCGGAATACCAAGGTAAACTTTTGCGACTGCGTAGTGATTCTTTTGCTGGTTTAAGTACATGATACGGAGAATCGAATATTGATTTTTGTGCTGGAAGTTTAGAATCAGATGGGAGACTAAATTTAGAAACTTTCGTCTATACTGGAAGTGGAAAGGAGGCAGTTTTTCTTGTTTAAAGCCTTATAAAGATTGCTTCTTGTTTGAAACCCTTGCAGGTGTATGGAAGCACGAGAAGAGCGAAGGTCATGACGATTACGGACTTGTCGTGAGTGAGAAAGCTAGGAAGTACGGAATAGTGAGAGAGCTTGATGAGCCTCTAAACCTCAAGGACGGAACTGTGGTTCTGCAATACGAGGCCCGTTTCCAGGAAGGTCTCGAGTGTGGTGGTGCTTACATCAAGTACCTTCGCCCTCAAGAAGCTGGATGGGTACCTCAAGGCTTCGACAATGAGTCTCCTTACTCTATCATGTTTGGACCTGACAAGTGTGGCGCTACGAACAAGGTGCATTTCATCTTGAAGCACAAGAACCCCAAGAGCGGCGAGTATGTCGAGCACCATCTCAAGTTCCCTCCTTCTGTTCCGTCTGACAAGCTTTCCCATGTCTACACTGCTATCTTGAAACCTGACAATGAAGTGAGGATTTTGGTCGACGGCGAGGAGAAGAAGAAGGGTAATTTACTCTCTGCTGAAGACTTTGAGCCTCCGTTGATCCCTTCCAAGACCATCCCTGATCCAGAGGACAAGAAACCAGAAGACTGGGACGAGAGAGCCAAGATCCCTGATCCCAACGCTGTGAAGCCTGAGGACTGGGACGAGGATGCGCCCATGGAGATTGAAGATGAGGAAGCTGAGAAACCCGAAGGATGGTTGGATGATGAGCCTGAAGAGGTAGAAGACCCTGAGGCAAGCAAGCCTGAAGATTGGGATGATGAGGAAGATGGTGAGTGGGAGGCTCCCAAGATTTCCAACCCCAAGTGTGAGGCAGCACCTGGATGCGGCGAATGGAAGAGACCGATGAAGAGGAACCCTGCTTACAAGGGCAAATGGAGCTCACCGCTTATAGATAACCCAGCTTACAAGGGAATCTGGAAACCCAGAGACATTCCAAACCCTGACTATTTTGAGCTTGACAGGCCGAATTTTGAACCCATTGCTGCCATTGGTATTGAGATTTGGACGATGCAAGACGGTATACTATTTGACAACGTCTTGATAGCTAAAGACGAGAAGGTCGCAGAGACATACAGACAAAATACATGGAAGCCCAAGTTTGATGTTGAGAAAGAGAAACAAAAGGCAGAGGATGATGCTGCTAGTGAGGCAGATGGTCTCAAGAGCTACCAGGTAAAATTGTTTTTCGCTACAAAACAAACTCTCTTTGTCCCAAATAGAAAAAGCGTGTATATATTCCCTTTACTTATTATGTTTGTATGTGCGTTGCTGCAGAAGAAGGTGTTCGACCTCTTGTACAAGGTTGCAGACATTTCTTTCTTGAGTGCGTACAAGTCAAAGATCATGGTAAGTTATCATTTCCAGACTTTAGAACATATTGTATGAAGAAGAAGGTTCACTCACTCGGAAATCTTATAATTTCCCTTTTGTAGGAACTCATTGAGAAAGCTGAAACACAGCCAAACTTAACCATCGGTGTCCTCATTTCCGTCGTGGTCGTCTTCCTCTCTCTCTTCTTAAAGCTTGTATTTGGTGGTTCAAAGGTAACATCTTAGAATCCTTGTCATTTAGATGCGATGATTTGGCTGGTTTTGCATAGTTCGTGGGTTGTTTTGTTCTGACGTGATTTGGGGTATTAATCTGTTATCTTGTAGGTTAACGTGGAAAAGAAGAAACCGGAAGCAGCAACAGACACCTCGACGAGCGAGGTAAAGACGGAGAAGGAAGAAACGGCGGCTGCACCACGAAAGAGGCAGACGAGGCGTGAGAGTTAGATTTTGATTTTTGGGGCTTCTTTGTTTCGGTTTATCACCAAACCGGCTGTTCGTATAGACAATAGTAGAACTGATATAAGATTGTAACATGTTTTTTTGTTTTTACTTTTTCTTTGTACGATTTTAGTCTCACTTGAATCTGATTGTGGATCAACGACAATTAAAACATTTTGAGTTGCAAACTGAAAATGCATATCATGTGTTGGTCCTTTGGAACATAAGTTAAAACGATGTACTCTCTCACTAATATAAATTGACAACATATTTAATTACATGAATTCAATAGTACTAACTTAAAGCTATTGTTTTTCTCTGATCGTTTTCTCTAATGGGACGTAACCATATAGTTAAATAAACAGATCACGTATTCACGCTTAACGAAAAGAAAGAAAAACTGGATAAAGAAACACACAAAAAACAAAACTCTGTAAGCATAGTTCAAACTTTCGCCTTATTTCAAAGTTCTACATAGAAAATTTTCTTTCAGGTCAAAGTATAAATTAAAAGAAAAAAGAAGGTGAACAATCTAAAACGTTACAAAAAGCTCGATGAAATGCCTTAAAAACCTTTAGAGAAGCCGACCTGATGCTGATGCTTCTCTCCCTCTACCTCATGGTCCCTTTTGAACCATATCGCAAACATATATCGGTTTCCGATAATTTACCGGCGACCACCGGCAGGCTTTTTAACCGGAGCAGTGTCCTCATCATCTGATTCGATGTCACCGTACTGCCAGATTCCAGTTCTAGACTTGCGAGCTTCCTCTTGGAATTTCTCTAAAGCATCAAGAGCAGCTTGTTTGTCTTTGCGCTCCCATTTCTTGCGTTTCTCCATTCTCGCTATTCCTTCCTGTGTTCATCATCATCATTCATCATGAATACCAATTCTTGGAAACGTTTTTTTATATATATATATAGACAGAAGGTGAGAGAAAACCGACCTGAAGCATTGCAGCGTTTACAGAGATGTCATCATCGACAGCGATGAGAGTGACAGCAAGTTCAGGTCCAGTGCCTTGGCCTTTGACTTTGCCTCCGGTTGTGTCTCGTTCTTCTATCACTGCTTTGAACTCTTTACCACTTCCCAGTGTTACCGTATGCAAATACTCTCCGGCTTCAGGACCAAAGTCTTCTTCCAAGCTTGGAACTTTTATGTATGCAAGTCTACAGAGCTGGGCAAGCCCTGGTGCTGAGGACACCGAAGGCTCGACTGCTCGGATCGCGCTGTACGGGACTACCTCTTGGTTTCCATAATCGATGTAGAACACTTCGAATTTCTCGTCTGGAGATTGAACCGCTGCTCGGGGTGCATTCACAATCTGAAACACAAGTATTTGATTAGATGAAGAAAGAAAAGAAGCAGAGAAAGCCCCAGAGATAAAGAATAGTGAAGTGGAATTACCATTGCACGGTTCCAGGAGTTATCAAGGCTAAACTGTGCAAGGACGATGTCACCTCTCTTAGGGTTAAAGGATCCGATAATGGGAGCATCTTTAACACTCAGGGATGCGAGCTGGTTCTGAATCGAAGCTATTCTCTGATCTCCAACAGATTGAACATAGAACCGACCACCTCCAAGCACTTCTGTAACAGCAACCTGTAATCGCAGAGGCAGTGATAAGAAAATTGAGAGTTTTCTTCTTTTATTGGATATGAACAAGATCTGAGTTGTGTGAAGAATCATTCACCTTCAAGGTCTCCTTTTGCCTGGTTTCCACGGTAGTACTACTTCCGTTTGATACTTCTTCCCCTTCAACATAGTTTTCCCAGATCTGCAAAAGATGAAAACGGTTTAGCAAGTTATGTTTTGAAAGAGAAGATTCTTCTTTACTAGACAAATTCAATTGCTTGTCACCTTCAGTTTCTGGTTTTTAGCAGATCGCTCTGCCTGTTCAAGAATGTGTGCTTCAACAATCCTGTCAGCACCAAAGCTAGTCTGCATTTTAGCTAAGCCAGCTTCAAGCAGAACTGTCGCCACATTTGTCCTTGACTCCCACATTGATCCCAAGAAAGTCCCGGTTCTATCCACGGTCTCCACTTCAATCTGTGTAAGTTATAACAGAGAGAGTATGAACAAACCATATAGGGAAAATGAGATGTAAGTTTTAGCCGTGCGTTCGATTTACCTCGACATCCCTCTGCATGATCCTACGTCTCATTACAGAGATAGCTTCATCTGAAAAGGGTTCTCCACGGCCAGGACATCTAACACCGGAGAATGAAAAGGCAATGCTACATGTCAACTTTGGAATATAAAGCTTAAACCGATGTCCACTGAGCACATATTCCACAACAGCGGGTATTCTCTTGATTCTTTGTAGGGACGGCAAGAAATCTTTAGCTTTCTTAGCTGCAGCCTGAGACACAAAACATACAATTACCAGTTAGATCACTGAAAAAGGCTAATAGCCAAGAGAATTTGAGTTTCATTTAAAAGATGATACTATTTACTAACCACAGTAAGGTCCGTGACGTGCATGGCCGGAGATTCTTTTGCAGAATGGATTCCTTTCTTTCCAGAGAGAGCACGAGATTCAGCAGCCAGAAGAGCATCGTAATGGTTTGATCTCTCTTCGAAATCTCTATGCCTAACCACATTTCCAAACCCACGGGAAAGAATGAGCTCGGCGATATTCACTCCAGCCGGTTGACCGCTTGCAGTAGATGATGCAGCCACTTCCTCGGAATCGCCTTTCGCGGGAGATGGAAGGAACACTGAGCCAAAATCCATGACTCTTTCTGCAGCTCCAGATGTGGTAGGACCATCTGCTGGTGTGAGTTTTCTTGAGTATTCCATTTGAACAATAACCTGTAGCAATGGTGAAAGAGGAAAAAGAAAATTCAAATCCTGTTCACAATGTGGGGCACATGATGAGAGTAGAAGACACAACGCAATACCTGTTTGCCAATAAGCCGTTGTCTCAGAAACTCTCTTGCTTCCCTAGCATAAGGAGCTGGTTTCTCTTCTCTACGCGGGTTACCCATTTTTGGACATCTGATACTCGAAAGGTTAACACGTCTCTCTGCCGCTGGGCTCCCGAATGGGATGGCATCATCGGCAACTATAACACAGTCCCCACTCACCACTTCCACTACCTAGAGAGAGATCAAAAAACCAATGACTCAATAAGCAGAGGAGAAAAGACAGTACTTAAAACCAAGTATTTGGACAGGACATGTTACCTTTCCCGTAAAGTTCTGGTCATGAATTGCCTTAGAGTTTGATGCTGGAGGAACATAGCTTGCCCACATTTTAACCCGATCTTTTTTGCATTGAAGTTCTGCAGCTTTCAACTTTCTCTTGGATTCTTCCTCCATCATGTTAGCACTCCATTCAACATATTTAGCAAGACCCTAAGGATAAATAATAACAGCCAATGTCATTAACTTTGTCAACTACATAGAAAATCATAATATGTATCAGTAATGTTGGTATAAGAGAAATCCAAAAGCCGGCCAATAGAAGGAAGGAAGTTATATATCTAACACCAGAAAAGTATTCTACCACCAAACGCTAGGGTAGAGCAAAATAACTGCTTAATTCAATCACATACGTTCTCAACGAGTTCCAAACCCAAGTCTTTAACTGCTTCCCCGTCAGAATAATGAACTGAACCAATCAGATTGTTGAATTTGTCAACGCCTTCAAGAACAATGCGAACCTGCAGAATCCAGCTTAAATTGAGGTCGTCCAAATACCAAAACACAGAAAAAACATGAGGCGAAGTTGTTGACGAAACTTACATCTCTGCTAAGAACACGATGCTCAGTGAAGTACTTGGCTTCAGCTGCAAATGGATCAGCGGAAACCTCGACGACAGACGATGCTGCAGAGGCAGCGAGTCTCTGAGCTGACGTTAAAGGACCTCGTGAGTCAGCAGAAGCATCTCCATTAGTCTCATCTGGAACTGTCTCGATAACACTTCCATTTGTGGGTCTTCTTCCCATTGATGGAGACTACATTGAAATAGAAACAAAAAAATTTGCTGACTGCGTTCCATCATAAAAGTTTAAAACTTGCACGCAGCATGAGCAGAGAAAGAAGTTTAATTACCTGAACTCCAGCAACAAATACTTGCACAAATTGGAAATCTGGAAGAAGATAAACACGAATAGTACTTCCATCACGGACTTGCTCCACAATGCCTTCCATGGGCTTGCCCTTATTTGCAGCCAAAAGCCCCATGGCATCAAAACTCGCAGAGTCTCCAATGGCAGAAGGGGGAAGGTCTCTTCGAGATGCCTCAGCAGCACCAGGAACCTGGAGTCGGGTGAAAAAAATCCATCATCAAATCGATAAGAAAGTGCAGAATTTGGAGAGTTAAAGTAAGGAAGAGAAGACCAACCTTGCTCCAAAGACCAAACCCTTCCTGCTTAGCCTGCTCTTCGAGCTGATGCAACTCTGCAATGTAAGGACTAACCTTATCCTGATTCTGCCGACCCGGTTCCCTAACCTGTCCACAGTAAAGGCAATCCTCCCTCATATCAGAAATCTATGGTATGATCAAAACCATATTTCAGACAACATTATCTTGACTGAAAATGAAATGATTATTACCTTTGCCCAACCATTTTGAACAACAAGTTTGGCAAGATTCTCATGGCCGAGAAAAACAGAGCCAAATTCTCTTCCAATCGCTTCCACTTTGTAATCCACTTTGAAAGCAACCTCCTGTTTTCACATTAAAAAAGAGTGTTAAGATGAGAAAACATTGTCGTCAATCACAATACTAATTTATATAATCAGTCAAGAATTTTGACTTTGCACCTTTCCTATGCAAAGTTTCCTCAGAAACTCTTTGCTTTCCCATGCAAAAGCCTCATCTTCTGCACCTCCCCTGCGAGCCTAAGAGAACGAAAAAAAGGGTCAAATATCAAACAGAAAAAAATAAAATTGTTCTCAATGACACTTTATGTTTGGTTGTGAGGAAAGCTTTGTGTGTAAAACTAATCACATTTTGAATTTAAAAAAAAAAAAAAGTAATGACGGGTGCACAAAAAAGAAATGATTTGTTAGATGAAGCTCACCATTTTAGGAGCCATAAGAGAAGACAGAGTAATGGTTTTTTCCGGCGGGGGACCTGATCTGTTGTGGGTCAGAGCAGTGATCACTAAACAGTCACCGGAGGTCACAGCCTTCACTCTTCCTTTGAGCCATTGGTTCTCAGTCGCCGATGCCATGTTGACTGGCTAAGACCTGCACCAAACGTCATTAGTAAAGGATCAGGTGAAAACATTCAAAGACGCATAATAATGATTCGATGTTGCTTCGAACATGGTGCATTCGAGATCACGAAAGCAAAAGAATCAATCGACAAAGAGCTACATGCAACGATTAAATAAAAAGGCTATAAATTTCGTCCTCAATGAATCACAGAAATGTACATTCGCCTCGATCTGCAACTATGAAGATCGATCGAGATAATCATCAATCCCAAAAAAAGACAAAAACGTTTCTCACCAACCAGACGAGAGACTTTAAACGCTCAATCACAATACGTCAAAATCAGATCAGGATTAATAGAAAATGACTAATTGAGTCAACAAACGGATAGATCTACAATAATTCTACGATAATTCCAACGAACATACCTTGATTAACCAAATGAGAGAGAGAAGAAACCAGATCTGGAGAAGAATCTCTATTTTTTCCTTCTCTGATTCAATCTGTGATTGAACAAAAGAGGAAGAAGAAAGAGAAGGAGAGAGAAGCTGTGAGCCTGTGCTGAAAAGTTAACGGCGGATCTCGAGATAGAGGTAGAGCTCAGGGGAATTGTGCAGAGGAGGTAAAAAGAAAGAAATATAAACAGAGGAGAGAGGGAGCGATAATAAGTATGTGCTTGTTTATTTTACCCTCGCGACTTCGGATAAATTACGCATAGATGCCATTTTAAAAAGCTGTATTAGAATTATGTTTTTGCGGAAAAAAGTTAGTTTTAAGGTCGTACCGAGGAAAGTGAAAATCACCTTGTCTGTTTCACTTTCGAGTTAACTAACACTAGAGAGAGATCATCAGCCCTAAAAGCCTACTTACCAAATTTTACATAGATAGTCCTTCTGATTATCTTCATTTCAAATTTGCCACATTCAGTTTCGGTATGCTTTGAGTTTTAACTATTTCGGTATCCTATGCTTTTAAATATTAACCTAATGATCTGACAAGTGGAGTACCATTTACACATCAGATTAGTAGAAAATAAAATAAAATAAATTTGATTATTAATTTGAAAAACGTTTGCCTAAAAGTTTTTTTTTATATTTATGAATGGTTAATGCTGTCTGATTTGATATATTCAACGGCGATTGGGTGAAGTACTTAAAACAGTTCATTCTTTTGTGTTTAATAGTTTGGGGTTTATCCTTCTATCACCAACAACTGTCAGCTTCTGAAGGTTACTCCCTAGTAGGACAATTAATTTGTATTTTGTAATACCAAGGAACCAATTTGCATGTGAGTATGTGGCTAATAAATAAGATTTTTTTTTTAAACAACCCCAAAATAAATAAATACCTAGTCAACTTGCATCGTTGAGATATCTTCTTAATGGAGTATAATAATTTCTGGAATATCGAAAAAGTGATAAATTAACAAGGTAATTGTAAATCACGGGGACACTACGAGGAAACTTCATTAAGAAAAATATGTTCATCCTGGTTTATTAATTTATTTAATTTTGGAACTATACATTTTAAAATTCCAAAATTTTATTTATGCTGGTTTGAGATCAAACCTAGAACGCCAAAGCCATTACGGTCAGAAGTCAAAGGTAGTGCAATGAATTGTCACCCACAAAACTCGCCGCGCACTCAATTAATTAAATACGTTACCAAATTCTATACACACGCATTTCCCATTTCCTCTTCTAGTAAAAGCAAAGAAATGCAAATCCCACTGTATAATTTATATACACGACAGCGACAAAAACAAACAAGTAAATAACACGTGTTTCTTTTTTTTTATATTAGCACTAGCTTTTCCAATCACCGTCAGTCACGTTCGATATGGAAACAAGACCCTTACACAGATTGTTCGATATGATTATACTTTAAATACACGATCCGGTTATGTCCACTACGAAGCATGATCATCAATATTTCGTATTTCACTCACACGCCAAAATAACGAAAAAACCACATTGACTTTGATGAGTCCTTGGGACAGAAATAATATGTTAAGACATCTTCGTAACATGTCTTTAACTTCGGAATAACAGAACACACAACATTGATTTGACTATTTCCTAACGTAAACAAAAAAAGATTGGAAAAAACACTCAGATGTGTAACCTTCGTGGAGGGATTAAAGCCCGAGGTGGATTCGGTATAAAGTCATCCGGACCAAGATCATCGATAGGTGGTCGCCTTCTATGCGCATCGGTAACCGATTGGTACGCCATACCCAATGCTAAAGCCTACCACACCAAACAAAAGAAGGGAATTTCAAAACCCAATTATTCGCAAGTCTCTTAAACATTCAATAAGATATTCGTTTAGATTTACTTACGATGTGATCACGTTCCGGCGGAGCATAAATTCCAGCATTGATCGTTGTCCTTCTCCTACAACTGTTGGTCGGTGGTTCCGATATGTTCTTGAAACCGGTCGGAATCACTAGAACCGGTAAACCGACAAGGTTTCCCATACAGACTTTCTCCCAATCGGTTACGTTTCCAATAAAGGCATCGACTGTAAAGCTCTTCTCCACTTCTCGAATCAGTTTACCACGAGCTCTCTGCGCCTAAACCGGTTAATCAGAGAGATATTAAATCAAACCGCCCAAATGCATCCGCAATAAACCAAAATGAAAATGTGAAAAAACCTGAATGTAATCGACGGCTGTAATTACACGAGCACGGCGCAACTCAACCGGCCATTGATCTTGAGCTTCATAGACATCCTCTTGACCGGTTCTTTGCCATTCATCAAAATGAGCCAACATGTCTACGTCCATTGTGAAATTCAATATCCCTTGAACCGACTCCACTGTATAATTTAGTTCGAAAGGAACCATATTAACACCTTTCGACCCAAGAACTTCCACGACCTACAAAATGTCAAATGTCGAATCAACACAGATCCGGTTTATTCTGATCGCAGACAGCATTTAACTATATTTGTTTACCTTCATGTCAGCATCTTTGGTATACCCAACAGTGAGTTTTGTGATATCCACTAAGAAGGGATCTTCAAATGCAATCTCTCTTGATGAGGGATCTTCGGGATCTTTCCCTTTGATAGCGTCAAGGATTACAGCGCAATCCGCTGCTGTTCTACAGAAAGGTCCCAGCTTATCCTGTGTTGCAATTACAGAGTTATTATACATTTCTGAAGCTTTTTTTACTCGGTTTAAAGAAGCACGTTGAGAGAGCTGCTATTAAACCATACCAGGCTCTCGGATATGCTCATCACTCCGGTTCTACCAACGCTCCCAAACGTCGGACGCAATGCTGTTACGCCGCACCTAGCTGCAGGGTATGTCATTGAGCCTGCTGTCTCCGAGCCTATGGCAAACGGAACCATACCTGGGACGAAAGTGTAACACAAGAAAACGGAAAATAAACACTTTTAGCTATAGCCAAACAGAAACGTAACCTTGATTCATTTTCTATAGAAACTAACCAGCTGATGTGGAAGCAGCGGGTCCAGCTGATGACCCGGTAGAGAATTCCTCGATATTCCACGGGTTCCTAGTCCGTCCTCCGAACCAAATGTCATCATAAGCCAGAGAGCCAGAAACAAGCTTCGCTACTAAAACTGCACCTGAAGCTTTCAATCTAAACAAACAGAAAGAAAAAAAAAAACCGAGCCTCTCACTATCAAGTCATGTCCAATAGAACAACAAAAGGAAATCAATGAACATGGTGAAAAAAAACTCTTTTCTGGACCTTTTGTAAACCCATGCTTCAATATCAAGAACTTGGTCTTTGAAAGAAGAAGAACCCCACGTTGTTTTGTATCCGGGAACCGCAACTATATCTTTCAACCCATATGGAATCCCGTGAAGAGGTCCTATCATGCACACAAAAAAAAAAAAACCATAATCAGAAGCTTTAAGCACCTTTTGGTCAGCAATCAAACGAACAAGTCTATTGCAAGATAGAAATCTACCGAGGTAAGTTCCTTTAGAGAGCAAATCATCAGCTTCTTTGGCTTGTTTGTATGCCAATTCTTCAGTATAAGTAACCACTGCTTCAAGAACATGATTGTACCTTTTGTTTTTTTCCCCAAGAATATCCAATTAACAACATCAGATCATGTCAAAATCCCTGCGCACACAGTCAGTGAGAACAGAAGCTCCCGTACCGTTTTAACTGCTTGAGATAAATCCGAACGAGCTCCTCGGAAGTAACTTGTCTCGTCTTTATAAGTTCTCCGAGTTCAAGAACCTGCCCAACAAAGCATTCTCTAACCAGATGAAACTATCCCTCTATTGTAACAACAACAACAATAAATAGAAAGGGAGATGGCTTACGCTCATGAAGGCGATATCTTCTTCATCTCTAGGGAGTCGTACTCCAGATACCGAAGGAAATTTGAATCTTTTGCCCTGTAATCGTGGGACTTCTCTGTTCCAAGACGGATTAAACACCAGCGGAGATGGATTTTCCAGCCCGCCATTCTTAGCAGCGACTAGTTTCCGGTTGGTTCGATATATGGGAACGTTCATTTCAGTGGCCCCCTTTGCAATCTCCTGAATCTATATACACCCCACATAAACAATATTGAAGACATATACTTTCTTACTCAAAAACCAAAATCAAAGCGTGGAGTTTTTGAATCATTACTGTCAAAAACCGAGATATTGGTGTGTGAAACAACAGATTGTGAAGTATGAAGCAGTACCTTAGTTTCATTGAAGAATCCAGAATCAATCAACTCAAACATGCTCTTCAAACACTTAGCTTGCATAGTCTTATCAGGTAGTTCAGTCTGAGTGATGTTACTGTTCTGGTCATAAACATTTCAAACAACATCAGCTTGTTAGAATCCCCAGAAATCGAAAAACAAAAATCAGATTTTACCTCGGCGAAGTTGTAATCCTACGGCACGGGACATCCACTTTTCGGTCAAAAAATTTGCAGAGTCTATTGCAGTTTCTCACCATTGAGCTAGAGGGCAGGCATGGGAGATGAGAAGAGACTAAATCAGAGCAGAGAAGCTTCGACTCAGGATAGATTGCGTCCGTACATAAGACCGTTAAACCTAGGAGGAGGAGGAGGAGGAGGGAGAGCAGTAGAAGCGGCGCGCAAGTGCGGCTACGAGGAAGTGAGCCACGCGTCGCTAAGCAAGGCCGTATGGTTGGATCACACGTGTCGATCGATGGTGCCACCATCGTATCGGCTGGTGAGTGGGGATTGGTAACGGTGACGGAGAATCGCTCCTTTTTGAACTTGCGATTGAGGAATCAAACGGAATGAGACGGCCGTTGACTCCGACTCTGCTCCGGTGAGGAACTCAAGTAGATGATACTTGGAACCACCTGGAAAGTGGCTCGATCAATCTGCGAATCGACGAATGGGTCGAATTAATCGTTAATTTGATTAAATTAAACAAAAAGCCACCTAATGACATAAATCAAAGCCAACAAAATAATACAAAGAAGTAGAATTTTGAGCATTTCCTAATATCCTCCAAAATCAATAGAAACGTATGAAACTATGAATATCAAAATTGAATATACCTTTTTGAGTATTCTTATCCCTCCAACGTTCATAAGAGCATCTTCAATCTACTTCTATTTCAGAGAAAAAATTAGAGTTTAGAGAAAAATTCTCTCCAATCCACTTCTATTTTTACCTCTAAAATAGAGGTTGCTATTTTTCCCTCTATATTTGGAGGAACTCTATTTGTTCCTCTATAATAGAGATACACTTTTTTATTTATAAACTGGTTCCTTAACTTTTACATCTTTTTTATTTTTATTTATATAACATATAAAAAGTTCAATTAAATATTTGCATAATCTAGTTTGTATATATCCAATAAATAGCCATATATTTAACATATAAATTTAATTAAATTATAAAATATTAAATAACTTTAATAAAGTTTAATAAAATCAACATCATTTCAGACAATAACTATTATAGAAAAACAGAAAACATTATTTACTTTAATTAACTATATAATTTATAAATGAAAGTAGTTAATCTACGATAAGAAAAATAAACATGAATAGCAATATAGTATACACATGTACAATAATACATTAATAAAGTTACATTATACAGTTTTGTATGTTATTAAATACAAAAACCTAATAAATAAATAAATTTAATAATTTTGTTATGGTTTGAGAAAATTTTGTGAACATATAATATAACTAAATTAGAAAATTCTCATTTATTTCAAACTAAATTATAAATAAAATGATAAATTGCAATAATTTTTTTAAAATACAGAAATTATAGAAAATGATAAATACTATAGTGATTTAATAAATGTTTTGAAAATTATGGAAAATGACAAATACATAGTCATTTTGAATTTTGTTTATGAAATAAATGTTTAGTTTTAATATATTTTTATTATTGATGGAAAATTTTGTAAACAATAATATAAATGAGGTTAATTTGTAAATTTTATGGAAAGAAGGTATTAATAATAAATTATAAAGAGAATATTCTTAAAATATACCTTTTTAGAGGAAAAAATAGAGAAATACATTGGAGAAGTACGCCTCTATTTTAGAATTCCTCTATTAGAAGAAAAAATAGAAGAAAACATTGGAGATGGTCTAATTTGGACTTTGCTAACTATAACGGTTACTGTACTGTGGTTTACTTATGGACGGCTAAACCGGTTTACTTGTGGTTTTGTCCACAGTTATTTATACTTTGAGGAATTGTCATTGCACGGCATGTTTTTGTGTCAACTCAATAGTTTTGCTTTATCGACTTCTCCGCCACATGTCGTTTACTTTTCTTGCCACTTTTTCTTTCTAGATGCTTGCGCTGGTTTGTCTCCAAGAACTCGATGTTAAGAGATACTACTATGTGTTTCCTTTTTTACGATTTTTAACAATTGTTACGGAAGAAACACGGAATGGTGAAGAAAAAATGGAAATTAGTTGAGGTTAGTCGAAACGCGTCGAACATAACGTTTTAATTCCAACCGTGTTTGAGTTTTCGTCCTCTGCATCCAACTTATAAAAAATAAAATAAAGAGACAATAATAATTGATTTATTATTATATATATATGTCCAGCTAGATTGCTTCTGTGCCTCAAAAGAAGTAAGTAACAACGACAGGCCCTCTCATCTTTCTATTGTGAGAATCTGAGAATCGTAAACCTTCTTATCGTCTTCCTCATCGTCAAGATTTGTTCTTCTGTTTTAGTTTGGGTAAAAATCTTTACTTTGTTTAACCACAAAATTTCTTCCATTACTGTTTACTTAAATCTAGGTTCCTCCGTGTTGCGTTTTATTTTAATGGGATCCTACTTCCTTTTTGCAAAAGTTCTTAGCCTTTTTCTGCGTTTTTAGCAATAAATTTATTCGAAAGCAACTTTTGGTGATATTTTCAATTGATAGCTGGATTCGGGGAATTTCCCTATTTTGGGTTGTTTCCCCCTTTATATCTGCGTTTTATTTTTCTCTTGTTCTTCAAACGACGAAGTAGATAAATTTTTGTGACGGAATTGTGATGGGATTTGAACCCTAATCTGAAATCTGTACAGTAGGATTGATTCTGGTTAAAATTAGAATATTTCTGGGGAATTCTGCATGATTGTTCTTCTATTCCATTTTAACTCAGCCAATAACCTTTATTAGCTATGATTAATCGCTATTGTTGAAAGAATGTGTGCAATGGTGATTGAATTGCAGAGCAGTAGTGATGCCTAGGTTCATTGATGCATAGTTGCTCTTGTTATTGGTTTTGGATCACTTGATATCTTCAGGAATTGTGGCTTTTCTATGAATTTTTTTTTCCCCAGATGAGTATCTCTCTGCGTTTGCATTAGCAGGATCTTCCCTATTAGGGTTCATATCTATAGCTTGATCTTCTTAAATACGTGACATTGTTAAGTTTGGCTCATTCTGATCATTTCTGCTACACTTTCCACTTTTCTGTTCTTGGGATTATGAGTGATATCTAAGTATCTAATATCTTATTCATCAGGCTCACATCATACTCTACCAAGATGCATCTCAAGGCCCCTGAACATCAGGTTGCAGGACACATTGCTAAAGACGGGAAGCCCGGTCCCCTTGTCGACGACAAAGGCAGGTTCTTCAAGCCACTACAGGGAGATTCTCGTGGTGAAATCGAGGTGAAGTTCTACGAGTCTTTCTCGTCGAACACAGAGGTTCCAGATCACATCCGTAGATATTTCCCCGCGTATCACGGCACTCAAGCAGTTGAAGGTTCTGATGGAGCAGCCATGATCGTGCTGGAGAATATTCTTTCCAAGTACACGAAGCCATCGGTAATGGATGTTAAGATGGGTTCAAGAACATGGTACCCTGAAGCATCCGAAGAATACATCCAAAAATGCTTGAGGAAAGACACAGGGACCACCACCGTGTCGTCTGGTTTCAGGATCTCTGGTTTCGAGGTGTTTGATCACAAGGAACTGAGTTTCTGGAAGCCCAACAGGAAGCTTCTCAACGGGATCAAAGTCGATGGCGTGAGGTTGGTTCTGCGGAAGTTTGTATCGTCGAACACACTCTCTGACACCAGTTCTAAACCCGACTCTGCTTTTGCGTCCCGCGTTTACGGCGGTTCCAACGGGATCTTAACGCAGCTGTTGGAGCTCAAGACCTGGTTCGAGAACCAAACGTTCTACCATTTCAACTCTTGCTCGATTCTTATGGTGTATGACAATGATTCCATCTTAAATGGAGACGATGATGCTCGAGCACAAGTCAAGCTTGTGGATTTCGCTCATGTTCATGATGGTAATGGCGTCATTGACCATAACTTCTTGGGTGGACTCTGTTCTTTCATAAACTTCATTCGTGATATCCTTCAGAGCTCAGATGGTTCTGCAGAAAACGGACACTATTCGCCTTGAATGTCATCATTAGATTTATGGTTTTCCTCCTGGCTGATTCGATTTTTGGATTTATACTATTTCTCTCCTTCGAATGTACTTGGTTATCTAAAGAGCATACATTTCGTATGTTGTACTACTCTTTTATCTTCAGTATTCTATGGCATATATAAAGATTTTTCAGTTTTTGGACATTTGCTTTCAATTTGTTAAGAATACTGTAGATAAAAAAAGGTTAGAGCCAAAAAGCGAAATAATTCAGACTAAAGGCAAGTTTGGTAATTTTGAAGAGTTTGTTTCCCGTGAAATCCCAAATATAACTAGTAGTATAGGGACTGGAATGAAATCGTCTTCTATTTTTTAAATCACTCTGCTCTGCTTTCCCTTTTCAAAATTTTCCGTCTCGCGCTCATCGTTGGTGGAAGAAGACGAAGAGGAACACGAAGGTTAACTGAGAATGGTGCTACTATGTTTCGTCTTGGATCTGCGGAATATCTCTCCTTCTCTGATCGGAGATCTAAAGCAGGTCTCTCTCGCTAAGATTATTCTCATTGTCAGTTGAATTTTTGTTCCTAGATCGCTCAATTGATCGGATTTGATTGTCGTCTTCGTTTACGAATCTCGAAATTGACTGTTGCTTCAAATTCTGCGCCTGATTCTGAAGCTCGAATTTGATTTCTGCTGCGAATTTTGTAGTCGTTTCTGAATCTCGCCAATCTACACGCCATTTCTTCTCCGGCGGATTCTCTCACTGATCGGATCGGTTTGTGTTATATCGTGAAAGATCGGATTTCCAGATTCGATCAGGTTAAACTCGTCATTGATCGTTGTTTCCTTGTAATCTCTGGGATTGTGTGGGTTGCTTACGTTTTCGATGGATCTAGCAGTTAAAAATCGCCTACACTCCCAGTGGAAACTTCTGTCTTCGCGACTTCCATCATGCTGTTAACAGCTTGCCTTTGGATGCGTTTGTACCGGAGATCGATGAATCGGGAGCCATATCTTGCAGAGGTCTCTCTCTTTACCTATCGATTTCTCTATGGCTCCCTGATTAATATCCCGCTCGATAATCATCATCATGAATTGTTCATAGATCTTAAGCTATCAAGTGTTCTGTGTGATCGAGCTATATACTCATGGGGAGGTAGAGACATCATGAGGAAAGTTATCGTTCTGAGTTCATTCTTCCCTGAGGATATGGATTCTGAAGCGAAGAACACTCTTATGGTCAGCCAAATACTATATTTGTTAGTGCTGTGGCTTGCTTTACTCTGTGCTAAGTCCTTTTGCTTTCAGGCTGCAGCAGATAAATGTGTGTCCGTTGAGTTTCTTTTGCTTGAGAAGAGAGCAAGCCATGTGAGCTATACGCAGGAGAAGATTAATAGATTCCTCAGATGTCTGTCGGATCTTGACAATTGTTCATTTCAAACCTGCATCCATGGTATTTTCACTAAGTTTATCAGATTTTGGTTTCTAGTTCTTTAGAGTAGTTTTCATTTGCCTCACACTAGCTTTCCAGGATAGTTTAATCCTTTAAATCTGTTATCTATAAAGAGGTTTTGAATCTAGCATGAGGCAAAGCAAGAATAGTTATTAGACATTTCAAGAGATAGGATACTGATCCATTCTATGCATTCAGATGAAAAATCACTGCATGGCCTTGAAAAGAGATGGCTTCAGGATCTCAAGGATGACACTGGAGAATCACTTCAGGCCCAATTTGTCTTCAAACGCAACCTTGTTAGCTCAGTGAACAAGATCTTCTGCAATATCACTGCAGCCGTAAATCAGATTGTCGACGGGTTTAGCCCTTGCCGAGTACTGAGCCATAAACTTGAATCTTTTCTCTCCCAATAATATTTGCACTTAGCATCCTTAGGTGGATATTAGATAAGTCACTTCAGCTTAATGCTTTGTCCACTACAGTTTTTCATCCTTTTTGTTGTTGTTTACAGACCTGCAGGTGCCACGGCATTCCATTACGAGATTCAGTGGAAACCACTACAGAGAAGCTGCAATGCTCTGTAACCAATCATGATCTTGGAAAGTATGATGTGATTGAAAATTCTGTGAAAGTTGGTGAGAGAACTGTTCTGTTTTTGCCTTCAGTCCATAGCCTCCAGAAACTTCATCCAATTTCTTCCCAAATTGAATTCACTGTCATTGAGAGGACTAATCTAACTTCTGTCAATGAAGGTAACTTGATGAGTTGATTCAAGTTTCTTTTGAATTCGTTTCTTTCTTCCATAATAGAGAACTTGATTCAAGTTTACTTTGACGTAGGGCTAATACTTGGGAGGCCTTACACCGTAAGCCCTTCAACTTGCCATGAAACGGAAGCTTCTTCAGAAGAAATGGATCAGCCAGATCTGAACACTCAGAGTAAGCAGTCTGTCTCCCTAAAGAAACCCACATTGCAGTGTTGTCTCATAGTTTTCCTAAGCAGCTAGAAATGCAGTTTTCCAGGGACTATGTGGTGCACTATATTCAATGGACGAAGGGTTGGTTTGTTCTTCAAATTGTAATCTAGACACCATGACAGTCGTGGAATTTCATTGTTTTTACATTCTTCAACCGTCAGGAAACGGTCCAATGCTTCTGAGGGTAAATATTTATTACTGCAACTCTCTTCCTTGATCGAACAACAGTAGCATTCTCCTTAGGATATAGAAAAATTGTGTTACGTCTTGAATTTGTGGAGTTTCTTAGTTTAACAGACAAAAATGTTTGCAGAGATTGGCAGGATCAGAGGAAGTCCTGCCTATTTCCTCCAGTGTCAGTCAGTTTGCCGAGTCCTCTATTCCTAGAGAAATCGAGATTTCTGTCAAAGGCGCTTTGTTAGAGGTCGATTTCATTTCAATCTCTTGATATTCATATTTAGTACTGTATATAGAGTTTTAACTTGTATTTACTTTCTGCTATATAAGCAGATTGAATCAACAGACTACAATCCCTTGACCCACAACAGAGGATTCCACCAAAAACTGAACCTCATTGTGAAACAAAGTCTTCAATTTGGGTGATTAATTATTCTCCTCTGTTATTGAATCTTCTTCATTAGCAACATCCCTGCAAATATATTACAACCCTCTAACTTTTTCTTGTTTCTGAAAGCTCATTACATTCAAACACGAAAGACGCAACATGTGAACTGAGCTCGGCAGTTTCAGATTCTGTGATTCAAACGGCAGAGGCATTTCCAAACATTATAAACCCATCCGTAGAAGAAGAAAAACTTCAGGCAATCCAGATAATTGATGAAGAAGACAGAGCAACAGCTTCCATTACTAAAGAATGGGAACAACTAATAGTCACTGAGGTTCTCATGGAGTCTTCTTCTCCGGCTTTAACTACACCCAAACCAAATATAAACCGCCAATTTCTATCGCCTAACAACAAGCAGGCCGATACAAAAACATCGATGATATTGGAAAGACTTGAAGCTCCGAGGAAGATGACAGGAAGAGTTGGATCACCAAGTGTAGTGGCCATGGGTAGTCCAACCTCACCGGAGGTCTCTGTCTTGTCTCAGAAGAAGCCTCTGATTCCTTTTCAGTCAAGTCAAGTTTCTAACCACCAAAATGTTTCATCAAGCCAGCTCATGAAACCTAGCTTTCAGAGGCTCAAAAGAAAGCATAAGTGAGCTTTCAGGGTAAGACTCTGTTTTTCCTCTGCTTTTCTTGAGAATCAGTACATATATAATAGTGATAGTTTCAAAAGAATGTTAATATATTTTGTTTTTGAGCTGAGACAGCGTACAGGAGAGGAAGAACACGTGTTAATATTCCATCTCGAAGAGACTTGAAGTTCGGAGAAAAGGTAATAATAATGTTCTGCAGTTGCCGTTGAACGAGACAAAAATGATCTGATGCCTGAATTTGGTAGTTTTATTTTTCTTTTTGTACAAGAATCAAAACTGTATCAAATCACATTATACATATTTACAATTTCTATACAAAGATCTTCAACCATGAAGCCGATAACTCAATATACCTTTTTTAAAGGCTCTTAGAGCCTTGTTAACTTATATCTCAAAACGTAATTTTTTAGAAGTTTTCTTTATGGAAACAGAACTTGGTGGAAGTTTTATGAGAGAAATCCTGTGCTAAGTGTCGTAGCTCTTTCACTAATCCAGCTGCTCCGCAATAAAACACTCCTGTCAAGTTTATCAAAACATTTACATTATCTGCATTCACAATCATATACAGATGAGAGTTGTTTTTTTGTTAGTTAGAAACTCACCGACTCTAGTCTTGGGATGCTTCACAGCGATCCTTTTGTAAACGCTTCTCCAGTTCGGCCTAGCGAAATGGGACATGACACGTGTCCCTGACACCACGTCCACTCCGTGCTTGGCGTGGTTCAGTGACTGGAGCATCGTGATCAGTGCAGACCTTGCATCTCCTTCCTCGTAGACGCTGGTGCAGTAGTTATGCAGCTCAATGACCTTGTTGCGGTCTGTTATGGCCACTTCGTCCATCACGTTCTTGAACCAGTCAAAAGACCCTTGCTCTCTTGTGACCCAGTAGAAGTAAGCTCTCTTGGTTCTGAACATCTCACTTTTTCTTGCTGGAGAAAGAGGAGGTGTGACCATGTTGTGTTTCGGTGACTGTCTTCGGTTACTGCCTCTGCTGTCTTCTTCTTCTCCATTGTATTTTAAGTTATTGATTATGTCCTTGACAATGCTGATCATTGGAGTAGCTCCGATTCCTAGACCCACTAGTAGAACAACTTCGAAATTCTTGTAGTCTTGTGCTGGTGCTCCATATGGACCGTCGATTAGGATTCTTGGAAAGCTAAGGGATCACAGTCAAAGTTAAAGCAGTTTAATCTCATTTCTAAATGTTTCAGTGAATAACTAATGGATAGATACTGATAAGACTTACTTAAGGATGTTATTCAAGAGCCTCGGATCTGCTCTGTTTTCATCATGAAGGCGTGGTTTACACACCTGAGGATCAGATATATTACAAAGGAAATTACATACTTGGACCCAAATGATCTATTGTGTTTATGTTTAGGGGAGAAATAAAGTAAAGTACCTCAGAGAATAATAGTCTTAATTGCTTAGTCCAGTCTCCTAGAACCCTGATGTGGACACTGAGGTATTCATCTCCTGGAGCCGAGGTAATTGAGAATGGATGCCTGTTTATAGGCAAACCACTTTTCAGTTTACTTCCATATAAATTTCTCTCAGATAATATTATGATAAGTTTTTACTATTACCATTCTAATGAAGAAACTTCAGAACAGTTGAGGTACATGTATTGTCCGCTTTTGTATCTGAAGTTGCTTGGTCTTGACATTTGAAGCGACAAAACATTCCCTGGTAACACAGCAACCTGTTGAAGAATCAAGGTAAGTAATAGAGATGAATGAATATGCAAATTCCTCCTCCTTGTTCTTGGATATTTTAACAGAGAATGATTATAGATTCCACCTTTAGTATCGAAACAGCCTCGATGCCTGACCTGAAGGCACGAATCAGCCTTTCAGACAAGTAAAGAACCACTGGTACCATCAAGTACATCCATGTCTATTAAATCACACCAAAACCAAAATCAGAGGTCCATGTTGCATCTGTTACAACTCTGTATCGAGCGTAGTAGTTGATAAGTTACGAACCGTTTTCTTGCGCCAGGTCTTGATGAGGTAGACATAGTATCCGTGCACAACGAGCAGCGAGTAGACGATAACAAACAAGTGGTGAGAGTACCAGAAGGCGTTAAAGCCGGTTATCTTCTTCAGTGGTCCAGGAAGATTGAGCTTATTGCGTCTGAACCATGGCGTAGCCAATGTGAAGGCTATAGTCATTAGTATAACCATTGCAATCCCGGTAACTCCTTCCACTCCCTCCACAAAGTCCATATATCTCTTTGTCTGATCCCCAAAATACTGCACCATCGGCTCATACGTCTCTTCATTTGCAGCAATCAGCCGGGGGAAATCGCAGGCTAAGTGAGATGTGGCATGGATTAAAACTCCAACTGAAATTCCTATTGCTATAACCTGTGTAAAGATTCAATCATAAGCATTCGTACATGGATACCTGAAACTGTTTCAGTTTTTTCACCATGAAGCTAACATCATTACCTTGTGAAAATTGAGGCTGTCATCGAAAGGAACAACAGCACTTAACTTGGTTTTGGTGCGGAGCCAAGTGATGGTGTTCCTACAAACTGGAAACAAAATCAGAGCCATGTTTAGTTTCAAGGTCTCTGCAGCTCCTTTGGCTATACAAACACAAACCCCCATAACTTGGTAAGCGGATCTCTTCCTATACTGTATGAACTTCCACGCGAACAGCCCGGCCATAACACCTATCCATAGAGCCATCACCCACACTCTCTTCCAGTTATCCAACACAGAATACTTCACCCCTCTGTAAACACGCTCCCCGAGATTCCTACTCTGCGATACCTTGAGCTTCTGACTTAACATCTTGCTCATGTTCTTAGTCTCCCCATCTCTTATATCCTCCGTTGGCGCTTGCAACAGCAGCACCTCGAGATTCTCAATCTGTTTGGCATTGTAGTAAGTGCCTCCAAACACATCAAAAAAGATTCACAAACCAAACTTTTCTAACTAAATAAGATCCATTCACAAACAAACCTCATTCACAAAACTTCACATACCATGATGTACCCATAATGGTAGGGATCTAGTGTTTCCATAATCAAGGCAGCATATTCATCTGCTTGTCTCCGAATGTTGTCCAGTTCGTTTGCAGAAGCACTTAGACTTATAATCTGTACATTAAGAGGAAACTCTACTTAATGAAGATCACTGAGACCTTCAGGATTCGTATTACAAATCACTATAAAAAAATCAGAATTCTACCTCTCTCACTTCTGCTTCATTCAACCTCCCATCCGCATCTCTATCCACCCTGCGATTCATACCATACTCCAATATGAGATTGAGTGTTCCTGTCAGATATACAAAGCAATCGAGAACATTGGTTTAAAGAAACATTTACATGGCGAAGAAAGTTCGTAGCCTCGAATCAAAATCCTGATCAGTGATGTCCTTCCAAAACACTAGAAGCTGGTCCTTGTTTATTGAATCTAAAGTTATGCGTTCCCTCCTTCTCAAGGCGTCAAACAACGCCAACGCAAACTCCTTCGAATTCATCCCTGCAGCAAAACAAATTTCACCAAATCCCCTTGAATTTTTTTGTAATTCATTGACATTTCAACTTAAAAATTCGATTGATTGAAACTTCCTTGTGCGTACCTACACATTCGCCGAATCTGGAACGGTGCAACAATCCGTCGCTAGTCCGGGTAATCTCATGGAACCGTTTCTCAACTCCAGGCCAACCAGCGACGCCGTCAGTTTTGGTGATGAATTTGAGACCCTTGAGCGCTAGCTCTGCCCTAGATTTCGAACGGCGGAACCGAGCTAAAGGCGGAAGCGGTGGTTTTCTCGCCGACGACGAAGAAACGGAAGAAGCAACTCGTTTCAGCTCGGTGGAAACCGACGATGCTATGCGTTTCAGTACCGAGTTACTCCTCCCCGGACGGCCTGGTCCCAGAAGCGACTTCCCCGGGTCCTCGTATTTCGATCCGGCGCCGGTATGGCGCGGTGACTCCAAGCCGTACACGGAGACGGAATCGTCGTGGATATCGATCGTAATCTCCACATACGGTTCGTCTTCCTCGTAATAATTGCTCGTCGACGCCGCGTTCTCGATAATCGCCGACGACTGTCCTCTGTACGGTGACTGGTCGCTGAACGGCGTCTCTGTGCCGCTTGGGTAGTAGTACCTCGCGTTTTCAAACCCTAGCTTTTGCATTTTACTTCGATTCCTCAAATCTTTGTTCAACCTCTGGCTTTGTGGCTTTTTGCATCTTTCAAATGAACAACAAAGAGCGAAGAATTTTGAAAAGGTTGAAAACCCAGAGAGACGAGCTTTTGAATGATTAAATTAAGTAACCCAGAATACCAAAAGCATACACTAACTAACCGGGATTATTATTATTCAATACACTTAAATTTTGAATCTTTACTAAGTAATTAAGAAAATTTCAAAGCAGCATGGAAGGAGACTTTAGTTTTTTTTTTTTTTAATTATCGTTGTTTTGTTGGGTTTGGTTAGAAATTTTCTTTGAGTTGTTAAGTACTTTCTTCGTGGTCAAATCTCCCGCGCATTACAGGGCCACGTCCAATATGAGACTTGTTATTATAAAGTATGGTTACATACTTTTACATCTGATCAAACATCGAAATCTAAATCATTATAGTGAATTAGTCGGACAATAATATCAATTATCCAACCCACAGGTCTAATTAATAAGACAACATATTCAACCACTTGCAAAAGTTGTCTGTAAAACAATAATATGTTATAGAATATTGACTTTGACTTTGGTTTTAAAAATATGAAAAAGTTATTCAGATAATTATCACGTAATTACATATCTTAAAATATCATAACTGACATTTGAAACCCAGTGCAATAATTTATCATATCTTTGAATTAAGGCTCGTTAACAAATATCAAACGTAGTACATTTAGGAACTTTCTTTATGGAAACAGAAGGTGGTGGAGGTTTTATGCGAGAAATCCAATGCCAAGTCTCGTTGCTCTTTCACTGCTGCAGGTATTCCGCAATAAAACACTCCTGCAAAGTTACCAAAATTTCACTTTTATAAATAAAGATTAAGGATTTGATTACGAGAGTAATTGTTTGTTAGTAAGAAACTCACCGACCCTGGTATCGGGATGCTTCACAGCGATTCTTTTGTAGATGGCTCTCCATTTAGGCCTAGCGAAATGGGACATGACACGTGTCCCTGACACAACGTCCCTTCCGTTCTTGGCGTGGTTCAGCGTCTGGAGCATCGTGATCAGTGCGGACCTCGCGTCTTCTTCCTCGTAGACGTTGGTGCAGTAAGTATGCAGCTCGACCACGTTGTTACAGTCTGTTTCCGTCACTTCGGCCATCACGTTCTTGAACCAGTCAAAAGTTTCTTGCTCTCTTGTGACCCAGTAGAAGTAAGCTCTCTTGGTTCTGAACATCTCCCTTTTTCTTCTCCCTGAAGGAAGAGCTTCTTCTACGCTGCCTTTTAGGTTATTGATTATGTCCTTGACAATGCTGATCATCGGAGTAGCTCCGATGCCGAGACCCACGAGTAGAACAACTTCGAAATTCTTATACTCTTGTGATGGTGCTCCATACGGACCGTCGATTTGGATTCTTGGAAAGCTAATCAACAGTTCAAAGTTAAAGCAGTTTTTCATCTTAATTTGCTCTATATGCTTTAGTGAATTAACTGATGAATAGAGATATTGACAAGACTTACTTAAGGTTGCTATTCCAGTGCCTCGCCTCGGCTCTGTTCTCAAACCTATCTTCAACCTCTGCCTATGTGTGTTTAAATAAGCAAACAGAGGGAATGGGTTTTGAATTGTTGAAAACTAAATGATACCGAAAGGATACACTAGCTAACATTCTGAAATTACTTTATTGTCTTATTAGTGTTTTAAAATTTGGAATTATTAAACAGACGCGGATTATTTGTTACATGAATTTTTTTCGGAATCTCGCTGATTATAAAAATCTCAAACCAGCATGAATGGAGACTTTTATTTTTTCTTTTATTAATGTTGTTGTGTTGAGATTACAAATTGTATATGAGTCGTTTCTACTTTCATCGTGGTCAAATCTCCCGCGCATTATCAGGCCACCGTCAAATTTTTTGGTCAGCATATTCAAATATTAATTTTGTTTTATCGTCATCTATATATATAAAGTAAGCTTTTCTCTCTTCTGATGTTGCCATCTCAGCAACTACATCATTAATTACTTTTCATTTAAATTTTTTTAAAACATAAAATAACATTAACATTCAATATAAAAATAGAAAAAAAAAGACAATTATAGATACTAACAGAAAATAAAATAAAATAAAACCAAAAAATAGTTATATACATTAGTTTTGAATATTTCAAGATTCAAGGTGGAAATTTATGAGTGTGATAGGAATTGGTAATTAGAAAGATGGAAAACAATAAAAATTAACATTAACATTCAATATAAAAAATAACAAACAGAAAAAGACAATTATAATGTGTTGTAAAAAATAAAAGATCAACAAAATACTATAAAAGAAATAATAATATATATTAGCTCTGAGTATTTCAAGATTTAAAGCATAAATTTACGAGTGTGTAATCGAAATTAGGAATTATGAAGATGGAAAATAATAATAATTAATATTAACATCCAATATAAAAAAATAACAAACAAAAAAAAATTATAATGTGTTGTTAGAAAATAAAAAAATCAACAAAATAAAATATTAAAAAAGTAATGATATACATTAGCTGTGACTATTTCAAGATTCAAGGTGGAAATTTACGAGTGTGTGACGGGCATCGATAATTAAAAAGATAGAAAATAATATAAATTAATATTAACATTCAATATAAAAAATAGCAAACATAAAACGTTAAATTATAATGTGTTGTCAGAAAATAAAAAATAATTAAAATACAAAAATAAAGATATACATTAACTTTGAGTATTTGAAGATTCAAAGCGGAAATTTAAGAGTGTGTGATGGGAATTGGTAATTAGAAAGACGGAAAATAATTTTCAAAGGAAATCCAAGAAAAATTGAACAGGAAACTCGGGTAACAAGACGGGTTCGAGAAATTGCATTATCTGAAATCTAGTTGCAAATTCTCGATAATTTGGGAAAATTCCTGAAAGTCGAGGAAATTTTTCAAAACTATATAATTTAAATTTTTTAATTCTTAAATGGATAATTTAGATATATAATATTATATATAATATCTTTTCTTATTTGTTTGAATAAACTAAATAACCTTAAATAGATAATATTTGATCGAAATGGAGATAAAACAAAAAATTCAAGATGGGTACATTGAAAAAAAAAACAATCACAAAATATTTAGAACTATATGATATAATAAATATAATATAAAAAATACATAAAATGATATTCAAATCCCTGTGTTGCACGAATCACAAACTAAAAATTTGAAAAAAAAATTCGAGAGAGATACATGTGAGAAATAGAAACCTATCTTAAAATTCTCAATAATATATGATACAAAAAATTTAATACAAAAATATATAAAAATGAATCACATAGCCACGCACATAGCACGGATCACCAACTAGTAATCTATATAGTTCACGTTGCATGACATATTGACTCTAATCAATCATCGAAATGAAGTCATTTCTTATTAAGTCTACTTAACCAACCCACCGATTTAACAAACATAGCATTTTAATATTCAGTGTTCACCCAATAACTTGCAATACAATAGTTGTAAGAGAATATATTGCAGGATTTTTTTTTGTGTAGAATCTTGACACTGACTCTTTTTTTCTTAATTATGTACGCAGAGAATTATCACGTAATTACATATACAATATATTATCATAATTGGCATTCTTACCATAAATTTTGAAGGTAAGTTAATTTTCAATAAACAGTTCACAGTTGTGCTAAAGCGGGAAGGTTTATGCTATTCAGGCGAAGGGCGCAATTTTATCCCGCCGTCCAAACAGAAAGCGACGCAGTCCCAAGGGCCAAGCACATCGATTTGGGAGGGAAAATCAGTTTGGGGGAAAGGGTTTTGCTTGACCTCCATTCCTCTTCCTCATATCTTTTCAGAATTTGTTCTTCCTTTTCTCTTCCTGATTTATTATTTTTTTTGGATTTTTAAATCTTCTGTGATATGAAAAGAAGACATAGCGAGAAAGTTTTGATTCGTATCCACAGTATTGGTACACTGTTGATTTCTGGGTCTTCTGGTTTGCCCCTAGAGTCAGTTCACATTGAATCAGATCGGCCGTACACGATAGGTCGAAGAAGTGATAATGGGTTGTGCGATTTCGTCCTTGATCACGGCGCTATCAGTAGAAAGCACTGTCAGATTCTATTTGATAGCCAAAGCAGCAAACTTTACATTTATGATGGCGTAATTCTCTTGCCTTCAGGTAGTTTTCGCCAAGTTTTTGATGGATTCAGAAGAAGATTGGTTAGCATCGATGAGCTGGAGAAGGAAAACGGAGATTTAGGGAGTTTTAAATTTAGGGTCTCTTTGAACGGAGTGTATGTTAATCGTGTTCGGGTTAGTAAAGCCAAAATCCAGGAGGTTTCTACCGGCGATGAGGTGTTGTTTGTTTGCTGGAAGGAAGGATTGTGCTATAAACATGGTCGAGTTGGGTTTGTGGTTCAGGAGATTGATTCTGGAGGAGATACTTCGATTTCTGGAGATAGATGTCGAATGTTTGGAGCACCCGTCTCTTCAGGACATTCCAGAGGAACTGTTTCAAGTGGGAAGAGAAGCAAAAGGGTTTTTGCTCCGATGGAAAACGAAATCAATTCTCCAGTTTCTGGTTTTCATCCACGTAAAGCTGTTGGTGTTGTTGACAGATTGAATTATCTTGTAAGCTATTGTAGACATATACTGAGCAGTGATGATCCTGTATCTTGCCTGAGGCTATCTGTTATATCAGATTCTGGAAAGGAGTGCGTATCCTGTTGCACTACCAAACTGTCAAGGTCAAAAGTGGATATAGTGGCCGTTAATAGAGAAGTCAAGAGTGATGAGGAAAACCCTGAGATGGGCCATGGTTTGAAGGTGAGCGATGAGCAGCCAAGCCCACAAGTAGAAAATTACGGTGCTGCTTGTATTTCTGTCAGTGATGCGACTAGGACAATGCTTCCTTTTGATGTGGAGAAAGAGAACACTCTCAATGTTAGTTATATCGATAAGGAGAAAAGTTGTGGAAGTTCTCTACAAACACCTGGGAAGAACTTTTATCTAAATCGCCTTCAGTATATTGAACAAAACTCATCTGGTTGTCAACGGGTGGTTTCCTTGCCAGAACTTCTTCACCCGGTGGAGAGCATTTCACAGATTTTTATTGCAACCTTTACAAGTGATATCTCATGGTATGTCCAAAAATGTTTATTATTTTTTTTATTATCTTCCCTAGTAGTCTAAACAGAAGAAATGGATACTGTATCATCATTATGTTCCCCATTCCTGTTCAAGAGACTGACGAAGTTGTATCAGCAGGTTTCTTACCTGTTGTGAGATCCCTAGTCATTTGCCTGTGACTGTTGCATGTCACCATGCTGAGAGATCTTGGAGCTCAAGCCCTGATGCAAGAACTGCTGCTCCTTTCCCAAATTACCCAAATGTAGCTGTGGTGTACGTAATTCCTGATCATATTCCCTTTAAAAAGAAATGATTCATGGTTTTTTTTTTCTTGTTTGTGACTCATACTTAGTTACTTGTTTTCTAACGAGTTTTCATCTTGTCTTAGGTTTCCACCATTTCCTGAGGAAATTGCATTTGGGAAAGACCGCAAGAACCGTGGCGTTGCTTGTCATCACCCAAAGCTGTTTATATTGCAAAGAGAAGATAGCATTCGTGTAATTATTACGTCTGCAAACTTAGTAGCAAGACAGGTAAGAATGTAGGTCTAAGTTTATAGCAATGAAAATGAATTATAGATGAGTCTCGGGCATCACATTGGCTGTGAGGTTTCAGGTACATTCAGAAAGTTTTGTCCATATTCATTTGCTAATAGAGATTTATAATTCCAGTGGAATGATGTGACCAACACAATTTGGTGGCAAGATTTTCCACGAAGAGCAAACCCTGATTTCTTATCCCTTTTCGGCCATCGCAAAAAGGAAACCGATCGTTGTTTAAGGTCAGATTTTAGTGCTCAGCTGGCTGGATTTGCTGCATCGCTTTTGGCTGATGTTCCAAGTCAAGCCCACTGGATTCTCGAATTCACAAAGTATAACTTTGAAAAGTCAGCAGGTCACCTTGTGGCTTCAGTGCCTGGAATTCATTCTTATAGGCCGTCTTACCTTATAGAATCTGTAAGTAGTATCATCTTCCATCTTTTATGTATGGATTCTCTGAGTAGAATCAATATCTTGACGTCACTTTTTATTGGATCACTTAGCTGATTTCAGAGAATTTTGAAAGTTTGATGCAAACCCTTTCCTGACTAGTCGTATGATTCTTGTTGCAGTCTTTCAAAGAAGAATTTCTGGGATCTGTTGAATCATCTGTTGTTGGCCTCAGTTACCTTTTTCGTTCTGCCAATGATTCCACAGGAACACAATTGAAACGACTAGCTTCATATATCAGCAGAACCCGGGAAAATTCTCGCGGAATGTTGGAACTTGTTTTGAGAAGAAACACCAATGTGCCTGCTGACGTGAATGCCGTGAGCGTCCTTGTTTCTAACCCTGATGATGATTCGAAAGACGGTAAGTGGTTTCATGTATAATAGATGATTATATGATCTTGACATAAAAATTTCATTCTGTGACTTACACAAATTGCCTTGCGACAGAATTTGTCCAACTAGGCTTTTTGCCACGGAATATTGCAAAATGGGTTTCTCCTTTGTGGGATATTGGGTTCTTTAAATTTGAGGGATATGTGTATCGGGATGAAGTCCTTGCAGCTGCTTCTTGTAGGAGCAACCAGAAGGTGCAATTGATGCTACATGTATTACAGGCATGGTGCTCTTATCATATGTTTAGATACTTTGTATAACTTGGCTATGGATACATCTGATGACTCTCTTAACTTTTTGCAGGGAGTGTCCCTTTCAGATGTGTCAAAGTTAATTCAACCTCATCATGTTGTCGCATTATGCTCGTTAATCGCTCAACTTCAGAGATGTACTGGCATTTGGAGGCTACAAGAGGTAAGTTTGATTACTAATAAAAACAAGAGAATCCTGCTTTCGAAGCCTTGAGTTTTAATGAGAATGTATCTGTCTTTGACCGTGTTTTCCTCTGTATTGTGTTCCTCACAAGGTATTAAGCCGTTACAAGTGGCCCGAATCTCAGGAATCTGATTTCGTCTACAGTAAGTGCATTTCCCATCGTTATGGTAAACAAATACCTTTAACAGTAATACTGTAGGATATGTAATTTATAGTATTTTAAATCCTATAATAGGTGCATCTTCGATTGGAGGCTCAGTAACTGCGGGATTTCAAGCTGATTTTTCATCAGCAGCAGGTAAAAAAGCGTTGCAGCAATTTGACTCACAGGAGTCTGATCCAGAGGTACTGTTTTGTTTCAAAGCACCCTTAAAAGCTGGCACCACAACTATTGTGCTTAAAACGTTTTGTTCATGTTCTTGATCAGTGGGGATGCTGGAGTGCTAGGGAAGAACGGGAAGCTCCTTCCATTAAAATCATATTTCCTACCATTGAAAGAGTCAAGAATGGCCATAATGGTGTCTTATCTTCAAAACGTCTGCTTTGCTTCTCCGAGGTATTTACTTATTGTATTATGTATGAAATAAAAAGAACTCTTGCTTTGGATTGGTTCAATGATGTGATTGAACTCTTTTATTTTAACTGTTAAAACTGGATTTGATCAACTAAATTGGTGGAAAGTTAGTTTCCAGTATTATTACCGTTGAGCTTGGATAAGGTGATGGAACATATGAATCTGAAAAGTTGTTTTCTTTTACTATATGTTGCAGAAAACCTGGCAAAAGTTGAGGTATAACAACGTGCTTCATGATGCAGTTCCTAATCCTCAGGACAGAATCGGGCACCCGATGCATATCAAGGTTTAGATACAAAAGAAAAATGTATTTGCGACAGTAAAAACACTTACGAGTTGACGAAAACGGCTCTTACTTACAGTAGTACAATGTCTTCTATGAACAGGTGGCTAGGAGACGCTTCACCTCCACTAGAGGTTCACGGTCTTCTTCGTTTGGTTGGGTTTACTGCGGCTCACATAATTTCAGTGCAGCTGCCTGGGGACAGACCATTTCCAGATCCTCCAGGAACAGCCAAGACCAGTTCCACAATGCCATGAGAACGGTCAGTAAACTTCGTGTATGCAACTACGAGCTCGGGATTGTCTTTGTTTTCCCTCCAACTCATGAAGAAATAGACTTATGGGACGGGTCTAAGATCGATGATATTGTGTTGCCGTTTGTTGTACCGGCTCCAAAATATGGACGGAGTGATAGGCCAGCTACAGGTTTGGCTATGAGGGAAGCTTTTGCTGCGTTTAGGGAAGGCTCTAGAAGTTTCTGTGGAGAAACTGAAGTTGAGGGAGAAGTGGAAGAAGAGGAAGAGGAAGAAGAAGATGAAGCTGAAGGAATAGGAGAGTTTGCTGCAGAGGAGGAGAAGCAAGAGGAGAAGGCTTATGGTGAGGCATTGTGGAGCCAGGTTGAGTCCTCCTCCCTCGGCTCCTGAAAAACTCTAGGCCGCTTTGAGAAAATGACGAATTTGCCATTGTGTCTGTATTGCTAATTTGCTATGTAACTGTTGTAGTGTTGTTTACAAAGAAAATATACGGTTGGACAAAAATTATATTAAGAAATGAAAAGTGATTCATATCAAGCGGAAACTACAACATTGAAAATATTGAAAAGAGTAAAAAACAGAGATGAAGTTAATAATGCAACGTAACAACATCTAGTGGAGGATTTTGAGGTTAGATAGATTTAGCTGCGCCTCTAATCGAAGATGGGTATTTATAGTTAGAGATGCTGAATAATTATAAAATAATCACATAATATATCAACATTTGAATGTTTTTTTTCTTTGTCAAGAGAGATTATAGAGTGATACAAAAAAGGATAACCACCAACAACAATAGCAAACGAAAATGAAACTCGAAAATTTCCAGTCTCTTTTTCTAAGTGTGTATATATACCACCATTGCCATCTTCCCATCAGATTCATCCAGAAAAATATTTTTTAAAAAACTTTTTTTTTCTTTTTAAATAAAACAAAGAAAATATAAAAATTAAAAAAAAAATAAAAAAAATGGGATACACAATATTATTAGCCATGCTGGTGGTCTTTGTGTCACGGATGGTGTGGGCAGATGATGTAACACCAATCCCTGAGGACAAACCCGGAGTGACTCAGTGGTTCAATACTAACGTCGCTCCTTTATCTGCGCGCAAAGGCACTTTAGATCCAGCTCTCGAAGCTGCTGAGGCTTCGCCACGTACCATCACCGTATGGACACAAACTTGACAATCCATATCTTCATATATATAGACAAAAATATTGAATCATGTTTATATCGCAGGTAAATCCAAAGGGAGGCGAGTTCAAAACACTAACCGAGGCACTAAAGAGCGTACCTGCAGGGAACACAAAGCGTGTGATCATCAAGATGGCTCCTGGTGAGTACAGAGAGAAGGTCACCATCGACAAAGACAAACCCTTCATCACATTGTTGGGACAGCGCAATGCCATGCCGATCATCAGCTTCGACGGTACTGCCGCCAAGTATGGCACCGTTGATAGCGCCACCCTCATCATCTTATCCGACTATTTCATGGCCGTCAACATCGTCGTTAGGGTATATAATAAAGATTTCGATGAGATTTTAAAACGATTGATTATTTTATTTATTTTATTTACGTATACGTAACGTAGAACACTGCGCCGATGCCGGATGGTAAAACGAAGGGAGCACAAGCCTTATCTATGAGAATCTCCGGAAACAAGGCGGCTTTCTACCGATGCAGGTTCTACGGTTTCCAAGACACAGTCTGTGACGATACCGGAAACCACTTCTTCAAGAGCTGTTACATCGAAGGGACATTCGACTTTATCTTCGGAAGTGGAACCTCTCTGTACTTGGTACGTATAATGTGTACCTTATTATCCCATCTTGATACACATATAGACTCCTAAAAATCTCTTAATGTGTTTGATTCCAAAAGAAAACAAGATTGCACGTGGTGGGAAATGGAATTAGAGTGATTGCAGCGCACGCGGGAAAGAGCGCAGACGAAAGGAGCGGATACGCTTTCGTGCATTGCAAGATAACCGGAACCGGTGGTGGAATCTATTTGGGTAGGGCGTGGATGAGCCACCCTAAGGTTGTCTACGCCTACACCAAGATGACCAGCGTCGTCAATCCAACCGGATGGCATGAAAACAAGTTGCCCGCACACGACAAGTAAATACATTTTTCACATTACACGCATATATATAGTGTTGACCTAATCAGTCTTAATTTCTTTTTTGTTTTTTTTTTCACAGGACCGTGTTCTACGGAGAGTACAAGTGCTTCGGACCAGGATCGCACCAAGCCAAGAGAGTTCCATTCACACAAGACATTGATACCACTGAAGCTAAACGTTTCCTTAGTCTCGGCTACATACAAGGATCCAAATGGCTTCTCCCACCTCCCACTTTATAGATGTTTTAGTATTAGCCTATTAAAATTTAAATTAAAAGGAAAAAACTACACCGACGATATGAATATCGGTGTTTTTTTTGTTGGCTACTTTTTTGGATTTCTTTTTCCAAGAGTCCTCTCTTCTTAGTTGTGAGACTTTGTGTAATTTTAGTATGTTACACAATCAATTGCAGTCTCGATTGTTATTAGAAAAAATGCAGTATGGGTTCTTATCTTTTCAAATTAATAATTTGTTCAAAGTATCCCAGCGCGCCCCTTAAATTTTATTCAGGCTCGTACTTATTTCGTCTCGAGAATTTAAAGTGTGATTATTTTATTTTACAAAAAGCACTAGTTGGTAATCCATGCATAATTAATTTATACATTTTGTGTATTGCATTTGTTATATCTTATAATTTTAGAAATTTTGAAATGTGTTTCCATTTCTCACATGTACTTATTTTTAACTCTCTGTTTTATCTTAATTCTATTCAAATATATATCGCAAAATTGATCATATTAAGAGTTTGGAAAAAAAAATTAGACAAGTGAATTTCTTGAATTGTTCTATTACATGAATCTTTCATCCTATTTTTTCGGATTTCTTTTGAAAATTATTTCTATTCTCCCAAATTATCTATTTTTCGTCGCATATCTGGAAATTCCCAACTTGAATTTTGAAATGATAATTTTGTGAATTCTTTTGAACTTTATTCTTTTGAAATTTATTTATGACTTCTTTATTGTTACTGCTTATAGCGAAGTTTTTTTAATCAAAGGTAACGAAAATGTAGATTTATTAATATAGCTAGTATTAAATACTTTGCCAGTTTTCCTCCATAAATTCACTTAAATATGACAAAACGTTGTTTTAGTTTTTAGTTACCTCATAATAAATTCATAATGTACATATATATGTAATTGGCTAACTGACACTATTCCACTATATAATGTGAAGCTTTTGAAGGCAGCTAATTGTTCAAAAAAAAGGGGGTACATTTTCAATTTTTCATGAGCCTGAGGATGGCTCGAGGTTTCTTATTCGATGCAGTTTCAGCAATTATATAATTCCTTTTATTCAAAATATCTGATTAATTAACATCATTTTCTTCGTGACTTTGATTCAGTTATTACTGGATATATGCGTTAATTATGTGAAGAGAATTTTTTAAAAAAATCACACATCAAGTGCATGAGAAATTTGACTGTGTATGCAAATCAAATATTAAAAAAAAAATGCTTCAATGAATACAAACCACAAACGATAATAGTAAACAAGAGAACTTTCCGGTCAGACATTGACGGTCCCGAAAAGTATATAAAGACCCCTCATCTCTTCCATTTCAAATAATACTAGTAATAACACCTTTTTTTTTCTTCTTTTCTTTTTTCGTTTTTCTTTCTTTCATCTATTAAAAATATAAATAAATAAATAAATATGGGTTACATTTCTATGTCCCTGATTGCATTTCTATTTGTTTTTGCCTCACCGGTGGTTCTAGCGGACGATATAACTCCGATTCCCGCAGACAAAGCCCAAATCGAGTCATGGTTCAAGGCCAACGTTCAACCCTTATCCGCGAGACGGGGCACACTCGACCCCGTCCTCGAAGCTGCTGAAGCATCGCCACGGATCATCACCGTACGTAAATCATTTTTACCTTTAATAAGATTTATTCATCTACTGAATACGGTTTTTGGTTTTTTAAAATATAGAAACCTGACCAACATGTAATACCAGTTGGTTCGGTTTGATATGTTCTTTGGTTCGAAAGATTTCCAAGAAAAAGGAGATTTAACTGGTTTACGTATATATAATCGATTTGGTACGGTTTTAGCTTGTTCATATCAATTTAACCGAATTGGACACAAATGAATGCAGGTGAATCAAGCAGGAGGCGGCGATTTTAAGACAATAAATGCAGCGATCCAGAGCATACCTACAGGGAACACAAAGCGTGTGATCATCAAGTTGGCTCCTGGTGTATACAATGAGAAAGTCACAGTCGACGTAGGTCGACCATTCGTTACATTAATGGGTAAACCTGGTGCAGAAACGAACCTGACCTTCCACGGGACGGCCGCTAAGTACGGAACCGTAGAGAGTGCCACGCTTATCGTCTGGGCCACAAATTTTGTAGCAGCTAACCTACACATTAAAGTACGTCTATATAGGTTCTTACGTTTAAATTAATATATTTTTTTAAAGATCAAATGGTACTAATTAATTTAATGCGTTTGTTGTATATATGATTTTTTTATTTTGCTATAGAATACTGCTCCGATGCCAAAACCTGGTACACAAGGACAAGCTCTAGCAATGAGAATTAACGGCGATAAAGCTGCTTTCTACAACTGTAAATTCTATGGTTTTCAAGACACTCTTTGCGACGATAGAGGCAACCACTTCTTTAAGGACTGTTACATCGAAGGGACATATGATTTTATTTTCGGTAGAGGAGCTTCCTTGTACTTGGTACGTGTACACTTTTAGACTTTTAGTTATTATTAATATGATCTCTCTCTCTCTCTCTCTCTCTCTCTCTCTCTCTCTCTCTCTCTCTCTCTCTCTCTCTCTCTCTCTCTCTCTCTCTCTCTCTCTCTCTCTCTCTCTCTCTTTAACACATATATAGTATGGTTGACAAATGGCAATTACCTAAACGTATTTCATATATTTGATCAACAGAACTCGCAATTGCACGCTGTTGGGGAGGGATTAAGAGTGATCGCGGCACACAATCGACAGAGTGCAAACGAGCAGAACGGGTATGCGTTTGTGCATTGCAAGGTTACTGGAGTCGGAACCGGGATCTACTTGGGCCGATCTTGGATGAGCCACCCTAAGGTTATCTATGCCTACACTGAGATGTCCAGTGTCGTCAACCCAACCGGATGGCAAGAGAACAGGCAGAAGGAGCATGACAAGTAAGTCCATATTTATGTACATATGCATTGTTAGAATCCTAAATATAAAGTTATTAAGGAGACCACCAATATAAACATAGATTAAAGACATTAGGGCTCATGTGTGTTTTTGTGACCGTGTGAGCTAATCAGCTATTTAAAATAGATCATGCCGTCCAAATAGAAGAAGCTGGTCGTTCGGTCACAAAATAAATAACATTTCTTGATATTGTGAATGATGGATAATGATAGGACGGTGTTCTATGGAGAATACATGTGCACGGGACCAGGATCACACAAAGAGAAGAGAGTTGCACACACACAAGACATTGACGAAAAGGAAGCTAACCAATTCCTTACTCTCGGCTACATCAAAGGCTCCTCGTGGCTCCTCCCTCCTCCCGCTTTTTAAATGATACCCTTTCATAACTATACTTGTCACTGAAAATACATGAATATGGTATAATTGCATGTACGTTTTGCATTTTTTTCTCGAATTTTTTTCGAAGAGTCCTCTCGTTCCACATATGATGGAATAGTAGAGACTTGTGTAATTCTGGTTTCATTATAATATAATGAGTCAAACTTAATACTTCACAACTGAGAGGCGGGTGCAAGTTATATAAGACATATTGATTACTGAACAACTAACTCATCAAAATTCTTTTTTTTTTTTATATCGGAGACGTTGGACTGAAACCTACCTAATGTGATTCAGATGCGACAATGGTTTGAGTGTGTTCTAAAAATGATTTTGGAATGATGCGAGTGATTAACTAATATTATGAATGATAATACATTTGTGATCATTAAATTACCCAGTATATCGAATGGTAAAAGTATTTGGAGATGATTTGTAAATATAATTCTTAAATGGACATTATCTGTATCATTTTGGTTTGTATGAGTTAATTTCGTCTGTCAAAAGAGAAACGTAGTGCAACAAAATTTTTTTGTTAAATTATGATTCAACTTAATATTAATTTAAACAGAAAATTAAAAATCGTGTTTTTGTTGAAGAAAGTGTAAAATCGTATTTTATATAATTATGTGATCGATTGTCAAAAATAAATAATAATGATGCGATCTATTCCGTTGGAAATTGTGGAATTTGCAATTTGTTTATATATATATACATTTTTAGAGAAAACAAAACTAAATTATGGAACATAGGAAGAGACAAATAAAGGCCACAGACTTTGGACATGTGACGTAAACAAACCCAAAAATATATAAAGAGAATATAAGTGCGAAAATCACTAGCATATAGCCAAAAAATTAGGAAGTGTCATTTGACGTAAACAAACCCCAAAAAAGTAGTTACCACTTAAGTCCTATGTCTATCAAATTTACATTCGAACTTCAAATGTGGTTTAGGTAAATTTACATTCAAACTTCAAATGTGGTTTAGGTAAATTTACAAATAGAAAATATAATAATAGAGTTCTTTTTGGAGGGGTCGATATTCAACACGTTGACTTTACCAACTGTTACTATTTCTTTTGTTGGAATAGGTGGTTATAGATGAATCTACAAATTTAATTAGATATCCAAAAGTGCTTCAACAAATACAAACCACAAACGAGAATAGTAAAAGTTAGATCTGTCCGGTCAGACATCGACGAGCAAGACAAGTATATAAACACCTTCATTGCTTCATCATTTCTTCAAACGTGAATAAACTGGTAGTAAACACGTGAATTCCTTTTTTGTTCTGCTTCCTTTTTTCATTATTTTCTTTTATTTTGTAACATAAATAAAAGAAAATAATAAAAAAGTAAGAAACGTTAATAATAATTAAAGATGGGTTACATTTCTCTATCTATAGTTGCATTCCTTGTCGCTCTTGCCTCACCCGTGGTTCTAGCCACCGATACAGCACCGATTCCAGAAGTCAGATCCCAAATCCCGCAATGGTTCAAGACCAACGTTGCACCTTATTCCCAGAGACAGGGAACGCTAGACCCCGCCCTCGACGCTGCTGAAGCAGCTCGACAAGTTATCACCGTAAGTTATACGATTTTAGTAGGAGAAATGTTTTGAAATAAAATCAAACTTCACCATATAAAGTAGGAGAAATGTTTGATGTTCTATTAATGTTGATTTGGAATGAGAAACTAATGAAAATTTCATTGCAGGTGAATCAAAAAGGAGGTGCCAACTTCAAGACGATCAACGAAGCGATCAAGAGCATTCCAGCGGGAAACAAGAACCGTGTGATCATAAAGTTGGCTCCAGGTATATACAATGAGAAGGTGACGATCGACATAGCTCGACCGTTCGTTACATTGCTTGGTCAACCTGGTTCAGAAACGGTCTTGACTTACCACGGGACGGCCGCTCAATACGGAACCGTCGAGAGTGCAACTCTTATCGTCTGGGCTGACTATTTCATGGCATCTCACCTAATCATTAAAGTATGTGAAATATATAATAATTCACTTTACGTATATGTGATCACATTATATACATTGAATACTACTTGCTACTATAATCTAATTTATGTGTATATTTGATTTTGTTATCCTATAGAACACTGCACCTATGCCGAAACCAGGCTCACAAGGACAAGCTCTAGCTATGAGGATCAACGGCGATAAAGCAGCTTTCTACAGCTGTAAATTCCACGGTTTCCAAGATACTCTCTGCGACGACAGAGGCAACCATTTCTTCAAGGACTGTTACATCGAAGGAACCTATGATTTTATCTTCGGAAGAGGAGCTTCCTTGTACTTGGTAAGCTTAAACTATATTTATTAATTACATCTCTTTTAACATATACTAATAAATACATCTTCAACTAATTTAATACATATATTCGTGTATATAAATCGATAGAACACGCAATTGCACGCTGTTGGAGACGGATTAAGAGTGATCACGGCACACAGCAGACAAAGTGCGAACGAACAAAACGGATACACGTTCGTGCACTGCAAAATTACTGGAACCGGAACCGGGATTTATTTGGGCCGGTCTTGGATGAGCCACCCAAAAGTCATCTATGCTTTCACAGAGATGACCAGCGTGGTCAACCCATCTGGCTGGAAGGAAAACACCCAACACGGATATGACAAGTAACATCTCATATCATTTCAACATCTATATATAAACTCAAATTTAAATTTTTTGATAAATATGATTATAATCGGATATCGTGTGTCGTATAAATGCAGGACGGTGTTCTACGGAGAGTACAAGTGTTTCGGACCAGGGTCACACCTAGAGAAGAGAGTTCCGTTCACACAAGATGTTGACCAAACCGAAGTTAAGCCATTCCTCACTCTTGGTTACATCAAGGGCTCCACGTGGCTACTTCCTCCTCCTAAATACTGATTTTTTCTTCTTCTTAAGATAAAAAATATTGATTGTAGCAGTCCTTAATCCTTAAACCGGCGAAATGTTCCCATCTTTATTTTTTTTTATTTGCTTGAGATATGAAATTATTCAATTCATTCATTTCAATTTTTAATGCCCGGAAGTTTGTGGTGTTATTCGTTATGTACCCACAAAATCCACAAAAAAACCTCGTTTTATAATATACGTAATTGAGTAATATCATAAAACGAGATTTTGTTGTTCGTAAAATATGTGACTATAATTAATACTTTATCAAAACTAAGTTATAAATTATATATGTATGACGCACCATTAAGTTCATGATATGTTTTGAAGTAGTAACAAAATGAACGAGTCTGTCCATCTGTGATATGTCCAAGTTTTTATAAGAATTTTGAGTATTAATTATTTGTTTTAACAAGAATATTGATTGTTGTAACAAAAAAATGTAGAACCAATAATATTTTGTCATTAATTACGTATACTTGCTAAGTTTCATCGTTTTATAGTTCTAGTTGCAAATGAACTGTTTTTATATTTCTTCTATATAAGAGATGCATGCATTAAAATTGTATTCTCCGTAGAACACCGTCCTGCATTTATATAATTTTAATACATGCATCTCTTATACAGTAATAGAAGAATATAGAAACAGTTCATTATACGACAAAGAGATGCATGCATTAAAATTGATCCAATTAAAAACACAAGGAAAAAAATTGGGATAGGGACGACAAAGTGTCGAGTAGCCGCGTCACAGCCAGGTAAGCAAAGAGTCTCCATCCAATTAAAAAACATGACAATGTGTGCTGGGTCTGACTAAGATTCCGCATCTGGTTCTTACGATTGAAGACCATCCAATTTTCAACGGCCCAGATTGCTTGGAAACCTTAGTACGATATTGTCACGTCCGCAGGGAATCACGCCCTTTAGTGACGACTAACTCCTTGTTTTTCGCATCTCCACCATGATAAAAGTTGACCGTCAATTTAATAATTTTTTTTTTTTTTGTTTCACGTTTTGTTGAATTTAATTTATATTAATGAATATAGATCTATAATGTTTGTTGGTCATATTCTACAGTATATTCGGATTAATCAATTATTGTTTCACCAATTGCCTTCAAAAAATTCACGCTAGATGTGCCAAAAATGCCCTTTCAATATTGATTCTCTCATTTTTATAAAAAAAAAAATATTAATTCTCTCATATTTGCTTCATCATATATAATTATTCTTCTAGTATTTCCTTCTTGTTTCAAAACTTTGAATTACATTTTAGCGATTATTAAAAATAAATTTAAAGATATTATTTTTTATATATATAAATATGCCGGACATGGTTTTGACGGTCGCATATTATATATATATATATATATTATCTAGCTGATGATATATAATCTATTGAAAAATGAAGAATGGGAGTCCACTGCACCAGATGCAATTTTTTTGTTCTAAAGTGGATCTTATGTTTTTATTTTAAAACGTGGACATGCTAGGTATGAATGTTTATCCATAACTTCGTAAATCGAATTCTAAACATATTTCATTAAATGTCTCAGAAGCCATAGAAGACCATTTTTGGAAGAAAAATAAGTCATAAAAATATGATGAATATATTGATTAAAAAAAAAGTAAATAAAGTTCAAGAAGGTAACAATAACGCCCTCCCTGGTTGTCGACAAAACAAAAAAAATTAACACCGTCCCTAGTTCAGTATATTAGGTATTAACCAAAAGTAAAAGGACAACTAATAATACTATACTAATAAAATAAATAATCTGTCCCAACTCCAACCTTTTAGGGGGTCCACGTCCCGTTATAAAATTATTGTCTTATTTTTCCTCATTCATATATATATACCATTATATATCATTTTAAAATACATATATGATTATAATGAAATTTCATTCATTCTAATTATAATTAATTTGATTAGAATTCCCTTTTTTAAAAGGGATTAAAATAACTTTATATAGATCTCCTTTTTTTCGTCATTTTCTATTATTATTAATACTGTTTCTTACGATTTTTTTTACACAAAAATTGTTTTTTGGGAAATTTCATAATACTAAATCTGTAGGAGATATGTTTGACTTAAAAAAGACCAAAAAAAGATAGACGAAAGCTAAATGAAGGCAAAAATAATAAGAGAGAGAAAGCCAAATTAGATAGTTGGGGGGTAAAAGAGTCATTTGATGGGATAAGAGAGTTTCTGTTTAGTCTCAGTCTGACGTATGAATGAGACGTCAAAAATATCCAATTTTCATTCAAATTACGCTTTCTCTTCTTCCCCTACAAATACTCCATTCTTCTTCTTCTTCCCATAAGCCATCACAAAATCCAAAATTCGCTTTTACCTCTCTTTTTCATTTGTCTTGATTCGAGACGCTTTTACCTTCGAGCTCTCTTGTTTTTTTCTTTGCGTTTCATCTGGTGGATTCCTCCGATCACCAGATACAATTGTTTCAGTTCCTCAAAATCTTGGATCTTCCGATCACTTTGATTTGATTCTTGCTATTTTTTCCTTCCTTCTAAGTTCGAATTCAAGCGAGCCATGAATGCTTTAGCCGCAACAAACAGGAACTTCCGTCATGCATCGCGAATCCTGGGGTTGGATTCGAAGATCGAGAGGAGTCTCATGATCCCATTTAGAGAGATCAAGGTTCGGAAATCAAACAAGACTTTTCTGACTGTTTCATTTGGGTTTATTTACGCTCTCTGTCTCTGGAATTCGTCTCAATTTTGGGGTTTTGACTGTGATTTCAGGTGGAGTGCACGATACCCAAGGACGACGGAACTCTGGTTTCGTACATCGGATTTAGGGTTCAACACGACAATGCTCGTGGACCCATGAAAGGGGGAATCAGATATCACCCTGAGGTATGTCTCACTCATCTCTTCCAATTTCGAAGGATCTTTCGCTGTCGCTTTGCTCAAAAGCTGGATTTCAACTTTTCCTGAGTTGTTGATCATTTCTTCTCGATCTAGGGTTTAAGGTTGAAATCTTGGGGTTTTTTTTTTCTTCAATTGAACTACTGTAATTGATTGTAATCGGAACGGAATTGGATTGAATCTAGGGATTCGGAATTCTGATGTTTTTAAGTTTTGGTTTGAAGGTGGATCCCGATGAAGTGAACGCACTGGCTCAGCTGATGACATGGAAAACGGCTGTAGCAGACATTCCATACGGTGGAGCCAAAGGTGGAATCGGATGCAATCCCCGTGACCTGAGCCTGAGCGAGCTCGAGCGACTCACTCGTGTCTTCACCCAGAAGATCCATGATCTCATCGGTATTCACACCGATGTGCCTGCTCCTGACATGGGCACCAACGCTCAGACCATGGCTTGGATTCTTGATGAGTACTCCAAGTTTCATGGCCATTCCCCTGCTGTTGTCACCGGAAAACCCATTGTAAGGGTCTTGTGATTCTCATTATTACCATTTCTGGTTTTTCCTTGATTTGAAGTGTGGTTTGTCTATACGATGTTTCTGTGTGATTGCCAAAGTTTTGAGCTTTTTGGTTGTATGACTGTTGGATCAATTTGGTGTAGGATCTTGGTGGTTCACTTGGTAGGGAAGCTGCCACAGGACGCGGTGTAGTCTTTGCCACCGAAGCTCTTCTTGCCGAGTACGGGAAATCGATCAAGGGATTGACATTTGTTATTCAGGTAAAACCACAAACAACTCATATCGCAAGATCAATGTTGTATAATCACTTTAATATGAGAAGGAAAAGCTGAGAGAGAGATTTGCTTGGTGTGACAGGGTTTTGGGAATGTTGGAACATGGGCGGCCAAGCTGATCCACGAGAAAGGCGGAAAAGTGGTTGCCGTAAGCGACATTACAGGTGCAATCAGAAACCCTGAAGGTATCGACATCAACGCTCTTCTGAGACACAAGGACGCAACTGGAAGTCTCAATGACTTCACTGGTGGAGACGCTATGGACTCGAACGAGCTTCTAATCCATGAGTGTGACGTTCTCATTCCTTGTGCTCTTGGTGGTGTCCTGAACAAGTACGAAAACAAAAACTTTCTCTAATCAAATCAACACCAACCATATGTAGATAAGAGATTCTCATTTTTTTTTTCTGATTCTTTATTTTCCATCATTTGCTCAGGGAAAATGCTGGAGATGTGAAGGCAAAGTTCATTGTAGAGGCTGCAAACCATCCCACCGATCCAGATGCTGATGAGGTAATGCAGCAGGAGCAGCATCAATAACACTAAAACAACATCTCTTAAAAGCTAATCCTAATGTGATTTTGATTATGGGCAGATTCTGTCGAAGAAAGGAGTGATTATACTTCCAGACATATACGCAAACGCAGGAGGAGTGACGGTGAGTTACTTCGAGTGGGTGCAGAACATTCAAGGGTTCATGTGGGAAGAGGAAAAAGTGAACTTGGAGCTGCAGAAGTACATGACTCGAGCCTTTCACAACATCAAGTCGATGTGCCATACTCATTCCTGCAACCTCCGTATGGGAGCTTTCACTCTCGGAGTCAACCGCGTCGCTCGAGCCACCCAGTTGCGTGGTTGGGAAGCTTAATTCAATCGAATTCCCCACCATAATATACTCTGTTTTCTCTTCTTTCTCTGCGTTTCCCTGTTTTTTTTTGTTGTTGTTTCATTTTTACTGAAATCATTGAGGTTCCGTAATGGAAAAGAAAACAAAGAAATTTAATAACTAACAGTATGGAATAAAAAGATATCATTGAATTTCTGAATGTGTAGAGAGATATTTGTCTGCGGATAAGTAATTATAAATCCACTAATTACCGATATTATAAAATAAAGGGAGAATTGCAAAAATACAGTCAATTTGAGAATACTTTATACTTTACCGAAAACACAACCAATCTTTTCTTGAAACTTGAATTCAAAAATACGAACTTCCAATTTCTGAAATGTTAAAAAAAGGTTCTATAGATTTAGGTGTTCCGTGTTCATGTCTTCTTTCAAAAGGTTAGTAAGAAATTGCAAAAATCGGTTACAACTTATTGCATTTCCATGAAATTGTATACAACAACCAAAAGAAAAATCAAGGAAATCAGTTTGAAATTCCCATTTGCTAAAAAAGGTTGGGAAAACAAAAGTTTGAATTGGCAAGAGAAAGCAAATACCTTTGGATATAATCTATGTTAGTGGCATTCTTTGGTAAAGGCAATTTTCTCCCGGGCTTTCTCTTAATTTTCTGCCAAATTAAGAGAAGAAGAAAATCATCCGAACAAATTAGCTATGTAAAATCAGCAATTTTTTCCCGGGCTTTCTCAGACACTTGAAGAATCAGCTACGTAAAATCGCAAGTCACTCAAATTAGCTTCTCGTGAAGGTGGAAGATGACGATCAGCCAAAACCATAAAATTGAGTTATTATCCAAAATCGTAAAACCGAATTATCAGCCAAAGCAGTAAACTTTTTTTTTTTATTTATCAAAGTTATGTTTTCCGTCAAAATTGTAAATTCACATTTTCATCAAAATAGTAAAATTAAATTCTCGAGTCCTCATCCGCCTGTCATATCTGCAAAGAAATTCATTTAGATTAAATTATGATTAAATTTAAATTTTAACCAGCGTTAAAAAAATTCCTCCTTCAATTTTATATGTGAGAACACATAGATTATATATTCTTGTTAGATTTTGCGTTTATATGACTCAAAGTAGATTATTTCTTAGAAAAAAAAAGTGAATAGCATTAGCATTAGGGTTTAGTTACATGAATAATGCATGAAATAGTAGCTCAATTCTATTATTTTCAATAAAAATGCATTGTGTGAAAATACATGTTCAATTGTAACTTTGATTGATAGAAATCAATCATTGACGGTACACTTTATAATATTTTACTTTTTTATTTGGGTTAAACAGAATTATACTTATTTAATAAATATGAATGATTGTATTATATTGTGTTGTGTAGAAGATGATGATTACATGTCTATATATATAGTAGACATTAGAATCAAACATTAATTATAAGATCATATAATAAATAAGAGAATATATATGATTGGAGTGATTATAGATATTGAGAGTGATCATATGAATATTGTGATGATCCTCTTTCCTTATATGTCTCTCTGCAGGACTAATGTGTCATACCCTACCTTATTTTAGATGCATACTCTTGACACATACCCTACCTTATTTTAGATGGATACTCTTGACACAAGACAGAAAAACCGTAGATTCAGATTCAGGAATATCCAACATTACATTGTAGAGATTTAACTTGACCAATGTGTTACAGGAATAGAGATACATCGGCATACAAAGCTGTTCGTTAAACTTTGATATAAGCTGAACATCTAGATGACTACACTCTACACTCAGCCAATTTATCCATCCAAGAGTCGAAAAAATTATCATCTTCATCAAATAAAATATTCTCATCATGATGATAGACTAACCTGAATTTCTTCAAATCCAGCTTTTTTCAATTCCAGAAATGTATTTGTAAACTCCACAAAATCACAAACTTTTCTGAATTGAGTTGAGTCCAAGTCGAAAGCAGGAATCTTTAACCACATATTTTCCATCTTCATCTTCGTGATAAAACACTACTCCAAACCTAATATTTGGTTGAGAGATTAGAAATATATAAATTATTATTGCTTAGTATTTGAAATTTGATGGCTTAAAAACTTAAAGAAAATAAGCTCAAAACTCTAAAAGAAAATGAAGTAAATGTGATTTAAAAACATATGTTGAGTTTGATTGGTGGATAAAAAAACTCACACAAATAATCTGTTCTGATACAATATTGAATATGAATGATTATATTATATCGTGTTGTGTAGAAGATGAGGATTACATGTCTATATATAATAGAGACATTAGAATTAAACATTAATTATAAAATTATATAATAAATAAGAAAATATATATGATTGGAGTGACTATAGAGATTGAGAGTGATCATATGAATATTATGATGACCATCTTTCCTTATATGTCTTTCTGCATGACTAATGTGTCATACTCTACCATATTTTAGATGCATACTCTTGACACAAGATAGCAAAACCGTAGATTCATATTCAGGAATATCGAACATCACATTGTAGAGATTTAACTTGACAATTGTGTTGCAAGAATAGAGATACATGGGCATACAAAGCTGTTCGTTAAACTCTAGTATAAGTTGAACATCCATATGACTAAATTCTACATTCAGCCAATTTATCCATCCAATAGTCGAAAAAATTATCATCTTCATCAAATAAAATATTCTCATCGTGATTATAGACTAACCTGAATTTCTTCAAATCCAACTTTTTTTATTCCATAAATGTATTTGTGAACTCCACAAAATCATAAATTTCTATGAATTAAGTTGAGTCCAAATCGAAAGCAGAAACCTTTAACCACATATTTTTTTTATATTCGTGATAAAGCACAACTCCAAACCTAATCTTTGGTTGAGAGATAAGAAAAGATCTGACAAAATAGTGAATCTGGTAGATCTACTACAATATGTTAAATTTTGGTCAAATTTTGGTCAAATTTTAACCAACGTTAAAGAATTTCTCCTTTAATTTTATATGTAAAAATATATGTATTGATTATTTATTCTTATATTTCAGGTGTGTTTCTAAAATATGATCTATTTGTGTGGATACAGATACATCTCTAATTTTGTTGTTAACTAATAAATATCATCTCTAACAATAAATAATTAAAAAAATGTATATGTTCCTTAAAATATGTTTGAATCAAATATGTTTGACATTCTATTTATAGTTGTATTTTTGTTATTAGATTTTGTATGTTTATTATTTATTAGATATCTTTTTTATAAATCATTTATTTTATGAAAGTTTATATTTTTAATAATTGTATTTTTCAAATTTATTAAAATATTTTAAAAAAATAACTTCTTTCTAGATAGATGTTTGGTAAAAATGTATTAAACTAATGTATTTTTTCTTTTATTTTCTATTTTTTTTAAAAAAAAGATAAATATTAATAACAATAAGATTGTGATATTGTTATTAGAATTGATATATATATATATGTATAAATTACAAATAAATTTTAGAGATAACAATATTATTAAAAATGAATTACCTGATATATATAATATCTTAAACAAAAACAGTGTTTTAGAACATTACTGAATCTTATAGTATCTTTTATTTTTAATTAATTGGAGTATAATTTGGTTCCGATGCTGATGTAGATGTTGATATTGATGCAACAAAAACGGTGCTTTGATTATCTTTTTTTTATTAATAGTCTACGATATGACGTCTAATATTATATATAGAAAATATACATATATACTGTATATATATATCACGTACCCTTAATAATATCCCGAGTGTGAAATATATTGAAATGGTCAAAGTTATATGTTTTTGAGCAAATATAAAATCGCATGTAGATGGCAAATTGGTAACAGTGGTTTCTATCGCATCTTATTCCAAATCATTTATCCAAAAAATAAAAATCAATATCAGGTGCACATCCGTAAATTGTTTCCGCTACATAGCTTCTTCTATTTCGATAAGAAAACAAACGGTTGTCACGTAAAAGGAAAAAAAATACAAAATTTTAAATAGATTTTTCGAGCTCTTTGGTTGACAATATGTATTTTCTAAAGTTGAAAAAAAAATATAGTTTATAATTTAGAAGTTTGGTTTGTTTAAAGTTTTAACAGAGCAAATATGAAATTTTGACTTATGGGCACGCTCAATACCGTGTGATTTATAGCGATGACGAAACCGAAACCAAACTCAGAAAGAGAAGCTTAGAATCTCTCGACTTTGATTATCCTCTCGTGTCTTAATTAGATTCTCTGACTCCTCAGAACATAAATTAGTGGCGACAGTACAGCATTTAATTTTATTATTGGAAAGGCTCACATTAACAAATACAACAAATTGATCCAATGATCATACACACACACACACTTGCAGTTGTTTTTTTAATCTCCAAACGATTAACAACCAAATATAAACAAACAAAACCTTTATTTAATTATCACACTTTTGAATTATACTTTTTAATCTTAATTTTGCAGCTGGACCAAACTTCCATTTGAAGCCAAAACTCTGGCATTCAGAGAGCTCAGTATCTCCTGACCCATTCTCTTGCAACCTACCAATTTCTGCAAGACAAAAACTTAACTATCAAAATCGAAAGTAAGTAAAACAAAAAAACTACCTCAATTTTATTATTTACTTTTCGCCAGACTTACAGTTCCAGTAGTGTGAATATCACGTGTTCTGAATCCGCGATCAAGAACATCGAAGACTGCATCTTCTATCCTCTTTGCAGCCTTTTCTTCTTTCAATCCGTATCTCAAAAGCATTACTGCTGATAGAACAGCCGCCAATGGATTCGCCGTGTCCTGCGGAAATTACCTCAGAAACATTGTAAATCTCAGCAATTTCGAAAATCACGAGAGGCAAAAGATGGTACACGTATGTGTGTGTGTTTTCAAACAACAACCTTTCCATAGTGTCTAGGTGCAGAGCCATGCACAGGTTCGAAGATACCAGGCCCCTGTATCCGTCAAAATACGACAAAGACTTTTCAAGATTATGAGAGAAGCGTAACGCACAATAGAAGAAAGGCTTTTTTCTTGAAAGATGGTACATACAGAATCACCAAGGGAAGCAGATGGAAGCAATCCTACACTTCCGGGGATCACAGCCGCGAGATCAGAGAGGATATCACCGAACATGACCCCAGTCAAGATGATATCAAACTGATAACATCACAGAGAAAAAGTTACTAAGAATAATGCAATTTGTGAGGAATCATTCACTAGTTATGACAAAGAAGTGAAACCTGTGTTGGGTGGCGAATAAGATCCATTGCAGCAGTGTCAATGAGCAGATGGCTCACTTCAACCTCAGGATATTCTGAGGCCATTTTCGTTACTCTTTTCCTCCACAACATTGATCCCTTATGGTTCACAGAAAACAAACATTGAGTCCTGGATCTAACAACAAAATCTCAGTTCAACTTTTCCAAAAAAAAGTTTTACCTCTAAGATGGCAGCCTTGTCAACAGAGCAAAGTCTACCACGACGTTGCTTAGCAATCTCAAATGCAACACGAGCGATATTATCAACCTTATGCAGAATCATAAACAATAAACGCTTTTGAGCAACTTCATCAACTACTATTTCCTACAAGAATACAAAAAAAAATCTTCATAAAACCAAAAAAAAAATACGATACCTCACTTGAAGAGTAGGACTCTGTGCTGAACCCAACTTCTTCACCTTTCTCATTTGTGGTAAAACCCCGAGGATGTGCGTTGTAAATACCTGTTTTTTTATTTTTGTTTCAGCAAAGAAATCAACAATCTTTGTAACCAAACGGGAACAAAAAATGAAACAATTTCACGAAAACTGACTTACCGCCAGTAAGCTCTCGGATGATCATTAGGTCGACCCCTTGAACAGTTTCTTTCCGCAGACATGTCGAACCGATCAACTGAAATATATCAAAATGGTCAAGACGAAGATGAAGTTAATAGGCAATGATGAGAAATTTCAAAAAAAAGCATCTTTGCAGTTTCCAAAGATGAAATGAGATAAACCTGAGGGAACACTCTGATGGGTCTTAAATTGGAGAATACTTCAAGACCGGCACGAAGCTGCAACAGCCCAGTTATTGGCTTCAAATGCTTTGGACCATCATCCCATTTCGGCCTTTTCAGTATAAAAATTAAAAAAAAAAAGGCTTAATTACAGATTATGAATCCAAATTACAAGAAAATCAGCTTTATAAAAAAAAGTGAGCTTTGTACCATCCAACAGCTCCGAGAAGAACAGCGTCTGATTGTTTTGCCTTTCTCAATGTTTCGTCCGGTAATGGAACTCCCACGAGATCTAAAGCAACGCCTCCGATAGGCAGTTCCTCGAAGCTCAACTCTAAACCTGATACATTACGATTCCAACTAAAACCTCAATCTCAGGATTTAGGACGAACCTTCGAGTGACAGAGAGAGAGAGAAAGAAAGGACGAACCTTCGAGTGACCCTGCTAGGCGAAGCGCATCCACGGCGATTGGGATGACTTCGTTGCCGACGCCGTCGCCGGGAAGCACGGCGATGGAGTAACGTTTCTTTGGTGTATAGGCGGCACACGTGACTCTCACGGACGCTCTCTTATATGTCTGTTTGGTGCCGGACCTAAGCGCAACCGGATTCCTAGTACTGCTGACATGGATTCTCAAAAGTCCCGCCATTTTTTTAATAGATTTTTTCAAAAACGAATAATTTGTACCTGAAAGACTGAAATGAGGGAAAACAATTCAGAATCTCTCAAGTTGGTGAAAGAAATGAGCTAAGCGATGATGATAGTTTGTTTGATCTGTGGTTTATGGGAAGAAAAGTAAGAGACTTCTTATAGGGTGATTTCCTGGGACCACTTTCCAAGGTTACAGGAAAAACTATTACATATGTCCATTTTAAATATTAATACTTTCGTATTTTAGCGAAACACATTATTCACGGGTTATACAATAAAATAGTTTTTAAGTAAATGTATTTTAAAAAAGGTTGTCTATTTTGCTTTTCAATTATCACGACTTTTACTCCTTTTTTTGTGGAGATTCCTTTTTTTTTTTGTTCATAGTTCTCCTTCAATAATTGATTATGCATGTTCTCATATCGTCATCATACAACGTGTTCACCACAGAAAAATAAAGTTAAACTGTTTAACAAGGACAGAAATCATTTTTTAAAGACAGCTGTCTAAATAATACTCAAATTTTTAACAGATCGATTGTTCTTTTCTTCATGTGTAAAAAAAGATCCATACTTAATTATGAGTTTGATGAGCTCAGAAAATATAGAGAGAGAATTCGCTAAAAGAAAAATACAGAGAGAGGGAGAGAGAGAGAGAATACAAATAAAGAAGTATAATTTTGGTTCTTCTCGTGATTGAGCTTATTGAAAGATCATAAAAAAAAACAATTTATGATTTTATGGCGCATATACTTTTCATGATATAGTAGTTTTAAGAATGCTTGAAGAGTGCATGGCCTCTTTTAAAATCTCCAGTTCGAATCATATTTGCTTGTTTTTCCTTCTGAATTCTTAAAAGTAACAGTTAAAAAAAATCAGAGCTGTAGATCTTTTTCAAGCAAAATGAAATACAAAAATTTAGAGTCTAAACATCTATTTATTTAAATTAAAAATGTATATAAAAAAAATTTATGGTAATCTATTGCAGCCGACTGGTTTTAGATTAAAAAATGTATCAAATTTAACATTAAATATTAGAATTTATAATATAAAACTAGAAAAATCATCGAAGAGAGAAAACAGTATTGTTTACATGTTTTTATGTTGGAATCGTCTTTATATACAGTAGTGTTGGTACTTTACCTTATATATTATGCTGGTAATTTCCGACCTTTACAGCTTTCTAAATTAGCTTTCAGTTGACCCGCGTACTTAGGGAGTAATCTCATTGGAAGGTTTTGAGAGAATATCTCATTACAATAAAATTTGAGATACTCTAGTAATGTATGTTAACTTATGATTGGTTCAAATTTGTAAAAAATTATAATTTAATTATTTAACTATATCATATTAAAATTATTAATATTATAATTGTGAGATACCATTAGAGTATCTGAACCACAATGTCTATGCTCTTACGTGTGTATGAAAACAACAAAATAGCTGTCGGCACAGAAACAACAAAATTAAAACTATACTATATTATTGGCACTAGTCTTTTTTGCATACTATTAGATATTTAGATGCTGGATCTATAGAATCATATAATTCGATCTTAAAATTACGTTTCTTTATTCAAATTTAGTTTTTTTCTTTAAGTTTTAGTTTATATTATTTTCATACGAACAAATTAAGTTCCAGTTTATATCAAAATAACAAAAAGATACGTATATTTTAATACTTTGTTTGTTATCAGTCTTACATGAAATCTTCCGAATTGTAAAATTGAATACGTTATCGTGACAGAGGTTACAAAAGGAAGTTACGTGGCTAAAACAAATTATGCTATTTTGACGAAAGAAATCTTTGTTTACAGCTTTAGTTTTTAAAAATTGAATACGTTATCGTTGAATGTGTTTATTGTTGATTCTCCTAATGCAATCGCACAGTTGCCAATAAATGATCACGGCCAATAATAAAAGCTAATTCCGTTGCTCTAACTTTTGTTCAATAACTTGATTTATCATCTAAAAAGATACTTAAATAGTGAATTAGTGATGTTCCCATAAACATAAGCTACAGAACTAATAACGTACTAAGTTGAACTAATTAAGAAGATAAATTAAAAAATCTATAGAACAAATTATCTTTATTAAAAATAAAAAAAAATTACAAAGCTCTGAAGCAGAAGAAGATGACGAGATACTATAACACCTCTCTATTAGGTTGACAGTATTTCAATGATTTTTTTATATTAAAGAAAAAGGACGTGAGAGAGTAAAAATCAGTTTTCATTTGATAAATTTTGAAAAATTCACAAGAGACAGTCAAGATATTTATTTTCATATGAATGGCTAATAAATTATTATATAAAAGAAACTTTTTTAAGTATTCCACCAATGATAATGCTCATACGTACTATTATATATGTTGAAAGCACGTGGACGTGGATGCTGTGAGATCCAAGTTTTGTAACTTTGTTGAATAGAGGCCATAATATGTACCTTATTCCTAATTAATCCTAGCCCACATGGTTCAAATTATTGTCATCAATAATTTTGATCAAGACTCATATGTAACTGAAAGTTCAGTAGCAAATCAAAATGTGTATATAGATATATGTGTATGTAATTTCTCTTTTTGTATATGTATAATTATAAAAACAAAATTATGTGCACGTACTACGTACCGTAGATGTCTTTTGTATTGATGAATAGACAATACGGGGATAAATACTTTTAGTAACTATTTGTTTGTACATACGATGGAAGAAAGAAAAGTATGTTTCCGTATGTGGCTATACTTATACTAACAACATATTTGTTTATTTTGTCATTTACATTAGTAATTTGGGTCTGGTCTGATTAAACCCGATATAAACAAGCTCTTTAGCTTTACTGGCAGGTTATATTAAAGAATTTAGGTCAAAATCAGAGATACGAAGTGGTTCAAGCGCAACTCAATTATTAGAGAGAATATCTCATTTAAATTGGAATATTCGCTAAGTTATGCCATGCAATTCTAGCTGTTAACCCTCACGTCACCACACGCATGGCTACAGCATATTTGTAAACTTGAACCGTTTATAGATTATTATTTATATTGTTCAGCTGGTTTACATAGTTTAAACGTTGTCCTATTAACCTGAGTGCAAGCCATTTAACTGTTTTTTTTTTAATTATATTTTTCTTCTAAACAAATCTCATTTGATTTGTTCACATGTGAAAATCTTATTTTGGGTTTGGTCACATGTGAAAATCAATACATGTCCATTTTTTTTTAGTAAAATAGTGATTCGATATAGTGACTCGATCTCGACCTGTCTTTGTCAGATTTCACTTCAGTATGCTGGCAATGAAATAAGCTTCAAGTTGAATGTTTCCTTATGTATCATCAGATATAGAAGCTTTTATTAAAACCTGCCTCATTGTCTGATGAGATTTGGAGTGGAGATGGTGCATGATGGTACGGGTCAAGTGTGGAAATAGTAACGAAATTTTATAAATTGTACATCTATGACAATATAACGTGACCTTAAAAGGAATCATATCAGGTAAATAATGCAGTTTTAGAGAAATGTATATATTGAAAACCCGAATAGGAAGAGACTGAAAACCCAATAACAAGATGGGCATGTGATGAATGAACTCAAATGATATGAAAAATAGATATGGGCCCAAATGTAAATGAAAAATGGGCCTATTGCCCTAAAAATAATAAGAACTTGTGTAAGAAACTTGAGTGCCAAGCCAATCGGATCAGAGGAGTTGCCACTTACCCGGCTGCTCAATTATTAGTTGTAATACTGAAACACATTGAATTATTCAAATATTCATTAGTTGAAGTTGAGAGACTAAGACAAGTTACACAGGTGAGATGATCCCACATCTTTATTCAAAAGTGAGAAGTATACAAATCAATACACACACACACACAAACAAACACAAACACACACACACACAAACAAACAGATATATGAAGGTTCTCTGAGAGAATCGTATGTTTTGTGGGAGGGAAAGAGGAACAAACAGAGGCTAGCCGTAGCAGCGGATAGGGTCCTTGCAGCTCTTTGCAGGGGATTGGGCGTTGCCATACCTCCCGCCTTTGGCGAGGTATTGCTGATGGTATTCTTCTGCTCTGTAGAATCTCTTTGCCGGTAAGATCTCAGTCACAATCTTATTCTCCAGCTTTTTCTGCTGTTTCTCCAGAGATTCTCGTGCTAGTTTCTCTTGCTCTGGTGTGTAGAAATATATACCTGATCGGTATTGAGCTCCCACTAGTTTTCCCTGCGACAAATTAAAGTTTTCTATGATCAGGACAAGAACACAAACTCTCTTTTAAACATTACATGTCTCTCTTCTCCAACCAAAACTATCAGAATATGGCAAAACCCGTAACTGAATGATGTGACAAGAGAAGAAGAACACACACACAAAAACAGAAAACAGAAATACTGAAATCGGTTGTACCTGACGATTCAAGGTGGTGGGATCATGCCTAGACCAGAACAAATCAAGCAGCGTCTCGTAGGTGCACTCACTGGGATCATACTGAACCCTAACAACCTCTGCGTGGTTCGTTGTGTTGGTACAGACAGCCTCGTAAGACGGATTGTGCGAGATCCCATGAGTGTACCCAACCTCAGTCTCGGTCACGCCAGGGATCCTCTGGAAAGCAAGCTCCACTCCCCAGAAACATCCTGCGGCGAACTCAGCAAACTGCTTTCCCGGCGCCGGAACATCCTTGTCGGCCTCCTGAGCTATCGGAGAAGGGACAATCGCAGGTGCTTCTACTGACTGAGGCTTCTCAGCTATCGGAGATGGATCAATCGCAGGTGATTCTACTACTCGAGGCTCTTGAGCTATTGGAGAAGGATCCATTTTTGCTAGATCGATATGAGAAGGAGCGATGTTTTTAAGACTCTGTATGGTTTTGTTGATGGAGTGAAGCATCGATCATCGTTTATCCGTTTATATAGAAAGAGCCACTCCGCGATTAATATACCTACTTAAACGATAAATAGAAACGAATAAACGATCTTTCACACACAAGAAAAAATACATTCAAATCTTTGTAAATTTGGTCAACTGTACTTAATCACGAATTATTTGGCGAATTGTATTCGTTTCTTTCTAATTCTAAAGGTCACGTTTAAATACCAAACAGTCATTTAAAAGAGAATATGCGCAAATGTCACTAAGAAACCAAGGGGTCCTACCACTAGCTCACCTACCTATCAAACCCAATCTTTTATCCACAAGATTCTGTTCTAAGATTACAAATACTCGGTGTAAATATATAACCGGTATGATCATCAGTTAAAGAGTTGGAATCGAAGGTAAATATTATTGAACTTATTAAGGATATCGATGATTGTTTGGTCTTACGTTCATATTGTGTAACATCAAATATTACAGAATTGCAATTTATTAAAATCTTCAAAAGCAGCTACATAGCGTGTAACCCACTTCATCAGTTTTGTACGCACGAGTCCCAAACATCCTCTGTTTTGGGAGAGAAAGCAGAGTAGTAAATCAGCTTTTAGCCGTAGCAGCGGATGGGGTCGTTGCAGCCTTTGGCAGCGGACTGCCCGAGGCCGGACCGCCCACCCTTTGACAGGTACTGCTGATGATATTCCTCAGCTGTGTAGAATTTCTTAGCCGGCAAGATCTCAGTCATGATCTTCCTCTCCATTTGCTGCTGGTGACGTTCCAGTGACTCGCGTGCTAGTTTCTCCTGCTCAGGCGTGTAGAAGTATATTCCAGATCGGTATTGTGTTCCCACATCATTACCCTGATCACAGTTTAAGTCGTATGCCAAAAACAGTCAGGAGATTGGTTCAGTGTATGCATTTATGCCAATGAAAGCCAGAGAAGATGTAAATGTCATTTTTGTTTGAAAACAAGTCTCATGCACAAGACTATCTGAATTAACCGATATTGCTAAAAACAATCGACCAGTGCCTAAGCTTTCTTGACCGCTTAAGCCAGAAAACTATCTGATCATTTTTATGTTAGTCCGAAAGTAAAGAGCCGATCAAGTTGTTTACATTTTCATACCAAAAAAAGTTGTTTATATTCAGTGTGGATCAAATGCCACACATTGGCTTAGGATAGCTTGACTATAAGCCAGTGAATCGCCTCTAACAAAACTAGCAGTAATTTACAATGAGTATCGTTCTCTGGATAGAGGCAAGGCGAATGGTAAGAAAAACTCACATCTATCATAAAAGTCAGTGATGAAGCGGAACAAGATGAAACTCTCTGAAGCATTACTACATCTACTCCACCAATCAATGAAATGGGCTAATACAAATCTCTAACTTAAATTAAAGGGGATCAGCAGAGGAGAGAAAACAGAGCTACATAAGCTTGATTTAATGACCAAAGGTACCTACTTAAGTATGTCTCATGGCTCAACCAAAATCTAACTTTAAAAATCAATTCTCTCTGACTACTGTTTTCAATGTTCCAAAATGCAAGTTGCTCATGCTTTAGACTGTGGATGAAATCAGAAAGCCATCGAATTTGGGAAAAATCAAGAAACCCCTAAAGCAGAAAAAGGCTGAAGCTCATAATTTGACCCAAAACCCATCTCAAAATTCGCAATCGTCAAAAAGCCGAAACCGTAGAACTTCGTCAATCTCCAAGTGAAAAACTTTACCCAACAATTCGTACCTGGCGATTCAAGGTGGTGGGATCATGTCGAGACCAGAACAAATCAAGCAGAGACTCGTAGCTGCAGTCCTTGGGATCATACTGAACCCTGACAACCTCGGAATGGCCCGTGTTGCCCGAACAGACATCCTCGTATGAAGGGTTGTGGATGGTCCCTTGGGTGTATCCAACCTCGGTCTGAGTCACCCCCGGGACTCTCTGAAACGCCAGCTCGACCCCCCAGAAGCATCCAGCGCCGAACTGGGCAAACTGATTTCCCGCCTCCGGAGCGTCGTCGTCGTTTCCCTGAGCGATCGGAGAAGGATCCATACTCGTTTGCCCGCCTGATCCCAAACCGAATCTGTTGAGTATGTTCATGCGAAATTTCGAGAGAGAGAGAGAGAGGGAGGAAGAGAAGACACGATAGAATATCTGAGAGAGAGAGGGAGAGAGAGGCAGGCAAAATGGAAGACGGGTCTTTCCGTAAGTTGCGTTTGCGTTTGCGTTTGCGTTTGCGTTTTAGTAGATATCGCGATTAGAAACGGCAAGTTTAATTGCAAGTGTAACTGATCATGGAAAATGGAATATTTATAAATATTTATTTTCAAAACCGGATGTTGCTATTCATTATTTAACATTATATTCTTATCCAAAACTACACCAAGCCAAACACGAACGATTAAACTTGGTCACAACTCTTCAAACCAAAAATCCAAAAATAAAGCAAAGCAAGCCAAATAATTGAATACTCACACTCGTGCGCATTTAAATTAGGGAAAATATGTATATAGATGATATCCTCACTTTTGTTGTCACTCAATAAGACCATATGAAAGGAAAAGCAAAAACCATAAAATATACAAAAATCCCCATACTACCCTTCCAACCGCAATCGCCAAAGTGTGCAGCTGAGCTAGCGACCCCGGTCGCAGGGTTATTCTTCTTAGAAGATGGTTGAAGAATTCCTACTGGGCCGGCTCGGGGAACTCCCACAGGGGCCGGAGATGGGCCATTGCCTTCGACATTGACTTGTAGCTTCATACCAGCGAAGCAATGGAGCCGGTTACCGCATACAAAGAACCGGTCTCCCGGTTTGGACAGAGCGACGGTCGTGTTCCCATTTGTGAAGGTACGGATCGGCTCCGTAGTGTTGCAGTTTTGGAAGTTGTCTTTTGCAACTTCGTAGACACTATGCGTCGATGAGTATTGGAACGCTTGCATTTTTAATACAGATTCAAGCAATTATCATTAGACTAAACGCAGTTACGTATGTTTAAAATCGACTAAATAGCAAAATCATGAAATGGGAAAAATAGAAGAAAAAAAATGAAAATGACGTAGAAGAGTAAAATTGACGGAGTCACTCAAATTAATTAGGGAGTTTCTACCAAAAACAAAAATTAAGTAGGGATTTTGTGGAACGAAATAATAATTACTTTTTGTTTCTGTTAATCATTTTGTGGAATGTTTGATTATAACTCAGTAGTTAGTGATTGATAAAAAATCAGCCGAAAGGATCCCGAAATTATTCTGTATGTAATCTAGTATATATTAATCATGTTGATGGTTACCAATCGGAAACCATAATTTCATAGAAAAATTTAATTATGAAGCTTTAAGTAAATTCATTTTTCAGGGTATATAGGATACTTACTTAGAACATCACCAACAGAGAATCGCTTGCCTGAAGTCCAAGAGTCAAGATCGGAGCTTATGTCCCAACCGGAGGTGTCGCCGACGAAGTATGTCGTTGCGTTGCATCTTCTTAGTGCTAAAATCCCAAAAATTATACAGACATTGAAAATAAATAGCATCGTCGACGTCTTCTCCATGATTCACGCAACTGTATAGTTTTTTCACTTAACTTGAGTTTAGTTTTCTTCTATTATTGTTATTGTTATATAGATGCAGTCATATATATTATATATATATATATATATATATGACTGTAAATATGCGTGTGTGAATTAGGCATAGGTTAAGGTTGCTCATAGGTGGATAACCTAACATCACAACTACTGTAAACATATATGATATATGATCTGCTTTGTTCCCTGGCCTTTGTTTGTTTTTTCTTAACAAAATTTTCGTGTTTCATAATTCATAGAATTCTTGTGCTGTTAGGTATAATCCACAACCCTAAAATGGCTAAATCTTCATGAGGACATTGGAGAAGTCGTTAGGATTTATTTCTGTGAATGTATTTTGAATTGAAGATTACACTAATTTCAGGATCAATTTTTACAGGGAAGATTAAAGTGACCGGTAAATAATGCATTCATTAGAAAATATTTATCTATATGGTCTAGTGGCTCGGTCTGAATTTTTTATATCCCAGTAGAAACCGTATTTACTAGGGATGTTTTCCAAGTTATAAAGACATCCCGTTGCGAGGGATGTTTTCCAAGTTATAAAGACCCGTTGTGCAAGTTGATTCGTATTTATGGTAAAATATTTGTTACAAATTAATAAGTCTCAATTAATAGACATATTGCCATGTTGGACAATTCCCGCATATAATAAAACAAAATCAGTTGATGATCTTAACTAACATGATGCAAATTAGATTATTGTCATCGGGTGGTTTTATTTATTTATATATCTATTATTTATTATGTACTTCTTCTCATCTTTCGAAAATACTCGCTTGGGCTTGGAATTAGCATCGAAGTGGGGGGTGTTGAACTTCTCGACTAATCGGGAGTGTTTCTCTTCACCAAACCCACCTAATATGCTTCCAGAGAATTGGCCTTGTAACTCCTTTCTATTTTCTTTTGGAAAATCCATAAAATAAAAACTATTTGCTTTTACTTTTTAGTTTTTTAAAAAGTTAAAATACAGTCGAGATTTTTAGAACATCTACAAAAAGACAATTTTTTGTCCATTATAAAGAAAAAATTTGTTTTGTCCTATAAATATAATTTCGATGATAACCAGTTTTTTGTTTGTTTGCAAGTTTTATTAACCGGTTGTGAAATTATAGAAGTTAACATGTTTACTAATATCACTAGAATCACTCTATTTTTTTTTTGTTTTTTTTACAGTAGGTTGTGTACGTGTAGTTGTATTTCAGTTATAATAAAATTACTATAATACTATTGACTCGACTGGTTGACAAAACAATGGGGAATCAGATAAACTCGCTCAACTATCACAGCATACCGCCCTACCAATACCATGATCTGCTTCAGCAATACGTTGAAGAGACTTCATGTACGTTGTTTGTTATCATGGTCCTTTAGATGTCAGTGACATCAGACAACTCTTATGACTTAAGTTTCGGGATCATAAGTTAATTAATAATGAAAAAGGAAAAATATCCCATTAAATGCATGAAGGAACCGGCGCTAATACATTCTACCTAGACTTCACGCAAGGCCATAACTGCTCATGATTCTATAAAAAAATATATATACAAAATTACAAATTCATATCGACATGCAAGATCATACAGTTAATATTTGATCCACGTACGTGTGTGTTCAACGTATTTATTACGGCTTAAAATCCGGACAAGAGGATGCTTTTCTGCGGAAAGTTTTTCTTTGTTCTTTTGTAGATGGTACTATGAATGGGAGTGAAATATCCATTAGAGAAATAATGTACTAGTGTTTGTACTATATTCCAACATCTAGTTATTAGTGTCCCCCGTCATATATGTAGTTGGTCACTCTTATATATTTCTTACAACATATGTATATTCATGATGATATCGTTATTGGTACACAAACATTTGACAGTTACGCATGCTCTAGATCATCCAAAAATGAACAATAATAATTTAGTATTCGACCGTCAAATATCTATTATAACTCCGGCTGTCATTAGACTCTATATAAAGAGGAGCCACTCATACTTCCCCTTTTAGGTTTCCCTATCATATTACTAACCGATCTCTCAACAATGGAGAATGAGAAAGGTGAGAATTCGAGTACATTCAAAATGGGGAGTTCTGCACAAGAGAGGAGTTTACCGTATGTGCCTGATTGTTACGTTGTCCCACCTTCCTGCGAGCCACGTGATGCGCGCCATTCAAATTCCCAAATTGTACCAACGATCGATGTTTCTCGGTTGAGAGGCAGTGATGATGAACGTCGAGGGGTTATTCAAGAGCTAAGTTCGGCATGTCAGCTTTTCGGTTTTTTCCAAGTAAGTTATTTCACATAATATATGTAAATTCGTAGAATTGAGATTCTGTTTTTGTTCTTTTTTTCGGAAAATTTATGTCATAGACTATAGAAGTTTTTTTCTTATATATTTTTGCTATAGTTTATCAGATATATTACCATATTAGCTATTGGCTAACCATGGCTAGATTAAAGATTGTCAACATAGTGTCATATTTATAATTTTGTAACAAATATATATTTATAATAAAAACCAACTTATTATATTTATATATCAGCTCTCTCTTAGTCGGTCAAAAATATCAGTTGTCTTGGCCATTTTGTTTTAACACGTGATTAGTGACGTTGGTGTCACATGCCGGGACAAACCCGGTTTAAACGGAGCTTCTTGATAAATTTTCCCCGATTCAAAAAAGAAAAATTGGTTCGCTTGATATATTTAGGTAGTGAACCATGGAATCAACCAGAACATATTAGACGACGCATTAGCAGTTGCGAACGGATTCTTCGAGCAGCCGGCGAAGGAGAAAAAGAAGTTTATGTCGAACGATGTGTACGCACCGGTTCGGTACACTACGAGTATCAAGGACGGTTTGGACATTATCCAGTTCTGGAGGATATTTCTAAAACACTATGCACATCCTCTTCATCGTTGGATTCACCTCTGGCCTGAAAACCCACCCGGATACAGGTATTATTGTATACATACGTATTCATGATCATGTTTATTTATATATAGATCATATATGTCACTGATTAGGTCACTACTCACTATAGTTTGCATCTACAAAAGAAACAAAAAGGTTTTTGTTTATATATAGCGGCGGCTTTTGTTCCTTGTTGACCTAATGGACTGTTTCACCTGAACCTCCCTAGCTTAGTAGCTTAAGCAAGGTGGAAGAACCAGCATCATACCTTTTTTTTGGTTAATGAATTTTTTCATACTTTTTCCCATTTTATATAAACTGATAAAAAAAATATAATAAACGTGAGTTTTGGAAATACTAAAGATGCTTTCATACGATAGACATTTTCATTCAAAGCCTAAATCTTAGTTCATTGTGAAATTATAATCTCATTTAAAATCATAATCTACAAGACCATTCTTCTCAAGAAAATACACATGTCTTATTTCGTTTTGTTTTACGTTAAAAAAAAAAAAAAATCTCCGACAGACCATGTCTATCACATCCTGCAGCATATGCAGTGTGTGTTTATGTGAATATATTAAGTAACCTTTTGCGTATTTTAGGGAAAAGATGGGAAAGTTCTGCGAAGAAGTGAGGAGGCTATCTCTTGAGATAATGGAAGCAATAACGGAGAGCCTAGGACTAGGGAGAGACTACCTATCGTCTCGGATGGACGAAAACGGCATGCAAGTCATGGCTGTTAACTGTTATCCACCGTGTCCGGACCCTGAGACAGCGCTAGGCCTGCCGCCGCATTCAGACTACAGTTGTATCACCATCCTTCTACAGAACTTGACTGGTCTCGAGATCTTCGATCCGACGGCTCACGGTGGCTCTGGCCGCTGGGTTCTTGTCCCAGAAGTCAAAGGTGTACTCAAGGTACGTTCCAACGCTTCCGGTTCAGGTCTAAACCGGATGAACTCACATTAATTATTTATCAACCGACAACCGGACTCGTGCGTTCAATTATCTTCGTTTATTATACATGAACCGGACTCTATTTATTTATTTAATTTTTTTTTTGTCAATAACCGGACTCTACCTTTGTCGCTTTTTGATTTTGTTTTTAATAGGTCCATATTGGTGACCATGTGGAGGTGCTAAGCAATGGATTATACAAGAGCGTCGTTCATAAAGTTACTCTGAATGAAGAGAAAACGAGAATCTCCCTCGCCAGCTTGCATAGCTTGGGTATGGACGATAAGATGACTGTACCGTACCAGTTGGTTAACGATGAAAATCCGGTTCGGTATAGAGAGAGCAGCTTTAACGATTTTCTTGATTTTCTTGTCAAGAATGACATCTCTCAGGGGGATAGGTTCATTGACACTCTTAGAATCAAGGACTGATCGAGTTAATTGTAACACCCACGTGACCCACCTTGGTTAAGGTTGTAAGAGTAAGATATACCGGTTTAATTTGGTACGCCGTATATGACTTAACCCATCTCCTTCTGCGTTTAACCGGTGTGATAACGTGGACATGTAGATCAGAGGCATATATTATACGTGTTAAATTGTAACGCCAGACATATATATATATATATATATTTAATATTTTTAATGGAAGCAAATCATTTTCCCGATTTCCAAATTAACTGAAATCGAAATAGCATCTAACTAAATCAGTATAATATGTATTTACGGGCTTTTAATTGTATTTCTCCGTCTACATCTTCCTATCATTTATGTTGCCAATTTGTTATAGATTCAGAAAATGTTAATTTGTGATTTTTTTCCCATTGTGTCTAATGCATGTAATGGGTTTTTTTTGTTGTTGTGATATGTTCAAAATTAGTCTCGTACTATTCAATATTAAGATCTCCCAATAATTATAGTATTTACTTAAGTGGTTAATTATAAGAAACAAAAAGAATACGTATGCATATTTGACAAAGTCATAGTTTCGATCCGATATCACCGAGCCATAGGCTCTGATTTCCCAACTAGTAATTTTAAAAGGATTTTTAGTAACGAATTCATTGAAAGTTATCGCTTAATTAAACATCAACGCCCGCACAAACGTATTGTATTTTTTTGCCTTAATTAGCTTCTTATCTCTTTATTTTGTGAAAAGAAACTGATTCAGTCCCTTCTACACAAACAAGATTGGAGCAAACGAAAAATATGTACAGATCCGCGAGCTGGAACCGTGTGACTGAGGATTACTCTGTGCCTTGGTCTGCGCCAAAGGGATTGTGGAAAGGCCTAGACGAAGACGAGCCCGCTCTATACGATCCTACCGGCCAGGAGGTGACAAAGAAAGAGAAGTCACGTGCCAAGTTCGCTGAAAACGCCGTTCACATAATCCCTTTTGTCCTTCTCGCTTGTGCTCTCGTCCTTTGGTTTTTCTCTAATCCAGGTATGTGCGTATACAATATATTCATGATCTTAGTCTCTATTATCTTTTGGTTTGATTCTATAAATGTGTAAACATTCTATGTTAGGCAATTATTTTTTGTAGTCGTTGATCCAGTGATTTATTTGCCGTGTCGATGCATAATTTTTTGTTTTTATTATTTTTATCTAAAATATGCTTCTAAATAGTAGTCGGAGTTGGGTTTCTCCCAAACCCATACTAATTTTTGAAACTGCCCTAAACTGAATATATTTACCACTAAAAGTGTCTTCAGTAAACAAGAAAGATCCACCAATTTTCGTAGATGATATAACCTGTTCCCTTGCATCACGAATCCAGATGACGAATCCTAATTCCATTCGAAAAAACCATTAAACCACCCGTTTTTAGTTACGGGCGTGTTTTTAGATTTGGAAAAATTAAACTTTCGCTATACAATATAAAATTATAATATAATTATGTGATTTATTGATCAGGTTTTCGCTAAACGCATTTATCTTTGTTTTTTTTTATCATTACGGAATTTACATGGCATACAACATGCATGTGATGTGAGTGTTTATTTCGAATGAAATATTTATTTCAACATAGATTAAAAAAAAAGTAAGAGATATATTTTTAACATGTTTTGATATTCGAACACTGATATGATGGGAGGGAGCCTGGTTCAAGTATTTTTAACATGTTTTGATATTCGCCCCGAGGAGATTCAACCTAGACCTATAACGTTTTGCTTAAAATTATTAATTATAAGAGCCTTTAAGTGACTGCACATCTAGTTACCAATCGTCTTACACAAACAAAAATTGATGCTGATTGTATCATTGTGGATAGCACATATAGATGTGGATGTTGGGGTAAAAGGGGAATCGATTGCGGCTAGGATCGAAGGATTAACGATCGAAGGAGATATTGACAGTGACAGCGACGGAACTCAAACCGGATTCTTAGGTGCCGCCACAGAAGTCGGTGGTTCATACAAGACAAAACTAAAACACGACGTTAATAAGCGTCATCGGAGGATACAAACTTCAAGAAAAATGGTGAAAGGATTTTATTAGTTTTTTGGTTGTTAAAAAGGGATTCTCTATGTTAGCTAACACTCAGAACGATTTTTTTTTCTTCCTATTTTATTTCCGCATTTAAATTTGAGATGTGTTTCTTTGGATAACATATCCAAACTTAAATGTTTATTATCTTCTAAGGTCACAAATAGTTAGATGTCACGAATACAAAAATATTTTTTTTTACACAAATAAGTTGCAGCAGTATGGAGAAAGTTGCTTGATGTAAACCAATTCATGGTTCCTTGGTGGTTGAAAATTCATCATATACTGAAGCAAGTTGCAGCAATATGGAGAAAGTTTTTAGAACATAACCGTCGGTTTGTGGTGGATTAAGCTATATCCGACTGGGTTAATTTCCTACTTAAATATAATTTATACAAACGAGTATAATTAAGGAAACTCTCTACAAGACTACAAAATAATTCTCTAACCTACCAAGTTTGCAAAAGAGAAACGGCTGTCGAGGGTATAAAGGATACGTCTCAACACGTGTGCCAGATGGAGCTCCTCTCCTCTTTATTTATAAGTTCCTCTGATGATCATTTACACGTGTGCCTTCACATGCAGTTTTTACCACTCGTGTGTTTCTAGTGTTTTTCACTCTTCAGTCTTCACTATCTAAATGCTGCCGTTTCATTATAACGTCTGTTAACTTATCTCTCACGTCTGTTAACATGTCATCTTAACGTTGATCACAATGATTGTCAGTTACGGTAATATACATATTTTATACTTTACTCGTTGCATTTGAAAATATTATTGAAATCTTCCGTGGTAGTTTATCGTTCACCATCTTCCGTTGCCGTTAATTAAAATATTTATCCACAGTATATATATATGTTCATGCTTCAAAAATTAACTGTAACGTTTAATAGATTGTTTTGGCATTTTTCGTATCAAAAGGTTGCAGAGGGTAAAACTATTTAATATTCGACTTTTCATTTCGTTTTTCCTTCTATAAATTCCCCTTTCCGTTTCCAAAAATTTTAAATGTTTTTTCTTAAGATGAAATCTCTATAGTTTTTTTTTTCCTTCTTTGAATTAAAATGCACTAGCCAAAATAAAATCGACGATCATTGCGAGGAAAAAAAAATGTTGAAGAGTGTAAATCCAATGGCATTTTACGAAATCGGGGAGCAGCAATTCCCTACATTAGGGTACATAGTAAGCAAACCAGGGAATGCAGGAGGAGCTTACGAGATCGACCCTCCGATCCCGACCGTCGATGATGCGATCTACGGCTCAGATGAGTTTCGCATGTACGCCTACAAGATCAAACGGTGTCCTCGGACTCGCAGCCACGACTGGACGGAGTGTCCATACGCACACCGCGGCGAGAAAGCCACTCGCCGTGACCCTCGCCGTTACAATTACTGCGCCGTCGCATGCCCGGCTTTCCGAAATGGCGCATGCCACCGTGGGGACACATGCGAATTTGCACACGGTGTTTTCGAATACTGGCTCCATCCGGCGCGTTACCGGACACGCGCCTGCAACGCCGGGAACCTGTGCCAGAGAAAAGTGTGTTTCTTTGCACATGCGCCGGAGCAGCTCCGGCAGTCTGAGGGAAAGCACAGGTGTCGGTACGCATATAGGCCAGTAAGGACAACGACGGCGAGAGCAGGAAACGGAGATGGTGTTGGGATGAGAGTGGACGGTGAAGATTACGAGACGTGGCGGTCTCCGGAGAAAAGCGGGAAAAGTGATTTAGATATAAACGAGGAGAGAGTGTTGAAGTGTTGGAGTGGGATGAGCATTGTGGATGACCATTATGAGCCGTCCGATTTTGATTTGGATTTGTCGCACATTGATTGGATCTCAGAGTTGGTCGATTAAACTGAGAGCCAAAATAAAAAGAAAGAAAAGATAAATAAAAGTGGAATTTGTTGTAATCCAGTCGTGTCGATGATACAAGACATAAAGATTCAAGTTCGAGAGATCTTGTCATGTAAATGATAAAGTTGATTGTAATGATTACTTGTAATCTCGCAAAAAGAGTAATTGCTTAATTATGTAGCCAGCTACAAGCCCTAGCCGATTTGTTAATTAATTAATAAAATTTCGACTGAAAAAATCTAGTACAATATAGAAAGTCACCAATAAAGCATCATTTTTGTTCGTTTAGTTCTCAACTGCCTCGAACAAACCCTACCACAAATCGTTAGACCACCACTAACAGAAGGTTTTAAAGACAATTTCTATTCACTAAATATATTAAAAAAATCAAAAATAGGAAAAAAATAAGAGAGAGTATAGAAACGGTTCTGAAATAAAAACACTTAGAGCATCTGTAAAAAAAAAAAATTTAATGACGTGGCAAGACTGAAACGCCGAGTCGTATCTCTGCATAGAGACTGTAGAATCCACTCTACGTGGTCAAATGTGATTCATCGTTTTTTTTAATGCAAAAATCAATTTTTTTAAAAAAAAGTTAATAAAATAAATTAAGAGCTTTTGAGCAGTTCTGCGTTATAATGCTTGTAGAGCACCTCCAACCATAAGCCTTTTATTTTGGATCTCTAAAAATTTTTTTTTATCAATATAACTGAAAAATAAAAATATTTTTAAAAAATAAAAAAATTGAACAAATAAAATACTGATACATCATCTAAAAAGATCAGAATCTGTTTCTAAAACTTCTCGTTAAAGAGCCTGACTCTCTCTGTCTTCTCTCTTTGATTATTTTTATTTTTGTTTTTAATTTTTAAAACCTCTCTAGACCTTCCATTAGAAATGGTGTTAGACCGGCGTTCCTTAGGAAAGTATTTAACAAAAAAAATTAAAAAAGGAAGGAAAGAGGAAAGAGAATAGGTACATCTCTTATTTAGAGATTTCCAGATATGTATCTTAACATAGGTTAACTAACTATTGATTTACTTCCTTTTTTTATTTCTAATTTAGTTATATAAATAAATTATATTATTTTTATATACATTAAATACTCAAAAGCATTTTTACACGATGGAAATGTCCTTAAAAACGGTTTTAAAGAAATTTTTACCACATGTAAGTTAATAACTGGTTCATCATTTTAATATTTTAAAAATTAATTATGTAAATAAATAATATTATTATTATATTTGTTAAAGATTTTGAGAGAATATCTAATGGTTAGAAATACTCTTAGACCCTTCCGAAACGAATGCAATTAAGCGTTACCGTGCTTTTACACTTTTTCCAAAAATATTTGTAGTGTTAATCAGTTATTTTCTTATATCAACCATAAGTAAAGCATATTTAATATTAAATAAAGCTTATAAAAAAGTTTTTTTTTCTTTTCCAAGGTCATAAAATATTGAATTAATACACAATTAATTTATCAAGTCTATTTTCAACAATAAAATTAATTTATGATTTATGCTTCGACTAATGTCTTTTACAACAAGACGTATTTACATGGGTTTAGCACCAGCCACAGGTTTAGCTCCAACTTTAAGTTTAGTTTTAGTTTTAGGTTTAACTTCAACCTTAGGTTTAGCTCCAGCCTTAGATTTAGTTTCAGTCTTAAGTTTAGTTTCAGTTAGAGGTTTAGCTTCAGCCTCAGATTTAGCTCCAGTTTTAGGTTTAGCTCCAACATCAGGTTTAGTTTCTGCTTTAGGTTTAGCTCCAGCCTTAGGTTTAGTTCCAGCTTTAAGTTTAGCTTCAGACTCAGGTTTAGCTTCAGCTTTAGGTTTATTTCCAGTCTTGGATTTATCTCCAGATTCAGATTTAGCTCCAACCTTAGGTTTATCTTCAGTATTAGGTTTATCTCCAGCTTTAGGTTTATCTCCAGCTTTAGGTTTCTCTCCAGTCTTAGGTTTATCTCCAGTTTTAGGTTTGTCTCCAGTCTTGGGTTTATCTCCAGCTTTAGGTTTATCTCCAGTCTTGGGTTTGTCTCCAGTCTTGGATTTATCTCCAGCTTTAGGTTTGTCATCAGTTTTAGGTTTATCTCCAGCTTTAGATTTATCTCCAGACTTAAGTTTATCTCCAGTTGTAGGTTTAGCTCCAGCCTTAGATTTAGCTCCAGCTTTAGGTTTAGTTCCAACCTTAGATTTAGCTTCAGCCAGAGATGCACCACCGTCCACAGTCGAGGGTGCATCATCAGTCGAAGGTGCACCATCACCACCAGCTGCAGGTGCACCACCAGCTGGAGATGCATCACCAGAGGGTGCACCACCACCCGTAGCAGCAGGTGCACCATCAGCCGAAGGTGTACCACCAGCCACGGGTGTAAGGGTACTACCAGCCAAAGGTGCACCACCAGTCGCGGGAGCACCAGCTGCAGGGGCACCATCAGCCAGAGGTGCACTACCAATAGGAGATGCACCACTACCACCTGCAGCTGCTGGTGCACTATCAGTCGGGGGTGCACCATCAGTCGAAGGCGCACCACTAGCCGCGGGAGCACCACCAGCTGGAGGTGGACTATTGCCTGCAGCCATAGGTGCACTATCAGTTGGAAGGGCACCATCACCAGCCACAGGGGCACCACTAACTGGGGGTGTATCACCAGGCGGGGGTGCACCACCGTCTGCCGCTGCAGGTGCACCATCAATCGAGGGTGTACTACCAGCTGCAGGTGCACCACCACTTACAGATGCACCTCCACCTTTAGGTATAATTTTAAACTAAGGTTGGTTTTTAAACCCTTCTGGAATTGTTGCGGAAAAGGATTTTCCATCCCAAGACCATGTAAAACCACCAGCCGCACCATTACTTATGGGTATATTTTTGAACAAGGGTTGATTTTGTAACCATTCTGGAATTGTTCCTGAAAAGGATTTTCCATCCCAAGACCATGAAAACCCACCTCCTGAAAGCTTAAACAGTTTTAACGGAGTTGCTGCTGATGAAGTTCCTTTCCCAGTCCTATCACATTGACAGTTCTTCAAACGATGTTTCAAGAAAAAAAATGAAAAAAAATCGTGAAAGAATGCAGCTAATTAGGTAGCATGTAAGGTTCGTATATGCAAAAGAGAGAAATATAATTAAGTCAAAATTTCCGAAACGTTTTAGAAAAGGATACGTGAGGAGCTGATCGATCCCAAAATTGAGAAATCAAAATCGTTACGATCACTTTAAATGTGCCTTCTAAATATTAATTTAATCTGACATCCAAAAGGACCAAAACCTAGGCAACAAGGTTACTATATGTACATGCATGCGCGCGTATGTGAATAAATATATAAGCAAAAATCTCGAGTGGTTTCAATATGTATATATATATATAGTATTCTTTTTAATATTACTTAATGAGCCCCATGATGATGCCAATGGCGCTCAGTCCGAGGGTGGCACCGGCCGTGAGCCCAGTGGCTAGGAGAGTAGTGGCTAAAGTGGCGGGTACAAGTATTGGACTGAATATGAGGAAAAGCGGTGTGGATACGACTAAAGCCACGGCTGAACCGGCAAGTGTTAGACCGGCGAAGGCTAAGAAGACTACGGAGGTTACGGAAGCAATAACAAGCTTAATAACGTCAAACAATGGGATGAGAAAAGTGAAGAATTTGAGAAAAATGTTAAATTTCGATGACTGAGAAAGAGATTCGTTTTGAAGGAGTTCTTCGCTCATGTTTTGAGATCGGATTGGTTGTAGTTTAGTGATGGATCTTAACGGAGTTGTGTGGTCTATATGCAAAACGATGTGAGTAAAGCCTAAATAGAGATTTACGTTACATTACATAACGTCACGTCACATGATCCCTCTTCTTTTTGTGTGTGTGTCGGTTGTCATGTTTCTTGAGCCTTCTTTTCTTTCTTGTAAAAGCTCAAATATCAAATCTCACGTTGCAACTATTGTTTACAGTTTGGAAGTTGGAACACCCTAAACCAAATTCTTCCAAGATATCCAAAGTGGCCAGTTTGCTTGGTTATTAGGCTCAAGTCTAATGGTAAAGGAAAATGTGAAAAGAGACAAGAGGACTCCGATCCATGGCCACGGACAGTAGCCATTCTCATCACGGATAGCATCTGAAATAGAGGCTTGCGAAGATCGTTGTAGCAGTAATTTCCGAAACAAACATGTTAAATTTAGTTGACACTAAACTTCAAGATATTAAAGTAACCTTATTTACGTCACTTGAGTAGTTTAATATTTAATAATACATGTTGCAATCTTATATATTTTTGTAGCTTTAGTTATGTTTCAAGAGTTTTCATCTTAATTATCAATTTCACACTAACACAATTTGATGATTAGATCGGTAATGCTTTATTTTATTTCTTTCAATTGCACGTTCTAAATATATTCCAAGTTCCAACTAGATTAATAGAAAAAGATGCATATAAATTAGCTTGCAAATTTATAATAAACAGATTCACCATTACATATAAACATAAATCCTTTGCCTTTTTGCTTCTTATAGTTTTCCAATCATAAATATCACCTTGAATTAATGGTTTACCTCCACCCATAGGAGAATTTCCCTTATAACTATAAGATACAACATTGCATAAAACGTATTAAAAAGGTTTGTGTTCTTTTAGTTTCCGAGTCATAAGATCTTGAATTAATTAGGGCGACGGGGGTGGACTTCCACCTGCTGAGTCAGCTCCACCCGGAGGTTTGGCTCCACCTGCTGCGTCAGCTCCACCGGCAGGTTCAGCTCCACCCGCAGGTTCACTTCCTCCTCCTCCTGCTGAACCTCCTCCACCGGCGGGCTTACCTTGCATATACTTTTTGAGCAATGATATGATTTTTTTGATCAATGTTTTCCAATCGAAAGACCCTCCACCTGGCATGCCTCCACCTCCTCCAGCTTTACCAGCTGCAATTCTTTTTTTTAATGCCGCAGTCAATTGTTTTCCTCCCGCACCTGAACCCCTTTTCGTTGGCATTTTGGCCGCCAACGAAGTTCCTGTCACAGTCCTATCACACACCATACAAGTGTAGTGAGGCGTTAATTATATAACAGAAACTTTGTTTATATGTGAATAATAATATAAGCAAAAAATTGGAGTGATTTCAATAGAAATTGTTTAAGTTTACCTAATGAGCCCCATGATGAGGCCAATGGCGCTCAGTCCGAGGGTTGCACCGGCCGTGAGCCCAGTGGCTAGGAGAGTAGTGGCTATAGTGGCGGGTACGAGAATCGGACTGAATATGAGGAAAAGCGGTGTGGATACGACTAACGCCACGGCTGAACCGGCAAGTGTTAGACCGGCGAAGGCTAGGAAGACTACGGAGGTCACGGAAGCAATCACAAGCTTAATGACGTCCAACAATGGGATGAGAAAAGAGAACATTCTGAGAAAAATGCTATACTTCGATGACTGAGACTGAGATGAATTTTGAACGAGTTCTTCGCTCATATTTTGAGATGGGGATGGTTGTGGTTTAGTGGTGGATTCTATGGAGTTGTGTGGTCTACATGCAAAACGATGGGAGTAAATACTAAATAGAGATCTACGTTACATTACGTCACGTCACATTCCCTTTTTCGTGTATATGTGTCGGTTGTCATGTTTTTTGAGCCTTGTTTTCTTTCTTGTAAGAGCTCAAACATCAACACTCATGTGGCAACTAATGTTTACGGTTGGAACACCCTAAACCAAATGCTTCGAAGATATCCAAGGTGGCGATTCTTTGTGAAAGAAAGTATGGTAAAAGCCAGTTTGCTTTTTGAAGAATTGCTTGATTAGGCTCGATGAAGTCTTGCATTCTGCTGTTTCATATCAATCAAAGGGGTCTAGTGGTAAACGAAAATGTGAAAAGAGACAAGAGGATTCCAATCCACGCCCACGGTAATAAGAGGCTTGCGAAGATATACCAGTATATAATTTGTGGAGCAAGCATGTTAAATTTACTTGATATACCAGTATATATATAATTTCAGGATATTTAATATTAACCTTATTCACGTCATCTGAATAGTGTAATATTAATACATATTTTTTTTTTGAACATTATATTTATACATATGTTGCAAATTGTCCTTATATATCTTGGTAGCTTTAGTTATGTTTCAAGAGTTTATTTTATCAAAACTCACCCGAAGACAATTTTATTAAATTAAATTAATTAATAGTCAGCGAAAAGATAGTTCAAAAATGAAAAGAAAAATATTGGCATGGTCTTTGGTAAGCCTTAAATGAACAATAACTTTTTTTAAACCTTACTTAACAATAACTTTTATTAGATATCAATTTCAACAAAAAAAAAAATTATTAGATATATATTCTAGCGGTATCTATTTCGGAAACTATTCTTACAAAATTAACAACGCATGCATGGCTCTTAAAAAGCAAAAAAGAACTAGCACGTGACCACCTCAAATGGTAACTTTTAATCTGCTGATTCCGGTGCTACTGAAAGATATGTTTTTAGATATCACACTTGAAATATTCTTCGTAATCAATTAGTATATGTTTTTTTTTTTTTTCACATATCGAAATCTCTGAATCCGCATCATTAGTAAAACTCGAAAGCCTTTTCATCCATTTTGCAACCATCTTAAAAGGCTACAAATCTGTCATAAGTTTATCCATACCACATAATTTCAACCATATCTCAGTTATTTTTGAAGCCAACAAGATTAAGTCTCATTTCTTTTGAGCAGCTGCCTCAACTTGTTCATAAATACTTTCAATTAAATTTTATTCTTGTTATCTGTTATAATATCATTAGTTCTTTATAAATTAGATCACAGAAATAACTTTTGTCTGCTCGCAGCCGCGCAACATGAAATTTATCGACAAATGTTTTTTTTTTTTTTTTTTTTTATGAAATTTAACATTCAATTCAAACAAAATAACAGAATCAAACTCTACTACAAATCGCTAAATCATTTCAAGAAGAATGGAATTAAGTGTTACCATATTATAATACTAACTTTTCTTTTGATATAAATATTGTATCATAAAATACTGTAGTCTTTCGTTTAATCGTAATAAGCACACATTCAACATTACAGATAGACATAAATCTTTATAAGAAGCCTTTCTGGTTTCTTATAGTTTTTCAATCATAAAATTCACCTTGGATTAGTACACAATATATATTAAATGTTTCAAACAGCTCCACCATTAATGTTTTCTTTCACCCCTCCATGAATTTACCGTCCACCTCCAGGCATACCGCCACTTCCGTGCTTACCGCCACCTCCGAGCATACCGCTACCTCCACTTCCACCTCTGGGTGAACCTCCACTCATGGGTGAACTTCCACCATCGGGTGAACTTCCATCCATTGGTGAACCTCCACTTCCGTGTTTACCGCCACCTCCTCCACCTCTTGGTGAACCTCCACTCATGGGTGAACTTCCACCATCGGGTGAACTTCCGTCCATGGATGAACCTACACCTCCTGGTTTACTTTCTCCACCCATATGTGAACCTCGACTTCCGGATTTACCTTTACCCCGAGATTTCTTACCTATACCTCCACGTTTACCTTCACCTGATGAGTCTCCACCCATTGATGAACCTTCATCTCCAGATTTACCTTTACTCTTGCGTTTACCAAATCTACCACCACCCTCGTGTTTGTTTTCATCCATGGATGAACCTCCATCTCCTCCAGATTTACCTTTACTCCTGCGTTTACCTGCTCTACCACCACCCTCGTGTTTTTTTTCATCCATGGATGAACCTCCATCTCCTCCAGATTTACCTTTACCTCTAGATTTATCTTTACCCCCGCGTTTCTTTCCACCGAAACCACCCTTCGGTTTGCCACTACCCTCGTGTTTACCTTCACCTCCGTGTTCACCTTCGCCCATGGATGAACCTCCACGTTTGCCTCCACCTTTCTTTTTGTCTCCAAACCCTGAAAGCTTATCCCTAATAAATGTTGGTAGTTCGAACAGAGAGAGGGATGGTGGAGCTCCTCCAGATGCTGGAGATGCCGGGGCCGACGAAGCTCCTTCTCCTCCAGATGGTGGAGATCCTCCTCCAGATGGTGGAGCTCCTCCTCCAGATGGCTGAGCTCCTCCTCCAGTTGGTGGAGCTCCTTTCGGAGGTGGATTATCCTTCGGCTTTACTCCCATCCTATGCCTACACCACACACAAAAATGTGTATCTAAGCGTTAGACATTAATTAGTTAAGAAAATAAGTTTGTACAGTATTCTTATCAATTACATTTGCAGTTTTTTTTTGTAAAATATGGAAAACGGGTTGTGATGGGAAAAACAATTAGTAAGTTCAATATAATTTCTTCGACAAATAATAACAAATGAGGTATCACTCACTTGATTCGAAATAAATAAATGATATGCCGTAGAACGTTAGAAAGAGAGAATAGAAAGAAAAATAGGAGAAATAAACAAGTTGTGTTTTTAGAAAGGACTTTTAGTTTTATAAACGGAGGATTTCTCGGGATTTCGGACCCAAGCAGCAGGTTATGTGAATAATAATATATAAGCATAAATCTCGAGTGAATGCAATATAATTAGTTTGTTTAAATTTACTTAAGGAGCCACATTATGAGACCCAGGGCCGTCACTCCAAGGGTGGCACCAGCGCCGACCCCACTGGCTAGGAGAGTAGTGGCTATAGTGGCGGGTACGAGAATCGGACTGAATATGAGGAAAAGCGGTGTGGACACGGCAAATGCCACGGCTGTACCGGTGAGTGTTATACCAGCGAAGCCTAAGAAGACTACGGAGGCAACGGAAGCTGCAACCACCTTAACAACCTCCAACAATGGGATGAGAAAAGGGAACGTATTGAGAACAGAAAACATCCTTCCCTCTCTCTGTGACTGAGGCTGAACTGCTTCGTTTTGAAATTCCTCGCTCATATATTCTGATCGGAGGGTTGTGGTTTGGTGATGGGAAGAGAGAGGGCTTTATGAAGGATTTGTGTGGTCTACTACGTGCACGCTACACATGCGCAAGCTCCATGCAAAACGATTGGAGTAAACGGAGATTTACGTCACGTCACATTTGCTTCTTCTTCTTTCTTTTTGTCATGTTTTTGGGACCTTCTTTTCTTTCTTGTAAAATCTTAACTGTTTTCTTTAATTCCATTGCTTTATATGAGATATTAAAGCGTGACAAAATGTTAATTTTTTTATATATATATAAAAGGCTAAAAGGTTAATTTTTTTATAAGAAATATGAAACTACTGAGTTAAATGAGTAAATTTAATTACTTTATTAATGAAATATTGTTGGTGTAGCAGATAAAATCAATATGCTAGGCCTTACAATTATCAGTCGTTCATAATTTAGAAACTCGCAAATTTTTTGTTGTCGTTGATGCTCATATTTATAACAATAATGAAATTTACACAGGTTATTGTTTAAAAGGATCGAAGAAGAATGTCAAGTCGAGTCACGTGCGCAGGCCGTGAGATTCAGTTACGTATAGAGGGTAGGTTAAATCTTAATTAACCAGAGTTTGTTCACTAAATGGGAGATAATATTGGCTTTTTTTTTTTTTGCTAAACTATAATATTGGTTTTTTAAATTTGAAGGTTGTCAAGAACAAAAGAGATGCAAAGATCAAAATGCAAGTTATGCTATAATAGTGTGTTCTAAGCGAAGTACCACGAAAGCGCGCGAATTTTTTTTTTTAATTAGATAAGACAAGGTTTGTTTAAGCATAACTGCAATATTGATTAGACACAATTACCATAGACTAACAAAAAAAAAACAAGTAATAAGGGAATATATAACTTGTCGCAGCTAAAAGAAGACGACTATATACAATGTTAATGTCTTTTTTTGCTAAACCATAGACGACATTTTAAAGTTTATCTTAAATGAGTACAATGTTAATGTCTTTTTTTTTACCCCGAATTAAATTCATTAAACGGCAATATTTATCCGCTATTAAATTATTAACTCTAGCGAGAGAAAAATAGTATGTCAAACTACTCTTGAAATCTCCAATTCCCTTGGACAACGGTTTATAAGAAGGTCCGTCCAGATAATCTCTACCGATAGGCACGTCACTAAGCCATCGCAATCCGTAATGAAGAAAGATCAGTCTTTTAAGGCCCAAACGCAACGGCCCAATTCAAACACTTCAGCTTTTGTGGCAAGAGCCGAAGTTTGCCGTGGCATGACCACTGTGAGAAGAGCAAATTGCTAATATCTCATACTAGAAAGAGTGACGTTCGAGGGAAAATGTCGATGAAAAATGCAGGAAGAAATTTGGTTATTGGAAGTCGATCGTACATAAAATTAGTATCGGGTTCATTAAAAAAAAAAAAAAAGTCTTACCTAGGTTTGAATTTTAAAAAGGGTAATGGTAGAACAACAATGTCAATGTCGAAAGATTCAATGTTTCACATAGGAATATACCGATATTTTGGTTAACTGGGACCAAAAATAATAGTATATGATAATGATATCACATCATCTAATAAATTTACAATGAAAACTTCGTGCACTGTTTTGACGTATCTTGTAACATGTTATACATTGCATGTAGTTTCTTCTGTACGTAATTTGCAATTACTAATTACTAAATAAAGGATGGATAAATTAGGTCTAATTTATGGAATCCAATAATTTATATCATGTTGCTCCATTCAGCCCTACCAGGAGAAAAACGCCGGCGGTTTCTTCTCTTTCTTCTTCCCGGCTGGTTTATCTGCTGGTTTATCTGTTGGTTTGTCTGTTGGTCCTCCACCTGGTTTATCTGTTGGCGCTCCACCTGCTGGTTTATCTGTTGGTGCTTCACCTGCTGGTTTATCTGTTGGTTTATCTGTTGGTGATCCACCTGGTTTATCTGTTGGTGCTCCCCCTGCTGGTTTATCTGTTGGTGATGCACCTGCTGGTTTATCAGCTGGTCCTCCAGCCGGCTTATCTGTTGGTCCTCCGGCTGTTGGCCCTCCAGCTGGTTTTTCAGCTGGCTTCGCTGCTGGTTTAGCTGCTCCGGTTGGTGGAGATCCTGCCGGAGGTGGATTATTCTTCGGTTTTACTCCCATTCTATGCCTACATCACACACACACACACAAGTGTGTATATATGTCCAACTATATATTTGAAAACTTGTTTGTACCACATTTTAATTATTACGTTTCACGATTTTTAAATGATGATTGCTAATATAAAACTACAAATATTGGCTGAGATTTAAAACTTGACGTAGGAGTTGAGTTTTACAATATGTTTAAGTTTATTTTGGAAACGAAAAGCTAAACTATCAAAACGCTATATGTTGATGTATGAGGGAGAAAAGAGATATGTTGATTAAATAAATAGACGTTTATGATGAGACATGTACATGTCTAACACCACGTTTAAATATAAATAGACGTATATATATATCATGTTCATGTGCACGTAGGTTATTATTAATATATCAGCATAAATTTAAAGTGGTTTAAAATAGTTTTTCTTTAAATATAAAATATATAGGTTTTCTTTAAGCATATATTAACAAAAACAGTATGGTTAAATTTTACTTAAGGAGCCATATGATGAGACCAATCGCCGTCACTCCGAAGAAGCCACTGGCCGAGATATTGGTGACTAGGAGAGTGGTAGCTATAGTTGCTGGTACGAGAACCGGACTAAATATAACAAAAATCGGTGTGGCTGCGATTAATGCCACGACTGTGCCGGCGAGGGTTAAACCAGCCAACGCGAGCAAGACTGCAGATGCAACGGCAGTAATAACCAGTTGAAAAACCTGAAAAATTGGGATGAGACAAGAGAGCATTTTGGGATGAATGTTTAGGTTTCAACAGCTGAGATTTGGTTTGAAGGGATATTATATTTTTGTTATAGTTTTGAAGGAGTGCTTGGCTCCAACTTTGTGATGATCGGATGGTTGTGTAACTTGTGTTTTAGTGATGACCGGAAGAGAGAGAGAGAGTTTTTATGAAGGAATGTCTAGATTTACGTGCACGGTATGGTACACCTTCATGCTCCCATGCAACATTATGTGCGTAAATAGAGATTTACGTTACGCCACGCCACATTTGCTTCTCCTTATTTGTGTGGGGTTTGTCATGTATCTTGGGCTTTTTGTACTCTTTCAGTCTTTCTTGTAAGAAATTGAGATGTTTTGCAAACTCAAGCCTTAAATCAAGAACCACAGACCACAGTCGTCATCATTCGCGAGATTATGTGAGAATAGACTTCGTAATATATCGCAATCGAGATCTATCTCCTCTACAAATTCGATCAATTTACCCTTTTTCTATTGCTAAAACACTTCACACATTTGGCTCAAGGACTTTGAAACAACTCAAACCTAGGGATACTTTATCATAAATATATGTTCACAAAATTTTACATATAATGTATCACTCTTCTAAACACTCATCTATAGTTCTTGCATATATTTTATACTTAGATCGAAAGGTACGTACAATTACTCATATGTAAAGTTTGAATTTGAATACAGAATTAACGATTAAACAAAAAAGAAATTAACGCAAACTCTTTATTTACATTGCTTTTTGAAATGATAAAGCGTCACGAAAGGCTTTTTTATTAGCCATATGCAATTTCCATGGCTACAATATTAAGTTGTTGCTTTTTAACTCACAAAAAAGAAGATTAAGTTGTTGCTTAATTTTGATTTATATTACATGATGGGATCGAAGGTTTACGTTGTTTTTTATTGGTGGATCCGATGAAATCAATATGTTAGGTGTTCGAACAGCTACAGACTATGCTTTTCATGTGGAACCAGTTAGGTGTTAATTGTTAAAAAGTATCTCAATTTCCGACGTATAATCCCTAACGGCTACGAAACATGATGGAACCACCTAACTAACAAGATATATATGCCACACAATTGAAAATAAATCTGATTTGTTTTGCAGTTAAAATAATATTACAGACTTTTAATCAGACTCTACTTTACTTTAATTAATGTAATTACCATTATAATCAGAATGTATTGCAAATATTTCAGAAATCGGCTAGGTTTATATTTTCAAAGAATAATGGTAGAAAAAAATACTTCAAAGTCGCATTATTGAATAATATAACTTCCAAATAATCATATTTGGTAATCTCAATGATATCACTACAATTTTTAGAATACAACACAAATGATTACATTAACTACAATGTCGTAACAGTATCTATAGAATGATATTTGAAACATTTAGTTTTCATCCGCGCGTAATGAGTATTTTACTGAAGAAAGGATGAATAAATTGTAGTTTTATTTAAGGAACCTAAGTATCATCCTCCATATATTATCCCATATTACGAAAGGCCTACGCTGTTTTCCCCCCAGAATCCGCTGGCTTAGACGCCGGAGCCGCCGGGCTCAATCCCGGAATTTTTGGCGGTGCCTTCCCCGTATATTGCCTGCACACAGTTATATATTAAAAATGAGAAACTATGTTCAGAAACTATATATGATATAGCGGAAACAGCCTCCTGAACACTCGATTAGCGTCTACTGTGTTTCAGCATAGTTCATCTTGGAGTGTTTCATATAGTTTGTTAGGTACTTATATGTAAATAAGTTTCCATGTAGATGCATATGCCTAAGGCTTCACTGAATATAGACCACATTTCGAGTGGCTTTCAATAAAAGGTTTTGTTTAATTTACTTGTAGAGCCACCATAAGATGCTAAGAGCCGTGGCACCAAAGGATCCGGTGGCCGTAAAACCCGTAGCTAGCAAAGCGGTGGCTACAGTTGCTGGCACAAGAATCGGACTGAATATGATAAAAAGCGGTGTGCTTACGGCTAATCCCACGGCTGAGCCGCCAAGGGTTATACCGGCGACTACCAAGAGAGATAATGCAGCCCCGGCGGTGAAAACCGCCTGAATAATCTCAAACATTTGGGGTGAAATGTCAAAGGCTCAGATTTGTGATTGAATTGGTTGTGGTTTTGTGTTGGGAGGAGAGGTGGCTTTTATGAAGGAGTTTTGGAAGTCTACGTGAACGGTACGGTATACATTTATTCTTCCATGCAAAACGAAGTGAGTACTAAATGGAGATCTACGTTACGTCACGCCACATTTGTTTTTGTTTTGTTCTCTTTACTTTTGTGAGTGTTATGATCATGTTTATTTGGCCCTTTTCCTTGTTTTCTTTTCTTGCTTTCATGTCCTTAATTAAAATAAACATATACAATCGTGGTTTAATGTTTGAATGATTTATTTTATGGTTCGAAGACTAAGTATTGTCCTTATTGTTGACCATAAATATCATAGGCACCGTAAATAATCATAATTAAAAAAAGCACCGTAAATATAGGTCCCACAAATTAGTATGGATTTTGGTTCACGATCTTTGGTTCATTCAAAAAAAAAAAAAAAAAAAAATCTGTCTAACATCTACGAACCATCATGGAACCAGTTAACGAGAGGGAGGAGATATATGCTAAACATTAAAATAATGTCATATTATTTTACATTTTATAGAAAAACTCAAATTTATTTATGTTACCATTGTACTTTCAGATTATATAGCATGGAAACATTGCAGAATTCAGTTGTTGCAAAGAAACTTGTAGGTTTATAGTTTAAAAAGATAATGGTAGGAATAACATTAGTGTCTCAATGATTTCACTTCTTCGTCGTTTATAACATAAATATAACTCGCAATCCAGTCGCATGATCTATGGTAATCTCAATGATTTCACTTCATTTTGAAACTATACAACATGCACAAACGAGTACATTTATCATCATTTCGTAAAACGACATACATCAATAGAATGATATTTAAAACATTTAGTTTCACCCGCGCGTAATTAGTCTTTTTTTTTACTAAGAGAGGATGGATACATTTTGGCTTTATTTAAGTTCCTCCATATATCATCCCGTATTGCGAAAGGAGGCCTAGTCGTCCTTTTTCCCACCCGCCGCTGGATTACTCGGGGTCAACCCCGGAATTTTTGGCGGGTCCTTCCCCGTATAACGCCTGCACACAATTATATATTATTAATCGGAAATTTAATATTTTAAGTTCAGAAACTCTAGCCACGAACTAGGCCGGAACGTACGAGACACTTCTCATTACCAATACAAAAAATAAGCATGTAAACTTCTATTTCTCAACACTAAATTTTCAAACTATATGATCCACAATATCATATCCTATCCTTGTAATTTTATTACTTGCATATAGAAAGTAATTTTTATCAATAAATTCAAAAACGTAATATAGCGAAACAGCCTCCTGAACACTCGATTAACGCCTAGTTTTAGTTTTATAGAATTGTTAATCATGGAGTGTTTCCATCAACATATATAGCGTTTGTTAATTAATTAAAAAGCCACATCAACATGCTGATGTTAATGTTCAAAAAAAAAAAAACATGCTGATGTTTATCATATGCATGTTGATGTTTATAGCTACGAACTATGTATTATATTTATAGCCATACATTTCTACGTAGATGCATATGTTTAACGCCTCATTTGAATATAAAAAGAGCAATTTGCGAATGGTTTGAATTAAAGTTTTGTTTAACTTACTTGAAGAGCCACATGAAGATGGTCATGGCCATGGCACCTAAAGAGCCCGAGGCCGTGAAACCCGTAGCTAGCAAAGTGGTGGCTATAGTTGCTGGCACGATAATCGGACTGAATATGACAAAAAGCGGTGTGCTTAGGACAAATGCCACGGCTGAGCCGCCTAGTGTTATACCGGCGAATACTAAGAGAGCTACTGCAGCCCCGGCAGTGAAAACCGCCTGAATAATCTCAAACATTTTGTGTTTAGTTGTTAAAATCACAACGGTTGAGAGTTGTGATTGAATGGTTGTGGTTGGTGGTGGAAGAGAAGGTCGTTTTATGAAGGAGTGTGTGCAAGTCTACGTGCACGGTACGGTACATTCATGCTTCCATGCAAAACGGTGTGAGTGCTAAATTGAGTTCTACGTTACGTCACGCTACATTTTGTGTGTGTGTGTGTTATATGAATTATGATCATGTTTTTTTGCTTGTTTTCTTTTCCAATAACTAACTATCTATCAAAAATTGGTTCACTCGGCGCGACTGCTGGCTTTAGCTACCGGTTTAGGTGCTGGATTAACCGCCGGTTTAGATGGTGATTAAGCTGCTGGCTTAACGGCGGTCTAGGTGCTGATTTAGCTATCGGCTTAGCATTCTATATTTTGCTTGTGTTGTATATTTACATATCTTTATCCGTTTCTCCGGGGTGCCTGATAAGACGGGCTCCTGAAATTGTCGTATCACCAAGCAATTTTGTGGGTTTTTAACGACCATATATGTTTTTTTTAACAAAGAACGAGACTGTGTATGTTGATGCATATTATAAACGTATACAACCATCAACCATGCGTTTGAATAAGCAGATATAGATTCCCAACGGTACACGTAAACGCAATAGTAACAAATGGGATAATATTATATAATGATGTGTATACGTCCCTGACTCCCTTCTAATCTGTTTAAAAATAGGATGCAGTCACATTTTTTTTTTATAACGTCACATATCATCAAATGGGATCTCATCATCAAATGTATTCGTTAAATAATCCCTCTATTCTTCCTCGATTGACTTCTTGTAAAACAAGAGTGGGTCATTTTGGTTTCCTAATTGTCAAGAAAGACGTTGTTTTAAATTGGGCCAATTTTAAATGTAACATGTAATGGTTCCCTGCGGCCGATATATTTATCTCATTTGTAAAAACCAGAACTTCAATGTTGCAAGAACTTCAATGATATAGTTGATGCTTTGGTTAAATTAACTTGCTTTGTAAAAACTCAAAATATTCATGTAAGGTTAATATATATCACTTTGTTTCTAACATGCTATACAATAAAAGTGTGTACATTTGTTTTCATTTTTTACCACGACATACATTAATAGAATGATATTTAAAAATTCTAGTTCCATCCATCCCCACGAAATAATTAATATTGATAAAAATAAAATAAAAGTAGGATTAATTAGTAATTTGTTGAATTTCGATAACTTTATATCAAATTTTCCATATCATGCCTTGCCGATGTCCAGGGGATCTTTTCATCAACTCGGTGGGGCTGCTGGCTTAGCTGCCGGTTTGGCTGCCGGTTTGGCTCCTCCTGCGCCCGCCGCTGGGGCACCTCCTCCAGCAGCCGGCGTCAACCCCGGGATTTTTGGCATATCCTTACCCGTCAATTGCCTATACACAATTGAATACGTCTGGTTATAAAAATAAATCATGGTATTATTGTACTATTAATAATTAATTACGGCTCAAAACTGTTCACCACCATGCATATAAACGTATACAACCATGCTCCATGCATCTAAAGTTCCCAATGGTAAATACAAGAGTAATAAATGGAATTTGGTCTCATAATTTATAGAATAAATGCTGAGATTCAAGGGGAATATCGATGAAGATTTATATAATCTTTTGATCTCCTTGTGAATGTACTTTCTTTAACACTCTCTTATCTAAAAACATAACGACACCCGTAATTCAGGAATATGTAACGTCCCCTAACATATTTAGAAATAGGATGCAGCCACAAATCATCAATTTATGCGTTAGTTAATCCGTTCATTCTCCCACCTAATATAAACTTTAAATTTGTAGACATTTAGTAAAATCTTCTATTAGTGTCTAACGAATTGTCTAAAATATTTTGAGCGCATGTATAATAACAATATAAAAAAAAATAGTTAGTGTTATTACTTGTAGATCCACATGATAATGGTGAGAGCCGTCACACCGGAGCCACCGGAGGCCGCTAAACCCGTAGCTAGCAAAGTAGTTGTAATACCCGCTGGTACGAGAACCGGACTGAAGACGAGGAATAGCGGCATGGTGGCGATAAATGCCACGGCCGTGCCAGCGAGGGATAGACCGGCGAGCAACAAGAGGAATATTGCGGCTTGGGTGGCCAAAAACGCCGTTAAAATACTCTTCATTGTCGGCTTTGGAGGTCGTGTCTCAGGTTTTTTTTTCTTCCCGAACAGCGCCATTTTCAATATTTTGAATGGCAAGAGGAGAGGGTTCATGCTTGCTTGTTTGATCCGATGGTTGGGGATTTATGAAGAAGAGGGGATCCCTATGAAAAGAGAGAGTGGTGTGGTCTACGTGCACGGCACGTGCTTATATCCCCATGCGAAACGATGCGAGTGAAAGTTGAGCTCTACGTCACGTCAATGCCTTTTCTTTTCTTTTCTTCTTTTTGTTGGGTTGTCACATTTTTTGGGCCTCTTTTCTTCGCTTTCTTATGAATTAAGAGTCATTTTGGGTTTGTTTTCGTGTTTGGTTTAGCCATTCATGTTTGATTTGGTTTTCGACTTTTAGTAAAAGTGTATCTAAATTTTCTTCTTCCCATTCTAACAATATAAATTTAGCCGTTGAAATTCGCTTTGGCCATCAAAAGACTGATCAGAATGTACTTCTCAAGTTCTCCTCATAATTAATCAATATAGTAGTGACTTCTCTTATATAAACCCCATTTCCCGAAATTTCACTTTGTTACATAGTTCGTCGATTCATGGATCTCGTATTATTCTGAGTTAGTCTTTGTATCTCTCTTCCAAATACTTCATATTTCATCTCATCAAAAAACAAATTGCTTCTATATTTGTTTTGAAATCTGTTTTTATGCGATATTCTTATGTCTGAATGGGATATTCTAGATTCTTATCCGTTTCTTTTTTTTGATGAACATAGTTTTTTTTTTATATATGCTCCAATTATATTATACGAAGAAATATATAGACTTTAATTAAAGAGGAGATGTGATTTGTCTTAGTCATTACTAATTCGACTCTTGCTATAATAATGAAACTAGAGGTCCTCCTTCAAGGTAAAAAAAAAATATCAACCCCCAAGGTCATAAAGATTTTCTACCTCGACTAAATTAGTTTACATCAGATCAATTTTCTTCTCTTTTGATTCATAAAAGTTTATTGGTTAACATAGAAAAAATAAGGCAAGTCTCTTCATGGCATTGGTGATATAACTCATAGGTTCAGATTTTCAGTACGTAGGTACTAAATACTATGACTGTGTAAGGTGCAAGTATCAAATAGTCACCTCCACTATTCATACTTTTTGCGGAATAAATTTGGACGTTGAAATAGGTCAGTCTCTTAATAGCCTGTTGATATTTTATCGAGTTTGTATTATTGTATATGACAAATGACTTTACCCATATAACTATTAAATGATGCGGTTCGAATTTCACACATTTCGACTAAAAGTATAATAAGTGACAAATGGGGAAGAAACAATAAACGTTATCTGTTGAGCAAACCAAAATTCACGGAAAACCATGATTGAGAAGTTATAGGCAGTCATGGTTTAGGCTAAGCGGATTATGACATCAGGAGACGATGCTAAATCTTTTTTGTATTTTTGTTATAATATATGTTTTTTTGTCTTCGGAAGACATGTAATATTAATTAATAATATTTTACTTTTTTAAATACGTTTAGCTGTATTTTCATAAACCACCACAAAATTAATAGAAACGCGATATTTGTCTAGACTGGGTAATCAATAATCATTATTCAATTATGAAAATGCAAATAATTAACATACCAATGACAACAACAAAAAAACATATCAATGACAACCAACAATAGTGGAAGATGGCGCGCACCATTATATTTAAAGTATCAAAATACGCAAATAGGACATCCAAATCATTCATATTAATATATGTTCATAATCATATTATCATCTCTTTATAAAAAAAGAGGGTAGATTAGGTTTAATTTTTGTGGAGCCCTCGAAATTAATAAAAATATCCAATAATCAAGTTGCTTCAAATCATCTTCCACCAGGAGTGAGGCCTACCAGGAAAACAACTTGATTGAGCTGTCTTTCCTCTTTTAAAATTTATCCTTTATATGAAGCTTTTTATAATACAGAATCTACTGTTTTTTTTTTCGAAATGTTAGATTCAATTTCATTCAGGTAAAATAGTAAATGATTGGTTGCAATCAAATTTTGATTCTTTTTACTGGATTTTTGTTTGACATCTAGCTCTTTACTTTACAAAGAATTTTGAAATGGATTAGTTTATTTATTTGTTTATTTTTGTCATTAATTCTGCATCATGGCAGAATGATGACTATATAAAAAGGTGAGTCAACAAATTTACGTGACTTGGTGAAAAAACAAAATATACGAAAATTAAAATCGTAAAGATATTTCGTCATTACGCCACAATACCAATAATTCTAAAAAAATATAATAGAAACAAACAAAATAATGTGATGTTAGGAAACAAGAAACCAAAATAACAATAATGTGATATATGTATATATGCAGTGCCGTTGAGAATCAAGTGTTTTTTAAGCAGTCACCATCAGAGAGGTAAAAGACAAGATAAGCACAAATGAGAAGATTCATCCTTAGAACCAAAATGTAAAAAAAAAGAGTATAGGTTGATTACAGTTTTTCATGTGAAGTGTCACGTCACGCAACAACTTGATGAAGGTCCTTACAAAAAGTTCGACGTTGTCTTCATAAATTGTATTTTTTAATTGATAAGACTTATTGTGACCCATCCGTAAAACCACTAATAAGAGAGCGACAAAACCATAAGAGCTTATAGTCCCTACTGTAATCAACCATGGCTGCCAAAACTTTGTGATTACCTTCTTGTCTCCTATTCTTTTCCCTTTTAAATATCGGAAGCAAAAGATCAAAGCTTTTGCCCAAACATCACTTGCAAACTCTCTCTCTTTCTCTTTTTTTCTCTATCTCTCTCTCGTCTACGTCTTGTCTGGGGAAAAAGATGACGACTTTTGAGGAAAGCTCTGATTTGGATGCTATACAGAAGCATCTCTTTGAAGACTTTATGGTTTCTGATGGTTTCATGGGAGATTTTGACTTTGATGCTTCTTTCGTCTCAGGACTCTGGTGTGTAGAACCTGTGATGAATCAAGTTCCTAAACAAGAACCTGATTCACCGGTTCTTGATCCGGATTCGTTCGTCAGAGAGCTCTTACAAGTGGAAGTCGAATCATCTACATCAACGGGAATCTCAGAGCTGAATTCATCATCACCACGTGAGACTGACCAGATTGTCTCTACCGCGAAAAAAGCAAAGAGGTTCGAGGAAGAAGAAGAACCGAGGCATTACCGAGGAGTGAGACGAAGGCCGTGGGGAAAATTTGCAGCAGAGATTCGGGATCCGGCAAAGAAAGGATCCAGGATCTGGTTAGGAACGTTTGAGAGTGATGTTGATGCTGCAAGAGCCTATGACTGTGCAGCTTTCAAGCTCAGGGGAAGAAAAGCCGTCCTCAACTTTCCTCTCGACGCCGGTAAATATGAAGCTCCGGCGAACTCAGGACGGAAAAGGAAGAGAAATGATGTTCCGGAGGAGCTACAAAGAAGTCAGAGCAATTCATCATCCTCGTCGTCAAGTGATGGAGAAACGACCTTGTGAATGATGGCCTTTAACAATTAAGAGTGTGAGCAGTTTCGTTGTATAAGTTGTTAATTTGTACAGAGAAAGTGAAGTGTAGGTTAGTGTGCTTAAGGGACTCTTGCAACAAAATTATATAGATGTTCTGTTTCTTCATGTCCAAAACCAAAAGACCCTAAGATTTAGAAATAAGTTCTTGTTTCCAAGAATGTTCTCTTGAGAAATTTGAGTTTCCGATCTTTAAATCCATGATGAGTCAATGGTTTAGAACCAGGACAAACAAATCAATCGCATGTTTAGTAGCTGAAATTAGAAATGAACACAAATATTAGAATTTTTTTTTTTTTAATCATTATTAATTGTAAAGGCACTTGTCAAACCGTTCTGAACAAAATAAAGATCTGAGAAATCCCGTTTTTTTTTTTTGCTTTGAAAATTTTGTTTCAAATGTAAAACGCAAACAAACAAATTTTGCGTTTGAAAAACAACAAAGGTCTCAATTTCCCACATAGAAACTTCACTGAAACCGCTTCAACAAGTGAGTGTACCTAATGTTTACAAGAGGAGAGGAGAAGGGGGAGTGAATCAAGATGAACAAGTTGCATGAGGGACCATTTTTAAGAATGTAGCAGCAGCAAGTGTTTTGTCTCATAGGTTAGGTATAAGTCAACATTCATTGATAAAGAATATGGACCACAAGCTACAGAGTCCAGTGACTTTGTAAGAGAAATGCACAACTTGCAAATGAAACTATTAAACAGGGAAGAGATATTTATCTAAATATCTAATTCTCCTTGTTGACAATTTGGTCTTGAGTATTAATAACAGTGAGAAACCAGGATACCATCTTCAATCTCTTTCTCTGGTTTCCTAGTTTTATTGATATTTTTCTTATGAGAGATAATCATATGTTTTCTTGTTTAAAACCCTTACCAGGTGGATAAGAATCCTAATTACCAAAATGGGAGTATTTTTGAACAAAACGAGATATCTGATATTACCTATATTTAGTCTGGAGAGATTTTCACTTTGTAACTCAAGAAAGCTTTTTATACATTGAAAATAATTAACAATCACTAGTAACAGTCTCTGAAAAAATTAAAAATAAAAAGAAATACATAAGGAATCCTCATTCATCAGAGCTGTAGTCGCTGGACTCAGGCAGAGGCGGGACAGTGGCACAGCAGAAGGCGTCTTTATCTTTGAGAAGGAGACAGCTTCCGTCAATGTTCCATTTGAGGTCGGTTATAGAGAAGCCAGGGAGAGGATTGCATACACAGAAGGCACCCGAGGGAGTCCACATGTAGAGGTGAGAGCTTCCGGTGCATAGGAGGAGTCTGGTGCAGGTTGGGTCCCACACAGCGGCTCGGATAGGTTCCTTCTGTACCAGGATGGCTGCAACCTCGAGGCGTTGCATGTCCCATATCCATAGTGCAGTGGGCATACTGTCGTTTCTTGTGCATACATACTGGCTGTCTTTGCTCCAAGCCAAAAGGCCTAAGAACATTTTGGAAGAGTTTAGCTTTTGGAATTTAAATACAAAAAGACGCAAAGTTCTCCATATCCGATTCCAGTTTCTAATTGAAGAGCTTACCAACTCCTTGTTTTGGGTTAGGCTTGTCAGCGAGAGGTTTCTGGAAAGGCAAAGCCACCGGTAATTCCATGACGTCATACCTGACACTAATATAGCCTTCCGAACCATCTGGACACAGAACCACAAGAAATGATTGAAAAGTGTATTTTTGTAACGATTACAGCCAACAAGAGCGTTACGGAAGATGTCCCAATCAGCAAAGGATGGGTTTGGAACCGTGGTTACCATAATTGCTTGGCATAAAGTTGTCATCCAACGATAACTCAGACATATCGAGCTGCAAGGGTTCATCGATTTCCTAGAAAAAAGAGTAATGAACAATATAGGTCAATACACGCCTGAGTTGACAAACAGCATTTGTCCTGTTGTTAGAAACCTTTTTCTTGATCAAAGAATGGGAAAGGCCCTACCTTGAAAATAGCAGCACAACAGGGCGCACGAACCGTTGATAGGTGTAAAAACTCAGCAAAGGTTTTCCAAGTAAGGTGATTCAGGACCCGTAACATCTGGTCATAGCTACCAATGGCAAGAAACTGACCACATGGAGACCAGGAAACAGTCTTTACACCAAGTCCACATTCATATGCCTGATACTTAAATAGACACCTACCATCTGGAGAATATATTAGAACCTGCCCAAAGATTTATACAAACTTAAGACCGACAAAACCAAACATAACCAATTTCCAATAACAAGATTCAAAAGTAGCGTCAAGATCAAAATGATACGGACCTTATACTCAAGAGGCGAATCCCAGACTACAATAGAACTATCATCAGGTGACCACTCAAGATCAGCCAAGTCCAAGGTGTCAACAGCGAAGCTACCCATAATCTCCCATGATTGACAAGACAAGAGGTTTACGTAGTCCTTGCAATCACGCCGTGTACAGATCGCTGCAAACTTTCCGTCTTGATTGAACGAAACTCCCTTGGAGCCATGCTTTGGCCACTGAACATGAACACACGCCGTGTTCAGGAGGGACCAAACTGTTAACCGCAGCTGAAACTCCGAGGTTGTGAGTATATGGCGGCTGTCTGGGCTCCACCTAGCGTATGAAATACCAGCAGGACCTTCATCAATCTTGCAAGTCCATTCTGGTTGTGTCAATGACCAAGCTTGAATCATCGGCTTTTTGTAGAGGCCACAAAGAATGTACTCAGAGTCAAGGGCCCATTCTATGTAGCTTATCTTATCTAAGCAAGAAAACAATTGCACAACCTGCATTTACAGATACGCTTCACATTCATCACATGTTCATAAGATCCACACACAAACAAAAAAACTTCAACGATCTTATAAACCATCGCTCAGGTTCCAATTTTTAAAATTAATCAGAATCAAGTAGCTTATACCCAGTTCAAATTACGAGATCTAGTTGCATTTGAACATTAGAAGATAAGTTTTTTTTTGTAAGATCCAAAATCTCCTAGCTAAAATTTGCCATTCTGCCTCCGATTTCAAAGCGAAATCAAGGGTTTAAGATCAAATCTAACTAGTAGTTACCTGGAACGAAAAAGTATCTCGGATCACGAGACGATAATCATTGGCGACGGCGACGTAACGAGAGTTTGGGGAGAAACAGCAAGGTCCCGTCTGCTTGTAAGCCTCTGTAAATTCCATATTTTGAGTATCTGTAAAGGGATTTTGCGACAGATTCTCAGGAATGGGAAGAATCAATGCCTACAATCTTCTATAAACTAAGCTCCTCGATTCACACTGACTGCGAGGAGCCATGGATACTGTCGCCGAGATAATTTTTTCAAAATTGAGATGAAAGAGAGATTATCGGGTCGGGTTCATATTGGGTAGGGTGGGTCATGGCCCATGGCTCATGGGTATGGCTTTCAGATTAAAGTGGGCCTCTCTGGCTCATTTACTTCAACCAGTTTGTTGGTGGAATAATAATAATACGCTTATCGATGAATGCCGTTCATATCAATGAAAAAGAATAGTCATTGTATTTGAATTACGTGTTCTCATCATAATTATTATTAAAGTTTGTATTTAAAAAAATATATATTTTCATTTATAATTGTTTATATTATATATAAAAAGTTACATCTTTTAATATTATATATTGCATTTGGGAGAAGAACTGAAAGCTAAAAGATGATTAATGGCGTTCTCTTGATTCTTTTTGCAAAACATGTGGAGAAATCGAAACTATGGTTCCCAGGCTATCGATTTTTCTTTTTTGTTCACAACTTCTGGGTCTTGTACGTAAGAATTTTAATATTTATTTCCTTGAAACATGTTTTAGGGGACTTTCTTTTAATGTGTAATGCTAGTGCAAAACTTAACTTTCCATATAGTGTTTTGTGATATCTTGGATATGTTCACTGTTTATATTTTTTTCATGAGTGGTAGGTTCTACACAATGGAGCACCTACCCGTCACTTGCATTTGGGACAACGAAAACACTTGGATTCCTGATTTCTATGATATTCGTAGATCTCCGAATGATATCACAACCAAAACGATATCAAAGGCAAACATAAAGTGTGGAGGAGCTGAATGTAACAAATGGGTTACACAATATGGACAAAGTGATCAAAGGTTAAAAACTTCTAACTTTTTTATCATTTTTTTATAAAATTGGTTCTTCTATTTATATGCTTATGAAATTGTTTATATGCTTATCAACTTGGTTCTTCAGTTTTTTTTTTTTCTTTTTCATAACAACTGATGAACCTGACGTGTAAGCAATGACTGATATACGAAGTACATATTGCTGATCAACGAAGACAAAGATTTCCTTAAGACTAGAAGATTTTATATGATGAACTTGATGTATACCTAATGATTGCGCTGCTTGGAAATTCTGACATTGATGAGTGCTAATGCCAGAGCTAGCTAGTAGATATTGGAAGTCGAAGGACAAGACTTTTGGAGTTAACCATACTATGATAAATGGAGGGAGTCCTTTCCGATTCACTAGTAGAGATATATGCAATTAACATATTTTGCAGTTGTAAGTTACAATAATATGCGCTAACTGCACTTCGTTTTTGTATTGCCTTTGTGATACAATACAAGCAGTCAACCGAAGAGGAACTTAAAAACAGACAAAGCCAGCAGAAGATATTGAGGAATTTAATATGTTTGTTTAAGTGTGACATAAAGTATGGATTATGTACTACATATTTTTCTAGTCGCCGTCAAACTATAGAATGTTTCCAAATATTGATTTTCGGTTCGGTTTTTGTTCAGATAATTGAAATTATTTTTGAAAACAATAGTTTACTAAATTAAAAACCTACCGTATATACCGATTTTGGTTTCGAATCAGATTCAACTGTTTATTAGATATACTCTTTTTTTTTTAATATAGATTAAGATTTAGTTCCATTTTCGGTTCCAAATTAATTAAGAATCTTGTCCATATTAAATTAAAGCTCAATTTAAGTTTGTGATATTTTCTTTTTCCGGTACGGTTGATCTGGGATTGACATCTTTATTTGTAAGACAGTAAGAGTAAGGATTCGTATTTCACATCTGAGTCCACAAATTTTTCCTGTATTTCTCTAATATCCTACTATCATCAGAATATATCTTCAAAAATCCTGTTATTCCCTCGTGTATACCACCAACTCGAACCCCTTTATCTGATTATCTTAGAGACTGCTCGTAAACTTGGTCTTTCGAACCGGTTCAGACCTGTTTGTTCACCAGACGTGTCACACAAGCAACCTGGAAGAGGGTTTGCATAAAAAATCATCCTCCAACTTTGGACCTACCTTTCAAGGCCGTCTAAGATACGGAACTCCTAATCTTTTCCGATGTATTCTCTTAATCTCCAACGAGAAATCTTCCCAGGACATGTGTCCCACATCGAGCCGATCAATCAATTTCCCGAATCTTAGCCTGAAAAGCACAAATAAAATGTCAGTCTTAAGCGTAACGGAAAAAGGGTTTCATCACGCAAGAAACAAAACCGTACTTATCGAGGTTAATCGTTTTTCCAAAACCTTCGAATCTCCAGTGACCCAGAACCGCTTTCGCCATGTTTCCATCATAAGTATAAGCGAAAACAGTGCTAAACTGTAATCAAGAACAGCTAATCTGCTCTGGTAAGGTTTAATAGTCGAAAGCTCTTCCTCGGTGACCAATGTAGAGTGAAAGAAAACGTTTGGGAACTCTTCGTGGAACACATTCACACTGTTCTCACCGAAGATCTATCCGACAACAGTGTCCATTTTCCGACTTTCGTGGTCGAAGGAAAACCCATTGCCTTAAGGAACACGGCAGCTTCACGCGGTGTCATAGAATTTAGTTGAGTTACTTCGTGGAGAGTGGAAACAATAAGAATAAGATCGAACCGGGGCTGGTTTAGGAGTAGACACATATAGATAATTGGAGAATTCAAGATTGTGTTATGGTTTTTATTTTTGTAACTCTTTATTAAAGAATAGTTGGCTCAGAACTTGTGAGAAAGTCGTGCCTCAGTTAAAATTTTTTGCAAGTAAATTTAATCGATTTTATCAACTCATTCATAATGATTTACTATGATTTACATATTGGGTGGGGTGGGCTCTAGTCAAAACGTGAAGCCCGCTATCACACCATCGTTACCCGTACACTTTGACTGAGATTCTCCACTGTTACCGTTGCAGAGCAACTATGAGATGAGATTACTTACTTGAACCCCTACTTTCTGATCCGTTACCAAATCAGTGATGATCTCTGATTTTCTGCAAAGCTTTCACCTTTCGCTTTCGGAACCAAAAAGGTGTGCTGCTTCTAACAGCAATCCAGGCCATTCAGGGCTTTCTGGTATGTTGACGTCCCGAGTCGGAGTTGCTAAGAAAACACGGTAACATCTAGATTCCAAATATCCAAGCACCCGCAAGGATAACGTGTCATCACCGACTTGATCTGAGACTACGATCACATCTGTTGGATGAGGATGGTCCCGAGGAGAGTCCATTTCCCATAAAAGAATGTCATTTAACATTCTGTGAAGTCTCGAGGCCCCTCCGGGAAGAAAGTAGATTCTTGTTTCCCACGTCTTCTTACGCAGATACTCACCACCCCAAGACTCGTTATTCTCATCAGCATAGGCCCAGATTGACATCTCACCTCTAAAACCCCTATCACCAAGAGCTTTGACGATTCTGCGATGGATCACATCGGGATCGGAACAACGAGGGAACGGGCAATCCTCCAAGTTCCAGAAGACGACCGTCTGATCCCCTTTGACGGGTGTGATACGCTCCAAGAAATCTTCCATCTTGGAGATATCGAATTGGGAACTAGCGTCAGAGTAACAACGTTTGCGTATAGGCATTCCTATACATAAAACTTGTCCAGGGAGTTCTCCACCTAAAACTGCTAGTGATTCTTCATGCCAAAATGGACGTCTTTGTGCGATGTCATCTACAACTACGAGAAGGGTGAAATTTCTCGATTTCAAACACTGCTGAACCCTCTGCAACTCCCCTTCTGGGCTTTGTTTTGCGATTACCAAAATTTTTGATGGTCCCCTCGTGGCTGCGCAAAAAATCATATCCAGAGGCATTCTGAAACTAGCCGAATTGTCACCCCCTGAACCTATATATATATTTATATCAACAAAGAGATGTTTGGGATTACAGACATATATCAAAACTAGAAACGTCAAGAGAGTGTTATGAGTATAGGAATATACTTGCGGGTAAGTGGTACTCGATTCCGCCCTCCCGCAAGTCCTCTGCGCTGAGGTTGAGACGGTCACCATACGCCCAGATTTCCGGCAGCCCACGAAAGCCCATTTCTTCAAGACGTACACCGATAACCGAACCCATCTCAAAAACATTGCGTCCTTCAGGGGGTGGGTACTCATCCGAGTTCCAGAAGACTTGGATCTTTTCTTCGACCTCATGCTCTGTGTGAGGTTCTGAACGTTTGCTTTCGGAACGAAAAAGGGCTAATAGCGATCCTGGCCACTCGGGGCTTTCTGGTGTGTTGACGTGCTGAGTCGGAGTTACTAAGCAAACACTTGAACTCGACTTCAAATATCCAAGTCTACTGAAGAAATCCGTGCCCTTTCTGGCTTCATCTGAGACTACGATCATATTTGCTGGATCGGGATGGTCCACAAGACAGTCCATTTCCCACAAAAACATGTCATCTAACATTCTTTGAGGTCTCGAGGCCCCTGGAAAATAGTATATATCAACGGAACTGAGATATAGATTACAACATACATATAAGAAAAGAGTGTTTTGGAGGGAGAATTCTCACCTCCGGGAAGAAAGTAGATTCTGGAATCCCACGTCTTGTTACGCAGATACTCACCACTCCAAGACCCATTCTTCTCATCAACATAAACCCATATTGATATCTCACCTACAGAGCCCCTTTCATGGAGAGCTTTCTGGATTTTGCTATAGATCACATCAGGGTGGGAACAATCAGGAGGGAATGGGCAATCCACGACGTCCCAGAAGACGACTGTATTATCCCCTTCGACGGGAGTGATACGCTCTGCAAGGCATAAAAACGAATTACGAAAATACAGATGCATTATTATACTATGAGAGATGAAATCTAAACAAACAATGAGAGGTCTTACCGGTGAAATCCAAGATTTGGGGGTTGTTGCTTGTAGGATTTTCTCTACTTAAAACTCGTGTACATTCAAGTACTGATTCCAAAGAACCAAATAGCGCTTCTTGTGCGGTGTCATCCACTACGATAGCAGTGTGATTTCTCGACTGCAAACACTGAATAACCCTGCGCCACTCACTCTCTGGGCTTTGCTTTGCGATTATTAAAAAATTTGATGGTCCCCTCTTGGCTGCGCAAATAATCATATCCACAGGCATTTTGAAAACAGCCGTTTTGTCACCGCGTTCGGGTATGTGGTACTTGATTTCGGCCTCCCGCATCAGAGCTCTGCCGTGGTTCATACGGTCACCATACGCCTCGAAGTTCGTGTACCCAGCAAAGCCCAATGTCGGAAGCGCTTGTTCGATATTACGACGAAAATAACAAAGATCGGCATCATCAGGGATTGGGTAGTCGTCCAAGTTCCAGAAGACTTGTGTATCCTCTTTATGCTGTCTGTGGACAGGAGGCTCAAATACGTATGCTTCATCGAATATCAATTTTGGCCATTCAGATCTACATGGATCTTTGATGTCGTCCCGCGTCGGAGTGGCTAAGAGAACCCAGGAATGCCCGTCACAGAAACGTTCAAGCCTGCTGAAGAAGTAGGTGTCATCTGTGAATTGATCTGAGACTACGATCAATTTTGGTCTAAAAAGCTGCCCGTCTTCAAAAGAGTCCCTTGTCCATAAAAGAAGGTCATTTAACATTCTTTGGGGTCTCGAGGGTCCTGGAAAATAGTATATACATATATCAACGGAACTGAGATGTAGATAACAGCAACATACATATAAGAAGAGAGTGTTTGGAGGGAGAATTCACCTCCGGGAAGAAAGTAGATTCTTTTATCCCACGTCTTGTTACGCAGATAGTTGCCACTCCAAGACCCGTTCTTCTCATCAACATAAACCCAGATTGATATCTCACCTATATCATCGCCCGTTTCATTAAGAGCTTTCTCGATTTTGTCATAGATCACATCAGGATCGGAACAACGAGGAGGGAATGGGCAATCCACGACGTCCCAGAAGACGGCTGCCTTATGATCTCCTTTGACGGGAGTGGTACGCTCTGCAATAGGTTCATAAAGAATTACGAAATACAGATGCAATAGGTTCAGTAACCATTATTTTACTATGACAGATGCACTACAAACAATGAGAGGTCTTACCGGAGAAATCTTGGATCTTGGAGACATCCTCCTCGTTACATTTAGGCTTTCCTTTACATAAAACTCGTGTACATTCAACTAGTGATTCTAGAGAATGATGTGCGGTGACATCAGGCGGCTCTACTACGGTGTGATTTCTGGATTTTAAACACTGAAGAACCCTGTGCCACTCACTTTCTGGGCTTTGTTTTGCGATCACCACTACATTTGCTTCATGACACGCTTGTGCCCGAGTAATCATGTCCAGAGGAATTTTGAAATCAGGCGACATCCTGACAAGAGCCGACTTGTAACCCCCTGTAACTATATATCAACAGAGATGTCCATTAGAGACATATCGTAAGTAGAAACGAGCAAGAGTGTTACGAAATAAGAATTTACTTTCTGATAAGTGGTAAGTGATTTCGGCCTTCTTCCACTCATCTTCGCCGTGCTTCAGATGGTCACTATACGCCCCGATAGTCACGCACCCACGAAAGCCCATTCTAGAAAGAGCTTCTTCGATTTTAGGACGCATAGAACAAAGATCGTCGGCACTAGAAGGGAGTGGGTAGTCCTCCGAGTTCCAGAAGACGAACGTTTCATTGTCTTGACAAAAAGGGACAAAGGCATCAGCAAATTACGATATAAAGATGAAATCTTACAAACAATTTCGAGTAATAGATGGGGAGAGAGAGTTCTTACCGAGGAAATCTGCCATGCCCATGGTTCGATTCGACGGAGAGAACTGGAGACTTTCTCGCTAAATTAGGGCTAGATCGGGGGCTTTGAATGTGTCCTACGGATGAGAGAGAGAGCCTTTAGAGAGGCTTCTTCAATTTAAGTGGGCTTGTCGGTAGCGGATTGCGGACATAAAATCTTAAGCCCAAGCCCGCCCCGCTCTTATTTTGCGGCATCTGTTGTTCAATCATTTTTTTTTTTTTCCTTGTTTATTAGAAAAATGAAAAGTGTTGAGGTTTTCTTTTACGGTTTTTCACACAATCTAATTAAGGTTTTGATGTGCCAGCAAGAAAAAATCTAGCTTTTTCAACAGAAATTTGAACTGTCCTTGTTATTGTACAGTCATTAAATTGGAGATATAGGTTGCAGAAGCTTAAAATGCAAAACAAGGAGGAAATATTTTGTGAAGTTGACGCTATTTGAAGATTTGAAGTGTGGAATGTTACTATTTCTAATCCGTAGGACAAAAGCTAGATAACTCTTTAGGATGCCTTTTCCTTTTGTTTTCTTTTTGTAACTTCTAGCAAAGCAGATCTTCCTTAAGAACTGACAATGGTGTGTCAATATGTATGTAAGATGATGGTTTGTAATTTGAAGAAGCCAACTTGAATTGGTTTATTCAGTGTTTTATACAGAATAAATCCCACTTCTATACTAAAAATTCGATTGTTACATCGATTAGGCTTATTTTACAGAGCATATGATAGAGCTTTTGTAGTTTTGTGGACAACCTAAACCTGAAATTGATTCGTCGATTGGACGGCTAATATAGATGCATCCATCTTTTGGGTGATTTGGAAGTGTTACAAGAAAGAAAATAATGATTTAAAAAAGAAAAAAGAAGACTAACTGTTATTACAGAAAAACTTATGTCATAAATACCTAAAATTTGGGTCTTGAATAAATGGGATGACGACATAAAGGACAGGAGCTTTTGGTCCAGATCCATCGCCAAAGACAAACTTTATGAAAAACATGGAAACAATCATGTAACTCTGTACCCTCCTCGTCATCGCATAAATCCTCAAGGCAGATGCTACACTCTTTGACCGGATCAATCGATTTGGGGATACAAGTTGACCAGCCTTTACTCTCTTCCATCAAGTGCAGTTTAACATCCTCCGCATCAGCTTTGAGCTCGAAGGCTCTTCCCCCGCTTTCTCCGTAGAGTTGAATGGCATTCAAAACCAAAGTTTCCCGAATCCTTTCTTCAACATTCTTCAAAACAAGAGACCCACATGCGTCTGTCCGAAAAGTCGTTCTTTTCCCGTGATCGGCCGGTAAACATCTCGTCGGAAACTCTTTAGTGTAATAGAGAAACGGCAGTTTGAACTGAGGCTCGCTGAGAAACTAACCGGGTAGAAAAACACTTGCCGGCTCTTTTGCATCACTCTTGTTTTCCCACGCAACACGATTGATTTTCGATTCTTCTTCAGAGTATTTATTCGATCCGGATCCATTACAACATTATTTTTCCTTTTAGCGTGTCATCTAAGCAACCAAATATATATTCTAGCGTGTTATCTAAGCAACAAAATGTATAATTCCTTCTTGTTTAATTTTAGAACGATGTCGTCTTTCTTCATCTTTTCCTTGTTATGTCTCAGACCAAAGCAGATCTAGTTGTTAAAAAAGAGATTATAAATAGGTTCTTCCTCTTTGACCAAAAATCCAAAATTCACAATCTTCCTAAACGGCAGCCTAGGGTTCTCCATGGACGAGTGCGAGCGCGATATGAGTACCAATACCATCCCGGCAAAGTAATATTCTTCTCCTAATGGATTTCTTCTTCTTACCCAGTGTCTTGTTTCTCTATATATTCATGGTTTCAGGAAAATATTATATCTGAAATTGATATTTCTGATTTATACTCTAGGGGTTACCACTGTTCGGTGATGATACTCGCGATGTTTTCAAATCCTTGTATGAGTTCGACAGAAGCCAGTAAGTTATTTTGGAGATTTGTATATGTAAGATGGATGTGTTGTTAATTACAGTTGTTGATAATATATTGATCTCCTTTGCAAATTCGGGTTAGGATTAGCGTTGAGGGATACAACACTTCGCTTCCTGTGGAGGATGTCATAAACGCGTTGGATAATCACTTCAAATCATGTGGAGAAGTCTGGGATGTTAGAAATTCCCAAAGACCCTGTAACCAATGCTAACGACAGGTTTGTGGCCTCGTGAAATTATTTTTCCCTTGCACAATGCTTAGCTACTTAAAGAATAAACTTAGTTCTTGTTTGTATGTTTGTTTTTGTTGTAAATGTAACAGACGTTCTATTGTTGTTCTTCGCAGAAGAGAAGGCATTGCAACTTAATGAAAGTGACATGGGAGGATGTGCGTCGTGTGTCCTTTTTGTCTCTAACTCCATTGCTGACGTCAGTCTACGCATTTGCCTACGTGCATTACGCTAATCCCATAGGTCTTGTTGCATTTTTCTTAAGTCCCATTGTTCCAGTGCACATGAGACCTCAGAGATATTACGTCTCTTAAAGCCCACTAAAATTCTGACATCGCATCAGCATAGCCAGACCCCACTTGATATGCACTACGTGACAACTGACAATGCATCAACCAAACCCCTGTTTCATCACCAAGAAACCAAACATTATTCTCAAATCAAATGACCAATGTTATAATTATTTTCCTACATATGGATCTCTGTTAGTTACCTGGATTATCCGCCACGATTCTGATAACAGCCCATCCATTAACAGGAACCGACACGGTGTTTCTTAGTGGAGGATCAACGAGGTTAAAATTTAGACGTATCTTTCATGGGATCAAAGTTATCAAAACCTTCGACGTCAATGTAGAAATCGTAACCGTGAAGATGAATCGGATTCTCCGACGTAACAATGTGTGTACCCTGTAACATAACCTGAACTCTCGATTCATACTTGAGTTTATGCAGTTTAGTACCCTTAACTGGCTGAAACAGAGCCTGGCTAGTGTTATTTCCAGTATAATCAAATTTAACCGGCAGTTTAGCTTGAAAATCTGTCGTGAAAACGCCGTGAATTCCGTTGGAATGAGCGAGAAATTCGACGGTAGAACAAACGAAACATTGTTCATAGGGGTGGTAAACCGGTTCCGTTTAAGCCTTGGCACCGGTTTTTTGGGGAAGTTCTTGGGACAGTTATCGAGACCTAAACCGATAATGAAAAACAAATTATCGTCGATTGTTTTCGGTATGATTACGTTACAGAGAGATTTAAATTTTCTGGAGAATGTTTTGCTGCCAGAGCTGCTTCCGCAGAAGACGCAGATCCTCCTGAATCTCGATTTTGTCTCTTCCATTTTTTTCTTTCTATCTGTCTTTTTCTTATTTTTGAAATACGAGGAAGAAGCACATATACAGATTTGTTTGGCTAAAAGGATCCAGGTAGGCGCTGGCTATATAAAAATTCTAACATGTTAGTTTGTGACAGTTTTTTTTTGGATCCCGTAGATTGTGACAGTTTTTTTTCTTTTTTTTCTTTACAATGTGTTATATTATGTTCTTAGTTATTGTGCTCTATGTGTTGTAATGTTTTCAAGTTCGTATTAAGATAACGTCTTCGTCCTCTTCTCTAAAGTGTTTGATGTCAAAGACTCAAAATTCACAATTTAGGGTTCTTCAAAACTGAGTCTTGGCTCTTTAGTAACTAGTTCAGAAATTTCCGTGAATTTGAGTTGTGTAATTCAATGGAAAGTGAATAACACACACAAAGTAACAATCTGTAGTTGGACTCAGTGAAACATGGGGCTCGAAAATATGAGTCTTGGGGCGGCTTTAAATCGTCGCAATCTCCCACGGAAAAAAGTGTCTGTGTAGATCTCTCGTATCTAGGTTTTACTTGTACCGATCTTTTGGAGTTTTCAAAGCTAAGCACCATGAGATAGTGACTTAGTCCTTCTCCACTATCGTCCAGATTAGGGTTTTTTCAATTTCAAGACTTTTCCAATTTATATTTATTTTTTCGAGGGGCCCCAATTTGGCTTATTTATTATATATAACCCGCGAAAGACCTTGACCCCCTCAACTAAACCTCAATCAAAATCTGTCAACTTTTTAACCCAATCGATCTCTTTTGGCAATAAGATTCCTTTGTAACGTTCTGGGTTTCGACAAGTTTTCATTACATCTTTTGAGTTTTTTTTTTTTTTTTTTTTTTTTTTTTTGTTTTTTAATAATCATCTGCGAAGAATCGGTAGCACGAAAATGGGGTGTTGCGCGAGCAATCCAGCAGGTTCGAAGGCTAATCGGATCTCGCGGTGGCGATCCACCGGCATTGTTGGGCTGCGCGACGCCAAATTGAAGGTAAAAATCGTCTGCGCTTATCTCTTTTACTACGAAAAAAAAATAATCCATGGGTGGGAACAATCATCGAAGATAAAACTGTCTTCTGTCTGGGTATTCATATGAAAAATTGTAGAGATGTTTTCTATGCGTATGATGGGTCTCTTGTTTGTGTTATTTAGAAAGCCATGAATGATTGAGAGAGTTTTGTTAGACGAAAAGCACAAACTTTGTTGGCTGGTGTACGAATTTGTTTTAGGGTTTTCTCGTTTGGGGATTTAACAGTGATTATGTGTTGATGGGTGAAAATTCACTGGTTTGGTTTTTGGTGAGCAGGCATTTCCTGATGAAGTGATTGAAATGGAGAGAGCAGTACGGACGCTCGATCTAACACACAATAAGATCTGTAAGTTCTTCATCGACACTTATCTTTTGATTGGTGTTCAAGAGTAGTACTTGAAAGACTCTGCTTTTTTTTTTTACCATTTATGCAGCTGATGTTCCTGGAGAAATCAGCAAGTTAATCAATATGCAGCGTCTGGTAAATGAGTTTTGCCTCTCTGTACTTGTTTCCTGGTGAATTTGGTATAGCTATGATCGTAGTATTTGATTCAATTGAATGCTTTTTGGTACTTGCTGGGAATGTTCTCTTGATACTGTTGATGATTAAAGTTAATCTTATAAAAATTTGCTTACTTTCGGCAGTTAATAGTTGATAATCTAATAGAGCGCCTTCCGGGGAACCTTGGGAAACTTCAATCTCTCAAAGTTTTGATGCTTGATGGCAACCGCATCAGCTGTTTGCCTGATGAATGTAAGAACATGTCTCTTTTTTTTTGTCCACTTCATGTCTTTTTCTGTGTGTGTCTATCTTAAAAACAATTTTGTGTTTTTGTTATGGTTATGTTTCCAGTGGGTCAGTTGATAAGGCTTGAGCAACTATCAATCTCAAGAAATATGCTCATATACTTGCCCGATACTATTGGTAGTCTGCGCAATGTACGTTAACTTCATTTACCCCCAAAAACATAATAGCTCAAAGGATCTGCTTGAAGAAAATTAATAATAAAATGAATTTCACTTGAAAATGCAGCTTGTGCTGTTGAATGTCTCAAATAACAGATTGAAATCCCTTCCAGAATCAGTAGGGAGCTGTGCTTCTTTAGAAGAACTACAGGCTAATGGTATGTTTCTAGCTTCGGTTCTCAAATTTCATTTCATTTCTTTGTTTGGTGATTCAGAAACATCAAAAAGTATTTGGAACATGCTGCTGTTGACTTTCCCTTTTGTGGTTGTTTCTTCTCCGAAGCCTAATCGTGATTCGGGATAGCCTTGCAGATAACGTTGTTGAAGAGCTCCCTGCATCACTCTGCAATCTGATTCACTTAAAGTCGCTTTGCCTAGACAATAACCAAGTGAAACAGGTAGAGCTATTGAAATGTGATTTTTTTCTTCAACCTTTTAAACTTTTTTTCGCTTAACTGAATCACTATTTTTGTTTTCCCAGATTCCAGATGAATTGCTGAAAGATTGCAAGAGTCTCCAAAATCTTTCTTTACATAACAATCCCATTTCCATGGATCAGTTTCAGCTGGTAAGTCAGTATAAGTTTATTCCACAACCTGAAAGAACACTCTTTTGAATTGCGGTTTGTGTAACATAGCTGTGTAAATATATAGATGGAAGGATACCAAGAATTTGAAGAGAGGAGGAAGAAGAAATTTGATAAGCAAATCGATTCGAATGTGATGATCAGCTCTAAAGGACTCGATGTAGGCGTTGATAAATGAACACTGTGGCTCAACGTCTCCTTAGTTCGTAAGTTCTTTCAGAATATAGATAGATTTGGTATTTGGTAATCTCTAATGTATCCTTCACTGGATGATAAAGATTCGTTTTTCTTTTTGGTTTTGTTTGTAGGTCGGATTGGTGAATGAGGATCATCGTTTCGTGTAAGAAACATTGTTGTTGTAAAACTCTCTCTTGCTCTAGAATCTCTGTTATCGTGACTCTGAAATTCATATGAACACATACACATTCACGAATGTATGTATATAGGCGTGTATGTGTGTGTGTGTGTATGTATCTGTGTTTACATATACATATAAACATGGCAAAACGATTCTTGCCTTTTGCCCTTGTATTGAGGAGATTTCTTGTTCTCTTTCTCAAACTCTTATTTTCTTCGCAAGAGATGGAACTGGCATTGTGTTTAGGCGAGAAAAGATTTCCGGCGGAAAAGTGATTCGCGTAAACGGCGGCAAGTGTTGGACGTGAAAGATGATTATTATGGCTACGAACTGGGACCTATAATAGGCCTTGCTTTTGGGCTCCAATAAAATATTATCAGAAGGCCCACCTAGTGTGGGATTAATAAGAATTTACCCAATCGATCTAACCGACCCGACTCGATTCGACCCGATTATCGTTTAAACAAAGTAGCTAGCGAGGGTCATTTTCACTAATATGCTTTTTTACATAACGTTTTGAAGAAACCCAGAGAACATAATTGGAGAATCATCAAATTCAAAATCATCCGGGGCTTACTTTCTCCGAACAAATTCGCCGTCGGAACTATCGCTGCTAAGGTAAGCCTTTACTGCGCTTGAATTCGTCTGTATCTCTATTTAAGGTTTTTTGTCTCTATATGCTCATCCACTTTCGTCCCGTGTTCGCTCTTTCTTTTTCCCTTACCCAATTCTGTGAGAAACTGAATTGGATCCGCGATTTAGTTTTTGATATACTCTTTCCTCTTTTGTTTGTTGTTGATTGCAATTTTATACTCCGTTGTTTGAAATTGGCCTTTTAGTCGGATAGTTTTCGTTTCCCCGATTACGTCAAATGAATCGAGCAGAAGCACCAGGCTTTTCTAATATTTATTAGTTTTAGCGAATAATTTTCCCTGTTAATTTGACTTATCTAGCTGTTTCATTATAGTCTAATTTGATTAGGGGGATAACAATTTGGATTTGTTTAAGTTAGTTGTGTACAACACAAAAACATGACAAGTGCTTCTGTATGCTAATGCTTTTATATGCCTTGGCAGTGGTAATTTTCTGTGTATAAATGTCGAGTAGCTCGGGAAGTTTCTCAGGAAGCAGTAGCTCGGCTTGTAGTTCCAGAAGCGATTGCGAAAACTCGTTTGATGCTGAAGAACTTGTGCAGATAGGCTCACGACGCAGGGAGGTAAACCCTATTTTCCCGCTGTTTGCTGTTTATCTACTCATGTTGATGATGCAAGTTTTACTCAGATATTCATTGTAAAGCAGTTTCTGACTGACTCTTACATTGATGAAGTCGATATTTGCTTTGTTTTGTAATTGGCAGCTAAGGAAAGAAAAGGACATGCTGAGAGATTCGCAGCCTCATAGTATCGAATTAGTCAGAGTAATTTCTTCTTCTTCTTCTTTTTCTTCTTCTTCTTCTTGTTATTGATATTATGAACATTTTGTGGAAAGTACTGTATATTCTTTTTCTAATTGGTTGAGTTTTCGGGCATTAAACTTCTCTTTACCACAGAGGTTGGAACTCCACTCAAAGTCATTGACAGAATCTCGCTTAGAAGACACGGCTAGAATTCAGACGATGGAGAAAGAGTTGTTGAATTGCTATAAGGAAATTGGTAATTCTTATTTGAGCCAAGCGATTTGGTTTTTTTCTGAACACATTTTCAGAACTCTTATGCGTCTATTATTCTTTGTCTTGTAGATTGCTTGCGAGATCAACTAATTTTCAAAAGCAAGGAAGTGAATTATCTCAATGAACATGTGCACGAACTCGAATTCAAATTGGCTGAATCAGGGAACTTTGAAGAAGAAGTTGACTGTTTGAGAGAGGAGTTGTGTATATCTAAATCCGAGCATCTGTTGTTGTTGCAAGAACTCGAGAGCAAAGAAACAGAGCTACTGTGGTCGTCTCTTTCTGTAGAGAAACTCGAGGAGACCATCTCATCCTTAACATTAGAGTCATTGTGTGAAATAGAAAGCATGAAGCTTGATATAACAGCGTTGGAGCAAGCACTCTTTGATGCAATGAAAATCCAAGAAGAAAGCATCCAAGAAAAAGATCAATTAAGAGGAATAATCAAAGAGGTCCAGTTTCTGTCTCAAGAGGCACAAGAGAATGCCAAGTCCTTTGAGAAGCAAAACGAAGAGCTGAGGGAGAGAATTGCCGCCTCTGAAAGGAGTATCAAAGAATTTGTTCAGAGCACTAAAGAACGGTTAGAAAGTGAAAACGAACAACCCCTAAATGCAGAGTGTTTCTATGCTGAACTGAGTCATGTGCTTCCAGTGTCCAATGAAGTTCGGTAAGTACCAGCTTAGAGACATGTTTACTACGACTAATTTGGGCTGTCCCCGTTTCTGATAATGTTGGTTTTGTGTCTCACAGCGTATGTTTCGATGCAATCATCCAGAAACTAAGACTTTCCCGGAATGTAAACTCGATTGATAAAATGGAGGGTATGAGGCTGCAGGAAGAAGATCTTGTGAAGAAGCTCAAGGTACTTTTAACAAATTGAGGAACTTTATTTTCTGCCTTCTGTACCATTACACAACTATCGTGAAGTGGCTCAATGTAACTAGTTTCGCTGTGATCTTTGGTATGTGCAGGAAGAATTGAAACAGGAGAAACTAAAGGCGAAGGAAGAAGCCGAAGACCTTACGCAAGAAATGGCTGAATTAAGGTATAAGATGACATGTTTGCTTGACGAAGAACGCAAACGCCGTGTGTGCATAGAACAAGCATCGTTACAGAGAATCGCAGAACTAGAAGCACAGGTACTACTTATTTATGCTTCCTTTTTTCTTAAGCATGCGCTTCTAAACCCCGAAGGAATCTAAGCTGTTGGCATCTTTCTTGTGTTGTTAAGATCAAGAGAGAGACGAACAAGCCCTCTTACACTGAGATGCTGCCTCTATCCGGGTTATTGAAAAAGTCTTGAGCTTTGATGTTTAGCTTTACCCAATTCACGCATCTTCACATTTCTTAGTCTCATCTATGGATTTTCCGAGTAATAGCAACTGCTTAAGCGTGCTTGGCTGGTGATCGAAAATCGGGATCTTTTATTACACCTCAAATGGTTGGATGGTCAGGAATCCAGAGACTTGAAGTGGCTGGAGAGAAACAACAGAGGTTTGAGTTAAACCTTTGATAAGATGTCTCGAAGAATATAGCTATAGAGATTGATTTATTTTTTAGTTTTGGAGTACATAATTGCCTTGGAACATAGAAATATAGTGGGTCGAGGGTATTATTGGTTTAGCTGGAGTTCCCATTTAAGAACTCATCTTTCTGGGTGTTCCTATAAAAATTAATTTGATAGAACTCTATGTAATGTACCATTGGAATTCGAGTTGATTGAGTGCATGTTAATGTTGAATAATTTATGTGTTGCTATACTATACCAACAAAGAAACTAGTATATTCTTATCACTTGCATAAGATATAAGCATGTACATACGTTTACTAAAATTACGATTTATGTATTTGTTTCTGTAATTTATCACAACTCTAAATTAAATAGCTGACAAAAAAAAAACAAAATCCATATTTCTCGTAAAATACATCTTATCTTATGCATATAATAATAACTTCACCCTACATGTATCTGATAGAGATTACAACCTAATTACTCTTGTTAGATTTTGTACTTAATTATCTACGAGAAAATCTGAAAATGTTGAAGAAAACAGAAGAAAATTTTGGTGTTTTCCTTCCACAAGTTTTTTTGTCGTTACACTTTTAATTTTTCATATTAACGTTAATAATTAGCTAAACTTTCTCACCAGTTTCCTCTCTCCTTGATAAACCTGTCGTACTCGTAGGATTTCGAAATTTCAAACTCAGTTCTTGGGTTCGTATCCGCGTTAAATCCCTCTTCTTCGTATCTGCAGTTTCGTACTAAGAAACCTCAGTGTTCTTCGTCTTCTTCTTTTCTGGGCTCTATTCGCTTATCCAGGTACGCCGCAATTGCGGTTTTGCTTTCTTTTGCACTGTGACTCTCTCTTCCTCGCTCCTCAATTCTTTAAAGTTCTCTTTCTTACGAAATTTTAGGTTTATTGTTTGTAAGCTTCAGTGGAGTTATTAGGCTGATCAAAAGACTACATATATCACATTATTCATTTTCTTAGCTCTGCGATCTACTTGATTGATAGAAATTGGACTTAATGATGGATCGTTGATCAAGAGAGAATTTCTTTCAGGTCTGATACAATGTTTGGTTTGAAGAAATCCCGGGAAAGACGTTCCAAGCATAAGCCGGCTGATTCTGGATTTCACCCACCTTCCAAATCTAATCCGTTTGATTCTGATGATGAATCGGATGAGACTAAACACATCTTCAAGCCATCAAATAGGATTTCCCCTGAACCTTCTGCAGCCGCTAAGAATTTCAGCTTCAACCCTTTTGATGATGATGGTGATGACGATGAGGTTGAGAAAGGATTCACTTCATTGTCGAAACACTCTTTGACTGCGGATGCAAAGAGTCGGTACAGAGATGATTTACGTGACTCAGGAGGTGTGGAAAACCAGACGGTTCAGGAACTTGAGAGCTATGCTGTGTACAAGTCTGAGGAAACAACCAAGACCGTGCAAGGGTGTCTGAAAGTAGCGGAAGGCATAAGGTCAGATGCAACCAGAACTTTGGTCATGTTGAATGAGCAAGGCGAGAAAATGACGAGGACACACCAAAAGGCTGTTGACATGGATCGTGACCTTAGTCGGGTGAGACGCGAGATTGAGATTTCAATAACCAATGCGAAAGCAGCTCTTGCTTGCTGGGAGGATGATTTCTTATTGTGTGTTTTGTGTTTGGTTTCAGGGTGAGAAGATTCTTGCGAGCCTTGGAGGCATTTTTTCAAGGACTTGGAAACCAAAGAAGACTCGCTCGATAACCGGTCCTGTCATATCCAGAGGTTTACTCTTCTTTCCATGATTCACTATTTGAATGAAACAAAATCTCCTGCTTGTTGCTTTACCTAACTCTTGGCTTTTTTTCTGAGAAGTTGAATCCCCCAAGAGAAAAGTTAACCTCTTGGAGACTAGGGAGAAGCTGGGGTTGAACCATCTGCCTAAACCACAATCAAGAACCCGTGAACCTCTCCCTGAGCCCGCTGATGTCTATCAGAGAGTAGAGGTTAGGATTTCTCCTTCTGTGGTTTCAAAACTTCTCTTTTGTTTGCCAATGTATTAAGTAAGAACCATGCTGGTGTTATAACAGATGGAGAAAGCAAAGCAGGACGAGGGACTTGCAGATTTGAGTGATCTACTCGGCGAACTGAAGAACATGGCTGTTGACATGGGAACTGAAATCCAAAGGTTTTCTTTCATATCTATCAACTCTCTCTCTATATATATATGTACCTTCACTACGAGTATTCCTCGATAACAAAATGGTTTATAAATGGAAATCGCAGGCAAAACAGTGGACTTGATCATCTTCAAGACGATGTCGACGAGCTTAACTTCAGAGTGAAACAATCCAACCAACGGGCTCGCCGTTTACTCAGGAAGTAAAAGCAGCCAGAAGAACTTTCTTCATAACCAGACTTGTCAGCTTCTCTATTCTCTTGATTGAATTTGTTGCTTTTAGTCATGAATCTTCTCTGAGCATAGATTTCAATGTTTTGATTCTGATGTTAATAAAGTTGAAACATTTGACTCCAAAAAAAACTGCAGAATCCTCTGACATTAACAATCAAAGACAATAGTTAAAACATTTGACTGCAAAACCACCGTCACGTTCATCAGAATCTAACCACTAACAAATGTTCAGACAACAACCTTTAACAGAATCAGATCAAGAACCAGAAGAAGAATAGACAAAGGACATGAACTCTTGATCTGATTCCAAAGCTTCCATAAACTGTGGAAGAAGACATACTTCCAAATCTATGCTTCCGCCTCCTTCTCTTCCAGGATAAGCTGATGCCTTCCCGTCGTACTTACTGTTATAGCCGCTTCTAGCCGCCACCGCTTTCCCCATCCCAAACTCACTGCCGTACTTATTAAACCTCGGCGAGCTTCCCATATGAACAAGGTTCGGATCGGAAAATCCCGCTGATTGCAATTCTAAAAGAGAGTTCAACCATCCATCCACTTGGGAAGCGATTGCTTCGCCATTGTGTTGGGTTACAGCTTGATGCAGTTCCAAAGCAGCCCATCCAAACTCTTTCCCCAACAGATTACCAATTTTCGTAGTCTTAATTGCAAGAGAGACGTAAACACCAAAGTGATTCGGCGGCAATGGTGGGCTCATTCTTGATCTGTTTCCAGCAGAGAACCTGCAAGTAGTTTCTTGATCATTTGGTAACTTTCTTGCTCTTGTTATGCTTCTCCACATAAATGCGGCTAAGGACTGAAAAGAAGAGATCTTTGTTGTTCCGCATTCTTGATTCGCCTTTGACTTTAGTGATTTCAGTGTCTCTGCTGAGAAATGGAACATTCTCTCTTTCAAAACCGGAGACTCGGATCGGGGAATGGACTCATCAAGTGGACTGAAGGGAAGCCTGCAAATAGGACCGTTCACTTCACGAAAGATTGGAGGATTCTTGAGACACAACAATGTACTGTCATGTGAATTGAAGGTCTCGGACAAAGAGTTGAAGAACTGCCAGAAGGAACTTCCATCTCCAATCGAATGATTCATAGACATTCCTATGAAAACTCCATCTACCAACTCTGTTACCTACACAACCCCCAAAATTTCAGTTTTTCCTTTTGTTTCGTCAATTTGAGGTATAATATATACACATGAATGTATAAATGTACCTTGACTGATAAGAGACTCATGGTTTGACCATCGATATCCACTGCTTTGTGATGATCAAAGAATGATTGAACAACCAAAGGAACATATTTGGACCCAACAATGTCTGCTACACTTAGATCTGATTGGGCATGGATAAATCCAGCTCCAGGACTGTTATTACAGTCCACAAACACCGAATAGGATCTTGCATCATCGGTTTTCAAAGTCGAGAGGCGACCCGCGAGCGGATAGAAATGGACAAGTGTTATGGCTAGAGAGTCTTTAAGCTTTTCCAAAAATGGCCCCATGAAGTCTTTTGCTTTGACTGCATCATCAGAGTCAGATGTTATTGATGGTTTGAGAAAGAGAAGACCTTTCTGGATGTATTGGACCGAGAGCATCACATGATCCATTGCTGAAAGATGGTATGGCTCTTTTGATTTTTCATGGTGAGTTTTGGGTTGGACGAAGCATTGCGATATAATCTCCACTTCCGACAAAGAAGAAGAAGAAACCATTTTTTGCTACTTTTGTTTATTTCTTTCAATGTTTCTTTGCTTTTTTCTCTCAATACGATAAAAGCATCTCAATACTGAGAGAGACTTGAGGTTGAGAGTCCTTTACCATCTTCCAACATGAAATTATAATAATATTTATTTAATGAGTATTTTTCAAAACATACACAAAAAATTATATTAAATGGGAATCTCAAAAAGTGGAGGTCAAAAATATTTGCTCAATTTCTATTGTTGTCTTTTAAAAAGTTGAAAAATTTTACTCGAATTCGAACAACTGCAAAATCCTCTGAAATTAACAATCAAACACAGTTCTTTAAACATTTGACTGCAAACCACCAACAACAAAAAAGTCATGACAACAACCTTTATCAAACCGAACCAAAGAGAGTAACAGAATAAAGAAACACAACAAGGAAAGAACTTGAGTTTTGTGTCTGGAAAATATGAATACGATCAAGTAGAAGAAGAAACAAAGGACATGAAGTCTTGATCTGATTCCAAAGCTTCCATATACTCTGGAAGAAGACATACTTCCAAATCTATGCTTCCTCCTCCTTCTCTTCCAGGATAAGCTGATACCTTCCCGTCGTACTTACCGTTATAACCGCTTCTAGCCGCAACCGCTTTCCCCATCCCAAACTCGCAGCCGTACTTGTTAAACCTCGGTGAGCTTCCCATATGAACAACGTTGGGATCGTAAAGTCCCGCTAATTGCAAATCAAAAAGAGACTTAAACCATCGATCAATGTCGGAAGCTATCTTTTCGTCACTGTGTTGGGTTACAGCTTGATGCAGTTGTAAAGCAGCCCATCCAAACTCTTTCTCCAACAGATTACCGACGTTCGTAGTCTTACTTGCAAGAGAGACGTAACCTCCAAAGTGATTCGCTGGCAATGGTGGGATCATTCTTGATCTGTTTCCAGCAGCGAACCTGCAAGTAGTTTCTTGATCATTTGGTGATCTTCTTGCTCTTGTTATGCTCCTCCACATGAATGCTGTTAGCGACTGAAACGAAGAGATGTTTGATGTTCCGCATTCTTGATTCGCCTTTGACTTCAGTGATCTCAGTGTCTCTGCTGAGAAATGGAACATTCTCTCTTTCAAAACCGGAGGTTCGAATCTACTAATGGAGTTTTCAAGTGGGCTCAAGGGAAGCCTGCAAATGGGACCGTTCACTTCACGAAAGATTGGAGGATTCTTGAGACACAACAACTTTTCGTTGCTGTCTTCATGTGAATTGAAGATCTCGGACAACGAGTTGAAGAAATGCCAGAAGGAGCTTCCATCTCCAATCGAATGATTCATAGACAATCCTATGAACACTCCATCTACCAACTCTGTTACCTACGCAACCCCACCAAAAAATCTCAGTTTTTCTTTTTGTTTCTTCAATTTGAGGTATACACATATACATACACATGAATGAATCAATGTACCTTGACTGATAAGAGACTCATGGTTTGACCATCACGATTCACTGCTTTGTGATGATCAAAGAAGGATTGAACAACCAAAGGAACATGTTTGGACTCAACAATGTCTGCTACACTTAGATCTGATTTGGCATGGATAAATCCAGCTCCAGGACTGTTGTTACAGTCCACAAATACAGAGTAGGATCTCGGTTTATCAGTCTTTGAGATCGAGAGGCGACCCGCGAGCGGATAGAAGTGGACAAGTGTTGTGGCTAGAGAGTCTTTAAGCTTTTCCAGCAAACTCTCCATGGAGTCTTTTGTTTTGACAGCATCATCAGATTCAGAAATCGATGGTTTGAGAAAGAGAAGACCTTTCTGGATGTATTGGACCGAGAGCATCACATGATCCATTGGTGAAAGATGGTATGGCTCTTTTGATTTTTCATGGTGAGTTTTGGGTTGGACGAAGCATTGAGAGATTATCTTCACTTCCGATAAAGAAGAAGAAGAAGAAACCATTTTCCCTTCTTTTGTTTATTTCTTTGATTTTTTTCTTCTTATGTCTTATATATATATAGATATAGATCGTTAACATCAATGATATGATAAGGGTTTTGGGGTTTGTTTATAAATATAATGTGTGTGCCTTACGTGTGCTTCTTGGAACACAGTGGAATTCCACATGACACAATTCCCTAATCAACAATATCCATCTGTTACACATGCTTTAATTTTAACTTCTTACAATCTCATAAATTGAATAACACATGACCATATATCATTATGATTAGATTTTAACAGCAAAGCAAATACTCGATTATACCCAATGTATCAAGAAATATAAGAAGGAAGCATATATGAATAAGATCAAGCAGAAGAAGAGACAAGCGACATGAACTCTTGATCTGATTCCAAAGCTTCCATAAACACTGGAACAAGACACACCTCCAAATCTATGCTTCCTCCTCCTTCTCTTCCTGCATAAGCAGATATCTTCCCATCAAACTTACCGCCATAACCGCTTCTAACCGCAACCGCTTTTCCCATCCCAAACTCGCATTCGTACTTGTTGAACCTCGGTGAGCTTCCAATGTGAACAACCATCGATCCCAAAAGTGTTTCTAGATGGAAAACAAAAGATGATTCCAACCATTCCTCGATTGTCTTCGAGATCTCTTCACTAGTGTTTCCAATTACAGCCTGATGTATTTTCATAGCGGCCCATCCAAAATCCTTCTCCAGTAGTTCTCCTGATTTCACGGTCATCGACCTTATAGCAGAAATGCAGTTCCCGAAATAGTTCAAGGACAATGGTGGATCCATTCTTGCTCTATTGTTAGTAGCGAAGCTACAACGAGTTTCTTCATCATATGGTAGTTTTCTTGCCCTTGTGATGCATCTCCATATGCATGCGGTTAACGATTGAAATGAAGAGATCATTGATGTTGTTCCGCATTCTTGATTTGCCTTTGATTTCAGTGATAGTATTGCTTCTGATGAGAAATGGAATATTCTCTCCTTCAAGACCGGAGATTCGAAGCGGCTGATGAATTCGTCAGAGTGAGTGAAAGGAAGGTTGTACACAGGACCGTACCCTTGAGGAAACCAACGTTCAAGGACCGGAGGATTCTTGAGAAGCAAGTTATTGGTTTCTTGTGCATTGAACATCTCAGACATTGAGTTGAAGAACTGCCATAAGGAACTTCCATCTCCAATCAAGTGATTCAACGACAGTCCTATGAACACTCCATCTACCAATTCTGTCACCTGAAAGATTCAGCTTTTAGTCTTTTTTTCATATTATATGATTGCGTGACAATGAAGACTCCATTCATCTACACAACCCTAAATCTTGTGTTGCTGATTCATAAACAAAATTACGACCATAGTTTCAGCTTTTATCCTAAACGATTCAGATACATATTCAAGAATGAATAAATGTACCTTGACTGATAAGAGACTCATGGTGTGACCATCGTGGCTCACGGCTTTATGGTGATCAAAGAAAGATTGAACAACCGAAGGAACATATTTGGACCCAACAATATCTCCTACACTTAGATCCGATTTGGCATGGATAAATCCAGCCCCAGGACTGTTGTTACAATCCACAAATACCGAGTATGATCTCGGTTCATCAGTTTTTGAGGTGGAGAGGCGACCCGCGAGCGGATAGAATTGGACAAGTGTCGCTGCCAGAGAGTCTTTAAGCTTTTGTAGCCAAGTCTCCATGTAACCTTTTGGGTTATCAGATTGAGATATTGTCGATGGTTTGAGAAAGAGAAGACCCATTTGGATGTAATGCATAGAGAGCATCACATAATCCAACGGTGACAAATGGTATGGCTCTTTCCATTTTTCAGGCATGGTTTTGGGTGTAACGAAGCATTCCGATACAACTGTTACTTCCGATGAAGGAGAATCCATTTGAAGAAAAAAAATGTCTCTACTTCAATTCTTTTTCTGTTTCTTTGTTCTCTGTTCTTCAAAGTTACTCCTATAGCATAAAACTGAGGTTCTTATATTATCTGACTCTATAATTTAATCATTTTGAGGTTTGCGTAAAATAGTTTATAGCGTTTAAAACTAATTAAATAGTAGCATATTTATTTAATATAAATACAGTATTTATTTAAGGCTATTTTAGATAAAAAAATCAAATCCTATGTTTTGTTATTTTATTTGATTTATCAGCAAATGTACATTACAAACTTTACAAAAATATCTACTAGTACCAATTTCAGTTGATTTCATTACTTAGTAAAGTTAAAGGTTGACTAGCTTTATAAGTTTTTGATTAGGATCAGATTTGGTATTAATTATTTGGTACTCTACTAATAATTTGATCCAGATTTTGTCTATCTTTAATATTATTTGACAAACATGTTTAATGAAAAAAATTGATGTGTCAACACCTAAAGAAAAGTTAGTGCAAAACAATGTCACCTCATAAATGTGACATGGCAAATTTCTTAAAATAAACGAAATGTTTTGATTGGTTAAGTTAAAACTAAATAAATCTCATTTTTAAATAAGAAACAAAAAGTTTATGTAATATGTGAATGAATTATCATTATATAGCAAGAATTCAAAATTATAAATGCAATAAAAAAATAAACAGACAGAAAAATAAATTATAAGTTTCCTCTTAGCTAACTATTTTTTTATTATAATAATATATATATAAATAAAAAAATAGAAGTAAAAGTAAAAATAAATCTTTACGATTTTGTTTTTATGTAAAAATCTCAGACTACATTTTTGGTTTGACGCATCTCCAACCCATCTTTATTATAAATTTTCTAATTTAGAAGAAAAAAGATTGTTATTTTTTCCTCCAATTATAGAGGAAAATTAACAATCTTTCTTTTTCTGTAAAATAGAAATAGGTTGGATAGAAGTCCACTTATATTTTAGAGGAAAAAATAAAAAAATACATTAGAGATGATCTTAATGTTTTATATATTATTAAATATTAAAAAAAAATATAAGTCAAAGAAGAAAAATAAAATAAGAATAATTTGGATCGATTTTATGTTTTTATTTGAAATATTTAAAAATATTATCTTACACATATTAATTTTTTCATACATATATTTTTCTAACATATTAAAATATTATTTCATGAATCAAGTTTTGTATATGTTGTGATCCATTATATTATATATTAAAAATATATATTAAAGTTAGGAACATATCAACTCTTAATTTTTAATATAACAATCAAATATTAAATATATTATTTTACATCTTAAATCATACACATATAAGTTTAGATACGATTTTCTTAAACGATTCGGTTACAGAGAGTTTGTGGATGCGAGCGATTGCGGATTATAAAGAATTTGACGAAGAGATGAGCGGAGAGCTACCAGAGAATTTTATAAAATATAATTTCACAAATTTTATCATTCTTGTTTATTATATTTTTATTGAGAAACCATATATCATAAAATATTGAAAAATAAAAAAATTAATTAAATACAAAACGATAGGAACGGGTTTTGTGATTATTGTTAAACACCAATAACTGCATCGTGTAAAAACATAACGTTTGCAGAAAATATCAGAAAAACTTAACAACATCTAAATATTACAATTCACTTATTTCTAACTCATATCTACATGCATAAATATACTTTTTTAAAAAAATCAACCATACATTATAAAAATATATATTATAAAAGATATATTGTTATTTTTTTTAACACATGAAAGCCATACTTCGATTTTCTTACAAATATGCGTGTAAATATAAATATTAATTGTACAAAAATCAAACTCGCATGCAACTTGTCATGCATACATTTTGTTAACCTCGATTACACTCTAATTTAAATTTAGTTATTAGATAATTTATATTTTTTTAAAAATTTGTATATGTCTTAAGAGCAGTGAGGTGGTTGGTACGCACAAATGTGCGAACCAATCATCTATCCGCTCTTAGGATAAGTAAATATGGTAAAATTTATTTTGGTTTAATTAGAAATAGGTCAAGAAATAATGTATACTTAAAAATATATATATTAGCAAGATTATATTGTATAAGAAGAAAAAGAAAATATAGTATAGATAATATTCAAACATATTACAAAAATTTTATTATTATTTAATATAACTTTTATATTTGCAATTATTTGTTATTGTAAATGGTAGAAAAAAAAAATTAAAAGACACAAAACGATATGAAACATTTGTGTGATTGTTGTTGAACACTAAAACTGTATATGTATAAAAACATAACGTTTACGTAATGTATAAGAGTTACTTTAATATTACAACTACTTAGGTCTACTAAAAAAATATACATGTATATGCGTGCGAAGCAAAAATAAAATTAAATAAATTATTATATATTTAATGTTTTTCCATTTATTTAGTTATCATATTTATATTTTTATCTAAATCAATATTTTAAAATCTTAATTATTATTTTTATATTTATTTTCTATTAAAATCTATAATATTTTATATTATATTTATCGTTATTTTCTATTATTAAATATTTATAATTTTATTATTAATACATTATTAATTATATACAAATAAAACAATTTCAATACTATATTAATCATAATTAAACATATCAAATGTTTTATAGTCTGGCCGATCACCTAGTTCATTTTATAATTGATGGATGCAACTGAATTCATCTCTATCTTATCTACATATGCCCTTTTTGGTTGTAGCAAATACGATGGCTTCAAATTAAAAATCGAAAACGAAAAATAGTTAAAATTGTATGGGCCGGGTTTTAGGCCTTTTACAGTAGACAAAGCTACATGAGCTGGCATATTCTATGTTCAAGTTAAATAATTACAGTAACTAGTACATTTGTCTGAATCGCCTTTCTTCTTCGATTCACTCTCTACCCGCGAGAACCCTAATACGATTTCTGTCCTCCGGCTAGAAGAAATTTCTATCTAATCTACGACGCCTACAGGTTTCTTCTATCTTCCTTCTCTGAAAGGTTTCTCGGCCATCGTTTCAGTTGGATTTGCGATTTTGGAATTTTGGATGACGTTGTCGTGGAACTCGTCGTCTTTCTTTCTTTCTGTGAAATTGATTTGGTCTTTTATGTTCCTTGGATTCATTTCACGAGCTTTCATCTTTTTTGTTTGTTCGTTTCTCTCAAATTTTGGGATTTCTATTAGTTACTATTTCTTTTCCAGATTTTTTCAATTCCCATCATCTGAGGCTTTCTGAGATTCTTTCGATCAATTCTAAAGACCAAGTCTTGTTAGTGAATTTGCTATTAGACGCTACCTGAACTAAATTTTGATGTGCTATTGATCTGCCATTTGTGATATCTTGCAGAGAGATTTTATAGCTTCTTCTGTAGCGCTTTACTTGTTCTTTCATTTGTATTTACTAATTTGGTTTTCATCCTTGTCTTGTTGGCAGATCTGGTAAAACTCAGGCAGAGAGAGAGAGAGAGAGATTGCTTTGACTTTGCAATTGCCATCAACTGATGTTGTCTCTGATATCTTTGCCCATAGATCCAGGTTTTGTCTGATTTTTCTTAGTTCCTAGAAACCACTTTTACTCCTTTGGAATTGATGCTCGTATTCTCTTCCCTGTCTATGACTCCAATTCTGATCCATCAAAATCACCGTGTCTTTGGCCCTGGTTTGAATCCCTCTTTCCCTTGCTGCATCGCCAATCATCATTCACTTGCCTATCCTTGACTAAGTTTGATCCATTTCAACTGAACCATCCATCACCACTAGTACCACCTCCTTTTAAAGATATTCTTGGATAAGGTTTAAACCAAATATCATGTAAAGCTGAGTGACTTCTAGAATCTCCCTGTGTAGTAAGTTTGCCTTTAGGATATCTCTTTTGAATTCTCTCCTACGTGAATCATTCAAGTCAGTTCCGGTTTAACTGCGAGATGCTCCAAGAGCAGCACTCTTTCCGGCGTAACTCATTTAGACGCCGGTCTATGCAAACGGGTGTTGATAGAGACGACAGGGGCTGGACTCTGCTCCACATCAAATCCCGTAAAGGCGATCTCAAGGCTGTTAAAGAGCTCCTTGACCAAGGAGCGGACGTGAACGCTCTAGCCTGTGGACCCAAATCAAAAGGAGCGACTCCTCTTCACCTTGCAGCAGAAGGAGGTCACATCGAAGTCATGGACTTGCTTCTTGAACGTGGAGCCAACATTGAAGCTAGAACCTGGGGTGCTTGTGGCTGGACTCCTCTCCATGCTGCAGCTAAAGAACGGAAGAGAGAAGCTGTGAAGTTTCTTGTGGAGAACGGCGCTTTCTTGCCCGATGATATAACCGACAGTAGATTCAACCCGCCGGTTCATTACTGTCACGGCTTGGAATGGGCTTATGAGGAGATGAAGAAACTTAGTGGAGAGACTTCTTCTTCATCTGGTGGAGACACTTCTTGCAGTTCTGAGAACTGAAAATCCTTGTTTTGTTGTTATCTTTCTTGCAATGGCTTGTGCTGCCTCAGACAATCTTATGTGTAATAAGTTTGAACCGTTTCATTTGGTTTGAGATGTAAACAATCACTTGTTATATCCTTGGTTTTGGTTTGAATATCTGCGATTTGGTTCTGAGTTTTTGTTTGTTCCCAGAAAAATCAAACCGATGAATTGAACTTTATCAAAAGCAAATCGACGAATAGACTTTATTGGAATATGTAAAGCATTACATACAATTACCAAAAAAAATTACAACTTTTTTTCTTAGTTTTGTTTTTCCAATAAGCAATGAGATCCCCATCATGAACAAGCAGAAGCATCAAAATTAGGTAACACAATGAACGCCATCGACAGTGGCAAGACATAAACCGGAGAACTCACGCCACGGAGGACCGGTTCAAGGTTCGGAATATCTCCAGCTGCCGTCGGTTTTAACGGTTTACCGTTCAAGATCATTGTCTTGCTCTTCAAGTCACCGTTTTCTGGTGTCAGGTGATACTCTTCTCTGTTCAGATATCCATCCGAAGACTTGTTACCGATCCAAGAAAAAGGTTTCTTCAAAGTATCCAACAATGACTTCTTCCTCTTCGGTTCCACATTTAAAACCACGTTCACGCCATTGCTGACGCTAACCGTAAAATCCGATTGATTGCTTAGGTTTATCAAAAGCAGCGTCACACCCGCCTAAAAACCAAAGCTTTTTTATAAGCAATTTTTATAACCGAAACATGTATTCGTCAAGGATGATGAGATGAATGAATAACTCACTCTTCCTTTTGAACAATGAGCGTAAACTCGTAGATGCGGCGGACCATCTGTCTGAACCCTAAGCACCCCTTTTCCCATTAATCGATGCCAAAGCAGTGCACTGTTCGGCCCAACAGAAAACTTGGAGATCAATCAACCGTAACCGAAAATCCAAAGAGTTGTTGGCTATGGACTCTCTCTCTCACTCACCTATAGTAATCCGGATTTGGTTCAAACGTTCCCTTTTCGAGCAAACCGTAAAACCCTCCAACCAAAGTCTGTCTGCAGTACACTTTAGTGTTGTGTTTCGACGACATTCCCAGCTGATCTAGATACCTTATAAGATTAAGATCAAAAGAGGCTTCTTTTAGGATCTACTTTAGAAAACAGGGGAATTTTGTCTTATTTGAAAAGTGTTGATTTTACCAGAAACTGTCTATGAAAGCATCAGAAACATGACGGCCACCACTATTGTAAGCTCCACCAGACTCTCCAACCCAAGGAGAAGCCCACGGTCCGTGTTCCTGAATCGTCTGGTTCACGCTCTTGAATGTTTCGGATATCTTGCTTAGGAAACTCGGATCCAGTATCTTCTTCACCAGGTCGGGATCATTCCCTGAAAGGCTCAAACATAGAAGACAGCTGATGTTCATCAGAGATGATGATAATGAAGTAATGGTTTTGATTCGATTCTCTTATTCCAAACCAGACCTGAACCGAGATTGTATATATGATGAGTCACAACGTCCACAACACCCGGACCAGAGGTCTGAAGAAGTTTGGTGTACCATTGCTGCTCATAGAATCCTCCAGGAGCGACAAGCGAAGGCTTGACTAACCGAGAATCTTTATACGCGTTGTCGATTACATCTTTAAGTACAATCAAGTCTTTCCCGTAAAGCTCTGCGCTCACGCTTGCACCAACCCCACTTCCACTCAGCTCATTTCCTAAACCGAGAACAAGAAAGGTAAGCCAAAAAAGGGAGCTAGAGAATGTGTTGAGATATCTAACTTGCTATTACCGAATTCCCAAGAATCTATAACGTAGCCCTTTGAGATCGTGTAGTTGATGAAATCTTGAGTGTTTACGCGATTCCACGCTCCGCCCCACGCATTTCCGCGGAGTTTGTGTCTCCCGTGCAAAGCGTTTAAACCGAAAGTCACTATAGCTCTACCAGATAAAATGAATAATTCAAGATACATACTTCTTCTAAAGGGGGAAAATGTGAACAACTAAACCAAAACCGAAGGCTTACCCGGTTTCGGTTAGTAAACTGTTGAGCTCATCCCATCGTTTCATATGCAAGCATCCTTTAGAGAATCCGAACAACCCGCTGTTTATTTTTCTGAATGGACGACACGGAGTTTTGAGATCTCCTACGTCGTATATCACTTGATCTTGCAGCGAACCGCCGATCCTTATCCTCAATGTCCTGAACGCTAACCAAATACAAAAAAAAAATCATTTCAGAAATCAAGAACACACGAGCAATGCCACGAAAACTTTCGATTTGCGAGGTGAAAACCTTTTATAGCTTTAGCAAGAAGAGGATGAGATAAGTCCTGGAATACATTCAAAAGATCAAACATTTTAATAGGCAATCGCGAACATTATGGATAGACTAATCGTAAAGACCAAAAGGTGAGCCATTTCCTCTGACTTCTGTTATTTACCATATTGATAACTGAAGAGTAACCCCAAGGACAATTGTCATAGTTGCACTTGTCATGTGGCCACCAGTCCAATGTCGCACAGACAAAGTTCTCGTCGGTCTCAGAGATTAGACTAGCTCCTTCGATAACGATTGATACATGTTTCATGTCTTGAGCCATTGTTGTCTCTGGAACTAGAAGAAGACAACCCAACAAGACAAAGAAGCAAACTTTGAAGCCCATTGTTTTGTTTTTGAGCTTCACTATCCAAAGCTTCCGACTTTTTGCTCCTAACTTTCCTGTAAAAATCTAAAACATCAAGAAGAAGGAATATCTAAACCATAAAAAAAAAAAAACAGAACTCAAACCACTGTAATTGTTAGAACAAGCAAGTGATTATACAGAGAGAAAAGGCTTGCATGTGCAAATATATCCAAAGAGAAAGGAATAAACTTTCTAATTTCTTCTGGATCTTAGGTTTATAATTGTAACCAGGGACTTGGATGTAACTAATCCATTAAAAAAGAAGAAGAAAAAAAAATCTAACTTTTGCTGACAACGTCAACAAGAAGGAAAGGCTTACTGAACAATTACCAGAGCCAAAAAAAGTGATTACAGAGAGAGGCTTGCGTGTGGAAAAAATTCTTCAGAAAAAAAGAAAAAAAAAAGTAGTTTACTTGCTCATAATTAAGTGCTCAAATTAATGTTTTTCAACGACACATGTTCATAAGCATTAGATGAGAGGTAGTTACTTAAAAGAAATCGTCTTTTGCATATTACAGATTCGGGTTTAAAGTCCAGCCCGGATAATTGATTTGAATTGGTTAATTTTCGATTAGAAATGGAAAGAAAAAATACTAAACAAAAAATTGGAACAAGAGTCAAAAGAGTCACTAGACGATGATAGAAGACGATTCAAATTCTCAGGTAATTACAATTAAATACTTTAGAATTTTAAACTATTATATGGATTAAAAAAATCAACCCAGAAACACAAGTGTGAAGGATCTGTAGTCGGCGATCGAACTAGAATCCCTGGAAATTCGAGTGAAAGACTGAAATAACGATATGGGATCATCAGATTGAGATAGAAGCAAGAACTGACCTTAGAATCCAGCTTCAATGGAGATAAATCTTAGCTTGAAGCAAAATATAGAGTTGAGTTTGATTCTGTGAATGTTGTTCTTGAGCCTTGATGATGACACTTAGATCAAAATCAGGCTGTGGGTTTGGTGACCTTGGCAATTTGTCGGCTTTCCTATTTCACTTGCTCGAGATGTTCTTTTCAATCTATTTTGTTATTTAGTTTATTTTTGTTGGTAAAATATTCTTGGAGTTGGTGCAACTTGATGAATCAAACCTTCTCTTGAAACATGAGCTTTCTACCACTTTCTTATTCGTTAATTCCCCTATTAGTATTTGTTAATTGGCTTGGTTAACGGAAAACAGTTTAAGCATCCCTTTGGAAACAAGTAAAACCGAAATTGGTGGAGAACAAACAAATAGTATAAATAAAAACTTTAGTTTATTTGCTAGACATCATATTCTAGCTTTACTTTTCCACTTTTGTTTTTCCTTCTAAAGTTTAGACTAATTATATACGACGATTTTATGTTGTCACATTATATCACACTTAAACTACAGCTAGATAATCGTATTCGGACTAATTAATTTTGTTTTCAATTCGAGACTTTTCAAATAAAGTTAACGATCTATAAAATAATAGTCTCTTTACAAAATATATATTTTCTGTCATACTTTTAGTTTTTTCCAAGCTCAAGTTGCACAACCAATTAATAATATCTAGAAAATAATGCAAACATGATAGATCTGAAATAGATATTTTCAAACGAAATAATCCAGAGGCTCCGATTGGTAATATATTTTTTTATATCATGAAATTACGAAATAACTGAAAAAATGAATTATAAAATAATTTATTGTAGAATTACAGAATTTTAATATGATTAAATAAATTATGGCGAAATTGCAGAATTGCAGAATATACTTATTGAAAATATTTTACTTTTTATTATATATTATAAAAAATATTAATAATTTAATTAATTATTATAAAATAATTTAATTCTAATTGTAATTTTTTAATAATTTATTTTTTAAAAAAATATTGCAAACCTTAAATAATAGATATAACTTTATTATTAAATAATTTTTTGTAATACTAAATTATTTATTTATATTTATTTAAATAATAAAATATAATTAAATAATATAAACATTGATTCTGTAAATAATCTATTCTAAACACGTTTTTCGGTTAATGAAAATTTTTTTGTATTTTCTGTAAGCAAAAACACAATTCCACAGATCTTGCGCTTTTGCATTTTTCCACAGGTTTTTTTGATTGACAAAATTTTTATGTTTTTAGATTTTTCTACTATTCCAACATTCCACAAATGTTACTAATTAAAGTATATAAATACAATTAAAAAAAGAATTATATATCAACAACGAAAAAAAGGCATGTAAGTGAATAAAAATGAGAAATAATATGGTGTCAGAAAGAACAATTACTAACAGGTAAAAGTGGAAGGTGGTTCGAGTCAGTCGGTCCATGTGTATCATTCGGAGACAATTTATTCAATATTGACACGTGCCATGCTTGAAACTGAAGCAAGTAGCTGAACCAGTAGGTCCTCTCTGTAATCTCTAAACCTTTCTAAAAAAATCTATCTTTGTCACCCCAATTCATACTCTTAAATCTAAACATGTAAAAGCCTTTTTTTTTTCTTTTTTTGAAACCTTTTTAATTCACTCTCTTCTAAATTTAGGGTTTGATTGGTAATAGCTATAACTTTATATTTTTGCTGTAGAAATATAGCTGTAAGTTTTTTTATTGTAACTGTAAATTTTATTTCTTTAAAATTTTGGCTGTAAAATTATAAAATTTGGAAAGCATAAATTTATGTGCTTTAAAAAATAATGTTTTGTATAGCCAAAAAAATAAAAAGGAAAATATTTTGGCTGTGAATAATAAAAAAAAAAATAGAGTTTATAAAACATAATTGGTATGATTTAGAACTTTAAATATAAATATTACTTTGTACAGCATTATCAACAATCAATCAATCCTTTAGTAATGGTGGTAAATATTTCTCATAGTGTTATCGGTTTATTCTTGGCAACTATATAGCTAACTATTTTGTTGGCAATTAAGATTTTAGAAATTTTCACTTTTGGTGTTTTAGAAAATCTTAATATATTTTCTACTCACTTATGTATGCTTTACGGACCACGCAACATATAGAAAAGTCTTTGTGAATTATTGGTATTTTGGTAAGCTACTTTTTTATTCATGACCACTAAATATTCAATTTTGTCAACTTTCTAGAATCAGCAAGACAGAATTGCAGAAATTGAAAAGTTTGGGTCTCGGTGATAAGCCCGGCCTTGCTTAGAATTAGGCTTTCAAAAATCGCATTTTTTGTTTTTGGTATAATCTGCTTGATATAAATTTGGTGTACATTCCAGATAACACAATTTCTCCAAATTTATAAAACGCTTAGTTTTCAGTTTCGATATACGGCCTTACGGGCTTTTTTATATAAAAATTAAACAACATTGTTTTTTTTTCCCCCGAATTGTAATTTTAATATAATTTAGGTATGCACTTCACAGTTCACATAAAATATTTAAATATGTTTCTATCCGGATTATATTATATATTTTTGGCACAAATTATTATAGAAATTATTTAGAGCATCTCTGTGTTTTTTTGGAGTCAGCATCTAGATCTTATCTTTTTCAATATATAATCAAAAGAATCCAAAGTCGGTCCATCGCGGAAAGCACATCCTTTAGAAAAATACAAAAGACTTGTTCTCCGATCCGTCAAAACCTACAAGCTTCATCAATTTAATATTTTACTATATTTATTCATTTTATTTTGTTTTGTTACCATCATAATTTTCAACCTTGGTTGAAATTCAATTCAATGAACTTTAAATTCGTTTCCATTTTTTGTTGGGTCAAGAGAAGTTTATCTTAACATTATGACCTTTTGACTAATAAATGTGTTACTCAATTCATTTGAGTATAGGTAAATCATATGGCTCTGTATTAATAGCATTTAGTTATCAGCCCGAAACTGAAAATTTTTGGGAAAAAATGTCAAAAGATTCTCTCCTTCCCTCTCTTTCTTGACCTCTTTTTTTTTTTCCTCTCTGTTCGTCAATATTTTTGTATGCGTTTATTTTCTTCCCAACAATCGAATCTAACTTTCTCTTTTTCCTCTGAATTTCTCAAATCACACTCTTCATCTTCTGGGTAACTCTAGCTATTTTACCCAATACCATTATAATTATATCTATTTTCCGGTTTCTTCGTATATGTTCTTGAGTTTCAAAATCCTCTGAGAGTTGGGTGATCTAAAAAGGTAACATCTTTATATGTTTATCTCACATTTTTATTACAGTTGACTTCGTTGTAGTTTCATAAAACCAGGTTACTGTATCAGAGCTTGAGATCCTTTACAAAATCTGCTCTCTTTTTCCTTCTCCACTGGTTTTTGATGCTTTCTCGATACATCGGACTATTTTTTGAACTGATTCATGATCAAATTCATGTCATTGCTGATTTATCTCGACTCTGGAGTTTGACATTTTATGCAATGAAATAGAGATTCCTTCACATACCTGTTATTGATGTTGGAACCAAAGATTCAATTTTTGATAGATATTTTCAAATACGTTCAATGTGGCTTATCCGATTTGGATAGATTGATATACACTGATCGAATCACTCTGTTTCTTGTTTAAATGATTTTAAACTAAATGCTTGGGCTCCCAAAATTGGGGATATTGTTGATGATGAAACCAATCTGTAAAATTGGGTTTCTTTGACTTTTCTTCAGTAATGTTAATGTATGTGTTTTTTCTTGTTCTCTGCAGTTCTTCTGATAAATTGCAATGGCTGAGGAGAATACTCCACAAGCTGATGAGAAGTGTTGTTTGGATGATGCCAAACCAATGGAGACCATTGAAGACCCTTACGTGGTAACAATGCCTCTAATGGATGAGAAAGTTCAAAGAGATGATGTTCTTCTTCCTCCAGCTGCAGGATCCAACGGTATTGTGAATCCGAGACGGTATTCAACAGGAGTGTTAGATAAACGAGGAGCAGGTAAAGCTCAGATTCAAACCCGTTACCGTGGGAACCAAATGAGTTCGACTCATGATCTATGCAAACACGGGAAGAGGCGTGAGGATGATGTGGTGGTCAAACCGTGGAAGTTGGTGAAGAAAAAGAATGTTGAAGGTGGAGATTTGGTGAAAGGTGAGACTTTGGGTGTGATGAGGAAGTCGTTTGGAAATGTTTCTAAACACGAGGAGAAGTCATTGCAGGTTGCAAAGAGAGATGCTGCTGCTGTTAGCGAGATTGTCAAATCTTGTGATGGTTTTCCCGCTAAGAGAAGTGTAACCAAGAGTACTATTACTCCGAGTGATTCAGCTGGTGTACTAAGAATGGTCAAGAAGACAGAACTTGATGTTAAGAAGGTTTCAAGGATCAGCGAGAGCAAGAGTTCTAAAGAGGATCTTTTGAAACATCTGAAGAGCAAAGAGAAGAAGACGAAGATGGATGAGCCGGTTAAATGTGAAGATGCATCGGAGAAGAGGGTTTCAAGGATCAGCGAGAACAAGAGTCCTAAAGAGGGTCTTTTGAAGAGTATGAAGGTCAAAGAGAAGACGACGGAGATTGATGAACCGGTTTTATGTGAAGATGTATCGGAGAAGACTCTGTGTGTTGCTGCATCTAGTACTGAGGAGAAGAAGATGAAGAAGAAGAAGAGCATCAAAAGTGTTAAGAGTGAGATTCAGCAATCTTCTGAGAAGAACATCTTAAGAGGCAGCGGAAAGAAAAGTCTTACACTTTTACCATCTTTGTCCCCATCCTCGGAGGAGGTTAAAGAATCGCGTGTTACGAGATCAGATCCTAGCCCAATAAGGCAGACGACTTCCAGGTCCAAGACTGGTTTGTATGAGAAGAAAGAGATTCCCTCTGCGACTCTTGTAGCTATATCAAAAACCGAAAGCAAGATTAGGCCGAAGAAGATTGGTTTAAAGGTTACTCCTCCTCCAGGTCCTCCAACGAAGCCGCTGAGTTTCAAGAAAGGGAAAGTTCTTGAACCAAAACCAGAAGGTTCGACTCCAACATTGCTAAAATTCAAGAAGAGAGTTGTTCAGGAACCAAAACTCAAAAGCGATGGGAACAAGAAGAAGAAGAATCTGAAAGATAAACGAGAAGGCGTTGGGAAGATGAGTAATAACAACGGAGAAGGTAAACGAGAGAAAGTTGTTCTGAGGCATAGAAAAGTGGAAGCAAAGAAGAAACTGCAGACACTTTTCAACAATGTGATTGAAGAGACTGTGAATAAGCTTGAAGAAGTGAGGAAGAGCAAGGTTAAAGCATTGGTGGGTGCTTTTGAAACTGTGATCTCTCTTCAAGATAATGACAGAGCATCTCAGAATAAGAAGATTCAGGGCAAATCCGCATCTTCACCAGTCGTTGAAGGCTAGTCCTTGAGCTTAAAATCCAATATTTGATAAAGAAAGAGATAAAACTTGTGAATTTGTGAAACAGTTAAAGAAAGATGGGATTGTTTGTTCATGAATCTTGTTATGTAAAACAAATATTTTACAGTATCTGGTTTCTTCTATACGATGCTGAGTTTTGAGGTCTGGAGATTTTGTATATTGAAATATTAACTTGTTCTTGAAATATATATACACTTTACAATTTCTCTTCATAAGGTAGTGAGTGATCTAAAAAGACTTATGTCTCTTTGGCTCTGGTTCCTTAGGCCAGAGGTGGTTCGACTTTTTTCCTTCTGGTGAAATTGGGATTCCGGTTTGATTGGTTTTGAGTCGTACCGGATTAATTTCTTATATTAGTTGACACGTGTGTGTCTCTTCGACCCCGCTCTTCTCTTGTTCATGCTTCTAGTCTTATTATACGTTTCAAAATTCAAACGTCTTCTCTTCACTTTCTCGCACAGCCTAAACTCTCAAATTTGAATCAATGGAGGTTTCGGAGGTGCAAAGGCGAAGGGACGAAGAAAATCGATTAACTCTTGGGGAGAAACGAAAGCCGTCGTTTGATTCTTCAGATAACCCACAGAGACAACATGATTTCAGGTTAGCCAAATGTCGGAAGCTCGACGGCGGCAACGATTTCGGTCTCCAAGAAGGGAATCGGAGGAAAGAATCCGACACAGGATCGAGTACTAGCGTAAATTTCCGCGTCAAGCTCGAGATCTGCTCTCCTGATTCGTTTTCGGTGACGCCGGTTCAAGTGCAAGGGTTTCGATACCCAGAAAAGCAAGACTGCCTTCGCCAATTGAGCGAGATTCTATCTGAGGTAAGTTCTTCCATACTTGCGCCGAGCTTTGTTTTGCCTCACGGTTGACAAAATGTAGAAGAGAAATCAGAAAGGGGGATTTTCGAGACTCAGATTTTTTTTTAAGTGCTGTGTTTTTATTGTCTTTTGATTGATTTTGCCTTCAGGCGACTCCTTCACACTACACTCAAAATCACGATGGAGGCAAAGCCGGCGTTTATAAGATCAGAGATTACAGTATGGTTTCGGGATGTCTAAAGAGGTCAAAGATCGTCGAAGTTGAAGAGATACCTTGGATAACGTTTGCTGTTGTTGAGAAGCTTTCCAAGTCATTCATTTCTGGGAAATGGGAGCCTTGCAAACCGGAACATTTTACGGAGGAGAAGGTTGAAGAACTGATTGAAAATCTGCCAAGAAAGTTGGTGAATTCGCTTTTGCCTTTCCAGCTTGATGGTCTAAGATTCGGGCTACGGAGAGGTGGCAGGTGTCTCATTGCAGATGAAATGGGGCTTGGAAAGACACTTCAGGTGGATAATATTTGGTATTTGTGAAGCAATTACTCAAGTTTGGTCAAGTAAGTTTTTTCTGAGTGTTTCATCATTTTTCCAGGCCATTGCCATTGCTGGCTGCTTCATAAGCGAGGGTTCCATACTTGTTGTCTGTCCAGCGGTTTTGCGTTTCTCATGGGCAGAAGAATTGGAACGTTGGTTGCCATTTTGTTTGCCTTCTGACATACATCTCGGTAAAAGTCTTTACTGTATTTCCTATCATTCCCCCTCTAGTTTTGCGCCATAGGAGGTCAAAAGCGAAAGCTTTGAGTTAGTTATTAGAGCCGTTGATTGGCTATCTCGTTAAGTCAATTTTTGAGTTTGATGAAACTTTGTGGTTTCAGTTTTCGGTCATCAAAACAATCCTGCCTATTTACCAAAATGGCCAAAAGTTGTGGTTATCTCATACAAAATGCTTCAGCATCTTCGAAAGACCATGCTTGAGCGAGAATGGGCCCTCTTGATACTAGATGAATCCCATCACGTACGCTGCTCAAAGAAGAAGTCCGAACCATCTGAAGTATGTTAAACTTTGCTTTCCTCACTGATATGAATTTCTCAAGTATACCTGACCCATGTCCTTCTTCCTTTTTATGATTTCCTACTTAATTTTAATTGCATTTGATCAGCACAGAGGTGATTCAGTGACACCTTCTCTTACACTTTTAAGGAACATCCACAATTCTGAGTGGCGTTATTGTGCCGTTTAAATAAGGTTGGTATTCTAAACACCTTCGGTTATGTTTTGCAGATACAGACAGTCCTTGATGTTGCTGAAAAGGTTAAACACATAGTGCTGTTGTCAGGAACTCCTTCTTTATCGAGGTTGTGGAAATTTAAATTTTAGTAATATTAGCAGCTTCTGTTTGCTTCGAATTTGTAATTTATCCTTAAATCTGTTTCCTAGGTGACCGTAGGCCCTTTGACATTTTCCATCAGATAAACATGCTATGGCAAGTCATCAAACTTTGACGTAATACTTTTGGATTCGCATATTTCTTTGAAGTTTTCTAACACTGGTTCTGTCACTAGGCCTGGTGTGCTGGGAAAAAGCAAGTATGAGTTTGCGAAAACCTATTGTGAAGTTGGCCTTGTCAGAGGTATGCAGGGCAAAATTTTCCAGGTACATATGGACTTTATGGGGTAGCCAATTGTGTCCTCATGATTCTCTATTTTAAGTGCAGGATACTCCCAGTTGCTATTATACATTTTATTTATTTTCAGTCGCTTCCTTTCTATAATGAACTGTGGTTCCCTTATCTTATGTGATTCTTTTTTGTTACGTTGATTCAGGATTTTTCAAAGGGTACTCGCTTACTGGAGTTAAACATACTGCTAAGCCAAACAGTGATGGTATATCCTCGTTATTTGATTTCACCTTGGTATTAATGATTTCGTATCAATGGTGGATACTAGGAAATTTGATAATTCGTTGTTTTTTCCTCAGAAAGGACCAAGTATGCAATCTATAATTTGAAAGTTTTTGTTATAACTTATTAGGATTCCTAGACTTTTGTGAAGACAAATTTCCAAATGAGATTTTTGGGCGAAAACATTTCCAACCACAGTTTAGTTAACTATTGGTACATGAAATTTGGAAAGAAATGAGAAGAATATGACAATGATACCACTAATAAGATATGCTAATCAAAGCTTCCTGCCTGTGTTTTGGATTGGTAAAGAACTATGTGATGTGAAATCCTTTTTCGTTTGTTGTAGATAAGAAGACTGAAGCAGCATGTGTTAACACAGTTACCCCCAAAACGTAGGCAAATTGTAACCATACTACTAAGGAAGTCCGATATAGCTTTAGCAATGGCTATTGTCAGCGAGGCTAATCAAAAAGCTAATAAACAAAATGCTGCTACAACAGATGTAACAGAGAACACACATGAACCTGAAGGTATGTGGCAGGTTTTATACCCACCTAGTGATGATGTTGAATTTATCATTATTATTCAGGGTAGTACTTTATTTTTACCATTAACTCCAGCCTCAAGTTTCTTGGAGTGTTAACCACTGTGGTCCATCCAATGTCTTAACACAAGCTGCCTTTCTAGGTGTAGCTCAAAACGCTCATGGATTAAATAAAGACGGACATATGAACGTAGAGGACTCGGAAGCACCTGACTGTATGATTTAACTATATTCGTTCCATGGATGCTAAGGCCTTAAGGGGGAAATTCTTTCTCATATACTCATTTTCTTTTGTTGTGTTTTAGCTGATAATAATCAACTATGTGGAAAACTCTCCCATCAACAACTTGGTGTTGCAAAGCTTTCTGCCTTTCGTGAATGGTTATCCCTACATCCACTTATATCGGGATTGGATTATACCCCAGAAGAAATTGATGGAGACACAAGCTCAACTAAGATGGTAATTTTTGCACATCACCATAAGGTTCTGGATGGAATTCAGGTTAGTGTGCTTCATTCCCATTATAAACTTATATCTGTCTTCTAGTTGGTCTTGTTATGGTTTGAAACTTGTTATTTACGATGCACCTCGTTTATCATATTATGAGCAAGTAGTTTGCTTATAAAAATTTGTTGTGATTTTTGCATGTCAGGAATTTATATGTGATAAAGGGATTGGTTTCGTCCGCATTGATGGGATGACTTTGCCAAGAGATAGACAATTGGCTGTACAGTCATTTCAGTTTTCTAGTGAGGTGTGCACAATATCTCCTATAAGTTTATATCTTTTTAATGATTGTGCTTGTTATGATGTGTGGTATTTTACCTATGCTACGGCTTTCTCCTCCAGGTGAAAGTTGCAATAATTGGCGTAGAAGCTGGAGGAGTTGGACTTGATTTTTCAGCAGCGCAAAATGTTGTGTTCGTCGAATTGCCTAAAACACCGTCACTGTTGCTTCAGGTATTTTCCCTGTACTGTTTGATTTGGGGTCCTCTTAACTTCCTGTTCTTGTTCCTACAATTGTTTCTTCAAACCCCAGTAAGGGTACTTGATGCATAATCTATTGATTGCATTTTAAAGGCTGAGGATAGAGCACATAGGCGAGGCCAAACAAGTGCAGTCAATGTTTATATCTTCTGCGCAAAGGTAAACTCGTGTGCTGCTGCCATATTTGTCACTTGAAGTTTGTCTTATCCCTTATATTTTAAGAGCGACTCTTATGCAACAGGATACAATGGACGAGTCAAATTGGCAAAATTTGAACAGGAAATTGCACCGTATTTCATCTACCACTGATGGAAAATATGATGCGAAGACTGAAATCGAAGTACGTCCCAAATCTCTACTCTTTTTTTTTTCAATTGTCAGTAGATCACTGTCCTTTCCGCTATATTTTTTCCTGGTAGGTCACATAATAGCCACTAATTTTAATGGTATAAAATTATGTCTGGGCAGATTGAAAGAGCACATCTTTTCAACCCTGCTGAAGAAAGCAGTGAAAGAGAAGTTCTTGAAGTACAACCATCACAAGCTAATAGAGTAATAGCTGATAAGATTGTTGAAAGCTGTGAAGATCTGGGATCGGAGACAGATGTATCAGATACCATTGATCTCAAGGTTTATCTCTTGACTTGTCATTGATCAAACAGTTTGAACATTTATGACCTCAGAATTTATCTTTCTTATACCATGAAGTTTACAAGCCAAATGTCTGGATAAAGCATGAATAGCAGAACTTTTGCCCAGTTTACAAACATCTCTCCTTAATTATGGAATTTAGATATTCACTCGTTTTGGCTGAATGCTTTTTTCTTTTTGGCTGAGCAGGATGACATGATTTCTCATTTGGAAATATCAAAAGTCTGCCCTTTTGTTGAAAGTGATTCGGAGTCCGAGAAGAGGTCGCCTGGTACCATTTCTTCTACTATGTTAGACCAGGAAAACCAAGAAAATCATCAGCCTAAAAATGTATGAACTTATCATATGAAAGGTCTATTTGTTTTCTTTGACATGTTTCAAAATGTAAATATATTTTTTTGGTACGGTGCAGCTTATTACTGATGATGAGCTTGTAAAAGAGAATGATTCCAATTCCTATTTTCCACTCGTAGATTCTCTGCGCTTTGAGGTAAAGTTTAAAGTCTGCATTGGCTCTTCTTATTTATTTGTTATTCTCATTGCCTTGGCTGGTCATGAGATATATATATTCATGTCAAGGAGGCCAAATTTGGTGAACGCACTGCATATTTTCCGGTCTCTTATTATTGGATCCAAGCTGCAATCTGATTCTTGTTTCTATTGTGAAATTTGTCAATTATCATTATGTTTACAGTTTACTTGTTTGAGATGAAAACGCATATGGATCTGCTCTTATGTTCTTTCAGGTGAGCCAAAACACTGGAAGAATTCATTTGTATTCTTGCATTCCTGGGAAAGATCCACGACCACGACCTCAATTCCAGAACTTCCGACCAGAGGAGATTGAAGCAAGCAATTCAAGTCCGGGTATCAATAAAGAAAAAACTCCTGAATCCATTACGGACGATCCGGTTCATGTGCTTGCGATTTTAGAATTCATGAAAGAGTGGAAAGCATTACGGCCAATCGAAAAGCGGAAACTACTTGGAAAGCCTTTGCAACTACCTTTATCACTGGAGTTAAGTTACTTGAGTGAAAGTGCCAGTCATAGCAGTGAGGTATATCTTTTTAGCGTAAACTTGTTTTCCAAATATTTGATTTCAAAATAATTATTAGGAGTTTTCTGCATCAGGGATTGCTCAGGGGAGGGAGCAAAAGACGAAATACACCCTTTTCAGAGATCAGTTTTACTTTACCTCCAGATGCAGTGTGGAAAAAGGTCAACCTTCGAAGTGGCTACCAAAAAAAGGAAAAGGAATACACCCAAGGTTGGAGTATGAGCAACGAACCACTCTGTAAACTCTGTCAAAAGCCCTGCAAGTGAGTGAAAACATGGTGTTTTCTCACTTCTGATTGATTGTTTTTGTTCACTGTATAATCATCAACTTGATTATTTATTTATTTTTGTTCTAGGGGAAACAACTCCAAAGAGCCCGAGTATTTTGAGGATCTTTTCTGTGATCTTGCGTGCTATGAAAGTTATCGGACAAGAACAAGCGGCAGATATATTCGCCAGGTTCGTCCTGGCAACTCTTTCCTTACGTTAAGGCGGATAGGGTTTTGATTTACTAAGTTTCATATCCTTTGTTCCTTTAATGAACCACTAAGAGGTGTAAGTTTTCAAATATCAGGAGCTTTTTCAGATAGAACATGGAATTTGCACAAACTGTAACTTAGATTGCCACCAACTTGTCAGGCGGATAAAGCCTTTACCGCTGGTAAAACGCCGTGAATACATAAAGAAAGTTGCTCTAGAACTGTTTACCCGGAAAAACTTGTAAGCCATTTAAACTCAGTTTTTTTTTTTTTTTTTTTGCTTATAAATTACTGCATTTGGACATACAAAACTTCTATGCAATTCAACTTTTAAAAAATTTCACCTCTAATGTCAAAGGCTCGAAACCCTGGTTAATGATCCAACCGAGGGAAATGCATGGCATGCGGATCATATCATTCCAGTGTACCGAGGTGGAGGTAAGCCACAATCTTCTTCACTCGACGACTCAATAGGCATCATTCTTAACAATGTCGCATATACATGATTTCAGTTGTGCATTCAACTGACTGAGCAATTTTTTATGAAATTTGGATCACTCGTAGGCGAGTGCCGGCTAGAGAATATGAGGACGCTTTGTGTCGCTTGTCATGCCGATGTCACTGCAGGTCAATGCGCAGAACGTAAACTGATACGGTCCAAAGCCAGGGAGCAACTCAAAAACACTTTAAAGGAACTCGGAAACAATACAAACCAAACAAATCTCTTGGCTGAGGAAAGAAAGGTATGATTAAAGAGACATGTTGAACTGAAATGGGAACTTTTTACAACACATTGCAAGACTCATTGTGTAGCGTATCTCCACGTTATTCTTATAAATTATAACTGACCCATTAAAATTTTGGCTCTATTTGTTATTTCAGGAGACTGATTGTTCGGTTGCAGTGATCAACGAAGAGGAAGACGACGAGCTTCTGGTTGAAGTTCCAGGCAGTTCATACTCTATAGATCAGAAAATCAGTCCTGCCTCATAAAAATCATCTTGAGTTTTCAGTAAATTGGCCTCTCAATGACAAAACATTTTATAGAGAAGAAACTGTAATGATTTTTGAAGATTTGATATTCCGAAGCAAAGGTGTTTGTATCTGTATGACTCAGTTCTCAGGTTTGCTTGAAATGGAAGCTTCCTTCTTTTCTCGGCAGTTTCTTGTCAAAGAAGCAAAGTGGTCCTCGAATTTTAATTTTGATAAGAGAGAATTTACCATCATTATTTCACTAGTTTGAAAAGATGATAAACGACGGTTAAACTAAGGAGTGGGCATCATTTAAACGATGGTTAATTTCACCTCCACAGAGATCACTAATACAAATGTTAATTAATTACTTGTATATATTTTTTAATATTACGTAGGAATTGATTAAATAGATAGGTTATAAAAGATCATATTCCATAATCAATTTCACAAAAAATATACATAATTCTTAGGTATTAATGTCGGATGTTCAAGACGTCAAGGCCTACGTTTTAAAATGAATTAATATCCGTCGTCTGACTCTGACCTAATAATCGCTCACATTACATACATATAACATATGCTTATATTTTATGCAACGGATTTTGGGACAAATCTATAGAAATTCGATAGTTACACTTATATATTTATTTTGGTGAAATATATATATAAACATAACTCCAGCTTCACCAACAAATATTACTATATTACACTCTCTTTTTTGTGTCGAAGAAAACTTTTGTTTTTCTTGCTAAAGACGAAGAAAACATATTTAAAGTTTTATAAGATCTTATTCATTTTTACACGTAAACCTTGAACTTCCAACTTGTTGCATGAGATAAAGCTTTTCTCCATTTTCTACAGAATTCAATCTCACGAGATAAAAATATGCTTTTTGGTCTTTTGTTAAATCTGCGTTTGGTTTTAAAGTTCGTGAGGGGGCATGTAGTTGTAGGATGCCAATGAAATAATTGTTGATGTTTCCTTGCCTTTAAGGATTCCTCTTGCATGTGGGGGCCCATTTCAGTCTTCCTCCCCCAATTTCAATAATTTGGTTTTATATACGTATAATATTTTCCATATATTTTGTTATATATATGTGATGGTGGTGTATAAGGAATTAACCAAACTTTATGTTTCTTTATTTTCTCTTCCAAAAAAATAATATGTGCAAGGCTTGTCTCCTTGGAGTTAATGAAATTAGCACCATTCATGCATATATTCGCTCTCGAAATTACATGTGCAACCAATAGATATACTTCATCAGACACAACTACAAGAGCCTTAAAAAAGCTTATTTTGTCAACTTCATATACATGTCTTTGATGGGAATTACTTTTTAATAAGAAAATTATTTTACTGCTTTGTTTGAAGTCTACTGCATACAGTTTGGTCATTCTAAATAAATTAATAGTAACAAGTTATTTATTTGTTGGTCAAATAAAAAATAACAAGTCATTTGATTAGTTTCAAACTGTGTATATATGTATGCGTATATCTGTTTCCAACAAACCCTAAGCACAACTTTTAACAGCAAGGAGTTTCTTTGAGTTAGAGGGACACGATAGCCATTATTTTGTGTCTCAAGACTGTTTTTTCACCTTTCTTTTAACTTCATTGGAAAGGGTTTACTTACTTTTTTTTTGTCTCATCTTATTTTAATATTTTGTTTTCATTTATAGACTACTCGCTAACCCATACTATTTTGCAATATAATGTTTTCACAAGAAAGATTTATAAACTACTATATATGAACGTATCTTTTTTCTTTATAAAAGGTTTTCAAACTAAATGTATCTTCTTCTTTCTTTTATTGCTTTTCATAAATATATGAGTTAAAAATAGCACTATAAGGTAAACAAAAAAAAAATTATAGTGAAATATCTCCCTATGATAGCCAAGCTAGTTACTATTTTTTTTTTTTTTTTGTATTCAAAGTAGAAATCAAATGCCAAAGTAATGATATATATTAAAAATTGTTTCCTAAGGAAAATGATGATTTCTAATTAATTATAAACTTACAGTTCTCTTTTGCTTTTAAAAAGAGCAAAAAATGAAACTCTTACTAGAGCCCAAAAACAAATGAAACTCTGTCATTTGAATTATAAATCTGACCTACAAAATATAGTCATATCAACGGTGGATCGGTCAGAGTTGATGATTGAAAATCAGATTGGGACCCATTAATCGAGTTTTCAAATTGTGATCGCATGTGAGTTTCAATATAACAAGAAATTTTTTCTCTAGTATATTGATTACAAAATAAAATGTTATCGATAATAATTGAAAATCAAAACTTTGTTCAGGAATCAAAAGATTTTGAGTTTGACCACAGATAAAAAAAAAAATATTGGAGTTTGACCACACACAAAAAAAAAATTGGAGATCGTTTCATGCACAAATCGATAAAGATTCGACAATTGAGAAAATGATATATGAATCTGTATGAGTATATAAAATATTCTTCACATTTATTTTTGTACTTAACAAATATTATTCACATTGTAACTACTAAAAACGATGATTTCTTTCTACTTCTAGTTTGTCATGTACGTCTTCTGGCTCGAATTATTACTTTTTCTACAAATAAACAAAGGGAAATCAGTTTTCTTTAATATATGCATATAATAAGTATATAAGAAATAATTATATAATTAACTAGGAAAAAGTAAATAATATAGAAAAAGACGTATCGAGTAGTAGTAGTGAGAAAGTCTTAGATTTCAACTATAAAAACAAACAGCCCATGAGAGACTACACAACGAAACCAAATAAAAATATAGCCATACTAAATCCATACTTTCTTCAAAAACTCTCCGGCGAAGGAAAAATTCGCAAGAATGGTTTCGGTCACATCATCAGAAGCCTCAAGGAGCCGATCGAAGAAGGTGTGCGTGATCGGAGCTGGACCGTCGGGGCTAGTCTCGGCGAGGGAGCTAAGAAAAGAAGGACACAAAGTGGTGGTAATGGAGCAAAACGACGACGTAGGAGGGCAGTGGCTGTATCAACCAAACGTCGAAGAAGAAGATCCTTTAGGAAGAAGCAGTGTTTCCATTAACGGTGCACTTAAGGTCCACAGCAGCATTTACTCATCCTTGAGGCTAACCTCGCCGAGGGAGATAATGGGTTATTCGGATTTTCCGTTTTTGGCAAAGAAAGGGAGAGATATGAGGAGGTTTCCAGGGCATAAGGAGCTCTGGTTGTATCTAAAGGATTTTAGTGAAGCTTTTGGGTTAAGAGAGATGATTAGGTTTAATGTTAGGGTTGAGTTTGTAGGGGAAGAAGCAAAGGAAGAAGAAAATGTGAGGAGATGGATTGTAAGGAGTAGAGATAAATTGAGTGGTAAGGTTATACAAGAGATCTTTGATGCTGTTGTTGTTGCTACTGGTCATTACTCTCACCCTAGATTGCCCACTATTAGAGGTAATTAAACTATTGATTTCCATCGTTATCGTTGATATTATTTCTCATTTACTCACTTAATTAATAGTAATTTTAGTAGTTGATCTAACTATAGAAAAACAAAATCTGCAATCAATTTGTCTATATATGGTTTTTGAGTTGGTTTATCGTGATTCTTTGATGGTTTTAGGAATGGATTCTTGGAAGAGGAAGCAAATTCATAGCCATGTTTACCGGGTGCCTGATCCATTTCGTAATGAGGTGATTGAATCTCTATATCTTTAAATTTTGGTGGTGATTATATGATGGTGGTGATTATGATGATGGTGGTGATTATGATGATGGTGATAGGTAGTGGTGGTGGTCGGAAACTCAATGAGTGGACAAGACATATCAATGGAGCTTGTGGAAGTGGCAAAGGAAGTTCATTTAAGTTCCAAGTCACTTGATATAACTTGTGGCCTTTCCAAAGTCATTTCCAAGCACCCAAACCTCCTTCTTCACCCACAAGTACTCTTTGCTTCATGAATATATATTACATATATGTTATGTTTCTATGTATTAATTTGGATCTAAAAGTCATTTATCTGATTTTTGTTTTGAAGATTGAATCTTTAGAGGATGATGGGAGAGTCATTTTTGTGGATGGATCTTGGGTTGTCGCTGATACAATCTTGTATTGCACCGGGTAAGATAAATTGAATGAATGAATTTTTTTTTCTTCTGCTATTAAATGTAACTTAACTATCCAATTACAAAATAAAATAAAATCAGATATGTGACTGATTAGACTAATATATAGTTAGGTACCCAAAAAAATCTTATATATTTAAAAACAAAATCTAGAGTAATTTTATCCTTTTTATGAAAGTTAAAGAGAAGACTAGAATTGCTACTTTTTGTTTCCGTTAGAGAAGACAAATAGATGATGATTAAGGTTTCTTAGATCATTGGTGATTTAATCGTAATTAATTAACGTTAAGTTTAGTTTATATCGACTTTGTGGGGTATCGAGGTCTTCATCGACACCATAGTATCATATTGCTTCAATGTTAGAAAGAAGTAAAATAATAAAGTATGGTTGATCATTGGGATCTGCATGATATTGCGTAACGTATATCTTAGTTCTACTAGAAATTAAATCATATCGATGGAAATAATTTCGATCGTACAAAGATATAAAATTACCGAACCTATATGCTCTCTACGACATTTTTCTTGTTATTGTCAATAGGATAATTTTAAAATTAAAATGTGAGAGACTTAAAAAAGCCGTATTGAGTGGGATACAAATCTTTTTTCACATTGGTCTTCTCAATAAGTTTCATCTCCCTAGTTCTTGGGGCGATCATATACAATAATAATTCAATTTTGTAAGTTTTTCTCGTATTAATTGAATAAATAAATAAATATTGCACAGGTACTCGTACAAGTTTCCATTTCTTGAGAGTAAAGGAAGAATAAAAGTTGATGATGATAGAGTGGGCCCACTCTTCGAACATACTTTCCCTCCTTCTCTGTCCCCTTCTCTCTCCTTTGTCGGTATCCCCAGAAAGGTCTCTCTACTTTTTGATTTTTTCTTTTTGCTTTTCAACTAAATCAACTTTGATTTTTTGATTTCTCTAACGAAAATATTAAAAAAAATTGGGTTGGTGTTTGGCAGTTAATAGGATTCCCATTCTTTGAAGCACAAGCAAAATGGATAGCTCAAGTCTTGTCCGGGAAGTCATCTCTTCCTTCTTCCGACCAAATGTTGCAATCAGTCGCCGACTTTTACCGGTCAAGGGATCTCGCCGGAGTCCCTAAACACAACACTCACGACATTGCTGATTTTACGGTTAGTTAAACCCCTCTCAACTAACAAAAATCAACATTTTGTTTTAACTTTTATCATTAAATTTTGTGTTGAATCTTCTGCTTATAGTATTGCGACAAGTACGCGGATTATGTTGGGTTTCCGCATTTGGAAGAATGGAGAAAGCTACTCTGTTTGTCCGCTCTCAACAATTCTCAGGAAAATCTTGAGACCTACCGCGATTCTTGGGATGATCATGAACTCCTACAAGAAGCTCTTCAAAGCTCACATTTCACAAATCTCAATTGTTGAGTCTCTTTTGATGCTACGTTTTTTTTATCTTCTGTTAAATTCTTTTGTTGTTATGTTTGATTCTTTCTTTCCTTCCTTCTTTTTATCTATAGTTTGCTCTGTTTATGCTTTTGGTTGATATGTATAACCATACATTTATACATTTGCTTCCTTCAATATAGTGTAGTATCATATCCAAAATCAGTGGAGATCTTTGTTAGAAAAACACTATGGTCATCATGGCAATGTAGAATACTGGTAGTTCATGAGAAAAAGCTTGAGTCTTCTAGAATCTTTGATCTAACTTGTGATAAAAGTTTTGAACTTTGAGTTAGATTTGCTCATCCATATATAAACTCCTTCAGTACCATCTCTAGTGTTCATTATCGAGTCATAAATAGCTAGCTAGTTCGACCCAAAAAACTACTTGTAGTCTTGATTCTCCTTAGAAGTCTTGATCTCCGTAACAAGACTTGTTGCCAAAAAAGCATCTTCAGTAAGATTCTTGATTATCCAAGAACATGAAGCAAGGCAAGTATTGTAGTTACCTCTTTCGCTTAGCTAAACTACATGGTCGATGATCATATGCTGAAAAGCAGCAGCAGGAGTTCTGGAGCCTCGTCTTCGCTTTGTTATGGCTCCCCAATCGGAAATGAAAGCCTCTATCGGTTTACGAGGAGAGGAGCTTCTGCTCTTGTTCTTGGGGAACCCGAAACCCCATTTTGATTCAGAAACTTCAACTAACTTTTCTGTTACTTCATCGGCTTCACATTCTGAAAACGTGCCTAAGCTCTGATTATTATTATCTTTGCATTTCCGCTTGGTCCGGCTCCTTCTCTGCTTTCTAAGGACAATGCTGGAGACTGCTGTTTTGTTGTCTGCAGATTTCGTTCTCAGAACTTTCCTGTGGTCCTCAGGCTTCACCTCCGTCAGTTGCAGTGTCATGGCCTCAGAACATTCTAATTCCTGGTCCTCAACAACCGAAGAAGAAATCTCGGCTAACCAGAGTAGGTTTCTGCCTAAGGAAGCAGCGATACAATCAGAGGTTTCTCGATCGAACTTTCTAGACATATCAACTATAGCCTCAGCTGCAGATATTTCTTGATAATTTCCCTCTGTAACAAGAGATATCTTTCTGCTCTTCTTCCGTTTCTTTTTCGCAACTACTTTGTGACCATTACTGGATTTCACTTGTGGTTTACAACGCCTTTTCTTTCCTGGACCTGTCCGGTTTCTCGCAGGCTTCACCTTAGACAAAGAACTTGAACTTCCTTTTCGCATAGTCGCTTGATCGCTCTGAGATTCTGAGGTGGCTTCAGCAGTCGAGCGCAGGTCAAGATCTGAGCCTTTGAAAGCTTTGTTGATTGGACCATGTTTTACCTTCTTTCTTGGCCTTGAGCTCTTCAAAAGCAAAATGCTATTCAAACATGGTAGAGCTTGAACTACCACTCGCGACTGCTCTGTTACGAGTTTTCCGTGCAAAGAAACCGATACGCACTCTTGAGGTTTCTCCGTTTCAAACTTCTCAACAGTATCTACTTCCTCTTCAAATGATAAGGGAGACATATTCAAGTCAATTCCATGCCCTGCTCAAAGAAAGTAAAAAGACCAATTAAGCTTCAATATATCAAGAAACTGTGACAAAAGTGCATAAGAAGAAATCAAATATGTAGTAAGCATAATGTTAACATTTTCTTACCTCCTCGACATTTTACAGACGACTGTTGGCCTTGCGCTTCATTCATCCAGTCGGAACCTTTTACTGAATCTTCTACCTCGTTCTTTTTTTCTCCAGTTTCATTTGATGTAACTGGTGGACTCAGGAACTGATTGAACACATAACCAGAATCTTCCTCGATCTTGGCAGGTTCATTCAAATCAAATTGCAGCTTACTCAACTGGTTACCCGATTCCACAGATTGCTCTTTCAGAAAGGTTGCAACTTTATGGACTTCACCATTCATCAGACCTCTCTCTACCTCTCTATCACTACACTCAAAAACCGGTAGTTCCAGATCCACGACCACCTTTTCAGACTTCTCAACATTATCTGCAGCTTCAATTCGATTAAGAATGTTATCTTCATAAACAAAACTCCTCGTTTGATATGTGGAGACGCTCGGATTCATCCAGTGTGTTCCAAGGCTAGGGAAAGTAGAATTCAGGTACAAGGCCTCGTGACGTCGAGTTCGTTCCATTTCCAACATCAGTTCCTTCTGCCTCCAATACAGACGATGAAGCTCATGAATCTGAAAAAGAATCAAACTCTTCAAAATTGGAGGAACACTAAACACCCGAGATGAAATCATTACATCAAGAACAAGGGAGTCACGAAGAAATGCACCTGACTTTCAAAGACAGATTCATGTACAAGCATGGTGTGCTTCAATGTCTCCTTCAACTCTCTAAGATAAAGATCATGATATAGTAAAGAAAATGTATCATCAACGTCCACGTTCACGCCGTATCTATTGGTTAAGACCGTATCAATGTCCTGAACAGAAAACGAACTCCGGCCAGTTCTCGCATCCGTAGTAATGTCACGGTTTGAGTAATTGCAGGTCATGAGAGAGCTGTTGTACTGCATTTTTCACTTCACTCCACACCCTTAGCAGGATTTCTGTTTACCAAGAAACATAAACGAATCAATCTTATGAACTCTGTAGCAACTAAAAATAATATATTCATTATAAAGCAAAAAACTTTAAGATCTTAAAAGACTATTAACATCTTTTTTTGCGTCACAAGTGGTTGAAGATAAGCTTTCTAAAGCAGCAAGGAAAAAACAATTAAAAACAGGACTCTGTAAACATAAAAATTTGCAGAGGAGGAAACCCAGAAACCTTATCAGTAAAGTGAAAGAAAAAAAGAAAATAATCAAAACGAGAGAAAGGATCTACCTTTAGAAAGAAAAGAAAGAGCAAAGGAACAGTTTGTTTTAATCTGAAGAACAACCAATCCAATAACTTTTTGAGATTCGACTCAAACTTTTAACTTGAGGAAGCTGCTGAAAAATCCAGAGAAAAAAAAAAAGAGCTTCCTTTTTTTGTAATATCTCGGGAAAATGCAAAAAGGGAAAGTGCGAAACAACCCAAAAGAACAGGGATTTGTATGTCTTCTTTGTTTTTTCAATGCCGATGAAGCAATAAGTGCGTATCCGAGATCTGCTGGGCCATTAACTTTGGACAAGAAAGAGATATGAAGAGAGAAAAATGGAGGAATTTCTCAGGAAACAGACAAAAAAGTTTACAGAAGAAGCGGAAATAAAACCTTTTTTTTTTACTTTTCCATATTCTGATTCTTCTCCATCTTGTCTGTTTCTTCTGACGTTATTAATGTCTCTCTCTCTCTCCCGTTACTTTTCCCGAGTCTCAGAAAATTATTCTCTTTTATATTTTCAACTTAAAAGGTTATATTAAAATATCACTCCTACAATAAAAGACTAGAATTATATAAATCCAACAAATTAATCTCATTTTGTTGAAACATTTCTAAAATCGTTTAGAACCAACCAACACAAACCATCCGGTCGAACCGGGAATTTGGCCAGTTTGTTCCTACTAAGATCTGGTTCATCTCTAATCTAGGAAAGAAAAAGACAAATGTTTATGAATAATGCCAAGTATAGCTTTCGTGGTCGATTAGGTGAAGTTTTGTGCTTCTCCATGTCTATGTTACTCTTCCCTTAACTATTCCTGTAAGCCCTTTCTTCTGATGACTTGAGAGACCACTTCTTTACTTGACCTGAGGAAGACCACAAACCTGGACACGGAGGTGGTGGCGGCGGTGGAGGAGGTGACCCAAATGCCTCAGGCCCTCTATGATAGGCTTGCTTGACATTCTCTTCTTGTGCTTTCTTAAACAACTTTATAAATTTCAAGAGCGTCGCAATAGCTGCATCAAAATCGATAAAACCCGTACGTGTTGTTTATTAGCTATGTAACAAAAGAGAGGATCAAAGTTTATATTCCGCGTCGAACCTTGTTCAAATGGAAAACGGTTGAGATCCTCCCCCAAATAAAACCCAAGTGCGTCAGCATTCGTTGCCTGTCCAAAAAAATTACAGTTTCAGGATCAAACACATTGTCAAAAGGCAAGGGACAATTTACCAGGAGGTAGTAATGTCTCACTAGAGGTTTTACTCGAGAGTCAGCAATGGGGATGAAGCCCTTCAATTTCTGTAATCAGAAACACAAAGCTAGGTTTTAACTCTAAAAACAAAACCTGAAAAATCATTTTCCAGCTGGTATTTGATTTATGTGGTACGAATCATGGAACAACTAATCTCAAAATTCATGATTGATAAAAATATGAAGGAAAAAAAACAACAACAACAACATACTTTACGGAAAACTTCAGAAACCGGACCATCACTTTCGGATGCAATGAGCTCCTGCTCCAGCTTTCCCAATCCTCTGCTTATAGCTTGCATTTCCTCAGCCAGCGACTTCAATGGTATCTGAACCGACGGGAAAAAAAACAAATGAGGATCAAGTTACAGCTAAGGAGTAGAGGATATTGGAAAAAGGCACAAATGCAAACCTTTGAAGCTGATTCAAGACTTTCAAGATCCTTGTAAAAGTCCAGTAAATGTGATGCTTTGGAAGCAAGGACCTGGAAACAAAATAAGAAAGCGAAGAGTTTCAGAAACTAGAGGCTGCGTTTCATTTTTCTTTGATTATAATGTACCTTGCAAAGATAATGCATGAGAGTCATCTTGCTGTTAGGAGCACGTGTATCGCTTAATTTTAATAAAGATTCCAGCTTAAATCCCACTGCAGCACCTGCATAAAGCAGAGCAAATGTCTTATCAACCCTAAATCAGGCCAACAAGGGAACAGATAAATTTTACTGTGTTGCGTTAGGATATGTCTGAATAAGAATAATACAAAACTTACCCTTGGCAGTTCCTTGGTTTAATGTGTTCCCCAGGTAAAGAATATGTTTCATGATTTCTTTTAGCTTTTGTGAAGAACGGATCTAATGAACAAGCAATGAGGAGGAGGTAAAGAGTCTAAGGACGAGACATACATATGGACTGCACAGAAATTAAGAGTTTATTTACTGCAAGCATCTTACCTCATCACACGCAGAACTTACAACATGTAAACGTTTTTCAAATTTTGTTATCTGCACAGTAAACACCATTACCACCAATAGGACAAAAAATGTAGAGTTAATCGTTGACACTGATGACACCAAAACGTTTTCATCCAAAGAATCAGATAGACGGAAAATAACGGTATAAGATATACCACCGGACCTGAGTGCCGAATTGAATCTTGAAGGAAAACACTCTCAGCTTAGATTCTACTCGTGGCACCTTCATTAGCTCTAGAAAGTACTGCGGTAACATAATGGATGAGAGATGAAAACGCATTAGCTTAGCAAATTGTTAAAACTGTTTTGTAGTAAGAACCAAAAACAGTGTGAGATAGTAATCTCAAGATTTAGAACATACCTGCTCACACTTTCCCAAGTTTGCCTTGTCACCAGTGTAGCTCTTCAACAAACCAGTGAATTAGAACCAAGGACTCGTGTGGCATATTACACAAAAGACATACAGAATTAAAGAGACGAGTACTCAAAAGAAAAGAGTTTACCTTAAGAAGTTCCATCTCTTCCTTGGTTGGGAAAAACTTTATAAGATTCTCTATTTGATCATTATCTAGTACAGTATCATCCATTTCCAGAACTGCAGCCTTGGTGATGCAAAGAAAATTGCGAACAATTTTCACTAAACCATAAAAGATTGACTCAGCTAAAGTATGTTTTGAAGCTTACCATCATATCAGGCAGCGGCATCTTTAATTTCGTAAGCATAATTTTCATGTTATAGGCTCTCCTAAGGTCAATCTGGAAAACCATAAGAAAAACAAGAGTGAAGTATTATTCAATCAGAAAAGCAAACAGACATACAATGGGCTTCAGAGCATGCTCTCTGACATTTATTTTTATGAACACATGCTCAAAGTTAAAAAATATATAACATTACCAGTCGAACTTTTTCAGGTTTTGGCATTGCAGCAGAGAAAAGGCTCTGTATTTCTGATGCATCAAATATTGGGTCCCTAGCAGAAAAGAAAGAAAAAATGATGATGATTAATTGCAAAGCCGAGAGGGTCAATAAATTTAGTGGGAGAGTAGAAATATAAAACAAAGATAAAGTTAGTACAATACGTTTGTGCTTCTCCATGCCTCTGTAACTCGCCCCATAAGCTTCCTTCCGAGGCCCTTGTTAATTTAACCCAGTGTAATAATGGCTTCAGAGAATACTTTTTCCACAACCACAAAACCATCCGAGTCTCTCATATGGTCAGGCCCATCAATCACATCGCTAAAAATCTCCTCCACCTCAAAAAATTCCTCAGGTGAAATAATATCGAAATCGTTCTCATCTTCTGATGTTGTAGCTGTTGCGGTAGTAGGCACCACGGCATCAGAGCCAGAGAAAAGTAGCTGTTACAACATATATGAGTGGGAGCATCCAAAACTTATTAACAGCCTCATTCAACGGGATGGTCATAGAAAGTTTACCTCTGCCTTGAATTCCTTCGGGAAGTGGTCCTTGGCATCCCAAAGTATATCCATCTCATCGCGTTGGACCATCAAACTGCTAGCACGTACAAACGCCGTGTGGAACATGATCCTAAAGAGCATCTCCTCACGAACCAAATCATCACGCAAGTGTATGCATTCCACAACAACATCCCCTTGAACACGGCACTGGACATCTAGTTTCACCAAGATAAGCTCTTCCTGCTGGTAAAGTCGAGTGTGCTTCTTGGTCTTTGGACTGGAAAAGAGAAGCGTGGAACTGGTGATGCCTCCGTATTTAGGGTCCTTACCATAAACACGTAAAATCGGTCTGCAACCTTTTCTCCCTTCAAAACGTGGGAGGTCTCTGAGTATCAAGCAATCCATAAGAACCGGCGTCTCTAGAGGAGGCCTACCAGAGTCGAAATCTCTTGTAGAAATGTAGTGAAGATATCGTAGTTGAGAAGGCTGAGGGTTCAGTGGAGACGAAAGACGAAGAAGCTCCTCCATGGGAGCCTGTTTGTGTACCGTCGCAAGAGTCTTGTGCACGCCCCGGTACTGCTTAACGTGCAACAAAAGCCCTGGTAGCATAAACGCAACAAGAGGCCAGCTACTTCTTTCGAAATGCATCAAGAGAACAGTTCCACCTTCCACTGTTAACCAGCTTTCGCTTGATCTTAGGAAGTGACAGATCCTCTCGAGAGGCAAAAGCGGACAACTCTCGTAGTGGCTTGGATAATTTATTACCGTCATGTCGCATTGAGACAACACGTCTGAGATTTGACTCCGCTTTTCTCCTTCTCCAAAGTTAAACACCAAGTGAAAAGCATCCGGGAACTGATCATGTAGCTGCGCCGCGATGCCACCGAAGTACGCTTTGTAGTCACCCTCTTTCATAACATGGCTCGAGAAACAGCAGTCAAAAACTGCAAGGAAGAAGAAGAATATGAGAGTGGCAACTCTGAAACCTGGAAACTGCTCCGGCAAAACATATCGATTATTGGAAAACGCGAACACAGATCTTCAAGCTCGAAACTTGTTGTTCATAGCCGAGTGGTATGAAAGAAGGGCAATGTTTTGGTTTGTGTAACATAACGAGTAATGTATGACCAACAGATTATTTATATATTATTTATTATTCTAAACCAAGCAGAGAGAGTCATAGTAATACCATAGACACCCTCTGCGATCTCGACAAGTCGATCCGGAGGGTTTTTGTAGAAGACTCGTCGGAACAGAGACATTTGAGTCATTTGACTGGGAATCAAACAGACGATCTCGTAGAATAACAACAAGCAGATTGTTCTGTTTACTAACTACCTTACATCACCCTATTGACCCGATTTAGATCAACGAACCCTAATCCAGAGCAAAGTGATTACAGATTTCCCAATAGTTACAAGAGAAAGACCCAATGCGCAGAAACTTGTGAAAGCACAGTTGACTTGTAATTAAACTAAAGATGTGATTTTGGATATTGTATTTTAATGGAATTATATTTAATTTTTTGGAAGGTGTATTCAAAACCACAAACTATGTTATTGTATAAATTTTAAAAATTGTTTAAAATTTGGTGTTATTAAAACTAGTAATTTGAAAATATATCTTCAACTTCACTGTTATAAGAAATAATTTAAATAATGAATTTTCTAATAATTGGAGTGATTTTAATATGTTTTGATGAAATTTTAGTTAAAAATATAAAAATTCTAATATAATAATTTTAGATGAAGTTTTATAGAATTTTGATATCAAATCATAACAATTTCCATAATTTTATCAAATCATTAAAACTCAAATCTTTCCAAATCATTTTAAATGTTAAGTTGAATACATCTCCTTAATTTATATTAAATTTCAATGTTATTTAATTATACATTTAGTATTTACTAAAATCTATTGAAATATAAGTCACATTTATATATATTTACATTCATATTTTAAAATGCAAACACTAGTATTTGATATTAGGAATTTCTAAGTATAATTAGTGACTTATTTTGAAGTCAATAACGTGTTTTAACAGATGGGGGGAAATCACGAATTAAACTGGTTTATTTAATTTTGTAGGTATTAGTCAGAGAACTTGTGTATTTAATTGATCGGAAAAACGTGGTTGTAATTATAAATAATTTTTTACATGTCCACGTAGGATGAAGAAACACCTAGAGAGAGAGAGAATGGTCGTGTCGCGTATGTCAGGACTACGAACCGGGTCTCGTTTCTTTTCTTTAAAGTCCACTACGTCTCGTCTTTTCTTTCGTTTCGGGGTTAAGAGGTTCAATAACACAAATATTTATACGGGAAAAATCAAAAAGCTATTTGCTATAATTAATACCTCTAATTATGAATAAAACCCTTTGTAAAATAAAAATAATTTATTGACAAAAACTGCTGGAAGATTTGTCGAAATCTCGCTTCATTCATTCTTTTTCTTTCTTTCTGCTCTATCTTCTCCCCTTTTTTTTTTTCACCTGAATTTCTTCATCTCACTGTCACTTGCCTCTTTATTTTATTTTTATCAACTATTTTTGATTAGCTTCGAAGATTCTTCGTTTCCACGTTTGATAGGGAGATTCGGCATTGTACATAGATCGATTCATTTGGAGAACAAAGTATTCTGGATTTTTCTGAACTTGAGGGTATTCGCGTTGGGATTACGACTTGCGTTGTCTCAAAATTGGATTATAGGTGGAGGGGAGAGAGAGAGAGACAGAGAAGAAATTTCTGCGATTCGGGTCTCTATCTGGCTCTTGTAATTTTGTGAAATTTGTCAACATTTCTGCTGGGTGTAAAATTAGGGTTTGCGACCTGAATTAGGGAAGAAGGGGATCTGGGGTTTAGGTCAACGGAATTGGAGAAATCGAGAATGATCTGCTTGTTGCTTTACTAAATAGACGGTTTGGATCCGATCGGAGGAGAGACAGCGCCACCGGATGGCGCTGTTCCGTCGCTTCTTCTACAAAAAGCCTCCGGATCGGCTTCTCGAGATCTCGGAGCGTGTTTATGGTAATACCTCTTGCTCCCACTTTCCTCTGTTTGTAGGATACATTCATCTCGCAAAAGATGAAATATGGGCATTTGGATCCAATTTGCCTACGAGCTTCTGTATGGTCGAGGGTTTTTGGCAGTTTGATTGCGTTGAGAATTTGCATTTTGTTGCTATTTTCAGCTCAACTTGTCCTTTAGCTTGAATTATAGAGAGGTTTAGGAATCAGAATCTCTTTGACGACACTTTAGCTTTGTGGGATATTCTATTCTGACCCAAACCAAAACCATGGTTTCCTTTAATGCTCTGCGACAATGATTTTTTGAAATTGGATTATTTATTTGAGCTGCTACATTGCACTTGCGGATAGTGACAACCATTTCACAGCTTGAAGATTTCGTGTTTCCATTTTTCTAATAACTGCTATTTTTGCTGGTAGCAGTTCCAGGTTTCAGAGTTGCTCGTCTCTGATTCTTCTCTTGTTTTCTTCTTCTTTGCAGTTTTTGACTGCTGTTTCTCGAGCGATGTTATGGGAGAGGATGAGTACAAAGTATACTTGGGTGGTATCGTGGCGCAGCTGCAGGATCATTTCCCGGAGGCCTCTTTCATGGTGTTTAACTTTAGAGAAGGAGAACAGCGGAGTCAGATATCAGATGTGTTGTCTCAATACGACATGACGGTCATGGATTATCCTCGGCAGTATGAGAGTTGTCCGCTTTTACCTCTCGAAATGATCCATCACTTCCTAAAATCGAGCGAGAGCTGGTTGTCGTTGGAAGGTCAACAAAATGTTCTGCTGATGCACTGCGAAAGAGGTGGTTGGCCAGTTCTTGCCTTCATGCTATCAGGGCTTCTTTTGTACCGAAAGCAGTATCAAGGCGAGCAGAAGACTCTTGAGATGGTACACAAACAGGCTCCCAAGGAGCTTCTTCATCTACTGTCTCCTCTAAACCCGCAGCCTTCTCAGCTCAGATATCTTCAGTACATTTCTAGAAGAAACTTAGGCTCTGACTGGCCTCCTTCAGACACGCCTCTTCTTTTGGACTGCTTGATTCTCAGAGATCTCCCGCATTTTGAAGGGAGAAAAGGTTGCAGACCGATTCTACGTGTCTATGGTCAGGACCCTAAAGCCCGAGCCAACAGGAGTTCCATAGTTCTCTTTTCCACGCCAAAGACTAAGAAACACACTCGCCTCTACCAACAGGTGCTTTTCAAACCATTATATCTTTGTAACATATTTATTTATATGATCGTCACACTGATTTATGTACAGGACATTGTTTAGCTATTCTATATCCTTTTCATGTGAACTTGAGATGGTGGTATAGTTTTCCACATCTATTATATGCGAGTTAAGAAACATTTAATACAGGAAAGTTTAAAGTCTAGGAGTTCTTTTTCTAATGATATTACCATTTAAATGCTTTTTTACTTTAAAAAAAACCATGTTCATTTTCGTTTTCTAATCTGCAGGAAGAATGTATCCTGGTGAAATTAGATGTCCAGTGCCGTGTTCAAGGGGATGTTGTTCTGGAATGTATACACTTGCATGATGATTTGGTGCGTGAGGAGATGGTCTTTAGAATCATGTTCCACACGGCGTTCGTACGTGCTAATATTTTGATGGTCCAACGCGATGAGATGGATATACTTTGGGATGCCAAGGAGCAGTTCCCAAAGGAATTTAAGGCAGAGGTAGGTCCATTGTGAAATTTTCTCTGATCATACGTAAATGAGGCTGTTAAGTTTGAATGCATACTCAATATATGTATCAGGTACTTTTCTCTGGTGCTGATGCTGTGGTGCCTACTATTGCTACAGCCCCAATATCAGACGATGAGAACGACTTCGATATGACTTCACCTGAAGAATTTTTTGAGGTGGAGGAGATTTTTAGCGATGTGATTGATGGGCCTGACCATAAGAGAGACTCGGATAGTTTTGTGGTTGTTGATTCTGCTTCAGATGATTCTGAGGGTAAAGAGGTGTGGAAGGGGGAAGTGGAACCCAATGCGTTTTTAGATTGTGCATCTGATGATTCAAATCATAAACATGCATCATCTGATGATTCAAATCATAAACATGATCTGCATGGGGAGGCTAACACAGATCCAGTCAAAGATATCACTGTTGATGATGTACAGTATAGGTCAGATGGGAAGGCAGATTCCAATGTCGACTCAGTGAAGGATATAGGAATAGATGATGGTGATGAGCAGCGAAAAAGAAAGACCATAGAAGCAAAGGAAAATGATTCTAGAACAGCAGAGACTGAACACAAAGGTGATGGAGAAGGCAATATATCGGAGAATGATTCGGAGCCTACAACTCAGAAAACAAATACCGATTTCAGCAACCCCACATCTGAAAAAACACAAGCTACACCAAGGAAACAGGTCGGAGCAAATGCAAAACTGGCTGGAGATCCACTCAAACCAAAGTCTAAGCAGCAAGAAACTCAGGGTCCTAATGTCAGAATGGCTAAGCCTAATGCAGTTTCTCGATGGATTCCTTCAAATAAGGGCTCATATAAAGATTCTATGCATGTGGCGTATCCTCCGACAAGGATCAACAGTGCTCCCGCTTCAATTACCACGTCTAAGGATGGTAAAAGAGCTACATCACCACCTGATGGTGTGATTCCAAAGGATGCTAAGACTAAATATCTGAGAGCGTCTGTTTCTTCACCAGATATGAGGAGTCGAGCACCAATTTGCTCATCACCAGATTCTAGTCCGAAGGAAAGGCCGCCTTCTCTACCTCCTGCCTCTCCACATCAGGCGCCTCCACCACCTCAGCATCCACCTCCAGCCCCGCCTTCTCTAACCAGTGAGGCTACATCAGTTTTTGACTCTTCACAGACGACTGCATCACCGAGTCAAAATGACAGCCACTCTCAAACATCTCAGATCCCACCACCTCCTCCGCCACCTCCATTTGCATCTGCGAGACCAAACAGTGGAACCATGTTGCCTCCACCACCACCACCACCTCCTCCTTTTGCATCTGAGAGACCAAAGAGTGGAACCGTTTTGCCACTATCTCCACCTTGGAAGTCTGTGTATGTTTCAGCTTTGGCAACTCCTACGACATGTTCTACTTCTCAACCTCCCCCACCACCTCCTCCTCCGCCTGCATACTTATCACTGGGCCAAACCCGCAGCCACTCTCAAACATCTAAACTCTCATTGCCACCGCCTCCTCCACCTCCACCTCCTTTTGCATCTGTGAGGGGAAACAGTGAAATCATGTTGCCTCCGCCACCACCTCCACCACCTTGGAAGTCTGTGTATGCTTCCACTCTTGAAACTCATGATTCTCCAGCAGTACCTCCTCCTCCATCTTTACCTTATATGAGTATTGCACCTGCGCCATCACCCAAGGCCTCTGGTTTTTCTGCTCCTCCTCTACCTCCTCCACCACCTCCTCCTCCATTTAGTAAGGCATATTCAGTCTCTCCACCTCAACCTACACCTCCTCCGAGTTATGGATCTCCACCTCCACCTCCTCCTCCTCCTTTTGGTCATGTACGTTCAACTCTTCCGCCACCGAGTCATGGAGCCCCTCCTCCTCCACCACCTCCTCCTTTTGGTAAAACTTCACCTCCGCCACCACCACCACCCCCTCCTTTTGGTAAAACTTCACCTCCCCCACCACCACCCCCTCCATTTGGATCTAGTGGACCTCCGCCTCCACCACCACCTCCATTTAGATCTGGCGGACCTCCGCCTCCACCACCACCTCCATTTAGATCTGGCGGACCTCCGCCTCCACCACCACCTCCATTTAGATCTGGTGGACCTCCGCCTCCACCTCCTCCACCACCAATGGGTGCTCCGCCTCCACCACCACCTCCAATGTATGGAGCACCACCTCCACCACCTCCTCCGATGCGTGGAGGAGCACCACCTCCACCACCTCCTCCGATGCGTGGAGGAGCACCACCTCCACCACCTCCCCCGATGCGTGGAGGAGCACCACCTCCACCACCTCCCCCGATGCGTGGAGGAGCTCCCCCGCCACCACCTCCCCCGATGCGTGGAGGAGCCCCACCTCCTCCTCCACCTCCTGGTGGTAGAGGTCCTGGGGGACCGCCGCCTCCACCACCTCCTGGTGCTCGTGCTCCTGGTCCACCTCCGCCTCCTGGACCAAGACCTCCTGGTGGTGGACCTCCTCCACCTCCTGGACCAAGACCTCCGGGTGGTGGACCTCCTGATCTTAAAGGTGCAGGAAGAGGGCGTGGTCTTCCACGTCCAGGTTTGGGGTCTTCAGCTCAAAAAAAGTCTTCTCTGAAGCCTTTACACTGGGTTAAAGTAACAAGGGCCTTGCAGGGAAGCTTGTGGGACGAGTTACAGAGGCATGGAGAAGGACAAACGTATTAGACTAACCTTATCTTTGCATTCCTCTTTCTTTTATATTCCCTCCCGCACCTTTGTTTATCCAAGAAAACAGATTCTGTGTGTTTTGGGTTTTCTTGACTTTTGGTCTACAACTAATCATCGTTCTTTTTCCTTTTTTGCTAGTGCACCAGAATTTGATGTATCAGAAATAGAGACCCTTTTCTCTGCTACGGTGCAAAAACCGGCTGATAAATCTGGAAGTCGAAGAAAATCTGTCGGGGCAAAGCCTGAAAAAGTTCAACTGGTAATGTTAAATGTTCTTAAGATATTGCCAGAAAAAGTTCAACTGGTAATTGCCAGATATTCTAACTTGCTCTTTTCTGGTGGAGACTTTGGTCATGTAGTTATAAACAAGTGACTGAAAGCATGCTACTCTCAATCTTATACCTCTTACCCTGCTGTTTCCACTACTATGAAGCTCATTGCATGTCTGATTGCTTTTGCGATAAAATATTTCAGTATGTTTGATGTATTGTTTTTCTTATGGTTTTCCAGATCGACCTTAGAAGAGCCAATAACACGGAAATTATGCTTACGAAAGTGAAGATGCCGCTGCCTGATATGATGGTAAGCTACAAAACCTACTTTACTTGAAAACAAGTCATTACTAGTTAATCTTGTATAGTTTACTGATAATCGTTCGCAATTTTCTTTGCATCTTTCAGGCTGCAGTTCTGGCAATGGATGATACTGTACTAGATATTGATCAAATAGAGAATCTTATAAAATTTTGTCCAACCAAGGAAGAGATGGAACTTCTTAAGGTAAACTCTTTTCTTTTGAGTATACTATTATTTACTCGTCTCTTTATTCTGGATCTTTTGTGAAATATGCCATTCTTTTTGGTTATCATTATTCGCTTGTTATTGACACGAGTCCGTGTTCTTGGTTTTTGCTGTAGAACTACACTGGTGATAAGGCAACCTTGGGAAAGTGTGAGCAGGTCTGTTCTAAATCTTGAGATTACCAATCTCACATTGTTTTTGGTTCTTACGATATAATAGTTTTAACAATTTGCTTAGCTAATGTGCTCTCTTTTCGCATCCATTATGTTACCGCAGTACTTCCTAGAACTAATGAAGGTGCCACGAGTAGAATCGAAGCTGAGAGTATTTTCCTTCAAGATTCAGTTCCGCACACAGGTCCGGTGGTATCTTCTACTTATCTGATTCTTTGGAGATTTTTTTTTTGGTTTCATCAGTGTCTATGCAAGTGTAGATTATTGGTCCTGTTGTTAATGATGATTACTGTGCAGATAACAGAATTCAAAAAAAGTTTAAATGCGGTAAATTCTGCGTGTGAGGAGGTTAGTTGCTTTCAATAATTAAATATAAGTTGGTGTAGTCCATATGTATTTCTCTTACTTAGATCTTTCCTCATTGCTTGTTCGTCAGGTCCGTACTTCACAAAAGCTAAAAGAAATAATGAAAAAGATTCTTTACCTGGGGAACACATTGAACCAAGGAACTGCGAGGGGTAAGTATCCTTTTGCTCAAAACATTTCCAATGTGGGATTGATCCAAGAATGACGCCTTTGTTTGGCTGCATGATATACCTGTTTTGTCTGAACGCAAATCTTTTGTGGTTGATAAGACCCGTGTTCTTCTTTCTGCAGGCGCTGCAGTGGGATTCAAGTTGGACAGTTTATTAAAATTAAGCGATACACGTGCTGCTAACAGCAAGATGACTCTCATGCATTATCTTTGCAAGGTAAACTGCAATCGTAAAAAGTAGCCTCTATATTCTGTCGAGGGTGGTTTTAGAAATTGGTCAGGCGTAGGAGGGATACATAATCCTGAAACTCTCCTCTTTTCTTTCTCCAGGTCCTTGCTTCAAAGGCATCAGTTCTACTGGACTTCCACAAGGATCTTGAAAGTCTTGAAGCAGCTTCAAAGGTTTGCGTTTGTGCCTTTTCCGTCCTATACTCGTTGGTTGTAACTGGATCATCAATTGATTTGCATGTCGATTCAGATACAATTGAAGTCGCTGGCTGAAGAAATGCAAGCTATAATCAAAGGATTGGAAAAACTGAACCAGGAGCTCACTGCATCCGAAAGTGATGGTCCTGTTTCTGAAGTTTTCCGGAAAGTATGTTGTTGCTTTTTTCTTCTGCATTTCTTATCAATCATGAATTTGAAATTAGTTCTGTGATTTTGCTACGTCACTAAATCATCATCATATTGCAAAACCAGTACCTTGCTACTCCCGGATCCTGAAACCTAGTTTTTATGTTTTTTGAAAACAGACACTGAAGGAGTTCATATCCATTGCTGAGACTGAAGCGGCAGCTGTATCGAGTCTTTATGGCGTCGTGGTAATTTGACGACCTCTACTATATTCCAAGCTCCATGCCTTAACATGTGTTTGATCCTGAAATGGTAATATTTTTGTCTTGTTAATTGACAGGGAAATAATGCCGATGCACTTGCGTACTATTTTGGCGAGGATCCCAAACGGTGTCCATTTGAACAAGGTTTGGCGCGAAATATAAACATGATCCTCTCTTTTGTGCAAATACATTAGAAAGTAAGTTGCTAATAACAAATCGATTTTGCTGCAGTGACTGCGACCCTCTTGACTTTTATAAGGTTGTTCAAGAAAGCACACGAAGAGAATATCAAGCAAGTGGAGTTGGAGAAGAAGAAAGCCGCTAAGGAAGCGGAAATGGAGAAGGCGAAAGGAGTCAGTCTCACTAAAAAAGCAGTTGATAATAGCTGACCCAGAAAACTTAATATATTATTTTCGCAAAAAAATCCCGCCTTAATCTCTCAAGCGAGCCAAGGTGGTTTTTGATGCCAGCGGAGGCGGTGCTGTTCAAGTGTGTAACCTTTCCGCAAAGCGGCATGGGGCGGTTTGTGCGGTTGAAACAGGGCTCGGGTCCTACTGGGAGCGCATCGCTTGGGCGGGGCTATCGAGGAACCAACCCACAAGATAAGAGACAGGTCTCTTTTCCACTCACGTTTACATTACTGATTCCACATTGACTAATTCTAACTTGTAAATTAGGAATTCTTTCTTGTTATTTTTTAGAGGAATTTTTGGTAGATTGAAATGTTGTATAGGTTTCAGGTAGAGACAGAGAGAGAGAGAAAGATGTAGAACATTTTGTCTGGTTAGTGTGTAACTTTGTATCTTACCTCGATGTCAATGTTCTTTTTAGGATTCAGACGAATGAACAACAAATAATTTCGAATTGTTTCTCCCAACCGTCATGGTTTTGTCGGTTCGAGATGATCTACTACCTCCAGATTTTTCTTATTATTATTCCATCACTGTACATAATTTAGCTGTCTCGATATTTACAAATTTGCCTCTTACTTTACACTACCGATTTTTAGCGATAACAACACAATTCAATCAAACGATGAGTTTTTTCGTAGCATTCAACAAATTAGTTTCTCGAATTAATTAATACAATCTTTAGCAAAATTCAAACGCACACAAAAGAAATGTTTTGCGGAAGAAAATGAGACTGCACGTGTGAATGTGAAGAACGAATTTCTATAAAACAAATAAATGAAGTAAAGCCAAGGAATCATCAAATCTCAGTTATCTTGGGATCCCATGTTTGAAACTCTCATGGATTGCTTTCTTCTTCCCCCACTCTCCCTTTCTCAGAAACTAACCCTAGCAACTCAAATTCTCCGCGAATCCAACTGAAAATGGTCAAAGACGACGATCTAAACTGTCAGCAAGAGCTGATTGATCCCATCTCGTCAATGGTTGTCATCAGAGAATTGCCAATTTCCGCCAAGCACGATCGAATTGTTTTCCCGCCGGTCAACCACGAGAATCTCCAGGTCTCTTCTTCCATCTATGGATTCGATAGGTACCTCGATTCTCCGTCGGAATCCGAATCCCCGTCATCTTCTTCTAGGCGTTCTGCTTCATCTTCTTCTTTTTCGTTATTCCCGTCTGATTCAGACGGACAACCGCCACAGGCTGCGTGTGAAAATGACCGGGAGTCTCCGTCGGAAGCTGAAGAAAAAACTCCGCCTTCACTAGGAGGCGAATCTCCACCGTCCGATTCAGATGGACAGTCGCCATTGACAGCATGCCAATTTTACCGGAAATCTCCGCTATCGCCTTCTGAAGGAGGCAGTAAATCTCGACCGTCCGATTCAGACGGAAAATCGCCGAGGAAATCATCGTATCGTGAAGTTGATATCTTCCACGATTGGTGGCAGCTTCTTCTCGTACGTGTATACTCGAAATTGAAGAATTTGGTGACCTGGTTCTCAATCACTCTTCCATCACTCTCTCCAGTCCTTGCCATTGCGATTTGGTGGTGGATACGAGCTCGTCGAAGACGTGTCAACGGGGAAACTACGGACCGTCTTAGAGATGCGATCAAAGAGAGAGACGAGGTATGTACTCGGTTTCCATGTCTTTCCCTGCTTACAAAGTGTTCGACGAAATGTCTAAAAGACATGAACAACTCAATTCAGTTACTTACATTTTTTTTTTTCCTGGTTTCGCACAGAGAATACTTCAGCTCTTGCATCAGGTTGCTCAAATGAATGAGTTACTGGTAAAGCACCACAAGGACATCGTATCAAGAAGATGATCCATCACAATTCAAACTCTTTAGCTTTACCGATTCTTTTGTTTCTTCTTGTTTATATTTTTTTTTGCAATTCTCTATGTCTGTCTGTAAGATTCTAACATTTCGATCTCTCAAAAAAGACCTAAACTTTCTCAGTTCTAACCAAAAACCCTACGAGACAGAGTTACTTCATGAACTTAAGGTTCTTCGAAATTAAGCACTATGCAAAAACAGATTTTGGCAATGATAATTGAACAAATTGATAATTCATCCTCCCTGTTCAAGTTTAACAAAAGAATCTATTTATGGGTAAAAATATAGTGGAAAAAACAAAACAAAACTGAGCTTTCAAACTGATCATATTCAGCTAAAGGACTGAATTGTGCTTCATCCGCTGCTAGCTCCGTGCTTCAGACTTGAGCGGTGTTGTTGTTCTCCGAATATCAAACCGGTCTACAAACTTCAATGGCAATGTTGTCTCGTTCCTGATCCTCTTGATCTTAGGGCTCAGCAATCCCCTGTGACCAAACCCATAAAGCTTAAGCACCTGATTATCCGCAAAGTTGTACGCTCTCTCCATACTCTTCAAGCAACGTTCAACCGCGTAATCCGCATAGCTCCCACACGGTTTGCATCCGACGAAATGAGTAACAAAGGGCCATCTCTCGTCTCCCAAGCCCGGATGATACTTGTCCATCATCTCCTCGTACTTATCCACTAATCCTTCCCAAAACCCATGAAGATAGTACTGATTCTCCACAAAGACTTTCTCCATCCACTTGTCCTTCTGTGAAAGCAGCAGATAGATCAATGCAGACTGATCATCAGCTTCGAACGCTGGTCTTCCCTTGAGACTCGCCGTGAGAATCTTCCCGGCTTCTTCCCTGATCGGTCCTTTTGGTCCCATCGGAGCCCAAGCGTCCAACAGATCCAAAGACCACTGACAGTTCCTAAACAAGAAGCTACCAGTGTTCAGAGCGATCCACGACTTCTGCTCGAACAGCAAATCCGGATACCCGTGGATAACCAAGTTATGGTTCTCGTATTTAGACAAGGGAATCTCGAACACCATGTCTGTGAACAGAGCATCGCTGTCCATCCACCAAATCCACTCGATCTCAGGGTGAGACAGCATCAGTCTCCTGAGCATTGGGAGCTTTGCCCAATACCCAGCAAGCTCCTTGTCCAAATGAGCCATGTTGTACACAATCTCGATCCCGTGTATCCTACAATAGTCAATCTTGTTCTTCACCGACTTCAATAGGTAATGATCACCAATTGGATTGTCACAAGGTTTCGGAGGCGAACCTGTTAGCAGCAAAACCCTAGCTTTACCACCGACGACACTGGGAAATTCTGGGTTCTGCGTTAACCACATTACTCGTTGGTTGTCCCAGTCAGTGATCTTGGGTCCGAGAGTGTAGGTCATGTTGAGGTCGAGATCCGAGTCAGGAGGCTCGTTCGTGTCGGTAGGATCCGAATCGGATCGGATCTCAGCTAGAAGTCGGTTAGTCTCTTCGATTAGGTTCTGGTTAATAGCATCGGCGTCGGAGGTGCCGAGGTTAACGCCGATTGTGCCACGGAGGACGAGAATGGTGACGAAACCACAGAGGATAGTCATCTTCACGTTGTTGAACGTCTTCTGGATCTGTTTACCACGTGGTGCTCTCCTTCCTCCGCCACTCGCCATCGTCGTCGGAAGAACGCCGGACGCGGTGGCGGAAGCGGTTGAGACGCGCTTCTGAGTCTTGAATCCGTCCTCCTTCCCCATGTTTTTACACGTAGAGAAACCTGTGAAGGTGGAAAACGCGAAGCGATTCGCAAAACACTTTGATCAAGGAGACATTGTTGTCTTGTCTCTGCAAGAGAGAGAGAGAGAGAGAGAGAGAGAGAGAGAGAGAGAGAGGGAGGGAAGTCGACAATCAAGAACTTTAGCGAGAGAGATTGAGATCGATGTGGACCACTAAGATTCAGTTATTAATTAATTCGGATTCGCTGATAAAAAAAAATAATAAAGCACTCTAACAAATTTGGATTGCATTTATTTTAACTTTTATGTACATAATCTCAAACTACATGAATACAGAGTGTGTGTGTGTGTGTTAACGATTATGTATGATTTACGAGTGTATAACTATCTTTTTGGCAACGAGACGGATTCCAGCTTTCAGCTGATAATCATACGGCTCCAGAGACAAGAATGCATCGAGAACACATCCCGGATTCAGCAACGATTCAAGCTCCTCAACGCTCGGGTTGCTGAAGATTAGCTTCTGAGTAGCTCCAGAGGACTCTCTCTGGTGCATCTCTGTTGCATAACGTGCTACATCTCCATTTATCTCTGTCGGTATACTACAGACACATAAAGAAACCAACCAGTCAGGAGAAGCTAGAGCAAGCAAGAAACCGGAAATTTTGTATGGAAAACAAGAAAGAGAGAGTTTAGTAAAAGTAACTTACTGTATCCTTGCGTTAAAGTGGTTTACAAACCCTCTCACTGGATTTACTACTGGGTTCCAGTCAGAAGTAGAGCCTGAATCAACAGATAGTTTCCGCGCTTTACTGTCACATGCTTCGAGTATACTGCACAGACTTGTATTCAGATCCACAACAAAATTCAGCCTCCTTCTCCCGGCGTTGTCTAGATACTTCCCATTGACTCCAAATCGTATTTTCAGACAGGAACAGTAGAGCTGCAGAGGGGCATCGCCGTGGAGTAGCTTCAGTTTCATCATTTGGCTTCCATGATAAAACGGGACAAGAACCGATTTGATGTTTGCAATAGATATCGCATCAGGCGCCAAGAATCCCTCATGGTCACTTGTAACCTGGGAGACAACAGTATCAGATGGTTGATGTCCTCCTTCTTCTTCTTCTTCTTCTTCTTCCATGAGAGTGTCTAACTGAAGGTGGCTGTCGGAAGCCATTTCATTCCTCAAGAGGCTCATGTTAAACGGATCTGGCTGAGCTACACTGTTCTCGCCAATGGATGGTAGCGTGAGAGAGCCAAGTACAGTGCTACCCTCGCGAGAAGAAGATGCTTGGAGACGTCTCCTTGAACTAGTAGTATCTGGAGATACCGAGTTGTTGTCTACAAGTCCATCTGGGAGACTCGACTCCTGCGAAATGTAAAAAGCATTGCCTCTGATTAGTCTGGTTTTAAAGTAATTTCTTGCAACGGAGCCAATAGGAGAAAAAGATTCTCCATTTATGAAGTAACTAAAGAGAACACATACCAAGAACAAGACAGTGGCACAGTATTTGAGAACCTCAAGATTCATTCTAACATCGTCTAGACTCCTGAAGAAGAAGATACAAATAATGAGTGCTTTTAAGAGTTTGAGGTAAAGAGTTCGATCCCAAATGCTTATGCTTTTGATATACCTATGGGTTTGATTGCCGAGTCCGAAATAAGTAGCCAAAGTTGCCATCTGCAGAAACAAAAGAACACGGTTTAAATTCCCACCATTCAACATCCTGATCTTGTGGAAATCTTATACATTTTCGAGAAGAGAATGATTTCGTTATATACCTTCATATTACCCGCTCTTCTACCAAATCTCTGAGTTAGCAAAGCCAATGAGTCGATGGCGCCTTTTGGCTCCGGTGGCTGGCGTCCAATTTCGGCAAAGGCTTCTCTAATCCTTGCACAATCAAACCTCAATATGTTGTGGCCTGCCCATATCCTCCCTGCAATGTATCCATCAGACAACATCAATACAAAATGGGCAAAACCCACCTTAAAACAAGAATCTTGCTTTGTATGACAAGAGTAAAGTTCCGACAGAACATTTAAAAGATTTCAGCTTCACTACACCCAGAAACCAAAGTTCAAAACTTGAATTTTGTTTCAGTCTAAAACAATTCAGAAACGACTCGATTAAAAAGAATTTATGGAAGGATAAGAAGAGGGTTTTAACCATGGAGGATGTTGTAGACGGTATCAGCGATTTCGGCAAACAGAGGCGCCGAAACGACATCGTCACGCTTGATGCCGTTGCACCGCACGGACAAGGAAGATATGAGACTCAAATCTATGGGCTGGACCAGAGTCGTGTAGCTTCGGAGCTCCGTAAGTTTCTTCGGGCATACAAGAATTGAGCCGAACTCCAGAATCGCGAAACGTTCGCCTCGCTTTGGCACAGTCGTCTCGACGTCGAAGAAGGCAATCTCCGATCTATCCTCTGTATCCATCCAAAGAGTATTTTTTTACGGGTCGGGTTGAATAAAGCGGTAAATTTTAAAAGCTTTGAAACTTGTTCTGAGAACATGAAGGATCAACGAGGGATTATATGAAGCTGAGGTTACTTTGTCCAATTCGTTAGGCAAAGTCAAGTCCATGTGAAAATCAAATTACTTAAAAGGGGTAATCTTTCTGGGTGGGTTTTCCAAAAAAGGGGTATTTTTTTTTGTTCATAATCAGAATTCATCATAAATTCCAAGTGTTTTACAAGAGTGCTTTGTAAACATTCCTTGCCCCTTTTACTTGTGTTTGCAAATTGTAACTTGTAAGTAACCTTGTCCTTTATTCCGAGGTTGTTCCAAGGTTCTCTGCAACTATACACAAGAATCTTCAAAAGACCAGAGACAGGAGGAAACACAAGAAAATACGGTCTTGATTTGAGATTGATCAGAACAAACATGACTACGAGAGCTAAGTTTACTCAACCTTGAGTGTTGACATAGCTTTTAGATCACACAGCCACTGTTTCTGGTCTCTTGCTAGTTTTGATTCCTTTTATAGCTGCAGGTTATTAGAAACGAGCAGACAAAATGTCAGAATATCGCAACTCACAAGATCATGTGTAATTTCACTTTAAAAGCAGAGCCATATACCTTCTGCGTAATCTTTGGCTCCGAATACAGCTGATCCAGCCACTAAAGCATTTGCTCCAGCCTCAATAACCTTTTAAACAAAACAAAACAGGACTCCTGAATCATGATTTTATAGTATACTCCTAAAGTGCAAACTGAATCTACTGTTTCAAAATTCCTTACCTTGTACGCATTCTTTGGAGTGACTCCACCATCGACTTCAATCCATGGGTTGACTCCCTGCAGTGAACACCCAAGCCAATGGTTTCAAGCGAGAAAAAAAGGCTCCTGGTTTGGTTTAAGGGTCTAAATTCTTCAGAGATACAAAATAACTTAAAATGAAGCTAAGTATAGACATACCTTCTCTACACACATTCTTCTCAAGTCCGAGATTTTCTTTACTTGGCTTTCGATAAAGCTCTGCCCGCCAAACCCAGGGTTCACAGACATTATCAAGATCAGATCAACCGCTGATGCCAAAAGCAAAAGAAAATCCATTCAGAACAATCGATAGCTAAAGTGTAAAATGTTCAGGATTGAAGCATTCATATATGCAGAAGCCTCACAGTCTAATACATATTCGATTGCAGTCAATGGGGTGCCAGGATTAAGGACAACTCCAGCTTTAGCTCCCAAGCTTTTAATCTACAACGAATCAACATCAAGTTGTCCATTAATCGAAGTGAAGTGTCTGCAAGAAGCATTAAACAGGTAAAAAAGATTCTTACTTGGTTGACTGTACGATGCAGATGGATGGTCGAGGATTGCTCACAATGCACACTAACTATATCAGCACCCGCTTTGATGAAATCTGGCACTCTCTGTTCAGGTTCTACTATCATCTGAAATAAGAGCATATAAAATTTTACAGCTGAAGTGCTGAACTATAAAAGAAAACACCAGTAAAGCAAAGGGAAGCATAAGCTTACAAGATGAACATCCAATGGAAGATCCGTCACAGGGCGCAAGGCGTCAACCACAAGCGGTCCAATTGTAATGTTGGGAACAAAACGACCGTCCATCACATCAACATGAATCCAATCACAACCTGCTAACTCTACCGCTTTTACCTGACAGATACCGAAAAACAGCGAAATCAAGCAACAAACTGTTAAGCAGAGACCATGAAAAGGAAGGATTGAAGTTTGATTTTTTAAGAAGAGAATCCAAACCTGCTCGCCCAATTTGGAGAAGTTGGCAGATAGAATCGATGGAGAAACAATGATATCGCTTTTCGAGAACTTATCAACCCGAGACGAGGCCTTGACAACACCATGAGTTTTCCTTCTACGAAAGTCCACACAACAAAACCAAAGTTTGGTTATGGTTTAGAATAACAACAATCGTTCATGCATGTTCGTTCAAGCATTTCTACAAACACATGAGGGCACATTCATGTAAACACATACTCCATGAGAAGCTTCACTACCAAAATACCCCTCAATAGAATCTGGGTTCTAGATTCCAACAATCAGATCAAGATTCTAAATTTCTAACAACCCATCAAAACTTTCAAAAACTGGTTACCTCGAGGAAGGAAACGAAGTGGGCTGGCAAAGAAACGCCCTTTCTGGTTTCAGACCAACCCCATTGACCAACGAAGCAGCTAAGGTCGACATGTTCAATCGAATTGCAATACTTTGTTCTCTTCCCCAGATATATTAAGCTCTCTCTCACTAAAATCCCTATAGATTTAGTCTCTGTCTCTCTCTGTCTCTCAACCAAGAGAAAAAAATATCGAGGCTTTTTGTCCGGAAAGATTTTCGAAAGAGGAACTCTGAAAATCCAAGGAACCGCCACGTGTGACGTAAGGCTCGTGGGAGATGAAAGCAGCTTATCTCCAATGCTTGGCTCTCCATTGCCGACTTGTGCCTCCCAATCACTCCCAAGGGGCTAATCGCGATCGCTTCAGAGTTTAGACTACCGATTGTTTAGCTGTAAGGCTACTTTCGTAATTAACTTACTACCGGTTCTTATGTCTCGGTACGACGTTTTCCAATAGCAATCATGGTATTATCGAACCGGACTTGGTCTGGTGTGGAGAGCAATTCTTTTCAGATACTGCAAGGGTTTAATGAATGCCAACATGTAATAAAACTTAGATCGACTTGATTTGCTAACATAATTCCATTTTTTCTTTGAATGAATGCTAACATGATTCTTTCTGTATGTAATTCTTACATTTATACTGTATGTAACTTTTTCTGTAATAAACCACGTCAAGTATTATTTACTATTGAAATTATATTTTTAGGCACAAAACTAAATTAAGTGTAGAAAAACATAGAGAGGAAGTATTCTTTTTTCTGAACGTTCACTTCACACGATCAGTTTTACACACAACAACAGTAAAATTGTGAAAGCCCTTGACCTACTACACCATATATTTGAGGTTCGATTCCTAACAAATGCAGACAAGTTTCTGTATATTGATAGATACAAATCTTATCGAAAGATTTTGATGTGCAACTCTATGTCTCTATCTGTTACAGATCCGTGTGTGTCACATGTGGAAAACTGTATCGTGGAGTTGTTCATCATAATCGCATATTCGCATATATGTAAATGAATTTGATGGAATGTTTTTGATAATGATGTAACACGACCAATAAAAAAATTAAATTATTCATGTACAGCCATGCACATAGAAACAAAAGCTTCCCATAAATGTATGATCATTTCATTGAACATTAATAAAGATTCGCCAGGTCACCCATCCAATTTTGTTGCTCAATCATTGCTCTTTACCTTTTGGTAGTGTTTGTGGACCATAAAGCTTAGTTTTTTTTTTATTAAAAAAAGGTACACATGCATAAAGCTTAATTTATTCAACATATATTTTACAAAATAGTTATAAGAAAAACTCTTACGCAGATCAAATCAATACTATTCGATACACGGGAGTACATGGTTTTTTTTTTATTACATAAGTGCCTCTTACTAAATAATCTAGTAACGCAATTTAACAAGTTGAAATTTATCTAAGATATTGAACCCCTTATCTTGGACATACCAACATGAGATTAACTGGTCAGCCCCTGGTTCAATGAGCAGGTGACGAGCCACAGACAGATAGATCATAACAAGTTGTTGTCGTCGGAATCTTGTTCCGATTCATACGTAAAACTGGGATGGTCGAGAAGATAACTTGACCAACCGGTTATGTCTTCAAAATTCATATTTTCTTTATCCACTAATGTTGATGGGAAATCGGACATAAGGAGATCTTGATTGCAGCCACCAATGTTTTCGGCTTCGTCTTCGCTATTGATGAAGTGCTCGAGAAAGTGGGAGTAATCGTAATCGGGGATGCTAAGATCAATGCTCGTACCGAGATCTTGATCCTTGTTGTGTTCAGATGATTGACACAATGAGTTTGGGAGACATGAGGACGATGCAGGAGATCTCAAAGTTCCTTCTATGGAGGTTGATAAGATACTCCCGATGGAAGAAGCTCTAGCTGCAACTTTGTTTAAAAGCCTTGATGTTGAGCTCGATCTCTCGACACTTTTTTTGCAACTCAAGAAACCACTTTCTAGAGGCGTCTCATCACTGGTCATGATCTCGGGTACAGTGTCGTTGAAACTCGAAGAAAGGGAAAGAGATACTGGAGACTTCGAACCCGGCTGTAACGACTGCTCCTTGGGATTGGATTCTTCTTGGGAATCGAGCTTCTTACGCTCGGTAGGACTAGGGTTAGAGGAAGCTAGAGGCTTGTGGGTCACGGAATCAGTGCTCTTATTGATCAGGCGTTTCTTGAGATGTGTGTTCCAATAGTTTTTGATCTCGTTGTCTGTTCTTTGCGGCAAATGTCTTGCTATGACTGACCACCTAATAAAAAATATAGTACAGTCCAATTACATTGATCGTGTCGTAAAGTTATGTATACGTTGATGATTGTATTACATGCATATACAAAAACAAATATATAGGCAAACGTTGTAGTACTTGTTGCCACGAGAAGCATGAAGCATGATGATGATCTGTTCTTCCTCGTAGCTAAATCCTCCTCTCTTGATATCGGGGTTCAAATAGTTCGCCCATCGCAGTCTGCAACTCTTTCCACACCGTTTTAGCCCTAATTAAACTCAGAAAATGAAAAGCATATAAAGATCAATTCGATAAATAAATATTACAAAATCTGTAAATGAAATGCATGTACCAGCTTTTTCGGGAATGTCACGCCAACCTCCTTCGCCATGTTCATGGATATAAGAGATGAGTTTTTTGTCTTCCCCTGACGTCCATGCTCCTTTCTTTAACCCTTCTCCGATACAGCATGGTCTTTTCGACATTCCTTCTTTGCATTTCGAAAAAATGTGCAGAAAGAAAAGATATTGTAAATCAAGGATATATAGAGAGACTGATGTTTATTTAATATAATTACATATGATGCATGGTCCGTTGAGATTAACCGCGAGATTATGTGTATAAGATCGTAATACCGTATGTGTTCATTTTAAGGGTCTAATATTTGTTTTTTTTTAGCTTAGATCTAGTATATATTACTCATGACAATAAACTTGTAAACCCACGTACGATTCTACCCATTCTTTCTGCACATACTAAGCTTATCCGCTACTGTAGTGTTATACATAAATATAAAATGAACGTGATTAGAATGAATGACACATCTTGTAAATATTAATTTATTAATTTAGATTACATCTACAATTTTACCGTTGATAAACATGTGAAGAAAACCAAGTTTTCTATATATCATTTGAAGAGTGACAAAAAAAATAAAAATCGCTTACGACGTGTCTACGTCTCGATATGGGAGACAATGACATCTAAACTAATATTTACAAGATGTGTAGTTCGCGGTTTTTTTTTTTTTCCACTCTATAACCGTTGATGTTGCCGTTGTTATATTATTCATCAGTCAAATCACCAATACAAATTAAAACAAAATTAGCTGGCTAAGTTTGAGTGTAAGTGTGAGTGTGAGTGTGAGTGTGAGTGTGAGTGAGTGCAAGTGCAAGTGTAAGTGTAAGTGTCAAGTGAAGAGTCCCTGGAAGGAGGTTAGGTACGTATAGAGAATCTTGGACGGTGCACGTTTTTGGGCTCTTTCGTCTGTCTTCCCACGTATGTCACAGCCTTGTTCCTCTAGGCTCACCCACAATTCACTTTTTTTCTTTTTCTGTGGTCTCTACTTCAGATACTATCCAATCTAAAATATTTTAACATTTAACCATTTCTTTCTCTAATTCAGCAGATGTCCCACTAGAATCGCCCACAAGGCCACAATCTACTTTTTTTTTTTTCTCTCCATCTCGAATCCAGATGTTATCTGATCTACGATGTTCTGAAATTTTTCAGATTAAATATGTTTTATTTTTAATATTCATGTCTATTACAAATTAATAATCCAATTTGCACACCATAAATTGTGGCACAAGATTCGATTAATTCAGAGCACGTACGTATCCATCCCTGAGTATCTTTGTATTCATAATATGCAAGAAATCACATATTTTGAAGTTTGAATCATAGATTTGATGTATCAAAACCGCTCTTGAGTCCTATTTATTAGCAAGCCACTGGATCAAAATTCTACTAATCTTTGTTTCTAGGATATATAATTAATATACTTCACCTACTAAATGCACAATACCGAAATATCTAAATTAAAGCGCATTTATTATACACTACAAGAAAGAAGCGACGGCCATTTTTGTCAAAAATCCGTCGGAAATTTTCGACAAAAATGATTCGTCGATTACAAATGGACGGAATGTTGCAAGTCATCGAAAATTCGTCTTAAATTTCCGACGAAAGCAAGTCGTCGATAATCCGTATAAACTTTCCGATGGATTACCGATGAGTGTGAACCGACAAAGTTCCGACGACAACAGTCCTCTGACAATTTTCCAATGCATTTCTGACGAATTTAATTTCCGATGGAAATCTGACAGATGTATTTCCAACGGAAATCCGACGGATCGTTTTCTGACAGAAATTCGATGGATCTTTTTCCGATGGAACTCCGACGGATCTTTTTCCGACAGAAATCCGACGGATCCTTTTCTGACGGATTTCTCACGGAACCCTTTCTGATAAATTTGCGACGGTACTATTTGTTGGATATTTTCAGATTGATTCCCGACGAGAAATAATAAATAAAATATTTTTTTAAAAAATATAAAAATAATTTAAAATAAATAAAAACTATATTGAAAAGAAATTATAATTAAAATTTTAAATTAAAAGATAATAAAAATATTGTTTTAAACAAACTACTTCTTAAACAAATCAGAAAAGTTGCTTCTATTATATCTTTCATTTTTCGTAACTTGTCACGACTCGTTTGGTGCTCGGACTCCAACTGCTCATGCTTCTTCCCCATTTCCTCAACAACGGCATCTCGCTCTTTGACTTCGTGACTAAGCCTCTCGATCTCAGCTTGATACTGAATTGGAAGATAACCGAAACCAGAAAAAGAAAACGACGACTCAACTCCCTCAAATCTCGGAAGTGAACCTAATCCAATGGTTCGACCATTTACATTTCGAACTTCCTGAAAATATATTTACAAGCGTTAATACAAATAATTAGAAAAAATAATTAAAAAGAATAATTAAAACAAAACTTACCGAGAGAACAATGTTGTTGATCTCATCTCGGGTTAGGTCGTTTGATGAAATGGAGCCATCAACCGTTTCCTGTGAGAGTTCATTGATGCGATCGATCTTCTTCTTCTTGCATTTTTCCACAACCTCACGAACACCGATATCTTGGACTTCTTTGGTTTTTTTGTTGGTGTGTCTCCTTTCCATTACGTCGAGGTAATCGGGAACGACTCCACCTGCTTCTCTGTTCTTTAAAAAAATTATATTAAAATTAAGTAAGATAAATAAACTTATTGAAAATATTATAAAATTTACTTACCATTTCAGCCACTTCACGGAGAGTCGACTTTGCGCCACCATTGTGGACATAAATTCCCTTTCCTCCTCGTTCACTTTTGCGGTTCTTCAAGTTTTTTGCTGACTTTACCTTTGTATCTGGCCGACTCTAATACTGACAAAAACCTTTCCAAACGGTTTCTGTCAGATCCCTCGGCATCTCTTTCTGCTCGAGAAACTTCTGCTTCCACTCGTTCATGTATCTAGAGTATTGGACTGCAGTAAACTTGTCAAACGCATCGAGAACGGTTTGGGTCCTCCACGAGTCCCACGTGTAATGTTGCTACAATTAAAAAAATTATGAAAAAATTTTATTAGAAAATATATGTTAGAAAATAAAAATTATAAAAACAATTAAATGAAACTTACAGCAAACGTTCGACACCATGTATCATTAACGTCTCGCGGTATAATCGAGTAAGTCTCATACGGCTCATCCAACATGGTATGGAACATCCGCATTATGACCTTACTTATTTCAAGATCCAAGCCAAACCTACAAAAAAAAAAGTAAAATATAAAAATAATTAATATAATAATCAAAAATAAATAAATATGAAACAATTTTATAAATAATTTACCATGTCCCATCTATGCAGTCGGGATCGAGTTTGATGCAATGGTCACGGTTACCCTGCTGGACAAGCTCCTCAATCATAATCCGAGTGCGGGCAGCCGATTGTTGGGACTCTGGAACATCAGAAGAAGCTGTGCTACGTGATGGACTGCGAGAACGAGAGCGGTCTAGAGTATTATCGCACCTTCAAAAATATAAAATTATTAATATTATAAATTATTAAAAAATCGAAATTATAACATATTTTAAAATTTTAAAATAGGTTTATAGATAAGTTTTTATACATTTATTAATCATATATATAAATAAAAAAATTAATTTACAATACAATAACAAATATTCGAATAACAAATCTATACAAAATTTTAAATTCTCAAAATCAATAATTTCTATAATCTCATATCACCAAAATTAAAAACTTATTTCTCCATATTTTAACAAAAAAATCTACAAGAAATTTTTAAATACTTGGAAATCTATAAATCTCAAGTTCTAATAATCACATTCACCACATTATGTATCATTCTAATTCATATTTCTAACAACCTAACAATATATATATATACTAAAAATCAAAGAAAAAATTGATAATCAAAATCAAAAACTTCAAAATCAGAGAATAAATGAAAACATACGAGTTATCTATGCTACTGCTTTGATGAATCAAGAATAAACGGCAGTGATGGGCAGAAAAACGTCAAGATTTTCTGGAGAAACAGTGAGATCTGGGGCGGCCGTTCGCGGAAAAAGATGGGAAATAGAAAGAGAAGCAATGAGTTGCAGCGGCAGAGAAACGGCAAGATCTGTCGGAGAAGCAATGAGTTGCAGCGGCGACGGTCGTTCGCGGAAGAGAGAGTGATGTTGGGTCAAGAGAGAAGAAGGTAAGAGAAAGAGAAGGGTTTTCAATTATATTTAATAATTTCCGACGGAGAGAATCCGTCAATAATCCGTCGGAACAACCAATTTGTTTCCGACGGATTTCCGACAGATATGATTTTGTTGTTCTGTTTCTATTGGATTCCAACATAGCACACGGATCGTGGTTTTATCCGTCGGAAATCCGTCGAAAATTTTCTACGGATTTTCGACAGATTTAGGGTATAACCAGTATTATTGTACTTGAAAATTTTAAAAATTTGTTAATCTATTGGTAATAAACATATTACATTCACAAAATATGTTGATTTTACAAATATATGAAATTTAGCTATGTTTGATTTATGATTTTTACAAGTTTAAACTTATACTTTACCATAACATATTATTTGCTATATACTAACACATTCTAACACTTAAACACATCTATACACTAACTTAACACTTGAAATTTCAAAAGATTAAATAGTTGTCCATGTCTTCTAATATATTATTGTATGAATTCCCAGTAAAATGATTCAAAATTGCAAAGATTAAAACACATTTACAGTAAAGTCGTCGGAAATCCGTCGAAATTTCCTACGGATTTCCGACGGATTTAGGGTATAACCAGGATTTGGTACTTGAAAATTTTAAAATTTGTTAATCTATTGGTAATATTACATTCACAAAATATGTTGATTTTACAAATATATGAGATTTAGCTATGTTTGATTTATAATTTTTACAAGTTTAGACTTATACTTTACCACGACATATTATTTGCTATATACTAACACATTATAACACTTAAACACATCTATATACTAACTTAACACTTGAACTCATTTTCTATATAGATTACTTAATAATATTCGTAATTAAAATACCAATTTTTTATTTGAAAATTTGTGAGTCAAACCTCTCAACGACTAACATTATATTTAATTTAACAAAAGTTTTAGTATATACCGCGTGGGTTTGCGGCTTGAACACTAAACCCTATATTTCAAATGAAATTTCCACATCCATTTCTTTCTTTCGTCTTTGCGATTGCAAATTTTAATTATTTTACAAAAACAAAATTGCAAATTTTAAATGAAAAAGGGAGTTGGCAACAAACAAAAAAGAGAGTGGAATTCAACTTTATGTCAGCATACGGGATCCCGCAATGTGGGGTTATATTTTGTACGGCTGTAGATTAATTCCTTCATTTTTTTCGTCCTTTTTGGCTCCCATGTGTTTTGATATCAATAATTGAAACGTGGATTGAATATCCGGAAAAAGAAATCAGATACTCCCTCCATTTTTTTAAAAAATAATGTTTTAAGATTTTTTTATTTATTTTAAATATAATGTTTATAGAGAAAAAATCTAGGTAAAAATTAATGATTATTTGTATCTTTATATTAGTTAATAAATTAAAACTTCAACCTATGATATCAATAATCCAGTGTGCAGAAAAGTTGCAGTGTTTAATCATTTACGACACCAGTGCGCCGAAAATTTGTAGTGTTTACTGTTTTCGGATTTTTTCGTTGACTTGAGAAAATTAATTGGTTCGAACATGGCATTTCAGGAATTCTGGACACAGTTTCCAATCGTTTAAGTATTTTTGCTACTTTGGCTGATTTTGTAGATCGGTCGTATGTGCCCCAATCTCACACTCTTTAGGGTTATAAAAAGAGCGATTGGGATTTAATTTTTGGCCAACGATTACAAGAGTGAACCTCGCATTCGATCTAAATACTTTTTTCGGAAGAGATTGGGCACATACAACCGATCTACAAATCATATATTAGAGTACCTTGAAGACCATATATTTACGTAACGTATTGAGCTTGTCTATTTAATTTCATCATTTTGGTCCATATGGTCTTCAAGACAGGATGAGGGGTACCTAAATATAGAGTTGCTGTTTAAGTTATACGCACTTGAATCCAAATGAGATTGAAAGATAGATATATAAGTCACTATTACGTATCAATATACGTAACTATCGCCTAAGTCAAAGAAAAGTACAGTCGAGTCTGAAGATGTTGGAGATGATTCAAGACACTCAATACCTGTAACCTGTGTGCTGCATATTGAGAGTTTTATCAGGCAAAAAGGTTTATGGGCTGCAAGTTTAGAAGACAAGATACTGCGTGTGAATTGATTATGTGTGTTCAAGATCTAAATCGATTAGGAATCAGCGGTAGCTACAGATTGTCGGTAGCAAACCAAGTTTCTAAGATATAAAAACAGGAATTGAGTCGTTGACGTGTAGCCACATAAAAACCAAAGCTCCTTGTATCACACATACTATGAATTATGATGATATTTATATCATTGAATGTTTATTAACTTTGCACACAATACTGTATATGTCGGGTCACTAATCCAATTATGTTTGCTCACTTATTGTTCTTTAGCTTCTGAAAATAATTATGTATTTGTGGACCATATATATACACAGATTGGGAACAGCATTTTTATTTCTTGTTTGTTTTTATTTATTTACTGGTATTCGTCGTACTAATATAGATTTTTGCTATTTTCCATGTTATGTCGAAAAGAAAAAGGATGGTGCGTTTCTGCCCCACGTTCGATTACGAAAGATCGAAATACTTTATATCTAAATTAAAAAAACAATATCTACAGACTTTATGAATATTTACCACACAAAAAACTTTATCAATATATTGCTTTTGGTTTTCCGAGAAGTTGTTTATGATCGCCAGATTATTAGTTTTAAATGAACAAAATCTAGAGTGTATCGTCTTACTAAATACATTTACTGAAATTTTTTATTTTTGACTAAATTTTCTTAACTTTTTCTTAAGATATTTTGCTGTAACGTTAAAGTATATCAAGTATATATCTCTCTGCAAATTAGTTTACGAGAAAAGCAAATTATTCTCTTTTTTAACTCTGCTCCACTAGTTTAGTATTCAATTCATTTAATTTTAACTATCTCATTTATTTAATGTTTCCAGTTATATATACTTCTAATATACAAGTGTAAAAAATCATGTTTATGCAACCCCCAAAAAAAAATTCATCTCTAAAAAAACTTCAATGACTTTATTCGTAGGTAGGGGGTTTTTTTTTAATGGGAGTTTCATCCCCAAAATTCTAAAATGTCTTACATTTTCTTCCATATATTTTTGGTAACACGGCTCATCTGTTCTAATCTAACGCTCAAACTTTAAATCAAATGATTGTAGTACAGTGAACGCATGCGAAAGCTCCAAAAAGTAGTTTAGATTTTGGGTCATGAAGGCATGTTAAAAGTTTATGTCAGCTAAAAATAGTCACTTTTTAATCCTTGTTACGTTCGTAAGTTCCTCTAAATCTATCCAGAATAATTACTCTTAGCATGATTGATATTTAAATATACAGAATAATTATACATAATGGAATTATGAAAATGCAAGCTTTATTTAATATTTACTCTTAACAGTTCTTAAAGCAAAAAAAAATAACTCGTGTCTCCCGCAAATCAAATACTAATTGATCCAGGGGAACACATGGTTCTCTAACTAAGAGAATCCCTTATTGGATAACCCTATAGTGACCCTTAATTAATAACTTACGAAAACATCTTAGAAAAATTAATATAGTGAAACCCTTAATTAACCACTCAACTCAAGTCCGGGTAGCAATCAACTGGTCATATGAAGTTCCTGTCGTCGTTATCTTGGATCTTGTCATAAACAAAATCGGAATGGTCAACAAGATAACTGGACCAACCGGAACCGGTTATGTTTCCCATCATATTGTCTTCATCAACGCTTGGTGATGAGACGTCAGACGAAAGGAGATCTTGATTATATCCCCCAATGTTCTCGGTTTCTTCGCCTTCGTTACTAAATTGCTCGAGAAACTGCGAGAAATCATATTCGGAGTTGTTGAGATCAAAGATCATGCCGGTGTCCTCCTTCATATGATCAGTTATGTGTTCAGACGACTGAGGGAATGGATCATATTCGTCCATCTGGAATTGGCTAGCTTCGGAAAAGTCATCATTGAGACATGGAGACAGTGCGGTAGAGCTAACCAAGGTTCCTTCCATGGACGCTGATAAGATATTTCCAATGGAAGCAGCCCTAGATGCAACTTTGTTTAACAGCTTTGATGTAGAACTTGATCTCTTAAAAGAACGTTTCTTGGATTTCAAGGAACCATCATTTTTCGGTGTCTCATCACTGCTGCTTATCTCCGCTAGATTGCAGGAGCTTGAAGACGGAGGAAGAGATTTTGGAGACATAGAACCCGAATGTGAATGCTCATCCGAGTTTCCCAGGTTTGATGAGTCATCTTGGAAATCAGAAGGCTTGAGCGTGGCCGGACTAGGGCTAGGGGCAAGTGGCTTGTGGGTCACGGGATCAATACCTTGATCGATAAGGCGTTTTTTAAGGTGTGTGTTCCAATAGTTCTTGATCTCGTTGTCTGTCCTTTTGGGCAAATGTCTCGCTATGACCGACCACCTATAGTAAGGACGTCAAAGAAAAGTAGAATATATCAAAACTTTCAGTGCACTCCCCTGTTTCGCAATATATAATACGTACTTTTTGACAGTTTTTACACAAATTAAGATGAAGTTAGAAAGTTCATTTTTTATATAAAAATAAGTTGTTCCTGGTATCTTTATCCCAACTTATAACTATTTTTAAATCAACTTTGACTTGAGGTTGAATATTTTATTTTTATAAATAAAATTCAACAGGACATTGGTTTTTAAAAAAATGAAAATAACGTTAAAACAAGAGAAAACAAATTATTAATGCTTAATTTAAGATTGAGAATTAATATATGAATTTTGACTTAAGTATATATGTATTACTTGTTGCCACGGGAAGCGTGAAGCATGATGATAATCTGCTCCTCCTCGTAGCTAAATTCTCCTCTCTTGATATCCGGTTTCAAATAGTTAGCCCATCGCAATCTACAACTTTTTCCACATCGTTTTAGTCCTAATTAAACACCACAGCCATATAAACATCAATTAGATCATAGATTATGCTTGGTTTAACTATAAGCTATATATGTGTAATATACCAGCTTTTTGGGGAATGTCACGCCAGCCTCCTTCGCCATGTTCATGGATGTAAGAGATGAGTTTCTTGTCTTCTTCGGCGGTCCATGCTCCTTTCTTCAGCCCTTCTCCCACACAACATGGCTTTCTTGACATTTTTCTCCTTTTTTTCCTTCGGATATATATACAATATCTATAGATTTACATACGACCTATAAGTTTAACACACACAAAAATCTCGCAACCTAAAGAAGATGAGTAGCAAAGGGGAAAAGAACTCAGAAATGTCGTCTAAATTAAGGCAAGAGACCAATAGATCTGTTGATGAGAACTCTGATGCATCTGAATATGAAACTAACTGAAAAACTATGGTAGATCGTTGAGTGATTTTGTGTTTTCATTTTCAGTAACATTTGAAAACGCTAGTAAAAAAAAAGTTGTAGATGTATCAAAGATCTAAGACATTGTGAGATACTTCTCTGTAATGAGTTAATTATGTATGTATATGAGCATCTATTTATAAGCCTTATAGTGCGCACTCGTGTCAGAATACTTTTAAAAGCCTACGTAAAATAAAATAAAATAAATAAATCTAAAAAAATAAATACAATATTAACTCATCAATGTGTGGTTCCTAGACATATCAAGGCTCTTTTTGGTAGCTACATGGCTCTTTTGTAAAGGTTTACATTGTGATTTCAGATGAAATAACAAAAAAAAAACCTCATTAAAAGGGTAGTGAGCGTTCATCATCTTCTTTTGGACGTGGAACTGTTCAAATAGTTTCTTTATTTTAAAAACTGTTAAATAGTTTGAGAGAGACTTAAAAAATATGGTTTTCATAATTGCAATAGTTTTCTGATAGTAATTGAATTGATAATTGCAGTGCCGACCCGAAAAAGGTCACAAATATGGTTATCATCATATCATTTTCATTAGAGATTATTAGGTAAAGAGTAACATCGTCTATGGTTTCTAATAGACAAATTATAAGACCATATTAGAAAATATATATATATATATATGTTTATATATTAAAAAAAAAACATGTATGTTGTAGCAGTAAAATGATACGGATAAAACCATCTATAACGTGTTTAATAAATATGTTTAAAGAAAACATATTGATAAATTCTTTTTTATTGCACAGATAAAAACCATTATCATTTTTCATAATTATTAGCGTATTTATTACTATTTTATTATATATATATATATATGCGATTAATCATCACGTGTTCGTTTTCAGCCTCGGTCCTATTTGTTTGCCACTTTGGCTATCCCTGAAACACTAGGAGCTGTATTCAAAATATTAAATAGTAATTTTGCTTACTTATCAATGTTTGTTTCTTCTCATCTCACATCTCACATCTCACTTGGACTTCACTATTGTTTCTAATAGTTATGCCTCTTCGGAACTTGCAGAGTTAACTCAAAAGAAAAATGATTAGTTAAGTGTAAAATTTGACGACTTCATTCAACTTAAATTTATAATTTATTAATTTTAATAAAAATATATTATGTCTTAATTTGGTTTTTTATATGCTTTATGCAATACTGAACATATAATTATAAATTATAATGCATTAAAATGTTAGAATTATTTTTTAAAAAATATATAAATAGTAGTCCCGACATTAGACCCAGTTTTTGTTTATAAAAAGGGCTAAGAAGGCATAATCAATTTGGGAAAAAATAGGACATTAGACCCAGTTCAACCATCGTTTAGCGAAACTTTGAACAAAACTATTCATGGTTTTTGGTATGTTAGTTGCTTAGGCTGTCACTTTCATGATCATAAATGCAACTTGAATAAACTGTGATGACTGATACAAATAAAACATGAACGCCATGGAGAGACGATTTAAAGGGCGCCTGATTAATTTGATCTTTGGATAATTAAGCGTTAATTAAAAAACAAAAAACAACATAGACTATCATCATGCACTGTATAAGATTAGTATCGCTTTGCATGGATTTTAACTGATTATGATGACAGTATGAATCTGAATTAGTTAATTATAGCTTAACTAGCTGAATTGGTAAATTTTGTGTCTATGCACCAAGAAAAAGTGACAAGTGTTAATTAATATGGCATTAGAATCGCCCACTTATATGGATGTACCAGAGCAGAGTTCACCTGAACTTTTTCTCGGAGGTGGCTTCTTTAATTAGGGTAATATTCAAATGAATAAAAAGGGATATTCAGACCGTGGACACAAACATTATAAAATGTCCCTTGCCAGTGTTTCAAATATGTTTGGAGGAGACTTGTGATGAATAGAAACAAATATGTTGACACTGATCCTTTTTAATTGTTATCATACGGACCTGGTCACGAGGGTTGAAACGAATTGGAAATTTTATAATTTCTGTTTTGTTTTGGACTTAATTGAGAAAATTAGATTTTGGAATCGTCATAATGAATGTACACTTACTTAGTAAAAAATTAACTTAACAACATATATTATCAAACTTGAATTTGCAAAGATTTATGTTTTTTTTTTACATAAAAAACCCATAGTTAAAAGCTAAAAACATATAATCATATAACCATTTCAGAAATGATTTATTGAGAATAAACATCTTTTTAATACCGTGTGAATAAAAAACGGGTTATGAAATGTGATTAGATAAAAACAGGTCCAAAGATCTTCACAAAAAAAAAAAATAATAATAATAATAACAAAGGAGCTGATAGGTTGAATAGTGGACCTAGGTAAACAGAGCATGATGGAGACCCATAGAAAAAAAAGCCGTAGCAGCACTAGGGAACCCTAAAAGAATATAAAGAATCAATTTTAAAACTAAAAAACAAAGTGAAGAAATGATGGAAGAGTGGAGCCAAAGGAGAGGGACAACTATGACATGCCCATTGACACTCTCTCGCATTTGAAAGCTTCATGTGGTTCTTCGATTGTTGACAAAAAAAAAATGTGGTTCTTCGATTATTAAAAAAAAAAAAATTGATTCTCTTTTAAACAAAAAGAAAATTTATACTTATTTTCTAAGGATCAGGGGATTTCTTCAGTTCATCAGTGATGATGCTCATCTTCCCTCTAGATTTCTTTTTAATCATATCAAATATCCTATGATAATCTGATTTAGAAAAGTAAATAGTAATACATGAGAAAATTTTAAGATAAAGACATTTATATATATCATAGACGCCTGAAAATCGAATGATTATTATATTTGGGAAGTTTATAGGAGTTGTAAATAGTTACAGGAGGTTTTCGTACTTTGTCCTTATGATCATATGAACATGATTTTCTATTCAACCACTAATCTTGAACAATTGTTACAAGTGCATTCAAGTATGTATTTTTAGTTTGTTTTAACAATTATTTTAAAAGGGACAGATTATTCTCTAATTATATGAGAACAATTTAGGATATAATTAAATTTCTCCACGTACTATATTTATCACCACAAGTTTGGAAAACCACACTGTGAGGATAGAAGCGAGACATATTGGGTGTAAGGTTACCTCATTGGAGCACGTGGAGAAAAGGAGTCAACTCCTTTTCACGTGGACTAGTCACATTATTGGACGATCAATGTTTCTGGGCTGGGACCAAATTATAATATTCCCCAATTTGATGAAATATTAACTTTCAAGTTTAAAGATATAGAGCGTTTCATAATTAAGAATCAGAAAAACGCAATGAAACTCCATCAAAATTGTAAATATCTATCTATACTACATAATTTTTAGAGGCTAAATTTGTTTTAAAAGGCTCTAGCGAAGACAAGCCCAAACCACAACAAAATAAATGGCCCATATAGAGAAGCCCGCCCAGAAACCTGTTGGAGTCGTTTTGAAGCAGAGAGGATACGGAGAAACATAGGAATCTGTTTCTACATTTTTTTTCTCTTGTTAAAGAGTTTAATTTTATATTTGATTTTTCTTTTTTGCTTAAATTTTATATTTGATTTTTAAACCATGAGAGTTCTAGATCTTCGATTATTTTCTTTTCTCAGTATTTTGGAAGTATATGTTTTTTAAAAAACAAACTTCCGTCTCAAAATGGATTTAAATCTAAAACATGTATACTCTTTGAAAATCGCCTACTTATAAAAGGAGTAATAAAGTGAAAAAACAAACAAACCAGTAAACAAAAGATAAGTTGAACTAAAGTGACGACTAATTATATCGAATACGATACGTGGGAATACGTACTCATGTTAAATCCGCAATTAACTGAGGGGTGAGATTTCTAATTCATCTGAATATACAAATCCGAAATTAGCAAAATACAAAATTTAATTCGAGTGTTTTTGGGGTTTGGGAATCTGTTTGTGAAAGGTAACTATAGTAATCAACTTTTCATTTGTTATTATCCAAACTTCAAAATGGGTATTTGTATATATTAAGTAGTGATTACGAAAGCATACACGTTATTTAAGATTTTTTTCTTATACAAGTTAATTTTATAATACCAAATTTGAAATCTGCTACAACGAAAATTCTGTGCCTGTAGTGCCCAATATTTTGTTAGAACGTAGATTAAGACTTAATTTCTGAAATCTGAATGAAAACAAAAGGTGAAGCTCCAAAATAAATTATAAAGAAAAGGTAAAAATAAAGTGAAAATTTGTTAACGAAGATGTTGTGTGGAACTCAAATTGATCTTTCTATAGTATATCATATTTTAACAAGTGTACTATTCATTCTGGTTACTACTGAAATTTGTTTTTAATCAAAAACCTCTACGTTTATTTTCAATTACAGCTTCCATCTTCTTTTATTTTCTTTTATTTTACGGGTATCAGTCTACCAATTTTATATAGGTATCAGCAGTTATATAGACCTATTCTTTAATCAAAGTATATACTCCATGGACTTCAATTTCAATACGATAGAAGTTAAAAGCTGCTCAAAGTATATATACATATATATATGCACATTTCATACATCATGCGTAACAACTTTATAACGGAATAGATTCTTCATGGGAAAAATGAAAGAGAGTCGATAAGTAACGAAACTACATATTTATAACTTTAATATAAAAGCAAAAAAGTGTGTTTTTCAAGAGGGAATAAAAAGCGATGTTCATGTGTTAGAGTGTTTTAAAGATTTTCGATTTAGTTCTTCAAAATAGTCACTAAATCCAGTACTTAGATGTTATGTTTAAATCATTACACACCGGCCGTATCGATATATAAAACTTATTTATTGGTTTCTTTCTTTTCGCTTACGTACTTTTTCCAAGCTAAGAACCATTTAAAAAATTCTAAATCTTTGGACTAGAAAAATTACACAATTAATTGGTGGTACGCGCGTGAATTTCTGTTTCGTGTTTCACTTTATATATAAAAAAAAATATTAAATAAAAGAAATATATCACAGTGCATGAAATTATCGATTTTACGTCGGCAATAAGTTCCTCATACGACTATGCAGTCTATGCGTTCGGTTCAATACTTGACTGATGCGTTTTGATATAACAAAAAATAAATGTTTTTGTCGACGATAAGTTCTATAAGGAACATAAATACGAAGCTATGTCTTACAACGCACGCCTGGTATTGGCGGCAACGGCAGCAAAAAATGACTATTTATATTGTTATTATAGATAAGACTCGCGGGTAATAGAATCATTAAATTTTATATTGTTTTCATATTTTTACCATTTAATACATCAAATATTTTGTTACGTGATTCTATAATGCTACCCACGTTTAGTCCTTGTATCATGTGTATAATATATGTTATGTCATCGATGCATGTGTGATATATGCGCGAGTATACATTTTGTTTTAATATCAGCTCAATGGCCCCAATATGGATATTAAGTTCGTCATAAAATCCGAAAAAGCTTGAGATGACAGATGATTAACAATTTTCTAGAAAAAGGTTTCTTCTTGGACGAAGCCAAAAAAAACATAAACCCTTGAAGGCCTGAAACTGATTCTAACTCAAAGTGTTGATAATCAAATGTATCAGTCTAGTATTGAAGTTGAACCGAACGTATAATCGTTAGTTTTGATGATATAATGCACCCTAATGCAACAAAAATCTAAAAAAAATAATTGCTTCTCCTTTGTATCCTCTCTCTAATATTAAGTTTCAGTTGGGGTATAATAATAATAAAAAACACTAGAAGTAGTACAGATGTAATAATAATCTATACAAACTTAGCACACCACGCTAAAAGGAGTAAACTTTGCAAAGTTCTTCTTACTTGTGACCTAAGATTAATGGACTTTTGAGGTTCTGAAAAGTATTCAGTAATTCCAGAAAGGTTCAAGATCAAGCGGGCCGGTTGAGGAAGACGGAACTTCTTGATGATCGAATCCTTTCCTCCCAAACTCAAAATCCGATGAAATATCTGTATTAGAAACTCCGGTTTCCTGCGAGATGCTCAACGTTTTGAAGCCCTGCCTTCTGCTATTCTCAACCATCGTTTGAGAAACCGATTGTTCTTGAGTAAGAACCGGACTGGAACTCTGTAGATTCTCGGTTACGTAGAGAGATTGAGGTTGGTAGAGTGGAATCCTCTGGAGAAACTCAGGCTGGATCGAGTTGCTGAAGCAATTGAGCATTGTTCCTCTGGTTTCACTTTGGTTGGAGAAGCAGGGCACGTAAATCGGTTCGGTCTTGGTTTTGTCATTGTATACTGAAGAATTGGTTAAAGGTGGTAAATTGGACCCGGTTCCGTAAGAACCAATCCGGATTAAAGCCGAAATCGGGATCTTCTTGCCTCCAGCAGTTTTATGAAACACCCTGCAAATCACCCATTCATTCTGCCAAATGAAACCAAACCCCCCAAAAAAAGATCAAACAAAAGGAAAAAATAAAAAAAGCAAAGCAAAACAAAAAAAAACAGAGCATGAGACAGAGCAAAAGGTTTGATACCTTTGCGGTTTTGGGCAAGTTGTGGGGAGAGAGTTTGCCATCAAGCCTATACTCATGCATCACCCAATTTGTTTTCTGACCTTTTGGAGCTCTTCCTCTGTAGAAAACAAGTGTTTTCTTCATACCAACAAGCGATTTGCCTCGGAATATCTCTTTATCTTTCCCCGTCGCCTTCCAATAACCGGCTTCAGTTGCCCGGTTAGTCCTCAGACCGGTCGGATACTTTCTATCCCTCACACAGAAAAAGTACCATTCTTTCTCTCCCATTTTTGCTTTATCTGTTTACAACAACAAAAAAAAACACATTAGATTTCAAGAACAATTATTTTTAAATCTGTATCTGAATCCAGACCCGATATGTTACAAGAAACTTGGTTTGTGTGAACCTACACGGCAACTCCCACGGCTCAGCTTTGTTCAAATCCACCTCGCCAATAGCTTTAGCAGAGAAATCGATGTCAAGAACCTTCTTGTGTAGATAGTGGGTTATGAGTTCTTCGTCTGTTGGATGAAACCTAAACCCAGGAGGCAAATCCATCTGCTCATCATCTTCCTTATGAAACCCACCAAAAGTTTCCATCTTTTTTTTTTTTTTTTATCCCACAAGAAACCTTAAACCCTACTAGAAAAGCAAATAGCTTATCCCGGAACAAAATCAAACCCTTTATTTGATCGAAAACACCTGTTTCTCAAATGGTTCTTTTTAATTTATTTGATCGAGAAAGACTTGATCTTGAATGTTTTCAAGAGATGGGTTCAGAGAATATATATATAGATATATGTAGAAAGAGAGAGAGAGAAAGTAAAGGTGAAAGGAGAAGTTAGGGAGAGAGATTAAGGAGACGGAGAGGAATTAAAAAGGAACGGAACTGAATGGAACTAGAAAGGTTGAATTTTTTTGACGAAAATGATCGTTTTCCTTCAAATACAAATTAATGTAAAATTAAAAGATACGTAGTTTGTAACGCAACTTGCTAGGTTGTTTAGCACTTGCCCTTTTAGAAAAGAAAGAGAGCCCTTTTTCTGCTATTTTCTTTTTTTATTATTTTGTAAAGTAATTGTAATTAGATGAAATTAATAAAAAGACTTTCTCATTAGTCTTGGTTCTTTGAATCTAACGCGGTGAGAATAATTATCAACGTTACAATGATAATTCAGCGAATAACCCACAAAAAAATAAAACTCGTTAGTTTGTTATGCAATGAATAATGGCAGACTGGCATGAGTAAAACTAAATTAGATAGTATATATTAATATGACTCGGGAGAGTTAACATTATATGACCGTTTTCGGTATTTAATCAATTCATTTATTTTGTAAACTTTGATGAAGAGGTCCGTGCATGTCATTACAAGCAATTACATGTTGAAAATCTGATGTCTCGACACCAACTTATTATTTAAATTATCCCTAACATTATTATTTATTTTTTGATACAACCTCTCATCCCAAAAGAAGTGCCAGTAAAGGCATGAATATGATTGACAAATGGTGTTTTGCTGTTACTCTTATTGGTTCTTTAATTTTGTTTCCTCATTTGTCAAATATGTTATTCTACTATTGACTAACGGTGCCTAACGAGGCAGAAAAGCAAAAACTTAAAATAGAGAGTATTATGTACATATATAACCAAATAATTTATGTTTTTCTTCGAAGAGCATGTTTGAAATTAGAAGAAGACTAATCAAAGAGTTTTTACCTTTGAATAAGATCATAGGGAAATTATATCACTTATTTAGAAAAGGGGAAGCCTATTACGGTAGGTAACTTGCTTCATCGGGGTGAATTATTTTCACCATCCCATAATTATAAACATCTTTAGATCAGGCATATTCGTTTATTATACCATGCATTTTTATATCATTATAAAAATCTAGATCAGGCGATGATATTCTAATGAATAGAAAATAAAATAAATCGTGGGGTGAGCAAAGAACGGGTCCAATAAGATTTGGTCGTCTAATAAATTTAAATTCTACTTATAGAAAATGTTGCAAATTAGGTTGGTACGAAAGCAACTAATATTTCTATTTAAGGAAACAGGTCTTATAAGACAAGACCACGTGTCTGGCTGTTTCTCGAGTAATCTCAAAGATTTTCCGGTCATTAGCATAGTCAACTTGTCCACATTTGCAACGTCATGCCGATTTAAACACACATAAACAATTTTAGGTGCCAGCTATCCACCATTTATAAATAGACGCGTGTCGTAGATGATAGCTAATCAAGTAATTATCTATGCAGCGATAGTTGACCTTGTTGGCTAAGTACTGGTCTGGAGTTGCGTGGCAGGTTTTGAATGGCTACAAGAGTCAGTTAATAACATGACCTTTTTTGGGTGCATCTCTTCGAAGAAAGAAATAATAAGAAGAATAAATATGGCCGTACGCACAATACGTGAGATGTAAACGAGAAGGAAAAAGAACGATGTAATGGTTAGACAAACTCCTCTATGCATCTAGGACATTGATATATATGTACACACACATATATAAAAAAAGAATTTCTAATTAGAGTAATCCCATTACCATTGCAATCGGTATGAAGTCGTATCGTTGAAGTAAAAAGGCATTCAACAAACTATTTGAAGCTTTTAGATGTTTTATATATTTTAATATAAATATAATCCAAATATTTATAGCCTAACTTCTATAACCATTAATTCACAGTTACAACCAACTCATAATATTTCAGAAGTTTTCATGTGCTCCGAAAAGGAAGAAAAATTATTATTGTAAAAAATATCATTTGAAATTAATTCAATTAGTTGGAAGAAAATATCTTGTTTCAGCAGATTAAATTCGAACCTAGTGCTAATGTGCTATATATGTTTGAGAGGATCATTAATTCATTTGTTAAAATATGATATTCTCTCCGGTCAAAAGAATGTTTTGTCTGTAATTGTGCAGGTCAAGAGAAATAGGAAATAATTTTTAACTATATACTATAAACGTGGGTGTCTCTAGAAGAAACTTCAATTGTTTTTTGCAGATTTTAAAAATTTAGACAAAATAAATTTCTGTTAGATAAGATTGCCCCTTGCCATGTACATGGATCTCAGAATTATGATCGACCTTGCGTATTGATGTTGTAATTAACAACTAAAGAAGACAAGAAAAAAAAAAGTTAGTTAACTTTTTCTTAAAGGGGAGCTTGTAAGTTGTAACCTATTATTACAACATGTTTAATTAATCAAATACAACATGATAAAGAAGACAATATTGTATCACATTCACACGTTGCAATAGGAGTGAAAAAACTACTTTGAAACTCCATATAATTTGTTATAAATAATTCCTCTCTATTACTATGAGTACCAAAAATGAAAATCGTTTAGTTTTGGAACAGAGCCTGCCCATGTGAGATTCTTGGTGTAAAACGAAAAAAAGAAAGAATGATATATGAATATAATGGATGAACCTAAACCACTTAAGAAAACCTAATTCAAATTGTATCACTTTTATATTGTTTACTGGCCTAATTAGGCTATATTATTGTATATAACTGAACCTCACATGGACACTTTTCTCATTTAGGGAATACACGTATATGTTGGCTCTGCAGAATTTCAGGAGTTAAACGTATAATCTGTAATGATTTAAGGTTTAGTTATTACTGCATATTTATTTTTATTCAATACAAGAACCTGGAATGAGTTTTAGAATTGTAAGAACGTAGATTATTATAAATTAATATCCAACCAGCAATGGGGATGTAGCTCAGATGGTAGAGCGCTCGCTTAGCATGCGAGAGGTACGGGGATCGATACCCCGCATCTCCATTTTGCCTCCCTTATTTTCCTTTTGTGTTTAAATCCACAAGCACGAAGATACCTTTTAATTTCCTCCATGTACGCAACTAAGTAGCCCACTGAACAATCTTTGTGATCAGGTTTACCACTCTTGTCTATGGTTTTTACTCGCACCTAATGTAATAAATCACAACTCTTTTTAAAGGGGAAGTAAAGGTAAAATAGCGATCCCTGAGCCATGAATCTCTGATTACAAACAGTCAAGTTCAACGAGAAGAAAGAAATTTACAGCAATTGCTACTTTGTTCAACGAGAAGAAAGAAAGAGAAGCTGATAAAGTTTCAAAAAAAAGTTTTGAGGATTCGTAATAAGCTTTCATGCTTTTTTGAAAAACTTTCCGCCTTTCTTCCCAATTCCAGCCCCTGTAAGGCTTGAACAGAGATGGGATCTGGTGTCTGGTCTCCACTGCAATTCTACCAAATCTGAGAACAATGCTGACAGCAACGGAGAGATTTCTGAATCTTTAATGTTCTTGCACGAAACCACTTTCAGATGTCCCAGCTCGTGCCAGTGTAGAATCACTGATTCTAGACCTGATGTTGTTAGCAATGAGCATCCTTCTAGATACAGGAGCTTCACTCTCCTGCAAACCCCAACAAAGATTATTGGCATAAAGATTCCATATTTCTTTTTTTGTATACAGAAGTCATCGACATGATCTAATGGCAGCAATGAAAATTGGCTAAAGGCTGCAACTTTAAAGATCATAATGTTTCCTAGAGATTCGATATCATGCTACTAAACCCCCCCAATGCAGTGTATGTTGAACAGTTCACCATTACCAATCCTCAAAAGCAGAAAAGTGGAAGATAAAGTGTTAAGTACCCGAAAGCCATTGCCAAGCTGAAGATATCATTATCCAATCCCCAACAATCTTGGAAAACAATCTCTCGCGCCGCTTCACACATCTTAAACAAAGCCTTTATGGTGTTCTTATCTCTTAGTTGACACTTCTCCAAGTGCAACCGCTCGAGCGCAGGACAACAACTACTCAAGCACTCACCTAGACAAGGATCATGGTCGATCTTTTTACAAGACACGAGTTTCAGCGTCTTGAGATTCTCACAATATCCAAGACCCCCAAGCCAACCTGACTCCATCTTATGATCACAAACAGTGAGTTCCTCGAGCATTTGACAGCATCCGCCTATTTCTTTAACCCCGTCGAATCCTCCTTCGCATCCGACGAGCTCAAGCTTCACCAGTCTCTTGCACCCTTGAGCCAAGATCATCAGGCCGATATCCGAAACCAAAGAGGTATACAAACCATCGACGCTCCCGACCAGTCTCAAGATCTGAAGATTCTCAAAGGCACCAATCCCAAGCAGAACACTGTCAGAGCACTTGTGCAGCTCGAGTTCTTGCAACCTGGAACAAGCCTCAGCTACATTCAACAAACCTAATTCACTAGTGTTCGTCACTACGAGTTTACGGAGATTGGAGCAGCCACCTGCAAGGGTTCTTAGCCCTCTATCAACCATTTCAACAGAACACAAGTTCTCCTCAAAGAAGCTCCAACTCTGGTACGACCCTACACCAACAGTAAACGAAACTATCCTGTGGTTAACTAAAATACCTGAATTTGGCGGCGAAATCAAACACCCACTGACCAAATCAACGTTATCCAGATTGGGGAACCTCGAAACCAGCCGACCAGACGCGAGAAATTCCCAATCCGATACCCTAATCGAACGTACAAGGCGGCCATGGAGCCTGAGCCATCTCTTGCAGACCAAAGAAAGATCCTTCCGGTGAGATTTAGGGACCTTGTCGATGATTGTGAGGAGGGTGAGGTCAGATAAGAGAAGGGTGAGATCGGTCATGCAGGAATTGGGGAGTAGGGTTTTGGATTTGGCGATTGGAGACTGAAACCTGGAAGCCAAATCGAGCGGCGAGGAAGACAGTAAATGGTGGTGGTTAACCCAAAGTTCCGACCAGCTGGCTCGTCGCTTCTTCAATGGCGAAACTGGACTACTCTCCTTCTTCCTCATATACGACATACTTCGCCTCACATTCTCCGCCACAGTTAAACCAACCGGTCGTCACGTGCTCCTCCCTGAAACCTAACGTTGAATGGTTTAACTCTTTTTTTTTTCTTCTTTCTTCTTCTTCTTTTTCTCTGAAACGTTAACGGATTTCTGCAATGAAAATGGAAAGTTTGAAGGTCTGCGAAACTTGCAATCACTTATTCCAAGGAGAAGATTTTTTTTTTGTTTTGGGGATTTTTGGTTTATTTAATAATAATTCTTTTTTTTGTCTCTCTCTAGAGAGTAGACGAAAGATTCGGTCTCTTTTTGTTAGCCTTCATTTGAAAAACTGTTTAGATTAGATTTCTCGGAATTATTTCACAAACGGTCTCAAATGCACAGTAAAAAAACCTGTCACTCTCACTCTTTTTGATCCAAATTCTGAAGCCACTAGATTTTAATTTATTAACTCTATATACAGTAGATGATACTGACAATACGGAAACTTCCAAATATAAAATTAGAAGTGGAACTCATTCATTCCCTTTACAATTAGTCAGATTAGATTGAAATGGTTTGTGAGATGGAATTTACAACAAAAAAAGGATAAGACTCTTTAAAGCCAAGAACGAGGAGCAGCCATTTGTTGCTTCTTTATCTTCTCGTCTGACTTCACCATACTGTAATTTTGCAAAAAAGAGATTTATTACATTTGAATTCAGTAGATTCTATTTTAGCTTTAACGAAACTGTGTGGAAGTTATTACCTGAAATCGTGAGGAGTGATGAACAACCACTGTGAACCTTGTCTCAATGCAAAATCAACCAATGTGTCTAAGCTGATCTTCCTGCTTACTGCGTCCTGAGGTTGCAGATTCCGATACATTTTCACGATTTCTCTTTTATGTGTTTTAGCATATGTTAATGTGAGAGAGGGTGATGTGGAGATTACCATAAACACATCAAACTCGTCCATTGCTCGAATTGGGACCTCAGTCATATTGTGAAGAGCTAATGCGAAGCATAGAGTCGAGAAAGACCGTTCTCCACCTGGAATTTTATGACAAGAGAGGGGATTAATCAAACTCTGAAGCTGGATAGACTCTCAATGGAGGAATCAGCTTCTATAAACTTAGCAATAAGAAAGTCAAATGTAGGGTGCAATGGCCAACAAACGTCAATTTTTTTTTAAGTTTCATCTTCAAGGGTTTTTAAACACTTAATCCTATGTATTGATCCTTACGTAGAACATCCTTGTTCTAAGTTTCAATCAAATGTGGAATTTTTATGTCCTTAATTATGAGAGTTGAGAATCAAACCTGAGAGCCCTCGTGTGTCTCGAACAGCGCTGCTTGTTGAATCTTGAGGCATCTTAACCTGTTGAAAGTAACATTTGTCACATTAACAAGTTAATGTAATAATTATGGACACATCAGATGCAAAACATAGCATTATGTACCTCTATGGACAAAGTTTTGTCTTCATAGGAGACTTTGATTTGTCCGCTGATTCCTTTATTGCTTAAATTAGAGTTGAATCTGCTTTGAACATCAGCAATCAAGGAAAAGGTCACATGGCAAATCACATAACTGAAGAAAGAACTGTAAACTATCCATTCTAATTGGCAATTATGAACAAAGCACTTCGTACTGCCAAGTTAATTCGCGCTTCAGAAGAGTTTTATTTCTTTGGAGCTTCTTCCACCGTGAATCTACCGCATACTGGCACACCTGATTAATCAGTAACGCAAACATAAAATGATTAGCATATTTTATATATATATTGAATTTTTGGATAAGGAAACTATATATAGAATTAACAATTTCAGGGCTTAACCTTGAGTTTTTCTCGCATGCTTTTGTAAGTTTCGCGTTTTCTCCCAATCTTCGCTTCTTTTTCGTCGAGCATAGCCTTGAGGTCATCGATGGATTCAGAATACCTGGATCAACAAAAGATGCATGTAACCTTAACATGCATTCAACGGGTAGTTTCAGTGTATAGGTACAATAACGAGGTACAAATAAATACGCACTTCTCACTCTCTCGCTTCAGTCTATGATTTATTTTGTTAATTTGAGCACTAAGCTGCACAGGAGTGTCCCCATCCCAGGGACCCAAAGCAATTATCTCACTTTCAGGACAAATTATGGAGGCTCTCTCGTTACTTTCCTGAAATTTCAGCAGTCGAACAAAATATAAAACAATCCAAGAGCAGTAACTTGAATATAAATATATATAAAATGAATTTGCATCGCTTATTTTGATGTTTTTCTGTCTCCCTTCGTTCATGTTACTAACATAACTTCATACCTGCCGCTTGGTTTCAAGCTCCTCATATCTAGCCTCGGCCACTTTAATGTCGGGTAAGACCTTGTCCTTCATTACATCTTCATAATGGTTCTTTTCCTGTAACAGAATGAAAACTTCAGTTCTAAGTGCAAAACAAGTAAAAAACCAAACTCTTGAAGAAGGTGAACCGTTTCTGCAGATTGGAGTTCTTTTTCAATCTCCTTTAGCTCATTCTCTGCTTCTTCAAAGGCGCCAACTTTACCCTTAGCTGACTCTGCATGCACGTTCAGAGAAAAAAAAATGAATGTTGCTTGCTTGCTTGAACTATCAAGTTAATCGATCTTTCAAGTTTTTAACACGGATCCAAGAAAAACAAATGTATCGCCAACATACCATATAAGTTTTCAAATGAAGCTTTAAGTTCATTCGCCTTTAGTTCAGCTTCTTTCAAGCAGTCTTGGAGCTTTTCCAGCAAGGATTCTTTCTCCTCTATCTCTTCTCGTGATTTCTGAGAAATGCAAAGAGAGCAATGCTTGAGAACTAATGCTATGGGGGTGGAAAATAACAATCAAGCGGTTTCCACCAATAAAACTAACCATGATTTCTAGATGAAGTTCATTAACACTTGACGTAGGCGAATCTTTGGTTTCAGCAGCGACTGAATTTTTCAGATCCTGCATTTCGAGTTCCTTCCTTGTCAAATCTTTCTCAAGTTGGGTGCATTGCCTCTGTAACATAACCACAAAACATATGCAAAATGATTACAAAATACAAACAAGCTTAAGCTTCGTGAAAACAAGCGAAATGTTTCAGATAAGACAGTTAAAAGGTTGGGGCGCATAAGTTCAACATGACTAGTGCATTAAACAATGGGTGCAGCTAAAGAGACAGCAGCGAGTTTATGCTACCTTCAGTCTGCGCTTTTTCGATTCAAGATCCTCGAGATTCACCTCTGCCTCCCTCTTTTGTCTCCTGCATTCATGTATCTCACTTTGCACTTTTGAGGCCTCTATTTCAAGATCCTTGATCTGCTCATCAAAAGAAGCACACAATCGAGGCGGTCTTGGAGAACGGGGAGGAGGAAGGGTTGTCTGAACAGGCCCACGGGAAAACCTGAGTCACGAATAGGTAGAGTGCTGTTATGTCAAAAACTCAGCAAATACATCAAACGGGGGCCCTAGTGACCTCTACCGATTAAAAAACATCCTAATATTATATTATCCATTCCCTTCAAGATAATTTGAACTCAGAGATTTGTGTCTGGCTCTTTAAACGATCTGTTTTTGCAATCTAACTGGCTACTTACATTCGGTATCCATCTATAGTGAAAACCTCCTTCAGATTGGAGAGCCTTTTCTCAAAGGCAATTGTCTTGCCAACATCATAATTCTCTGCAAGCACTTGCCTCTCCACACCACCCTGGAAATATTCAGAAACCAGAGCTAAAATTGAATGCCAACACATAGGGTTTGAAGGATGAGAAGTTGGTAAATAAAGAGACAATCTGAAAGTAAGATTACCAAATCCACTAAGACGTTAAGAACAGTAGGATTCTCAGAATGCAAGACAGACAAAATAGTTGGGTGTTCCGTTTGAGGAAGCATGTGCCTTGGTATAACTAACCTGCATAAACAATTACCACAGCGGTTGAAATGTAACTAAAGTTATCCGTTCATCAAAGCAGAACAAAACCAGAAATATTGGAAAGCTTTTTTCAGATTTGAACCTTGGTCTTGAAAAGTCATAGATGATAATCTTTAAGTTGTTATAGTTTGCTTCCTTTCCACAGTCTCGCAGAGTAATCGAATCTTTGTGATCGGTCACAATAAAGGCATTCAGGAGGTTTCCAAGAGCTTGTTCAACTGCAGAAGCCCATTTATTACCATTGACCAGTGTCTGTAAAACACCACACGATTAGAAGACTTCACACTAAAACAGCAGAGATTGATGTCGTAACACTTTGAAAATGTCAGCTTTTCTTTCCCTCATGCATGATCCTTAGAAGAAAACATGTGAACAAACTCTATTGAATTTGTCTATGCACAGATGTGTGGAAGGAACAAATAGAAACTTACCAAGTGAGCACCAACCGGACCAATAGGTGGCATTTTAAACTGGTGATGATGTCTCTCAATCGCCCGTAAAAGATTTATGACTCTGTCCCCTCCAAATGCGGTAACCTAGCAAGAGAAGTTTGAAATTATCCAACTGATCCTCCTCGAGATTGCCATCCTTCAAAAGGATAGAAACAATATATAGAGCCTGCTAATAGATCCATGTAATTGGATAAGCACCTTATTTGTTTGATGTTTCTTCAGATCACTGATGTGTGCGCTTATGTGTCTTTGCTTCTTTTCATGATCTCTAATCTATAAATCAAAAGGCGAAATAGCTGAATGTAAGGAAATTTAAAGACTACAAATTAAAGGTGATAAATATAATATCTGAAAAACATAAATATGAAACAGAGTAAATTGTAGGACTAGGATTCATAAGAAAAACCACAAGCATCATCATACCATATACTCTATTTGTTCCATCTCCTTCTCTCCGACTGATGCTTTTTCTGTTATCATGTTCTCTTCCTCTTTCAAACTAAAGTGTAAAATATTAAATCCATGCTCAGCGGAAAGAATAAAGAAATAGTGAAATAGGATAGTTCAAGAGGAGAAAACGAAAAGATATATGACCTGGAAAGCGATGATTCAGCCTTCTCAACCTCTAACTTCAATTGATTCATTTTTTCCTCGATTTCAAATTGTTCAGCCTGCATCACAATCAGCCTGTAAGATATATCTACACCTATAAACACACACACACACACACTAAACTACACCTCAATCACCATACCAAACACTGAGCATAAAACTGAAAGGATCTTAGTTTGCGCCTTTTTTTTATAGATAATGACAATGATAATCAAGGAGGAGGACCTGTGTGCTTCTTATAGTCATCTCATCAATATCTTTAATCTGCCGTTCAAGCCTCCTAACACGATCCTTAATCTTCTGAGTATTATTGCACTTATGACGGTATTCTTCTTCTAGAGCAACCTTCTCTCTTGCAGCCTGCTTTAAAATTCATATCAGCTATACATAGATGCGAAAAGTATTTAAACCAAAGGCAATTTCAAAGCTAAACTATGATATCCTCTATTAAAGAGCTCAAGAGCAGTGCCCATCATTCTATCAAAGCCACGCGATATTCAATAACAAGAATTTAAATGATAAATCAAATATTATCATTTGGCCCTCTCTTGTTTTCCTATCTGCTGAATAAGATTATATAGTTTGTAAATAAGAGGTAAAATAAATTCTCAAAATTACATACTTTAGGTCTATTCCCGTTAACTGAGATCCTTCTTTTTAAAACTAATTTTAACATACCGTCTTGACTGATTGCCGCAAACACTCTATCTCTCTCTTCATCACAGTTGACTCATCCACCAGGCATGCAACTTGAGCTTTCTTATTAGTCAAGGTTTCCCTTAAAGATTCCACCTCACCCTACATAAAGTGTCAGCTATAATTAACTTCATTATAAAGGATTTAAGGTTGATGTTAATGTATGCATTGAGGCTACGATAGAGTATCTAAGTTTCATGGTGTAAGCAAATAAACATTTTAGAAGCTCAACCTCACATATATGAAGAGTTCACAAAGGTATATATCTATAATCCGTATGGCCATATGAGAATGTTTCAGGGTAGACCTAAACTCAACCTTCAACATTTTTGTTTTCTCAAAACTTTCTCTACTTAATACAACTTATAAATTGCAGTGGTAAAGTATCCAAGAGAAACTTAGACACGTCACTGTATCTTACTGTTCATAGCAATCCAAATTTGAGGTAATAGAAAGAACATATTTCTTACCAGTTTCCGATCAATTTTATATTGACAAGTAGGCCCTCGTTCTCTGAGTTTCACAATCTTTTCAGCCTGTTCCTTGAGCTGCCTATCCACATCATATACCCAGGACCAAGCTAGTTTTTTTTTCAAGTGAAGCAACTGTTGATATACTTCTTCAAATTTTTCTTGAATCTTTATCTTTTCAAGCAACTCACTGATCTCCTTTTCTATTGGTTTAATTGTCTCCTCGAGTTCATCCACAAGAGCGCTTGCATCTTTCAAATTTGTGTCAACACTTTGAAGAAGATCATCGACTTGATGAAGAAGGGTTGCCTTGTAAAAAAACTACAGAACAAACGCTTTCAGCAACAATATCAACAAGATTTACTTCACCGTACACCGGTTTACTGGAAATACCTTGAATTTATCTTTGTCATTTCCGGAATGTAAAAACTCCCTGCTCTTGTCTTGACTCATTATCACACATGGATTCTCAACATCAATCTAGCCAAAGAAAACATAACGCAGATCCAGTGAATTAGTATCAAATACCAACAAGAACACTTAAACCTGATAATAACATTTGTGATCAAACTTTAGAACCCGAATCAAAGAAAGAAACTCACATTATAATGCTCAACTAGTTCCCGTAAATCCTCCTTTCGGTGTGATATTTTCTTTCCTGTACGACACGGGTTGCACAGGACAAGTAAGCAGAAAACCTCTTGAATCAATCAGTTGATTTACAAATGACATACAGTACGAGATGGTCGACTTGACAATGATATATATAACGACAAATTACACTAAAAACAAGCAGAAGCACAGACTACGAGACAAAGTGTAAGTCACAACAGATGTGATATTAGAGATTATAGCATCAAAAATTTAATAACCTTGATGATCCTTGAGAACCGTAGAACTAGTAGAATCAGATATCCTGCGTTCAATTATCAGAGTATGACCATATACTTCAGGCTTAAAAGCATCTTCTCCTTGGTTATTCATTTCGACATGAACAAGGGCATCGCTGCAAATAAAAAAGTTTACGACATTTCTGCAGTTAATTCGTGGAGAAGCAAAATTCAGCAATCGATCATACATAAAAGCATAAGTGCACAAACCTGCATCCAGATTTTATGAAATCCTTCAGCGTGGAAGCGCGCTGAGTCCCCTTGGCTCGGCATCCAAACGCAACACATAGAGCAGTCAATATCGCACTCTTACCGCCTGGAAATTACGGAAAACACCCTAAAGAGATAAATCATACAGCCAAAAAAAAACTCATTCGAAGTCCAAAAGGTAAGACTAGCTCTTATTCCTTTACGGCTAAACCCAACGAAAATCAAAGCTTAAAGGAGCCTGTTTTGCCGAAAATAGCAGGAACCCAGCTCAGGAAACGCAGGCACAAGTAAGTGCATTCATCTAAAAAAGCGACTAAAATGCCGGATTTGGTAAGATTTCTTACTTCCGTTTTGACCGGTTATGAAGTTGACCCACTCGCCAAACTCAATCTCGAGATTACTATGGCACATGAAATTCTCGAGGCGTATTCTACGAATAGTGCCCGAGCCAGAACGGTGATTGCTGAGAGAATCACGCGGTGGACAGCCATGGGTATCATCCATGTTTGTCGCTTTCTAGGGTTTCTTACTCAGAGGAGTCGATGACACTAAAAAGTAAGAAAGCAAGTTGTTCATCAGGTCAGGTGTGTTATTGGCGGGGAAACACTAAGCTTCGACGCGTGTACATGATAATTGGGCGATGAATCTTTCGGATTTTAAATACCAATTATAGAAATGGGCCTTTAAATTGTGAATTCGATTCTCCAAATTGTGAAATGGGCCTCACCGGAGACTGGTTCGTGCAATAATCGGCTAGGGAGTTTGTAGTATGGACATTATCCGCTTGAAAATGATAAACATTATTCATAAGTCATAACCAAGTAATTTGATTTTTTTTTTTTTTTTACTTCCCGAAGTTAACATAAAGGTAAAAAACGAAGATAAAAAAAGAGTATTCATTGCCGGTTCAAATCATTTACGCTAACATTAAAATGAAGAGTGTTTTCAGTTAAACCTAATTTAGTAATACAAAAAGCTTCACTTTCTCTTCCTGGCGTGATAATTCTTGTAAGCAGAACCATAAACCGAATCCTTTTAAACCACCGGTTTCTTGGTTTATTCAGTCGTCATGATCGTGATTCCTGAAGCGTATGATTCTCTTGATGAACAGACTCTCACGCCGGTATCTACCAGAGAAAACCACAATTGAGTATGTTTATATAGTATGCAGACACCATATGGTCCGATGTTGAAAGTACATATTCCGTTTAACAGAACCGAGATAAGAGTGTAAAAGTCTGTTTTCTGAAATGGATTTTGCGATACTTACATGAAGATGGCTGAGAGACAAAAGCAGAGGAAACCGATGGCGAAATGGAGAGGAAATGTTGCCCAGAAATTCTTATGGTTGAGAAGGGTTTTCTCTGAGATGAGAGTGATTATGCACGAGAGTATAAGAATTCTCCAACCTGAAGGAAAACACTTTCGGAACGAAAATGAAGAAGAATCGCCTTCCTGTTACAGATTTGTGGAATTAAGACAACAACAACAACAAAAAAGGACTGGCAACATAATAGATAGATAGTTTGATGTAATCAAAGCATACCTGGAAGTAACGTTGGATGAATTGTCCTGAATAGATGATCCTAAAAATCATATCTTTTATTTTTTAAAGGAAAAGTCAGTCAAGGAAAAAGATAATAGATAAACAAAAGTTGACTGTAGTCTCTTATATATATATATATGGGTGAAGGATACTCAAGGAATTCGCCAAGATTAAACCTATTGCTCCAGCAGATTTTATTAGCAGAATATTCAATGTGATGTAAATCAGTGAAAATACAAGCAGCATGTCGTTTGAGCGCTTCAGTTCATTCTCTGTTCCAACTGCATGTAAAAATGCTTCCGAGGTACCTGACAAAATAACCAAGACTTACAAATATGCAAAGCAAACAACAAGTCAATAAGCATTAGGTAAATCTATATATGAATGATTACTAACCATTCATGGCCAGGACGATGATGTAGATACAATAAAACTGTAGTGCAAAGGAAGCTTCTCCATCGCTCCATTTTTCACCATACAACAATCTGATGAGAGAGTATGAATAACTCGGGCCAAATGCCATAAATATCAGACCTGAAACTCCCATGAAGTTTCCCAAAATTAAGTCAAAAGTCTTTTATACATTTAGAAACAAAAACAACTGAGGATCTTTGAAGAAGTTGAAAAGCAGATTTCCGGTATTAGGAGCTGGAAAGCATATACCTATTAATATTACAAGCTTCAAGGCCTCGGTCAGGCAAATTCCGAGTTTCTTTCTCTTTTGCTGGTTATCATCACCTGTCAAGAGAGAGAGAGAGGAATTGAAACCACATATTTTCATGAGCTGAAAGAAACTGAGGAGACAATTATCCGAACCAACATCACGAAACATCAGAACTAAGATTTATTACATACTGTACCACATTGAACTCAGGAGAGAAATAAACCTGATGCGAACCTGGCAAATGTAGTGTATGAACTTTCTTCGAAAGGGAGAAACACCATGCGTACTACTAAACTTCCTGGAGGTCAGAAATTGTGTAAGAGATATTTATAAGCAACCTCTCTTGTAGATATACAATATACTTTGTAATTTGCATCTTGTCACCAAAGAGGCTTGCCTAGTTTGTCGACGATCCCATATACAGCCTGGTTGTAAGGTGTATCTAACCATACAAGGACCAATTTTTCGCCTTCTTGAAGGATCAACTTTCGGAAGGACTGAAAAGTAAATATCATACACATGTTCGAGAGCTGCTTATCGAAATCGAAGAGCTTCCCAGGTCTGTGACATCACAATAATTGTTGGAACATTATTGGAAAATGAATGTGCTGACTGGAAGATAATCAAAGTTAAGCATGCTGGCGAAGAGATCAAATGATAGATAACTCGTACCTGAAAGGAAAGAGATCTGAAATTTTGAAAACACCATGAATGAGAAAAAAAGCCCAGTACCCAAGAAATAAGCAACCTCCATATGCAACTTGTGACAGTGCAAAGATTATCCCTTTTTCCTACGTATGTTGAAGATAATCAGATTTTAGTTCCATTATATAAGTTTCTTCAAGCATGCTTCTTCTGCCAGAAACAAAATGGAGTGGTACTTATTAACACAAATATGTACCATGTTGGTTTGCTTGACTATGAGAAAGCACAAAGTTACACAGCGTGAAAATGTAGCAACGGTCTCAACAACCAGTCGCAATTTCAGATACATCAATGTCTGTGAGAGGATATACAAAGGCTCAGCCATTAGCTCCAGTACACATGCAAATCCTGCCAATTAAGTTAAGTTGATTAAAAAAACACAAAGTAGATTAATCCTACTGCTATATATTCACAGAACTTGGACTCCTAGAAAGAAAAACGACCGGAGAACTTCTTTAAGAAAAATGTAAGCTCTAGCAACGGAAGAAAAAAAGTGGATGTTGCTACAATTATTACACACACAAGTAAACGACCACAAAAACAGAAACTTTCAGATTCCAATGCTGTAAGCGAAATAAGTATGATAAAGGCATAGAAAACGACGAGAATGTACCGTGAATCAAGATAGCCTGTGCATATGTGTCGGAGTAACTAAGGTTCTGCCACCATAACACAAAGATGCATGCTGCAATAGTAATGGCTATTCCGAGTGGAAATGTCACCCATGCCACTTTCAGTAACTTAGACTCATCGTTCTTTGATACAAGACCATCACTGCAGCACGAAATTTAAGGAATATATCACTAGCCGAAAACTTAGTCCTGAAGTGATTATATGAAATCAAGGATCAGGCTTTATGTATACCTGTTAATGTCAGCCCGCAAGCAAGCACGCCGGAATCCCTCCCGGCTGAGAAACAAGACGCAGGTAACAAAAAGATGGAACTGGACCGCGTAGAGCTGCATTGCAATGAGAAAAAAGATAGATCAAGCAGAGCTAAAACTTATAAAACATGACTTGATCATTCTTTCCAGACACAGAAACCAAAATCTGTTCTTCCACACCTAAAAATTAGAATCACATCTTAGATCCCTGGAGCCTAACTGCACATAACCCATCTTTTTACCATAACAAATGCATACAAATACAGAAACAACCTAAATAGTACTTTCCATCAAACTTAAAGGCAAAGCACCTACATTGGCAAAATCTAAGAACATATCTATCCGACTTGAACAAAACTGGGCTCTCAGTCAACGGATGTACGAGCAAATGAACTGGTAAACAACGATCTATTACCGCATAGTCTTGTTCGGTGAGATGCCTCACGATCCAGGAATTGAATATGAACGGGATGCCTCTGGAAAGAAACTGCGTAGCTAATTCCAAAATTCAATAGAGGAAGAAAGGGATCACTTAATTAGAAGAAAAATTTGTCTAAGAGATATTCGAAAAAGAAAACAAACAGAAAATGAAAACGAACCTAGTAAATACTTGAACGTGCGCGAGAGATTAACGCTATCCTTATTACTGGCCATTTTTGGAGATGCTAAACACCAGTCCTTCGTCTAAGTGTCTCTGGGTTTGCGATTCTAAACTATTGTGTGTTCATGCTCCAGTTGCAGGAATCTAAGAGCTGTTTATCTGAAAGTATGAATTAACAAATACCCAAATCCACAATTTAGCTGATCAAATCACCGGCGCGGTGAAGACGACGACGCCTCCATACCAAAAAGTTTATTCAGTTATCGGTTTGGTTCAACTTTTTTCGGGTTCGGTTTATCCATAATAGATTCGAAAGTAAACCGAACTTTCCACGATTCGATTCGATTCGGTTGAAGTTAAATATGTTAATCCCGATCCTAAATCTAATTATGTAATTTTGTAAAAATATAGATCGGTTTTTTAGCACCCAAGTTTTTCTAAATGATAAGCCGATCATTGAGAAAAGAAAAAAAAATCGATGGCCGATCGGTTTCCACGTATAAATCAAATTCAAACCGAATAAGTAAATTTCGGTTCAGTCGGATCGGGTCGGTTATAATAAAATACCATAACCACCACCAATTCACTTATTGGACGAAAAATAATGTCAGAAGTGGGGTTTGAACCCACGCCCTCTTTCGAGGACCAGAACTTGAGTCTGGCGCCTTGGACCACTCGGCCATCCTGACTATTTGATGATTAACTGATTATCAAACTGATAGACGCCATATTTATACAATTGCACTGAATACCAAATACTAATTCATGAACGCCCCAAAGAATCTATATTTGAAATTGATTTATCAATATCTACGCATGTAGTTAATTAACATAGAAAATAAATGAAGGTCCAAAAAAAGTTTGTAAATAACTTAAAAGAAAAAAAAGCTGAGGACTCATATTATATACAGTGAAGAGCCACTCCAGTATTTTTCTAGCTTCTCGGATTCAAGAGCACGTGATATTCCATCTACAAAGAAACAAAAATTGAAAAGCGAGTCCAAATTAAGATTAACGTTTGTTTTCAACAATTAACCAAGATATTATGTATATGAAGATATATTATACATGGGAGATTCACCTGCAATTAAGTGCTTGAGCTACCGAGATCAAAGTCCATTGTGTAATCATACTCGATTGTTGGAATAACTGATGCCATAAACTTCAAGAACAAGAAGAGATACCTATGGAAAAGATAAAGAAAGAAATTGCAAGGCATGACTATGACTGCATATAAAAAAAAATTGTAAAAAAAAAAATTTGTGAGGGAAATTTACTTGTCAACTTCAGGTTCTACTCCACGCGACATTAAGACATCAATGATCTTCTTCATAACAGCTCCATGTCGACATGGGTGAACTGAAGCATGTTTCCCAGGTAAGTGAGGATGATCTTCTATTGTTACCTGTGATTAAAGTTGTTACAGGAAGCCAAGAAAGTGTAAGAAAACTAAAATGCGTACCACTACGGATTCTAGAACAGAACAAGATCACAAAACCCACTACGAAATCACTTGATTCATTAGAGTTATGTGATTTTACCGTTTTACGTGCATGGTCTTGACTAACATCCTCCATCACCAGTTCAGGTTGCAGTAACATCCTTGACTACAAGACAAACCACGGTTTTTTTTTGAGCAAGAATAAAAAAAAACATGGACAAGCAGGCAAAATTTGTTATAGAATAAAAACGAATTGAATTCCAACGGAATGAATGAGTCAGAGACCTCATCATAGCCGGTCAGCCAAACACGGGGAGTTTGGTAATACTTGTCATACCTGAAATCAAGTGATGAAGCGAGATATAAGTATGAGAGATGTCTCACAAGAACTCAAACAAGTTTACAAGTGAATGTAAATGTGAAAATTGGGAAAGGGCAGCACAAGATGCTTACGTGATGCTAACATCATATGTTCTGGTTCGAAGGATGTTATCGTCGTCAGGTTCATGAACCACACGAAAAGTTGCCTGACTCAGAGATGACAAGGGAAAGAATCAATAACACCGCTGGTTGATAACTTAGCAGATACAGAAGAATTGAGATCTAGCAAGTTCGTTTGCATATAACTAACTCACAGGATCATTGTCTATGAAATTGTCAGTCTCATCAAACTCTGCCATGTCTGGAATATCTTCCTCCTCCTCGCCTCCGGAATACTTGGGTGGTGGTTGAATAGTATCTCTCTCGTTTATTTCTAAGGCATCCATGGATGGCAAGTTTTCATCTTCATTACTTTTATCTAATGGACACACTCAACACATAAGAAACCATATTGGAGAAACTAAATTTGCAGATGCGATCATTTCCGGATATAAAATATAAAAAAAAACCCACCTTTAGGTCTTCCATGAGTTGCCAACCAACCATCATTATCTTCATCATCAACCAAAACTTCACCTCCAGCAGCTTCGTAATCCTCTGCCACAGACGCAGCTCTTCGTAGACAAGGTACTGTTAATCCATGGAAAAAGCCAAAAACTTTAACTAAATGTGCAATCAAAAACTTCAAATTGAACATCAAAATTAGCTCTAAACGTCTCCAATTTACCATTCCTAGTAATCAAAAACTGTTTGTCTGAGGGCAAGTATGGCTTTCTTTTGCTCGGATCACCAGATTCCCTGAGTAAAAAAAAAAAAGGAAAAGCCATGAGCTGCTTGTACTGTTTCCCGATTTTTATCTATGGGTCATACCAAAAGCGCGAGTAACAATCATCCCAAATCATAATCTAGCTAAATTCTTAGAAGTTAGATCAAAAGTTCACAGCTTGCCCACAGCGAAGATTGTGAGTGGGATACTGAAATTAGAACTAACCAGGACCAGGTAGGGCACTTGGAGACGAGATTATCACCGGCGAGAACGAATTCGCTGACGCTTAAAACTCCCTTCTCCTTGAAAGCCGAGACCGTTCGAGGACCAGTGATCCTCTCCACTGCACCTTTGAATGCTCCATGGATCTTCTGCGAGAGCACCATTGCTATACTTACGAGTCACGACGAACGCGAGAAATCGGAGATTCGATTGATCTACCCTTTATTCCCCTTTTTGGCGACAATATCAATAAAGAAACTATAGTTTCCGTGCCCGTATGGATTTGGATATAAGAATAGTTTGATAAATATCACAATTGACCACCGTACTTATAAAAAGTTTCGTTTTCTTCTCCTAACTTATTAAATCGATCTGGTGTCTTTTAAATTTCATATCGGATAAAGATAATTACAGTCTTCTCCCACATATTTATAAATGTTTAAATTTTTATCCCAATATTATAATTTGTTCAGAGTACGAATCTGATAAATATTTGTGTGATACAAAACAAAACAAAAACATATATACGATCATAAATTTTTACTGAATGTGAGCATAGGATCTATAGTTTTTTTTTAATGTCATAAATTTTTAATCTAGTAAACTTCTAAAGATATGATATATTAAAATACTACAGTCACCCATCGCACGGATCTACCATAAGCAAATTTATTTAAGGGCAGTTGTTTTTTCCAATAACTCTTATGATGATTATAGACGATTTTATGATTTTCTTCACAATGGTGTATACAAATCATATTTCATTGGTGGTGAACAATTCAAAACGACGACGTGGACTTCTTGTAGGACCATCCGACCATGGCGATGTTGACGTGAGATAGTGGGACCCATAATTGGTTGAACTTCATGATCGGTGTCAACCGTCTAATTAAAGGAATTAAGAGACAAGCTTACAACTAACAAAAGAGAAATCGTGATGTTGAGTGTTGAATCTCGAACAATATTCTTATGTTCACTCTAAACACAATGATACTTATTCACTAACAACGGGTATCCTAGGTTTTACGCAAACATAATTAATTAATTGACTTTTATGAATGAATCCATTCAGTACAGATTATCACTCCAAGTATCACAAAGTTTCCAATTACTTGGCCCAGCCAGACTAATTTATCTGTTCTGTTGTCGTTGATATTACTTTTTGAATCATAAACATAAATAAATTTGCGGGAGAAAACTTCCGATGAAAGATCTAAGATGTACGTACCCACACGCACTTCAACTACCATCACTAGTCAAACCCAACATTTATCATCGCCACTTTCAACGCTCTTTCATTTTTATCGAGATGATGAGAATTAATTACCACGGTCGCGCTACTCGCTACTACTATAGTCTATAGTAGTATTTATTTGGTCGAAACTAACGTGCCACTTGAGATAGTATCATTTAAAGAGTGATTATGTTTTGTTATTTTCTCACTATGCATCTTCATCCTATAATTTCATTCGAAACTATGTTTGGTTTTTAATTATTTTTTTGGGACCAATTAGGTAGATAACCATGTGAGAATCTTCCAATAAAAGAACAAACTTATGGTTAGAAATTTTTATATATAAAAAAAAAAAACTGATGGTTAGAATTAGTTAAGTGAACGGCTATAAAACATGAACATGATTTAAGTATAAGATGACGTGTGTAAGAAAAATACAATTGAGAATTATTAGGTCATAATTGGTTAACAACTTTGGAGGATATGTTTCCAAAACAATATTACGTCATTTCATTTATTTATATGGTCAACAAGTCTACAAAATTACATAGCGGATATATAAAAACTCGGGCAATTAAATGAAATGACGTTAAAAAAGAGAGAGGATATTTTTTTGACAGAGGATATGTTTCCTTTTAAATTGGCAAAATATGATATTTGCATGTAAATAAATATATTCCAAATTAGTATATATATTAGTATAACATATGATGTACAAACACCCTGACAAGCCAAAGAAATCATAAAGTCAACAATGATACAAAACATAAAAAGATATTCTAGATCTGTCCTCTGAACTAAAATATCGACTTCATCTCCCCATCACCGTCAATCTCTCACTGTGAACAATAAATTCCACTAGTTTTCCATTTCCTTTTCTTTTTTCTGGCCAGCCCAGAGTTTCCATCTCCTTCCTCAGAAAATTTTCCCTCCAATAAATTGCAAAGTCTAATCATACGTTTTTCATTTATTAACACAATGCCCGTTTTCCTAAAATCTCTCAACTCTTCTTAAACATAAATACCCAGATTCCTAATTATCTTCCACATAAAATTAAGAAGAAGAAGAAAAATCTCATGAGATGACAAGAAATCATTTTTTAGCATTGTTACTCGGAGTCTCTTTATCAGTTATCTCGATCTTAATAATCTTCTTCATCGTCTGTTTCATCTTCTACAGAAGAAAACAATCATCCACTAATTCAGATCAATACGGCGTCGAATCACCGAACCATAACAAACAGGGATTCTCCCCGGAGACGGAAGAGCTCGTGACATTTCACGGCGGCGAAGATCTCACTATCTGCGATATCCTCGATGCTCCCGGCGAAGTCATCGGAAAATCAAGCTACGGCACTCTGTACAAGGCGTCGTTGCAGCGGAGCGGGAAAATCAGGGTTCTTAGATTTCTTCGACCGGTTTGTACAGTGAGATCCGATTCGAAGGAGTTCAATGGTGTCATCGAGACGATCGGATTTGTTCGTCACGAGAATTTGGTTCCTCTGTTAGGTTTCTATGCTGGAAACAGAGGAGAGAAGCTTATGGTTCATCCTTTCTTCGGCTCCGGGAATCTTTCCGACTTCATCAGAAGTAAGTCTCTGTTTTTTTTTCTTTATTTTCCCGTAAAAATACAATAAAGTCGAAAAAGTATTAAAAAGGGTCGAACTTTTTCTTTTTCCGACAGCAAGTAAAGAATTTTAACTTTTCCGAGTCGTTTTTGATTTTTTGGTCCCTTTTAGCCTCATCGTGGTCACTTGTTTTTCGGATTTTCCCGGGAAACAAACAGAAACAAAATCCTGAGATTTGGGTAAAAGGCATCCATAGGAAAAAAAAAATTACCGTTCTCATGATGGTTACCTCACTTTCAGTCTTTCACATTTTGCCTCAGACAAGTAGAAATATATACATATATTCATAGAATTATAAAAGGAAAATAGTCCAATGTGTGATAGTATTGAAAAGAGGAACACACAGCTGGAATTAAGAACATTAGCTGGATCATTTAATTCAGTTCATTATTTTGTCTTAGATATTATTTATTTCTCAAGCTTTTTAAAATTATATACATAGACTTTAGTAGGTACTATTTTTTTGCTTTTTATTTTCTTTCACTTTCCACTTCTTTAGTTGTGTTAGTGTTAGTAAACAACGTGGGAAATGTAGTTGAATCGCAAGAAAACATTCTTCATATTTCTAGACTAAACGAAAATCACATTCTTTTTTTTTTTGGCAGGTGGAGATGATGAATCGATAAAATGGATCAACATCTTAACCATCGCCATTGGAATATCCAAAGCTCTTGATTATCTTCACACAGGAATGCAGAAACCAATCGTCCACGGCAATCTGAAATCCAAGAATGTTCTTCTGAACTCGACTTTCGAACCTCGAGTCTCTGATTTCGGGATGCATTTGCTGCTAAACACAACGGCAGGACAAGAGATTCTTGATGTTTCTGCGGTCGAGGGATACAAAGCTCCTGAGTTGATAAAGATGAAGGAAGTGAGCAAAGAGAGTGACGTCTACAGTCTCGGTGTGATCATGCTCGAGGTAGTCTCTGGTAAAAAACCGATAAATCCAAGTGGCGATGATGAGTTTTATCTTCCTGATGTTGTGAGGAATGCTGTTCTTGATCAGAAGCTGTCTGATTTATACCGTCCTGAGATTCTCGGGAGTAATGGTAATCTGAGTGAAGAATGTGTCCTCAAGTATATTCAGCTTGCAATGTCTTGTTGCTCTCCTTCACCATCTCTGAGGCCAAACATGAAGCAAGTCTTGAAGAAACTCGAAGAAATCCGGAAATGCTAGAAGAATTTGCACAGCTGGTAGAAGAAAAGATCTGATATTTTAACTTTTGATAGAATAGTAGAAGCTACTACATAGGGATGGTTTTTAACAACGAAATTACTCTGTTTTTATTTTTTTCGTTTCCCGAGGGAAAATAAACTACTTTTAGACGTTAGCAAGAGACTCGTTGAACTTGAAGGATCTTTGAAACCCGCGGATGTGATACCGACGAACATCATAGAGCGATGAATCGAAACCGCAAAGTCTCTTGAAAGTCTTGTCTATGAAGCTGTACTTTACAGCCTTGTTTGGAATGTGAAGCACGATGTATGATTCTGCATCCGTCTCTTCCTTCACAATACCGATGACAGAGAAGGTGTAGAGCCGCGTATTGGTGAAGTGTTGGGTGATGATCATCTCGGGAAACGCGGCTGCAAGAGGCTCTAAATCAACACTGTACTTCACGGACCAGCTTAAGCTGTTCTTTTCCATCTCGTAAACAGAGAAAGTTGAACAACGCTCATCATTTACCTCAACATAGTAAAGATTTCCGCCGGACTCGTCCAAATACCTCATTGGACAGAACACGGATGGCAGCTCCTCTTCTTCATGGTCATGGTTAAGATTAGGGAGTGGAAGAGTCTTGATCTGCTCTTCATTGATATCGAAAGAGAGGCATTCTCTTGAGTGGGAATCGAACCAGTGAACCGCGCCATTACAGAAGACTGCGTTGTCGAAAGCTTTAAAGTCTACATTGTAAGAAGGAGCCGAAAAAACTCTCCTCCAAGTTCCATCATTGGAGGAGTAAACCTCAACGTGGTAGTGGTGATCCTCAGAGTCAAGGAAAGAATAGTTTCTGATACTACTTCTGAGGCAAAAGACTTTGTAGTGAGGAGAGTTACAAGGATCAAAGGCTAGAGAGAGTGAGATGATATCATCGATGATCGGAGGGAGAAGAGTGTTCTGTTTCGTTGTGGGATTGTAAACGTAGTAATTTGTGTTGAATTCGTTGGTCTTGCAAGCGCATCTGCAGAGGAGGAGCCCGTTGGTCGATTGCATTATGATCATTTCAGTTGCATGATCTGTAAACCAAATCGGCAATGACAACGAAATCCCTTGGTTGATTGCGTCATCGTCAAGAGGGACAAAACTATACTTGTTGCCTCTTGGTGGTGGCGCGTGTAAGAAAAAGCCAGAGATTGGAAGCGGATGCTTGGACTTGATGCGCTGGGAGAAATCGGGATTTGTAATGAGGGAAAGCCAGCGTTTAGATACGCGTTTGGATCTTAGAAGCGTTTTGATTGGAAGATATGAGAGGATCTGATACAAGACGTCGTCGAGTTCTGCCACAATCGCTGCCGGTGATGAAGAGAGACCGCCCTTTCCACGGCCTCTAGCCGATCTTGTCCTCTCTCTTGAACAAGAAGACATTGCTGGATAAGTGATTTTGAAGAAGCTGGTTTTAGGGTTGTTTGTAGTAGTGAAGAGAAGAGAGAGATTCTGGTGTTATAAAGAAACTCAAGGATGTGATGTGTTCTGTTTTGTTGTCAAGAAGATTGTGGAGGAAGCTTTTGTTAAGTTTTGCGTACTAACTACTCTTTGAGTTTCATTGACTGTTGACTATTTAAAGTTGTGTTCATGTTTTTTCTTTTAAGTAAAACTAAGAACTTTCTGTTTACTGTCCATCCAAACGGAAATTACCGGCCGCTAACAAAGAAGATATGAGGCAGATGTGCTATTATATTTAACTACGAATAAAATCCCCCTTCGCGGTGTAACTATAGTATATAAAGATTTATTGTAAGTGAAAATGAATTCAAATCTTTCTCTATTCACACAAAGATGTTTTTGATATCGTGAGATTTCATGAGAATATGTTTTTTTAGCAACACTTCGCACTTGTCACAAAGATAAAAAACCAACCAAATAAAATACTATACAATAAATATACATTACAAAATTTTAAAAGAATGATGGTAAGTTTTTTTTGCGAGATGTATTTATTGAGAAAATTTTAATCTAAAACAATTAAAAAACATCATTAAATTCTTCAAAATTTATTTACGACCAAATGTATTCAAATAGTTTGATATCATGTTAATCTAATCAATTTTTAAACCAATTCAAATTTAAATACAAATAAATACGAAAATAAAACAAAAAGAATAAAAAACATATTTTTGGGTTTTTCTACTTCTGACATTTTTTACTTCCTGAATTTTATTTTGTAACAAACAAATTAACCTGAAAAAATATTAAAATAATAATACGTTAGATTCATGTTTCAATTATTTTTGTTATTATTATTATTATCATTTTCTTTCCTAATAAAAAAATTATTATGGAAACAAATTGAACATAGAAAATCTCTAACGACTAAATGTATTTAAATGGTTGGATATCATGTTCGGTTAGTTTCACATCTAATGCAAATCTAATCGATTTTTAAACTAATTCAAGTTTGAATGCAAATAAATACGAAAATAAAACAAAGAATGAATAGAAGACATATTTTTTTTTCTTCTTTTGGTATTTTTTACTTCCTAAATCTATTTTGTAACAAATAAATACCTGAAAAATATATAAAAAAACAACATGTTAGATTTATGTTTAAATTAGTTTTGCTATTATCATTATTATCATTTTTTCCTAATAAAAAATCGATTGATCTACATTAGTTGTAGAAACAAATTGAACATAAGTAATCTCTAACGACCAAATGTATTCAAATAGCTGGATACCATGTCCAGTTAGTTTTACATCTAATGTAAATCTAATCGATTTTAAACTAATTTAAATTTTAATGCAGATAAATTCAAAAATAAAACAAAGAAAGAATAGAATACATATCTTTTCTGATTTTTCTTCTATTGGCATCTTTTGCTTTATTTTGTAACAAAAAAATTAACCTGAAAAAATATTAAAAACAATACGTTAGATTCCTGTTTCAATTAGTTTTGCTATTATTATTATTATCATTTTTCCTAATAAAAAACCGATTGATAAAACATTAGTTGTGAAAACAAATTGAACATATGTAATCTCTAACGACCAAATGAATTCAAATGGTTGGATACCATGTCCAGTTAGTTTCACAGTTAATGTAAATCTATCGATTTTAAACTAATAAATGTTTTTAATGTGAATAAATAAATAAAAAATAAAAGACTAAAAAACTTATCTTTTTCTGAGTTTACTTTTCTCAGCGTCTGCTTTGGCGTCTGCTTTGGCGTCTGCTTTGTGAGAGCTGCTCGTTGCAATTGCAAGATCATCTTCACCAGGATAACACTGCAAGGTAGCATGCAAGTAAAACCATGTATAAGAAAGTTATGTTACATGTCTTACACCATCATTACAAGTCTTGAAATTCTTCTAAGTGCAAAAAAGTTTCTCAACGCTAAGACGTCAAACGAATAAAGAACTCAGGAGATGTTGAAACGAAGAGACTGACCCTTCCCATAAAGTTGATCAACATAGAGCAAATTTCTCGGGGTCCTCAGCTCTAACAAAATGCTGTGATATTCTGACCATGTCGTGCCAGATATATATATGAAAAAGTCAGATCATTAAATGTAAAACGTTATAATCAAACGTTCACAAGAGGATTCCAAAGTAAGTACAGCCTATATCTCTATAGATTATATATGTAATAACAAAAGAAGGAAAGCTGAACAAACCAGGCCGTGCTTTAGACTCTAGTGAAAAGAGGATATCAAGAGCTTCAGAGCCGTAACGTATCTGCAAGCAAAAAAGGCTTCAAGTGTTATAAATCGAAACAAGAATCCGATTTTCAACCAATTATCAGAATCCAAAAAAGTAAAAAAAATGAAGAATCGAGTAAAAGTCAATTTCAGTATCAAACACAGAGCAAGGCTAAAACGAGATGTACGCATTTGTATACTGGTAATCATAAACATCACTCAACTCAGCAGAAAAGGTGGATCCGTGCATTGGTCTATAATATAGGCAACAAAGAAATATATCACTGCTCATGATTGTATAATAACATCAAGATAAACTGAAAAACATGAGACTGCAAGTCCATGCTACAAAAGTTTCCTCTTTAAACTAATGTAGACAAGACTGGAGCATATACAACATAACTCGGATATATAACTTTTGGGAAAGAACTCTCACCTAGAATTAGGCAACTTGGCATTGACCGCACTATCATCGTCTTCAGCATGATGTTTGTAGGACCAAAATTCGAGAAGAACCAAAAGTTGGAGGTGCAAGAACCCTTTTAACAGGAAGTAAGAAAACAGCCACGAGTGAGAAAATTGTTACCGAAAAATGTCTGCAGATCAGGTAAGAATTTATAAAACTACATATCCTTGCCTGCTCGAGTGGTAAGAGATTTGAGCATCTTCCTTCACCGCAGGATCTGAAGGATCAGCGTCAGCAGAATGTCGATTTAATGTGGGAGAAACTTGTGAGAAAGACGAACACACGTACCATTCAAGTAAGCAAAGGATAATGCAGTCTCGAACAGAAGTTATAGTATCAAACACAGAGCAAGGCTAAAAAGTGGCAGATGCTTTAGTTATCTCTACACTACGAACTTCAAAAACAGGTCTAGTTGCAGGATCTTCAGTTAATTTGAGCAATCTCTAATGAGTGAGGACATCTTCTGCTCTCTCAACATTTACATCCAGAGAATATTTAAGTGAAACATTATATAGCCAAGACGAGAAAACCTACAAATATACACGTTTTAAGAAACGGCAGAAGAAGTGTACGAAGTTTCAATGTTATTCAAAACAGTAACGTTATAAATCCAATTCAGATGGGACAGATAGTTGTCGATGTGTATGAACAAAACGCATCACACTAGTACAAACCAAATTAGGACAAAGTGATGAAAGAAAATTTAATGACCAAAGTAGACAAACAAGTCGCAAACCCTGATCTCATTGCTCCAAAACCCAAAGATTAGTAAAGAAAAATAGTAATTAGTGAAGAGATTACCGAGCAGAAAGACGGTTGAAATGGAGCTAGAGCTGATCATCGAAATCAGGGAAATTGGCTTCTTCATAATTGGAATCCTGGATTCGCAGTAGAACCTCGCCGTACACCTCGAGTTTCATACGATGCGGTCTAGGGTTTTCCTTAGACATAGAAACCACGACGGCTCTGATTCTGCGACTCTCCTCCGTCTCCTCCTTGATCGCCATCGGACAAAATTCACAGGCGGATCAGAAAAACGCGAAGCAATTTCAGTAAACAAAAACCAAAAATCAAACATGACGATCTCTTCTTCGATCCAAAAGCACAGAAAGGAGAATGATCCAAGATTTAGCAGCTAAAAATAAAAAAAAAAAATATGAGAGAGATGTTTCCGTTGAGAGCCTGGGAGGACATTAAACGCTTCGTTGTGTGACACGTAGGGCTTGTCCACGTCATCATCTAACCGTTAGATCATAAAAGCTGTCTCGCTTTATATTTTGCTTTTCTAAAAATCAAACTTTTATAAACTAAAAATACAATGACTGTTATTATTAATTGATATGAACGGCACGGTGTTTTGTTCATCGATAAGGGTACTATTGTTATTCCACCAACAAACTGGTTGAAGTAAATGAGCCAGAGAGGCCCATTTTGATCTGAAAGCCATACCCGTGACCCAGCCCACCCTATATGAACCCGACCCGATAATCTCTCTTTCATCTCAATTTTGAAAAAATTATCTCGGCGACAGTATCCATGGCTCCTCGCAGTCTGTGTGAATCGAGGAGCTTAGTTTATAGAAGATTGTAGGCATTGATTCTCCCCTTTCTGAGAATCTCTCGCAAAATCTCTTTACAGATACTCAAAATATGGAATTTGCAGAGGCTTACAAGCAGACGGGACCTTGCTGTTTCTCCCCAAACTCTCGTTACGTCGCCGTCGCCAATGATTATAGTCTCGTGATCCGAGATACTTTTTCGTTCCAGGTAACCACTAGTTAGATTCGATCTTAAACCCTTGATTTCGCTTTGAAATCGGAGGCAGAATTGCAAATTTTAGCTAGGAGATTTTGGATCTTACAAAAAATTTTTTTTCTTCAAATGCAACTAGATCTCGTACTTTAAATTGGGTATAAGCTACTTGATTCTGATTAATTTTGGAAAGTGGAACCTGAGCACTTTTCATTTCTCTAATCAAGGAAAAAAAAAAGTAAGCACAGAACCGCCGGTTGAAAAGATGCCGCAAAATAAGAGCGGGGCGGGCTTGGGCTTTCGGCTTTTATGTCCGCAACCCGCACACTACGGACAAGCCCACTTGAATTGAAGAAGCCTCTCTCTCTCTCTCATCCGTAGACACATTCAAACCCTAACTTAGCGAGAAAGTCTCCAGTTCTCTCCGTCGAATCGAACTTTGGGCATGGAAGATTTCTCCGGTAAGATCTCTCTCTCTCCATCTCTTACCCGAAATTGCTAGTTAGATTTCATCTTTATATCGTAATTTGTTGATGCCTTTTGTCCCTTTTTGTCAAGACAATGAAACGTTCGTCTTCTGGAACTCGGAGGACTACCCACTCCCTTCTAGTGCCGACGATCTTTGTTCTATGCGTCCTAAAATCGAAGAAGCTCTTTCTAGAATGGGCTTTCGTGGGTGCGTGACTATCGGGGCGTATGGTGACCATCTAAAGCACGGCGAAGATGAGTTGGAGAAGGCCGAAATCACTTACTACTTATCAGAAAGTAAATTCCTATTTCATAACACTCTTGCTCGTTTCTATTTATGACATTGTCTCTAATGGACATCTCTGTTGATATATAGCTACAGGGGGTTACAAGTCGGCTCTTGTCAAGATGTCGCCTGATTTCCAAATTCCTCTGGACATGATTACTTGGGCACAAGCGTGTCACGAAGCAAATATAGTGGTGATCGCAAAACAAAGCCCAGAAAGTGAGTGGCACAGGGTTCTTCAGTGTTTGAAATCCAGAAACCACACCGTACTACAGCCGCCTGATGTCACCGCACATCATTCTCTAGAATCACTACTTGAATGTACACGAGTTTTATGTAAAGGAAAGCCTACATGTAACGAGGAGGATGATAGCCCCCAAATCTTGGAAGATGTCTCCAAGATCCAAGATTTCTCCGGTAAGACCTCTCATTGTTTGTATTTCATCTGTCACAGTAAACTAATGGATACCGAACCTATTGCATCTGTATTTCGTAACTCTTTATGAACCTATTGCAGAGCGTACCACTCCCGTCAAAGGAGATCATAAGGCAGCCGTCTTCTGGGACGTCGTGGATTGCCCATTCCCTCCTCTTTGTTCCGATCCTGATGAGATCTATGACAAAATCAAGAGAGTTCTTAATGAAACGGGCGATGATATAGGTGAGGTATCAATCTGGGTTTATGTTGATGAGAAGAACGGGTCTTGGAGTGGCGACTATCTGTGTAAGAAGACGTGGGATAAAAGAATCTACTTTCTTCCCGGAGGTGAATTCTCCCTCCAAACACTCTCTTCTTATATGTATGTTGTTGTTATCTACATCTCAGTTCCGGTGATATATGTATATACTATTTTCCAGGACCCTCGAGACCCCAAAGAATGTTAACTGACCTTCTTTTATGGACAAGGGACTCTTTTGAAGACCCCAAAGGGCAGCCTGTTACACCAAAACTGATCGTAGTCTCAGGTCAATTCACAGATGACACCTACTTCTTCAGCAGGCTTGAATTTTTCTGTGACTGGCATTACTGGGTTCTCTTAGCCACTCCTACTCGGGACGACATCAAAGATCCATGTAGATCTGAATGGCCAAAATTGATATTCGATGAAGCATACGTATTTGAGCCTCCTGTCCACAGACAGCATAAAGAGGATACACAAGTCTTCTGGAACTTGGACGACTACCCAATCCCTGACGGTGCCGATGTTTGTTATTTTCGTCGTAATATCGAACAAGCGCTTCCGACATTGGGCTTTGCTGGGTACACGAACTTCGAGGCGTATGGTGACCGTATGAACCACGGCAGAGCTCTGATGCGGGAGGCCGAAATCAAGTACCACATACCGGAACGCTGTGACAAAACGGCTGTTTTCAAAATGCCTGTGGATATGATTATTTGCGCAGCCAAGAGGGGACCATCAAATTTTTTAATAATCGCAAAACAAAGCCCAGAGAGTGAGTGGCGCAGGGTTATTCAGTGTTTGCTATCGAGAAATCACACTGCTATCGTAGTGGATGACACCGCACAAGAAAGGCTATTTGGTTCTTTGGGATCAGTACTTGAATGTACACGAGTTTTAAGTAGAGCGAATCCTACAAGCAACAACCCCCAAATCTTGGATTTCACCGGTAAGACCTCTCATTGTTTGTTTAGATTTCATCTCTCATAGTATAATAATGCATCTGTATTTTCGTAATTCGTTTTTATGCCTTGCAGAGCGTATCACTCCCGTCGAAGGGGATAATACAGTCGTCTTCTGGGACGTCGTGGATTGCCCATTCCCTCCTGATTGTTCCCACCCTGATGTGATCTATAGCAAAATCCAGAAAGCTCTCCATGAAAGGGGCTCTGTAGGTGAGATATCAATATGGGTTTATGTTGATGAGAAGAATGGGTCTTGGAGTGGTGAGTATCTGCGTAACAAGACATGGGATTCCAGAATCTACTTTCTTCCCGGAGGTGAGAATTCTCCCTCCAAAACACTCTTTTCTTATATGTATGTTGTAATCTATATCTCAGTTCCGTTGATATATACTATTTTCCAGGGGCCTCGAGACCTCAAAGAATGTTAGATGACATGTTTTTGTGGGAAATGGACTGTCTTGTGGACCATCCCGATCCAGCAAATATGATCGTAGTCTCAGATGAAGCCAGAAAGGGCACGGATTTCTTCAGTAGACTTGGATATTTGAAGTCGAGTTCAAGTGTTTGCTTAGTAACTCCGACTCAGCACGTCAACACACCAGAAAGCCCCGAGTGGCCAGGATCGCTATTAGCCCTTTTTCGTTCCGAAAGCAAACGCTCAGAACCTCACACAGAGCATGAGGTCGAAGAAAAGATCCAAGTCTTCTGGAACTCGGATGAGTACCCACCCCCTGAAGGACGCAATGTTTTTGAGATGGGTTCGGTTATCGGTGAACATCTTGAAGAAATGGGCTTTCGTGGGCTGCCGGAAATCTGGGCGTATGGTGACCGTCTCAACCTCAGCGCAGAGGACTTGCGGGAGGGCGGAATCGAGTACCACTTACCCGCAAGTATATTCCTATACTCATAACACTCTCTTGACGTTTCTAGTTTTGATATATGTCTCTAATCCCAAACATCTCTTTGTTGATATATATATATATATAGGTTCAGGGGGTGACAATTCGGCTAGTTTCAGAATGCCTCTGGATATGATTTTTTGCGCAGCCACGAGGGGACCATCAAAAATTTTGGTAATCGCAAAACAAAGCCCAGAAGGGGAGTTGCAGAGGGTTCAGCAGTGTTTGAAATCGAGAAATTTCACCCTTCTCGTAGTTGTAGATGACATCGCACAAAAACGTCCATTTTGGCATGAAGAATCACTAGCAGTTTTAGGTGGAGAAACCCCTGGACAAGTTTTATGTATAGGAATGCCTATAAGCAAAAGTCTAGACAGTTTTTATTCTGACGCTAGCTCCCAATTCGATATCTCGAAGATGGAAGATTTCTCCGGTAAGGCGCCGAAATTGTTTGTTTAGATTTCATCAAATAATGGTTAATGGATCATTGTATCTTTATTTATTTCGTAATTCGTTGATGGCTTGCAGAGCGTATCACACCCGTCAAAGGAGATCACAAGACAGCCGTGTTCTGGAACTTGAAGGATTACACGCTCCCTTATTGTTCCAATCCTGATGTGATCCATAGCAGAATCGAAAACGCTCTTCGTGTTTCGGATATTGGAGGTGATATGTCAATCTGGGCCTATGTTGATGAGAATAACGAGTCTTGGGGGCGTGAGCATCTGTGTAAGAAGACGTGGGGAACAAGAATCTACTTTCTTCCCGGAGGGGCCTCGAGACATGATAGAATGTTAAATGACATTCTTTTATGGGTAATGGACTCTCCTCGGGACCATGCTCATCCAACAGATGTGATCGTAGTCTTAAATCAAGTCGAAGAAGATGCGACGTTATTCTTCCGGATGCTTGGATATTTAGAATCGAGACGTTGCCGTGTTTCTTTAGCAGCTCCGACTCAGGACTTCTACACACAAGGAAATCCTGAACGGCTATTCGATGTAACAAACCTTTGTGGTTCTGATAGCGAAAGCTCAGAACCTAATCCCAAAAGAGCAAAACATGAGGCGGCCGATGAAAGGCGTCATCAGGGCTGATGCTGATTATGTGGACTAAGCTAGCTTTTGTTCGTAGCCGTGCGTGTGCCCGTTTTGCTTGCGGGTATGCGTCACAAGATCTCTACTTATATCAAAAACTACTTCCTTATTTAAACAGAAAACTGTAATGTTAATTTTATTACTTACCTTATATTAATGGGTTTGACTTTCTCGAACAAAACAAGTGTCAATTTCTACTAATCTGTTACGTGAATTTTAGTCAACATCTCTGTCGGTAAACATATGTCACGTACAAGAAAACACAACAATTTTAAGAAACTACAGACCTTTTTCAAGCTCACTCTCTCATGAGAAGAGAAACATAACATAAAACGCAGAGCTCTCTTATGTAAGATGTTCAGCACACATTTTAAATCTTATCACTTTGTATATACATTTTCTGAGTTTTGTTTGCTGAGGAGGTTTCTTCTCACTTTCACGCAGGTCGGTTTATTAATTGTTGATGGATGTTAATATAATGCTTTGATTTTTTTCATCAACAAAGCCGTCGAGGATGGATTTATTCTTCCAGCCGCTCTATATATTATTGTATCTGCGCCAACTGCAAAAGAGTTATTAAAAAAATTAGAGGTACAACTAAGAAACAATATGGATTTAACCATAATTTGGACCAGCTATATCTGGTTTAATTTGGTAATCAAGCCACTAGATCGAATAATTGAACAAGTGTTTTCCTTGTTTTTCTTACTATCTCACTAGTTGGTACCTGAAAAATAATTTAGTACTGTCTACACCCAGTACTAGACCGAGTTTGGTTTTAACAATGCTGATCAAAGTTGATTGGTTTATTGCAGGAATACGTGCCTCAACACAATAAATGATGCGTTAAACTTGAGCTTCGAGACGATTTGTGACGAAAAGTCTTCTCGATAATTTAATATTTAACTAAATTTTGGATTGAAATAGGGAGTACAATTTGCATATACATTTTCTGAGTTTTGTTCATATCAGAAATTTCGGTTCATCCTTTTGTAATATATTATAAACTAGTGCACTGTGTTTAACTTTCAGTGAATTCATGTACGTAAACGTTTGTTGTGTTGGAAATATATATCAGACTGTTTGGCAAAAAAAAAAAAAGATATATATATTAGACTTTTTGAGATTTTTTTTGTCCAACGGTTGTGGATTTAAGAAGTTGTTTTGACATTTCGGATGACATCATAAGACTACATTAATTTTGTTTTTATCAAAGCGTACACACACAATTGGTTTAGCAAGAAAATATCGTGAAATCACAACTTCACAAGGTTGAAAGGTGGGTTGATTTTTTTTTAAACAAAAAAAGATGCGAATAAATGAGAGATTCATTTCAGCTGAGTCGATTACTATGAGATGAAATTTTATGCTTTAAAACACTATAAAATGAGAACACAAGCTTTTTTTTACATAACATAGCAAAATGAAAATGTTTGCCCAAAAAAATTTTCGTTTGATAATTTGAATTTCTACTGGAATAAATACAAAGATGATCAAACTGTTGGTCATCTTACGTAACATACAATTTTTTTTTCTTGGTGGGCATCTTTTATAAAGTGACCCATACTATTAGTTTTTTTTTTCTTTTTTTCTTTTCGTAATTGTGTAGTATGTAATGAAATACAATTCCCCAACGTTACGAAAGATGATATCGATCAATAAAAACGAAATTATTAGACTACAGTCGCTTCAAACAGTAATCAATTTTGCTCCACAAATCTTGGTAACACTGTGTTATTAACACATTTAAACTGTGTAAGTTTTGCTTTTGAATCTCCAATGACTGATTAATCATAGTAAATCATTATGAATGTGTTGATAAAACCGATTAAATTTACTTCAAAAAAAAATTAACTGAGGTACAACTTTCTCACAAGTCCTGACTCCTGAGCCAACTATTCTTTAATAAAGTGTTACTAAAAAAAAAAATACTCTTTAATAGCAAAAATAAAAACCATAACACAATCTTGAATTCTCCATATGTGTCTCCTCCTAAACCAGCCCTGATTCGATCTTATTCTTACTGTCTCCACGAAGTAACTCTACTAGATTCTATGACACCGCGTGAAGCTGCCGTGTTCCTTAAGGCAATGGGTTTTCCTTCGACCACGAAAATGGACATTGTGAGATCTTCGGTGAGAACAGTATGAATGTGTTCCACGAGGCGTTCCCAAACGTTTCATTTCACTCTACATTGGCCACCGAGGAAGAGCTTTCGACTATTAAACCTTACCCGAACAGATTAGCTGCTCTTGATTACAGTTTAGCACTGTTTTCGCTTATACTTATGATGGAAACATGGCGAAAGCGGTTCAGAGTCACTGGAGATTCGAAGGTTTTAGAAAAACGATTAACCTCGATATGTACGGTTTTGTTTCTTGCGTGATGAATCCCTTTTTCCCTTACGCTTAAGACTGACATTTTATTTTTGTGCTTTTCAGGCTAAGATTCGGGAAATTAATTGATCGGCTCGATGCGGGACACATGTCCTGGGAAGATTTATCGTTGGAGGTTAAGAGAATACATCGGAAAAGATTAGGAGCTCCGTATCTTAGACGGCCAGGAAAGGCAGGTCCAAAGCCGGAGGATGTTTTTTTATGCAAACCCTCTTCCAGGTTGCTTGTGCGACACGTCTGATGAACAAACAGGTCTGAACCGGTTTGAAAGACCAAGTTTACGAGCAGTCTCTAAGATAATCAGATAGAGGGGTTCGAGTTGGTGGTACACACGAGGGAATAACATGATTTTTGATTTCTGTAATTAGGAAATTATATTCTAATGATAGTAGGAAATTAGAGAAATACAGGAAAATTTTGTGGACTCGGATGTGAAATACGAATCATTACTCTTACTGTCTTACCAATAAAGATGAGATCAACCGGGAAACTTTTTTTTATCTCAAACTTAAATTGAGCTTTAATATGGACAAGATTCTTAATTTGGAAAACGAAAATGGAGCTAAATCTCAATCTCTATAATAAAGATGATATCTAATAAACAACTCAATTTGATTCGAAACCAAAACCCTATCAAACTAATCGATAGGTTCTTAATTTAGTAACTATTGTTTTCAAAAATAATTCCAATAACCGAATAGTCTCAACCACAATCAAAACGAAAATCAATATTTGAAAACATTCTATAGTTTGAGGGCGAATAGAAAAACCAATAACTAGTACATAATCCATACATAAGGTCATACTTAAACAAACATATTAAGTTCTCAAGTTCCTCTTCTCTCAATATCTCCGGCTAGCTTTGTCTGTTCTCAAGTTCCTCTTCTCCTGAGGGTTTGTGCTGTATCACAAAGCAATACATAAATGAAGTTCAGTTAGTGCATATTATTATAACTTACAATTGCAAAATAAGTTAAATAACATATACCTCTACTAGTGCTTCGGAAAGGACTCCCGCCATTTATCATAGTATGGGGATCCCTGAACTCCAAACTCTCGTCCTTAGACTTCCAATACCAAGTAGCCTCAGCATTTAAACTGAGATTCATGTCAGAATTTTCAAGCAAAGCAATCATAAGATAGACATCAGGTTCAGCATACAATAGCTTCATGGTCTCAAGGAAATCCTTGTCAGCAATAAGAACTTGGTAACTTCAAGTGATCCATTAAGTGATACACCGTGCATATTGATTATAGCACGCACATCAGCTTCGTCAGTTGTTCTAAGGAGTTGTTCTGAGAAAGAAAAAAAAACAAAAGAACCAATTTCATAACCGTATAAGCATGGATCATATAAACACAAGAAGCATAAAGAACCAATTTCATAAGAAAATGATAAAAAGTCAAAAGATTTTTTAACCTTTATGAGTGTCAGGATCTTCTGTAACCCATTGTGTAACCCATTCTTCACATTCATCTTCTCTACACTTTATGTTTGCCTTTGATATCTGTTTGATTGTGAAATCATTCCCACATCTGCGAATTTTGTTAGCCTTCGATCCTCCTCCAGGTCCATGTAATATTATTTGACCTCCTACCCTAAAATCAGGGTTGTGTTTCTTCAGAGCACATTCGATTTGGCCCTTGAGATTGTGAATGTCATAGAAATCAGGAATCCAAGTGTTCTCATCGTCCCAGATGCAAGTTATGGGTATGTCTGACATTGTGTAAACACCTAGAAAACAAACAATTTATCAACTCATAACTGGATTTTATCCCTGACCAAATAGATTTCAACACATAGCTAAAGTTGGATCTGTAAACGAATCAATCGGATCAAGGAATAGACGAAGAAGAAGGCCGAGAAAACCTAGCAGGCAGGCTAAGATCTAAAAAAACATCAGCGAATTTTAAACCGGAAACCAACATTAGCAACGGAGAAGAAACAATTTATCAACTCATATCGGATTTTCTCACTAACCAAATAGATTTCAACAAATAGCGAAAGTTAGTTCTGTGAACGAATCAATCGGATCTAGACGAAGAATAAGGCGGAGAAAACCTAGCAGGGATCTAAAAAAACAGCAGGCGAATTTTAAAGCGGAAACCAACATTAGCAACTGAGAACAAAAATGACAGAGAGAGAAAGAGAAGAAATTAACCTTGCTTTGAGAGAGCTAGAGACAGATCGGTGGGGAGAGAGGAACCCGATGAACAGAAAGCATAGACGAGGAAGAGAGGCAAAGGTCGCGATTTGTTACCGGAAACCAGAAAAGGAATAGCGAATATTGTGCTGCTATAGGGAACAATGTTAATTATGTGTCCTCCTCGCCATTCGTCGTGTGAAACGTGGCACTATTTTGTATTTTTTTTAAACCCGATGGAAGTAATCATTAATCTGCCAATGTGATTTCTATTATTTTTTGACAAAAGTTGCTAATGTACTGCTGTAAATATACTTAAACTTTATTAGCTAGTATGTTGTAATAGACAAAACATTACTTTTCACAAAGAAGATTAGAGTCATATTTGCAACACAAAACATATTTATAATCTGCTAATGTAATTTTATTATTCTTTTAGTGTGATTCTACTGCAAAAATATGCTTCAATTGTATTAGTATGTAACAAACAAAACATTAGTTTTCACAATTTGGATTATCATTTTCAAAAAATTCGAGATAACTGTTTGTTTGTATACAAAATAAACAGATGTTGCTTTAGCTTTGTTTTCGAAAGAAATTTTTTTTTTTCTTTTAAGTTTTTCTTACATTTTTTTTACGGGATTCTTAGAAGCTGTAAAATTGTAAAAATTACATACATTATACTATTATGTACTAAGATGAGGGATCATTAAAGGACGAAATACTAGTATTAGTATTAAAAAAAATATCAGAGAATAGGAGCTGGCGAATTCGGTAGATAACACATAAACATGAAATGATTTAACAATATCGTCACCTACCACGATGTTTGAAATTGCGTTTCTGGGGTATCGAACTCGAATTGATAACCATGAAATCATTATCTTTCACCACCAGACTGAAGACATATTTTGAAAAAAATGGGCCGAAATATTTTATATAAATAGAGGACCGCAATCATGGGCTTCGTCTGCTTGGGCTCAAGGCCGTGCCTGACTATAATATACGAGTCTCTCTCACAAAGTCATAATGACAACAAAATTACGAAAGATCCAATTGCAAATCAACACAGACATGAATTGATTTAAACGTCACTAGCCTCGATGTTTTGAGCTTACCTTAGCCCCACTATACATTTTTACTATTTAAAATCAACTTTCACGTACGTAGGCTAACGACGGCGTTTGGTTATTTTAATGAAAATGCAGATATATCATATATGGTTTGACAAGGTGTTTCTTTTTTCTTCGTTTGTTTTGCTATTACTTTGGGCGCTTTCCTTTCCTTTCTCTATATGTTGGATATAACTTGGTAACTTGGACTTGTATTTTACAAGCTCTCATTGACACGCTCCTTTCGACTATGGCTCTAACGTTTCGTCCTGACTGGAATCTCACTATTTGTTTGACCAGTGGAGTTCAGATATCTAGCATCTGCTATCTCTGAGGTCTTTTGGCTCTGTTTCTTAGTATTAACTTTAATTTTGCATACAAAATTATTAAATTATAAATACAAGTGTTAGTTTTAATCAAATGACTATTATTATAACAACTTATTGTCTTGCACGAGGAAAGCTATATTTTGACTAAAGAACAGTGACCTAATCAGATATATGTATTTCAATAAAGCGAAAGGGCTCTCTCTCTCTCTCTACTATTTCAATAGAGTAGGAACTGCCTGGAACTTCATCCAGAAGCTCGTCGTCTTCCTCTTCGTTGATCACTGCAACCGAACAATCAGTCTCCTGAAATAACAAACAGAGCCAAAATTTTAACGGATCAGTTATAATTTATAAGAATAACGTGGAGATACGCTACACAATGAGTCTTGCAATGTGTTGTAAAAAGTTCCCATTTCAGTTCAACATGTCTCTTTAATCATACCTTTCTTTCCTCAGCCAAGAGATTTGTTTGGTTTGTATTGTTTCTGAGTTCCTTTAAAGTGTTTTTGAGTTGCTCCCTGGCTTTGGACCGTATCAGTTTACGTTCTGCGCATTGACCTGCAGTGACATCGGCATGACAAGCGACACAAAGCGTCCTCATGTTCTCTAGCCGGCACTCGCCTACCGAGTGATCCAAATTTCATGAAAACTTGCTCAGTCAGTTGAATGCACAATTGAAATCATGTATATGCGACATTGTTAAGAACGATGCCTATTGAGTCGTCGAGTGAAGAAGACTGTGGCTTACCTCCACCTCGGTACACTGGAATGATATGATCCCCATGCCATGCATTTCCCTCGGTTGGATCATTAACCAGGGTTTCGAGCCTTTGACATTAGAGGTGAAAATTTAAAAAGTTGAATTGCATAGAAATTTTGTATGTCCAAATGCAGTAATTTAGAAGCAAAAAAAACTGAGTTTAAATGGCTTACAAGTTTTTCCGGCCAAACAATTCTGGAGCAACTTTCTTTATGTATTCACGGCGTTTTACCAGCGGTAAAGGCTTTATCCGTCTGACAAGTTGGTGGCAATCTAAGTTACAGTTTGTGCAAATTCCATGTTCTATCTGAAAAAGCTCCTGATATTTGAAAACTTACACCTCTTAGTGATTCATTAAAGGAACAAAGGATATGAAACTTAGTAAATCAAAACCCTATCCGCCTTAACGTAATGAAAGAGTTGCCAGGACAAACCTGGCGAATATATCTGCCGCTTGTTCTTGTCCGATAACTTTCATAGCATGCAAGATCACAGAAAAGATCCTCAAAATACTCGGGCTCTTTCATTTCAATTTTGAAAAAAATTAGCTCGGCGACAGTATCCATGGCTCCTCGCAGTCTGTGTGAATCGAGGAGCTTAGTTTATAGAAGATTGTAGGCATTGATTCTCCCCTTTCTGAGAATCTCTCGCAAAATCTCTCTACGTATACTCAAAATATGGAATTTACAGAGGCTTACAAGCAGACGGGACCTTGCTGTTTCTCCCCAAACTCTCGTTACGTCGCCGTCGCCAATGATTATCGTCTCGTGATCCGAGATACTTTTTCGTTCCAGGTAACCACTAGTTAGATTTGATCTTAAACCCTTGAATTCGCTTTGAAATCGGAGGCAGAATTGCGAATTTTGCTAGGAGATTTTGGATCTTACAATAAAAAACTTTTCTTCTAATGTTCAAATGCAACTAGATCTCGTACGTTAAACTGGGTATAAGCTACTTGATTCTTGTTAATTTTGGAAAGTGGAACCTGAGAGATGGTTTATAAGATCGTTGAAGTTTTTTTTGGGATCTTATGAACATGTGATGAATGTGAAGCGTATCTGTAAATGCAGGTTGTGCAATTGTTTTCTTGCTTAGATAAGATAAGCTACATAGAATGGGCCCTTGACTCTGAGTACATTCTTTGTGGCCTCTACAAAAAGCCGATGATTCAAGCTTGGTCATTGACACAACCAGAATGGACTTGCAAGATTGATGAAGGTCCTGCTGGTATTTCATACACTAGGTGGAGCCCAGACAGCCGCCATATACTCACAACCTCGGAGTTTCAGCTGCGGTTAACAGTTTGGTCCCTCCTGAACACGGCGTGTGTTCATGTTCAATGGCCAAAGCATGGCTCCAAGGGAGTTTCGTTCAATCAAGACGGGAAGTTTGCAGCAATCTGTACACGGCGTGATTGCAAGGACTACGTAAACCTCTTGTCTTGTCAATCATGGGAGATTATGGGTAGCTTCGCTGTTGACACCTTGGACTTGGCTGATCTTGAGTGGTCACCTGATGATAGTTCTATTGTAGTCTGGGATTCGCCTCTTGAATACAAAGTATGCATCCTTTTGATCTTGATGCTACTTTTGAATTTGGAAATTGGTTATGTTTGGTTTTGTCGGTCTAAAGTTTGTATAAATCTTTGGGCAGGTTCTAATATATTCTCCAGATGGTAGGTGTCTATTTAAGTATCAGGCATATGAATGTGGACTTGGTGTGAAGACTGTTTCCTGGTCTCCATGTGGTCAGTTTCTTGCCATTGGTAGCTACGACCAGATGTTACGGGTCCTGAATCACCTTACTTGGAAAACATTTGCTGAGTTTTTACACCTATCTACGGTTCGTGCGCCCTGTTGTGCTGCTATTTTCAAGGTAGGGCCTTTCCCATTCCTTGATCAAGAAAAGGTTTCTAACAACAGGACAAATGCTCTTTGTCAACTCAGGCGTGTATTGACTTATATTGTTCAATACTTTTTCTCTAGGAAATCGATGAACCCTTGCAGCTCGATATGTCTGAGTTATCGTTGGATGACAACTTTATGCCAAGCAATTATGGTAACCACGGTTCCAAACCTGTCCTTTGCTGATAGGGACATCTTCCGTAACGCCCTTGTTGTCTGTAATCGTTACAAAAATACACTTTTCAATCATTTCTTGTTTTTTTCGTGTGATTCTGTGTCCAGATGGTTCGGAAGGCTATATTAGTGTCAGGTATGACGTCATGGAATTACCGGTGGCTTTGCCTTTCCAGAAACCTCTCGCAGACAAGCCTAACCCAAAACAAGGAGTTGGTAAGCTCTTACGTTAGAAACTGCAATCGGATCTGGAGAACTCTGCGTCTTTTTGTATTTAACTTCCAAAAGCTAATAAACTCTTTCAAAATATTCTTAGGCCTTTTGTCTTGGAGCAAAGACAGCCAGTATGTATGCACAAGAAACGACAGTATGCCCACTGCACTATGGATATGGGACATGCAACGCCTCGAGGTTGCAGCCATACTGGTCCAGAAGGAACCCATCCGAGCCGCTGCGTGGGACCCAACCTGCACCAGACTACTCCTATGCACCGGAAGCTCTCACCTCTACATGTGGACTCCCTCGGGTGCCTTCTGTGTATGCAATCCTCTCCCTGGCTTCTCCATAACCGACCTCAAATGGAACATTGACGGAAGCTGTCTCCTTCTCAAAGACAAAGACGCCTTCTGCTGTGCCACTGTCCCGCCTCTGCCTGAGTCCAGTGACTACAGCTCTGATGAATGAGGATTCCTTATGTATTTCTTTGTAAAAGCTGCAGCCTTGTGTCTCTCAGTTTTAAGAGTGTTGGGACGTGAAAAAACAGAGCTTTGTTGACATTGATGTTTCTCTTACTTCTACAAACTTTGTTGGATACTTGATGGTTGATGGTCAGCTTTGGCACCAGCACCTCGGTCACTCATCTGCTGCCAAGATACAATACATGTTTGATGTCTTACATTTGTCCAAGTAGAGTCTCTCGAACTGGTTCATCTTGATGTTTGGTATTTTTTTAGAGTTGAGTCTGTTGATGGTTTCAAATACTTTCTGATTTTTGTTGATGATTGTAATCCGTCTATATGTTACCTAATACAAGTGATGTTTGCAAAGTAAGCTTGTTCATACTCAATACAATTCGTTAGACAATATTAACGTTATGCAGATAAAGTCATGGCAAGTGCTAGTAGACAAAAAAAAAATCGTTTTATTCTCTGAAAATGTCATTTTCTAAGCAAACGACAGTGTTTGGCTTGGAGTCAGGACTCCCAGTCATGCTCTGTTTCTATGGGCGAGTGGGTCTGAATTGACAACAGTCCTGGAATCTGATCACATGCCCAACAAGTTCATCCGCAAACAGCTAAAGGTATTAACTAAAGTCCCTTAACACCACTGACTCTTTTTAGCCGAAGCTGGATTTGATTCTTCTCTCAAGGCATGCAACTTTTGATTTTAGGCAAGAGTTGGCCAAAGTGATACCAGCAATGGATCAGATAAGCTATGGCGGAGAGTGGTACCGTGAGCCACTTGGTACCTACTGGTCCTCCTTACATCAGAGAATGGAATAGGAAGGTCATGGTAAGTTTCTTCTCCTTTTCTCATGTCTCATTGTATCTCGGTGAAAAATTGATTCACTTTTTCTCGTACGTTTTGCAAATTTCGGTTTGCAGAGATTGTTCCGGATTTACTACAACCTTAGTGTTCGAGTAGGCCAGAAGGTGGAGAGGACAATCCCTGGTTTCAACACTATAATGGAAAAAGTCCAGAAAGATTATGACGCTCGGAGGATGAAGCGCAGGGAGGAGGAGATGAGAGAGGATGGGTTGATGCATAATTGCGGGCCGTAACGATGAAGATGACGAGGAGGAGGAGGACGACGATGAAAGTGACACCAAATGATGTAAGCAAAGTCTTGTGATGTTTATAGAGGAAAACATCATGTTGTTTTTTGCATTCTTCGCCAGCAATGTACGACTTCTTTTTGCTTTGGTGTGTAATGGGTGGGTAGTTTTTTCCTCGCATTTACACACACCAAGTCGTTTCGGCGTCTTCTGTAACATGGTTTGTTTTTCATTTTAACCAAAGTGCGACATGGCTTATCAGACCCAAAAAAAAAAAAGTAAAGAAGATACGAGTCAAACAAATCACGGGGCTATCAAAATCTCCTATGCCACTCCTTTGCCTTCAAAATCTCCTATGCCACTCCTTTGCCTTCAAAATCTCCTATGCCACTCCTTTGCCTCCAAACATAAGCTCTCAGCAGTAGCCAAAACAGAAAATGGAACAGGAGTTACAGTCTTTAAACACGGGTAAAGTGATTCCTCAAAGACCGGATCGGTTGAGAGTATGACCAGTGCCTTCATCCCCCTTCTTTTCAGATCCTTTGCGTGAGAACATATAGTGTTAACCAGTCGGATCTGGGTTAGAGTTGACTTTGGTGTCTGTTGTAACCCTGTTTCATTATCAGCAATACAAATTTTTAATCAAACTAAGTATTTAAAACAGACAAAATATTTAATTAGAAACAAATCTTACTCAATCTACCGAAATGATGACCGTCTCTAGATCGATAAACGCCTCCACTCCAATTTTGGGTGGGGAGTTCTTTGCGTCAACGGAGGACGAATCTGAAGTGACCGCAGAGCGAGAGCCACGCTGTTTGGCTCGTTTTCTACTCTTTGGGACCGAAAATCCATCATTACTGTCACTTGTAACAATCCTTGAACCGGCACAGAGTTGTCCGCCGCCAGAGATCGAGTCATAACCATCGCCCGGATGTTGCTTATGGTTAGAATTCGCAAAGGGTGTTGATGTTGGCTTACCACTGAAAGGGAAAGATCAGTTGAATAAAGCTTACCAATATTTGTGTTACCTATAAGCTACGTGTAAGAGAAGTTAGAATATAATTTAACAGAAAGAAACACGACGGAAGAAAATAGTCCGAGCAGAGTATTCTAGAAGATTCAATAGAACTACCTTTTACTTGGCATATTTGTGTCGCGAACCTCAGCAAGATGCTCACTTTTAACTGAAGTGCACCATAAAAAATATTAAGAAGCAGAGCAGAAGAGTATGAAATCAACGGTGTAAATGAGCGAAAAGAAACCTGTAAGAATTTTAGGCTGGGAGTCAAGCTTGACTGTAACATCAGAATAGCGTAAAGCTATTACACGGCAGAGATACCCCTTCAATGGACCCACACGTATCCTGAGCTTTTGTCCTATAGAATACATGCTACCCTTGTCTCCTTGGTTCGCTGCATTAGGTAATCATTGGTGAGAAGCCTTAGAGGATTCATAGAAACTACATTATAATAATCCTCCATACAGGATACGTACAGTTAATGTAATTTTCCTTGGGCTGCCACTCTTTTTCAGGAGGTAGGGGCGATTTTAGGCAGGATGCAGAATCTCCAAAAGCTGAAGCATCAAATCCACCAGTCTGAGAAAAACAGAATGTCATCAAACACGAATATCAATCAATTGAATCAAAAGATAGCTGCAGGGACTGGGAAATCTTACATTCTCATTGGATTCGTCAGTAAAGAGATTAATCTTCTCACATGATTGTGATCTGCAGCACAAATATCCGCCATTTTCTTCCTCACTCTCAGCATAAAGAAATACGATACTTTTGTATATTTGCTTCACAACTGCTTGTTTACCCTGAATTTGTAATTTATGCATCATAAGTAGCAAGCTCTTACACAATGTTTTGTTCACGAAAAATGGAACAGAAACAAACTAAGTATAGTAAATTAAAATCACACCTCAGATGGGCCTTTGGAAATCTTCACAACATCATTGGTTGATATCTGTTTGTTATTCAGATCGAGGGCAGTGAATTTTGAATCGAACGGTCCACTCTGCATTTCCTTCTTTTGAACTCTGACTACAGCGGGTCCATCAGAACCTTCTTTTAGAACCTGAGATATATGCAGCTCATTAGAGACAGTCACAGACCATAGAGTTATATAAAGTGTTGAATAACTAACTACATACCTTGTAGCCGTCACCTTTGTCATCCACGCCCACAATTAAACCGAAGTCTTTTCGACTACAAATGGAAAAAAGATGAAGTGCTTAGCATATGAAAGTACAACAAAGACTCAAAGACTCGCAAAGAAGCACAATTATGGACGACTCCATACCTGAAACAAACTAGATTATATAGCTCATAGCTAATTTCTGACGTAGATCCTGATGAACCTTCTCCATTCCCACCCACACTGCCATCTGGAAGAATCTTTTTCTTCTTTTCTTCACCATACATTTCGGAAATCCACTCCATATCACCAGGTTCTTTATGTTCTGCAGGCGTAAATTTTGATGGTATAACCCCCCAGGAAGATAAATTTTCAGAGTGCGCAAGCCTTAAAAACTGGAGAGAAAAGCTGGAAACTAGAACCATAACATAGCTCAAACACAGATCAAACCCTAGTCTCGGAAATTAGCCATTCCGTGGATACAATGATGGACATTTTACCAGGTCAAAATCTCAGGTGCAAACAGAAAACAGACACAAATCACCAAATGTGACAAAAACGGAGCGCTCACAAAAGACGAAACGGACAATAACGAAGAAATTCAAGAAGAAATCAACTAAATCTGAGAAACTAAATTAGAAATTACCGCAGTATTCGTCGGAGCTCCCTCCAAAGTAACCAGCTTCGGCGGATTTCTCGAAGAGCTGAGGAAACGCGGGGGGTTTCCGCTTACTAATCCCCAGGCCTTCATCTCTGCATTCGACTCCTCCTTTCCGTTTTTTTCCGCCGGAAGACGTCGAATCAGTTCCGGGGAACTGTTTTCCCATCCACCTGCGATCCATCTTCTTCGCTTAGGGCTTTTCACACATACGAATTTCTCAGAGAGAGTGTGAAGAAGACGAGCTTTTTGGTTTGGGGATATTTTCCCACTTTTAGGGGTTTTTTTGTTTTTAAAATGTTCCCCTTTCATGCATATTCGTGGCACTTGGTGAATGGTGAAATAAACAAATTCTCAGTATATCAGTTCACTCTCTCATTTGTTATCCTCGGAAAAAGAGAAGCTACTTTCTGAAGAATAAACGGTGTCCTTTTAGTATATGAATGCTGACAATTGACAAATACTTAACGAATCTAAGTTTGAAATCCAACAGATACTACATAGTATCAAATTATGGTTAGTAACTCAAGAGCCATATCCTAAAAATATGCAGCTAAAGTTGTTTGATCAAAGTAACTTTTCATATTTTCATTGTCAAATACTTTCACATGCTCGTCATTGATATCCTTCTGCTCAAGCCAATGACAATATGATTAGAAACTTCATTGTCTCCTTGCATTATCAGCCTTCTACTCTTCGTGGCGACTTATTTCACATGTGAAAGAGTAATTGTGAGTTCTCTCACAATTGCTTACCCTTACGGCCACTCTCTTCGCTCGACCTATATTTGCTCTCTGTTTTCCTATTGTTTGAAAGTACTCAAAGCATCTTCAACGTATATAATCTATAAAAAATTATTATAATTTATTTATGTATTTAAAATTTAAATCATTAAAATAAAATAAAAGAAAGGAACAAATTAAAAATTGTCATGTGTATTGTCATATATGTAGATAGTTTTTAAAATTTTCAAATAAGAGACGGTTTTTCTTTTTTTCTTATTTTTTTTTCCTCTTTTATAATATTTTATTTTTTAGATACTGATTAAAATCCACCGATAAAGATAGTCTCATATTATTTCTTTTCAAGCTTTGTAAATAATTTTTTGTTAATTAATAAATATTACATTTTAGCGAAAACCAAGTATAGAGACTGTTTTTTATAAATGCATTCTCTTTTGTATATCAAATCAGAAACATTGTAAATTGTTAATGTGTCAATTGTGAAAATAATTTTAGATTTATTTCCTTTTTTGAAATGGTACTGTGATTCTATATAGAATAACGTTATAGTAATATTACATTTAAGGCATTCATTAATAAATAACATATTTGTCTAACATATTTTTTCTTAAATTCTTTTCATGTATTTAATGCTGATGTTTACATAGTTTTTTTCTTTCAAATCAGTAATTATTTTTGAAAGAAATTTTTGTCTTTTTATTGTTTTTTGCTCATGTTTATTTGCTCAATGTTGTTCTGATTAATGTTGTTTAAACAACGTATGCTGAAATTTTCATCACTAACCCCTTCCTCAAGCAACTGTAGGCATGTCCTTTAGGCGCGGATGTATTTTATTTTTTTCCATGAACCTTTTCGTGTAAATTTCGAACCAATATGACTTTGCATTAATGAAAGAAAAGCCCAAATGTATACTATAGCCTATATGACTTTGCATTATTGTTTTGTCTCCTCAATATCAAAAACTCAGCCCATAAATTAAGAGGTTATATAGGAGTGGAAACATTATAAGAAAAAAAACGCAGCAAAGAAAAAGAACCAAATGATCTTGTTTCAAGAAATTGGTCACAAGATATATAAGAACAGGCTTTTCCTCTAAATATAATATACATACAAGATTGTTCTAATAATTATGTTGGTATATAAAAAGAACCCCATTGTAAAAATATAAGAAAAAGATTGATAATTTAACAAGCTTTGTAATCAGCTCCACTCATGTTCTGACTCACGAGAACAGCCCAAAATCTAGGAACCAGAATCCATTTTTTGGTTCCATTTTTCTTTTTTTCCTACTTCCACACAGAACCCGCTTTTTTGCATTCAGCGGATTTCGAAGACTTATCTAACATTCCCTTCGTTAGACAGAGGTACGAGGTATGTAAACACACATATATTTGTAAACATTCTGATAAGTCATTAACTAACCAGTGATGAGTGATTGTTGAAGAGGGAAGGTTTTTGTCTTTTGTCTTTTTTTTCCCTTCTTCAAGTTAGCCGTAGAGCCATTTCTTGAAGCAGAGCTCGTTTCTGTGAAGCGTTTATCACTTGATTTGTTTCTGCATTCTCTAGAACATCTGTGATTATAGCGGCTGCGTGACCCAGTGGCTCCTCCGCGGCTCTCTTTAACATGAAAGCCTACTCCAAGTGAAGGTAAATGAGAAAACAAAGATCAGTCCAACAAAAATGGTTCGAGCTTTTAGAGGAGTTTTAGATAAGTCAACACAAACTTTAACAATCTGGTGCAACTTTATTTGTCAATATAAAACTCGGTTCGAATTGTGCTATTGAAACCTGGCCATGGTGCGATATGGTTAGGGTACATGGCTGTTGAAACCAAGGTTCTCCATCTATTTGCACAGGCAACGGTGCACAAAGTTGTATCTTGACTGATTGCCCCTGAGCTAACCTTCTGGCTCGAGATAACCCAACCTGAAGATGTGGAAAAGAAGCGACTGATGTTGCGTTTACAAGTATGATAGAATCCAAATAGAACATGTAAGATGAAAAATATTATTTATACCTGGAGTTTCCCAAGATGCCATGTTCCAGAAATACTCACGACTTCTACTATCTTATCGTGCATAGACTGTGGATCAAAGTTTTCATATGTATCATCTTCATTCTGCCATAAATCCACACCTCCCATGTAACTTCCAATGTTTGCAACAAGTACTCCTTCCGCATCCTTCAGAGATTTAGCATAGAGAGGTTATAGCACTAATTATCATGCGGTTTTTCTGTAAGGTAGTTTTCTGTGACTCACCTCAGGAACCTCGATGTCAACACCATCCACCTCAACTCGAACTTGCCACGGGAAATCTTCGAATGTTCTGTCCATTATACTCCTTGCACCTTCTCTAGCATAGAGGACTTTGTTCATAAACTGCACAACCAGAGCATACAAATGTTAGTTTCACGGACTAAGGATAACAGTACAGCTGCTTTACAGTAATGACAGTTAAACCACAGTTATATTAAAATTTTATTAAACCAGATTTATTATGTTACCTGGCTGTAAAATCTCTCTGGATTCTCCTCCCGTAGATTGTGAATATCAAGGGCGACCTTCGCATCACACCCAACCCCTGTTAAGATTCACAAAGAAAACTAACTTATTTGAGCACACCGCCTTCGCGGATGGAAGAACTCAAGCATCTTAGGATGACAGCATTTCAGGCTCCTTTCGCACCACATCAAAATAATTGAGAAGTAGCAAAAATTCATAGGCTATATATGTTTCAGGACAGTAGTCAAATCAATCTACAAAGAACAATACACATTGTGAATGGATCAAACTAAACCTCAAGCATGAAGTTATTAAAAGCGAGCTTATATCCTTATACAGTTTTGATGATATCGATTTCTAGCAAAGCTTTGAAGATTTGCAGCTAGAGGTTTTGAATTTAACTGACCTATATAATTGTTCATATATTTCGGCGGCAGAAGTTGCTTTCCTTGTTGGTTCAGAATCGATACTTTCCAACGATCAAGGACAGTGACTGCAGCATGCTCTATGTTCTGTAATACTGTACATAAACCTCCTTGTCTCTCCACAGAACCCAAACCACCACCCCAATTCAATACTCGGGCTAGATCATTCCCGGTTCCAGCAGGCAGGATAGCGACCGCAGGAGGAGAGACAAAATTCTGTTTGTCGATGGCATTCAGTACCCAACCAGCAGTGCCATCTCCACCACAAACAAGAACCCTAAAGTGGGGAACCTTCCTGAAGAGGAAGAGTCCCACTTCTGGCCCCTGCACTGAACTCAATTCACACACCTGCAAGAAACAGCTCCATCAATAAAACTTAAAAGCAATATAGCAAATAAAAAATGCATCGAAAAAGTACAAAAGAAATAAGCCTGTGACAAGCTTTCAAGGCAGCATATTCTACCTGCACTGGATTTAGAAGAAGATTAAGGCGCTGACGAAGGGAATCACCTTGTTGAGCACCACTCTTTTTGTTAATGAAAACCAACAATGGTCTTGCATCTGAAGGCAAATCAGCTAGCTCGTACTTAAGTTTCGACCTTAGTGCCTGATATTCATCCTTCTGACCAAAAGACCCACTTCTTTTAACACTAGTCTTCTTCTCCAGCTTGCCATTGCTGTCGCTGTCGCCGTGAGAGGAACCCCCATTCATAAGGCTGCTAGAATTTTCCACCATGGCATGGGTGCCATTAGCAGCTGGACCTGTATCAGCTGTGCTTTCCGTCGATTCATCGCAAATGCTACCACTATTACCTGAGTCAACTGAAGTTTCATTAGCTTGCTTGTATTTTTTGCTTTGACTCCTGATGCTGGCACGGACGGTAGATGCAAGTTCGTTCGCACCATGCGTGATTGTGCTCAAAAATCCTCCAGAGGGATTCCGTGTCAATTCCTTAACGTAGAGAGGGCACAGAATTAACCTTCTAAGCGGGCCTAGATCACAAATGTCACCTGTTTCATTTGACATATTACTGTGACAGTCAACATGCACAAGACGTTGGCACCACAAGCAGCACCATATAGGAGAACCCCCAAGAAAGGAGCTACTACATGACTCGTCACAGTAGCTACAAAACGAGGAATCATCAGGCTGATCAGCACCTTCTGTCCACCGCACTGCCCACTGGTGCACCACATGCTCATATCCGGTCATGGAGACACACTTGCAGTCTTTAGGCGCACTTGAAGAACAGCCAAAATGGGCTGCAGCCCCGCATATCGTGCACCTATGAATGAAACTTTCTGAAGCCACAATTGTCTGAGATGGTGACATCGACTTCAAGCATACGCAGCAGTTCAAGTTCTTCGCACGAGATGTAGAGTCGAGCTCCCAGCTATGTGGGGAAACAGGAACCTTATGCCGAGCCTTTGGATTTTTCTTCGACCTGGCGATGGCTTTGGTCCAACTTAAGTTGATATTTCTTCGCCATTGAAAAGTAGTGTAGGCTATGGTTAAAATACCAACAAGGGCAGCGATAAAGCAAGATAACATTAACCCGCGAGACTCAACCATTTCAACTGGGTTCTTGCTGTTCCAATTAGGAAAGAACATCCCCAGCTCTCCATCGTCCTCCATTTATTAACGTTTGCAACTCGACACGTGTGACAAATCCCTGAAGTCCGAGCCAATGAAAAGCCCCCAAAAGATTTTTGGCTTGGTCAGGTCCCAGACTCAGGAAATCAAATATACTTCCTCAAAGTCCATATCCCCCATCATCCATCGAACCTCTGAACAAGTTACGTCGCAGACTACAATCACACTTCAGCTATAGAAGAAAAGCTCTTCTGCCCAGTCCAAGAGAAAAGTACCCTGTCACCCAACAAAGTTAGAAACAATCGCTTTCGTAAGTGGAAGAAAGAAAACATGGCATCACAGATTTCCACAAATTACTAAGGCTCTGAACAATATAAAAAGATAAAGAGGAAGTGACTACTCCAAATATAAATGTTTGGTCATTCAATTTGCTCAGATTCAGACTTTAATCGAGCGAAAGACTTAACGCACTTTAACTATTAATCTCAAGACAACACCTTCCTAAAATCAGCGCTCAAGTGTCTACGAAATATTATGTTTGATACACATTCTGCTCATTATCCCGCAATACTATAAAGAGGGGAAGAAAAAAAAACCTTTGAGTTTGCATTTACAACCAAAAAAAAGAAATCGAACTCAAGTTAAAAAAAAAAACTTGGATCACAACAATCCAAAATCTCACATAAAGAAAAACAGGAAGGCATAGACAACTGCTTTCTCTCTGTTCACGAAGAATCCAATGGAAATCAAACAGAGATTTCAACCTTAGAATAAGAAGAATATGAGGCAAAAGGGGGAAACAACGGGCAGGAAACCCTAACCTCCAGAGGCGAGAGAGAAGAAGAGATGATCAGATGAAAACCCTAGAAATCGAGAGCAAGCAACACGAAAAGCGAAAGGAGAGGAAACCAGAATCGACGCACCAAGCACGAAGGTTTTTTTTACTCCAACAAAATTCCCAAATCCAAATTTGTTTTTGAAAAGCAGATGCCTTCGAGTTTAAATATTTTAATCTTCGTTTGATTTTCTCCTGTGGATGTATTGAGAAGAAGAAGTATTTTCTGGATTCTGAAAGAGAAAGATTCTGGGTGAAAAAGAGGGTTGCTAATATGTCGTATCCGAAATACACGGCTGAGCCACGTAGGATCGATGAATCTCGGATTGTCACGTGTCCGAAACGAGTTTCCGTCGGCAAATAGCCCGGCCCATTACTGTCATGACACGATTTTAAAATTTTAGTTCAGTATGTATGACACTGACCCCACTCAAGAGATAATAGAATTGTTATCATTATTATTTTGCAATCTACAAATAAACTAAATTCAGAGATGTCACTATTTAACATTGTTGGATTTGTTTTCTTTTGCTATTAAGTTGGATTTATTTTATACTATGTGTTGTTTCTTTGTATTCTTAATTTCTTATATATATTTATGTTCTGTAGTGTTATGACATGACATGTGTCCACAATCTTGTAGACAGAAATAAATAACTAGATACATAAAAAAACAAAATACTGTTTTTTAAACCAATTAACTAGAAACATAAAACAGTTATAAATTATAATTGCGTAAATATATCTAGGAAAGATGAAGGAAACTAGAAACGCTGTAAAAATAACACAAACACAAAACTAAACTAGCAAAATTAAAAGCTTGAGCAAAAAATAGGGAACTAAAAAAGAAACACACAGATAGAAGAAGCTGATAAGAAAAAAAAAAACTCTCAAATGAGAAAGAAACTCTAAAATATGTTGAAATTCACTTTCCCTATCAAAAAACAAGCTGAGAAGGGATAAAATAAACGTTACAAGAGATAACAGAGGAGGGATTTAGAAGAGAAACGAGGAGGCATTGAAAAGTTCAACTTCCTTATCACATCTTTCAAAGCAATAAAGTTTTTGTCTTCACACTCTCAAATCATTTCTTTTCTTCCTTCCTCCGCATCTTCCAGCATGTCTCGTTTTTTAATGTCAATCATTTCGACGTTAGAAAAGAGTACAAATGTGATGTCAAAAAAAAAAGAGAAAGTAAAAACGTAATTTGCATACTGAGCAGAGTGTCTCGCGAACCATCTTCCGAAAATATCGATGTAGCTAATCAATTATTTAGAAATATTGTTTGTTAATCTCCAAAAAAGAAAGAGAAAAGTACAAGTTTTTTGACGTTAGTATTATTTCAAAAGAATGCAGTATGCGAGTTTGTTAATCTCCAAAAAGAAAGAGAAAAGTACAAGTTTTTTTTACGTTAGTATTATTTCAAAAGAATGCAGTATGTGAGTATGTTTCAAAAATATGTACGTATCAATTTAATACGTGCATATGATTTATTTTAACAAAAAGAAATTATCTACTTTTAGAAACATAGGGTTAAAACAAACAATAATTAAATGCTCAACTTGAAAGAATATTAGTAATTCCAAAAAGTAAGGAAATTTTCTAAAACTCTTGTTCAGTTGTTTTTCAACAAGAAGTGACTTTACCCAGATCAGATTATTATTACAATAAGTAACTTTACCTCTTTAACAAAAAATAAGTAATTTTATCGAGATCAGATTATTATTACAATAAGTAACTTAACCTCTTTATCAAAAAAATAAGTAACTTTACCGAGATCAGATCATATTATTATTACAATAAGTGGTCTTTATTATTTACTTGTTTCATTGTCATTAGCAATAACATCGACCATAACGGACAACAGTGTCGTGCAGTATACATATTATGTTGTTCTTTTTGCCATCTAAGATAGAGTGAAGAAAAAATACTAACAGAATCACATCTCTCGACTTGGTTCCAGTACGTTGATTATTTTTTAGATCATTAAAACATTTTAATGGAAAAGTGGATGCAAATTTCATAAAAGTAACATGTGTAGGATTTTTCTTTTTATAAAAATAATTGGATCGGCAAAAGAAGTTTCGTTTTAGTAATTGTGAAAGAATGTTTTGTCCAAAAAATAAAAGAATGTTTGGAAGGGATAAATGGTAAATCAAGGAAGCAAAAAATTATATAAATCTAGTATATAGTCTTTTATCTTATTTTAAGTTTTCAACTACGTACTGTTTGTTGTAACACAAATATGTATATGTCCCTTAAAATACAGTACTGTATCACTAAGATTTGCCAAATCTAGTACTATCTAATACTATAGGCATCATACGTCAGCCTCCCTCCCTAAATTACTAAGTTCATGTAGATCAAGGCATGTAGTGAGACACAGATCTCGATGAAGAATTAATCGGACGGTGAAGAACTCAACTGACGAAAACGAAATGATGATGAAGAAAGATTTAGACATTTCGCCGTCTGATAATTTTGATTTCAAATCTGTTTTCCCTAAGAAAATAATATATATAATCACGACGAGAACCACACACAAACAAAACATTCCTCTCTCCACCAAGGCCTTCAATGGCTTCTCCTTCCGATGATGTTTCTCCGGCGAGCAGCGATGACGTCATAGTAAGACAAACCCTGAACCCAGCCGCCCCTTTCTTCTTTCCCAAAAATCATTCTCTTCATCGTTACTACTTCTCGCCACCCCCTTTTTACTTATTCGCCGACACATCTCTCCCTCCTCCTCCATCGATCTTTGTCTATTATCCACTTCGGCATATAAACCTTAACCCTAATAGGTTTGTGTTTATGCAAGAAGTCCCTCCTCTTCACTCACAAAACCCTAGCCAAGAGCTGACTCCTTCTCCGACCATTAGAAAAAGGGGTTTTGGCCGGAAAGGATACTACGGACACCGTAAGAAGATGACGTGGAGGAGAGAGATCCATCATCAAGTTGAATCCAACGACGACCACGTCACAACTGTCATGGTTCGCAATATTCCGAACAGATACACGTACGTATATATCTCCTTTCATTATATGACTATGAAGAATATTTGTTATAGATTTAAACGAGGTGTAGACTCCTATATATATTACAGCTTATAATTGCAATATTTGCAGGAGAGCAATGATGATGGAGTTCCTGGATGAGCACTGCGCAGAAGAAAACAGTAAGGAGAAAGATGAAGAGAATCCAATCTCAGCCTATGATTTCTTATATCTTCCCATGGATTTCAAGTAAGTTTTTTTTTTCATTAGCTGTGAACTTTATCATAATTATTCGTTAGGGTACTACATTTATATGGATATGTGTATTTTTATTTGTTTAAATATTTATGTGTGTATAAGCATGTGGAACAACGAAATGATGCTAGAAATCTTGGAAATGGTAATCGATTATCTGCATGATGTTACATACGTTATATAATATTATTATTTTTTTTAATTCAAAGGTCTCGTTTTGCTTGTATGTATTTGTGTTATAACAATGTCACAATTCATCAAATTAATTTGCTTGCTTTAATCTAAATGAAAATGTAATGATCAACAGGACTGAAATGAACAAAGGGTATGCTTTTGTGAACTTCACAAATGTTGAAGCAGTGTCGAAGTTTAAGGCTGCTTGCAACGACAAGCCATGGAGTAATTTCCGCTCAAGAAAAGTACTAGAAGTTGCGTATGCTAGGATTCAGGCTAGTTCTCTACTCCTCCCTCTACTTGTAATTCAAATATATTTGCATATTGTTTTTTATATCAACCTTATTGCAACATATGTGTGTAGGGCAAGTATGAGTTGACGAAAAATTTCCAAAAGATGAAATATCCGGTTGAGGAATACAGTGCGGTCTGTTTCTGTCCAGCTCGTAGCGGACTAAAGAATGCGGTTCAAACCATCATGGTCGGTAAATGCACCGAACCAGTGGTATCGGATTAGGTGTTTCTTATATTATGAACGTGTGGTGTGTGTAATAAGGAACGTCGAAGTAGGAAAAATGGGTGGACTTGGGAAGAAAAAGAAAAGACTCAGACACCGAACCAAATCTAAGTAAAATATCTAAAAATGTTTAGTTTTGGATTTGGTTTCTGATGTGTGTGAGTTTTGACTTTTTCTTGGGGGTTATGTTAAGGGTCCACATTTTTCTCTGAACCTCTTTTTGTTGAACTGTTGAGATGTTTAATTTGATGTGTGTGGTTTTAATTTGCGTGTTTAATTCTGAATTTCGGAAAATTGGCTGAATTTGGTTAGTAAAACCCGATTCATACTCTGTGCTACATGAAGGAAGAAGACACATAAATCTTTTTTACAAACGAAAATTGTTTTGCACCGTTTAAAAGGAAAATATTCTGAATTTAGAAAAAAAATGACTAGGTCGACATTGCTTGAGGATAATAAGATTTCTTTTTCGTTTGTCAACGGTGGATACTTATATAAAATGTTGGTACCTTTTTAAAGAGAAAAAAAGTTTATTATTTGATCTCACCTTCTCCCGTACAACATGTGAATCTTGTATAAAAGGTAATTTTTGGGAGAGACTTTGCAGTTTTATCAATCTTTCAATTTTTTTCTTTTTCTGAAAAAGGTCTTTGTTACTTGGAGAATGGACCCACAAGTGACTAAAAAGCTTTTTTCTCCCCTTTTCATCATCAGTCTATTCTTTCATTTCTATATTTTTTTTCCAATAACAACTTTTTCCTTTGTTCTTATTTTTTAAACTTTCTTTTATTTTTGTTTTGTTCTCATGCTTTTTCATTTCTTATTTTGCTACATTTTAGAAATATTTAGGAGATGACTATTGACAAAAATGATTATAAATGCGTATATGAAACCGGTTTCAACTAAAGTTACCAATGTCAATGAGACTGAGGAAAGAGAACCAAAGAGGAATATCATTAAAGACCAAAACAAACCAAAAAATGAGAGTGACAGATACAACAAGTGATCTCAACAATGAACACCTCCTTTGAAACTCAAAAGAGTATGTGTCAGAAGATTCGCAACTCGAGCCATTTGTTCTGCCAGGTCACGTGCTTTTAGAGAGCGGCTGCGATCCTTCCAGCCACTTGATCAAGATCCCTCTGTCCACTCGATGTGATTTTCCTTCCCCTGCTTACATCACGGCCAACTATTTATAAATATATATTATGTATTCAGCATTACCGAAGAAAGAAGATTAGTCGATATGGACTTGATTTGTGCGTCTCTCACGCACATAAACATATAGCGAACGGCCTAGTACTGCATCTCAGATGTCTCTTTGAAATTAAATTGGAAGGAATTTGGTTCGGAATGCTGAGTCTATCTATCTAAATCTTGCTACTACTTGCAACTTCAACCAAATCTCTACACATGAATGGAATCTAAGCACCTATTTCGCAAGTTCGTGCAAATTCCTTGTACAAGAAAGTTAGATGCTAGACTGTTTTACTAACCCCTTAGTGTCGAGGTCGACAATGTTCATAGTCTGGAGCTGTTGAAGAATGTGACGAGCAACACCGCCGCTGCTTTTGCAGAAATGAGGCGGTCGGCTTCCGTTCCTCTTGCTTCCTCCGTATATTCTACGGAATGCACCAACTCCAAGTCCGCCTCTCAAGTAGATTTTTCTAGCCATTGAAGCTAAAAACCGAATTCATCTCTTCAGATAGTACAAAGCCTTAGGAAAATGAGCATATATCGACGATCTGACGCAAAGTAGTAAAACGTACCGGCTCTGATGTAGTACCAGTCAGGATCATATGGGGCAAGCTCTTTCAAAACACCAGTCTTGACAATGTCAGTCCATGGAGGCAGCTCAATCTACATCAATGTATGAAACATTTTAGGACGAGTAGACACACCACAATTTTGTTCAAAAATCGTAACTCAATCTCAGCCAAACAACGTCAATCAAACAGAGAATCATCATATTCAGATTGAAATCCTGATCACTAACATCAACGAGTTGCAAAGACTATATATAGTGTACACTAACGAATTTCGAGTAAGAATCCGTCAAACGCTATATAATTTAATCATTGTGAGTATTACCTTGCCGGAACGCTTAAGGTGGGCGGCGTAAGCCTTGACGAACTCGTGTGGTGAGACATCCTTCACCGTTTTTCCCGTCGCCATCGTTTCCTCCTACTGCTATGGCGTCGGCGAAATTTTGAGCGAGGATTGATTAAGAGGAATTGAGAAGATAAGACACAATTAGGGTTATGAGAAGTTCCTGGCCCATATATACTAGCCCATATTTCGGCCCGTTATTTGTAATTTGAGATTGCTTAAAAGAAGAAGTCTTCTGAGAAGATATTTTTGTTACTGAATATTCAAATGAACTTTGTATATTGCAATTTAATTATGCCTAAAAGCACTAATGCGGTGCCGTTTTGACGTTTAGGTGGGTTTGGTTACAATGGTCCGTCAGTGGCCCACAACTACACCAACTCAAGTCTAACCTTCTGTCTTGAAAAGAGAGTTTTGATGTACGAGCCATCTGCTCTGGACCCGAGCCTCGGATTTGCCTCCGAATCCGAACCTCGGATTTGCTCTTGCAGCACCCGCCGTTGAAAAATTTCGCACTGCTTTCGATCACTTTATCCCTCTCTCTCTCTCTCTCTCTCTCTTCCCCTGGTTTCGTTAATTCTTGAATTCGAAAACCCTAACATATTCTTTCTTTAGAAATTTGAGGTTGGAGAAGAAAAGGCTTCCATTTGTTGTACGGATGGACGTGATACAAGTGTAAGTTCACATCTCTCTTTCCCTTTTTAGAAACCCTAATTTTTTTATTATGTCCTAAAAGGAAATGATTGTACCCAATTCTTGGAGCGTGTCGGTAGGTTTAAAGTCTGGGAAGCTCTTGCTTCGGGTTAAATTCTCGGTTACCGTAATGTTCATGTTAATCAGAGCCTCGATTTGGTGTGAAATTGTGTCGCGGCAGTTTCGATCTCGAGTGGATTCGCGAGATTTCATAGAACTTCTGTAGAATTTTTCAGCTGACTTTAAAAAAAAATGGGACTTGAGCTGGTTTTTGTATAAAGATCTTGATGACATTTACTGCAAAATGAGCTCTCAAGTTTACTGAATTAGGAGCACAGTGAGTGTGTTATAGTTTCAAAAGTTTGATCGGAGCTTATGCTTTTGCTATGTGGTCCTTAGATGTCAGTGTACGGTTTTTTTATTTAAGGAAACAATGCTGATTCAGGTTTCCTTGTAACCTGAGGGCGTTGCATCAATTCTCGAGTTTTTAACTCTCGCTTCCTGGTCGGAATTTTTTACTGCGTGGAGATTTAAACTTGCCTGTCTGAATAAATGTTTTGTTAACACACCATTAGTTTCTTCTGTTTTTGTTTCATTTTGTGTGTTTAACTTCAAATGTGTATCTGTTTTGTTTATCTAACAGGACATCTTGAGTATTCCGAGCATGTTAGTTGGGGGTAGCTCATGAATTCTCGGGACAAAAGGTGTGTTGAACATGTTCTGTTTTACATTCGAGTTTTATCTCAAAGGAGACCCAATCTTTAACTCTTGTCTATTTCTTTTCCAGGTCCAGATATTTAAAAATAATCTATAGGAGCTGAATCTATGCCTGGAAACGAATTTGGAGAGAGGATCCACAATTTCTTTGGACAGGAGGGCCTATCCCAAGACCAGCATCAGTCTCAGGTTGTTGGTGGGAGCTGGTCTAATTTTAGCAATGGTCTTGTCGGAAACCAGAGGCAGATAGATCCATCCCTTATTTCCAATCTGAAGAGTTATAGCACACAACAATCTGGTATGGATTTTGTCTCCTTGTGACGGGGTATTCCACAGATTATGCTCCATATATATATTCATGTTTCAGTTAGCTTCTAGCTTATTGATGTTGCTCAAGTTTTAAACATAGCTTTCTTGCTTTTTTCCAGTTGATCCTGAGAGAGGGCAATCTTCACATTCACAGCATGGTTTGAATTTTACGCAGCAGCCTATAAGGCCCGAGTACTCGAGAAGTCTGTTGCAAGATAACCAGCAGCTCACAAATGGTTACATGCATGGGCAGGCAATGCCCAGTGGTGGAAATTTTTTGGGAGTCGATGTAGAATCTAGTAGAGATACGTTATCAGCGAAAGGGTTCACTCCAGACCTTCATAAAAGTCCTATGAGGTTTGAGATGGGAGGAGAGTCTCCGGTTAATTATGATTTCTTTGGTGGTCAACAACAGTTAAACAGCCAGCTCCCTGGCATGCTCCAGCCCTTTCCAAGGCAGCAGATGACGTTCAATGATATGCAACTACTTAAGCAGCAAGTTATGGTTAAGCAAATGCATGAATATCAAATGCAACAGCAGCTTCAAAAGCAACAGCTAGAGGCCAGGCAGCTCAATTCTTTGAATTCGAATGCTGTTAATGGAAGTCGCTCAAGTGATAATCAGTCGCATCCTTTGATAAATGGCATCCCTCTTCAGGATGCGCCTAGTAATTTTTGGCAGCCTGGCCTTATGGCAGGAAATGCACACTGGATGCATCGCGGCGTCTCGCCAGTTGTTCAAGGTTCATCCACGAGGAACATGATTACTCCTGAGCAGGGGCAAGCGAACTTATTAGCACAACAGTTTGAACCATCCTTCTACGGCATGCCTGTTGGTGGGGCAAATGCACCTCAAAATGCCTTTTCTTCCGTTCAGATTAACAGATTGCCTGCGCAACATGGTTCCTCTCTCACCAATCAGCCAACTTCATTTGTGAATCAAGGTGATGTACAGGATAGCCATATGCTCCCTAAACCCACATACCAGGAGAAAGTGCTGTTCTCCAATACGTCAGTTCCAGGTTCAAATAATAGGCCCAATTTTGAAAGTTTCCAGGAAGATGATTCCCGCGAGAGGAAAATGAATGTGCAGGAAAAATTTGGTAAGATAGAGGGTACTGCTCCATCAGAAAAGTCGTATATGAAAGTGCCTGAAAATATAATTGCATTACAGAAGTCGACAACATTAGATCCAACAGAAGAGAAGATTTTGTTTGGTTCAGATGACAATTTGTGGGAGGCATTTGGAAACAGCACGGATATGAGCTTGACAGGAAATCTGATGTCGAGTAATTCTGACCTCTATGATGCATGCCCTTCCTTGCAAAGTGGGAGTTGGAGTGCTCTTATGCAATCTGCTGTAGCAGAGACATCCAGTGATGACGCAGGCTTTGGTAGTAGGGGCCAGGATCTGGGTGTCAAGGCTTCAAATGCACTAAGTGAGAGACTCCATAGTGATTCCACTCGTACATCTGCTCAACATTTGCTTGGCAACGTCCCGTTGGAGAAGCCAATGGGTCAGCGTAGTCAGATGGCTGGAAACTTTTTTCATTCTTCAAGTTCTGGGATTGAAGGACAGAATAATACGTGTTCTATTCAAAAGAACGAGGGCAGTGAAGATAGATTTGGTATCTGGAAGGCCGCTTCTAATCCAAATTTAGCTGCTCTGATGGAACAGAAGAATCATTTCACGCAAAATCTACAAATGCAAAGCGCCAGCTATGGACTTGGCATTGCCGGTGCCGGAAATAATTCTAGTGCTTCTAGGGATGTCCAGGGAAATATCCAACAGAATAATAACTCCGTGGAGAAAGCTGTCCCTCAACTGAATTCTAAAGATGGTAGTCAGATTCTTGAGTCATATGCGAGTAATAATGCTGGTAAAGTCATGGCTGAATCGAACGAAATGAGGAATTCTGGAAAGGAGAACTCAAATGATAGTTTTCGATTGAAGTTCTCACGACAGTCTTTTACAGAAGATACTCAGGTAAATGCTCGTGATTTGTCTATGTTACCTGGTGGGAAAGAAACACAATCTGGTCATGTGGGTAGTAGCCCGTCGATAAGTCGCAAATTTCAGTATCATCCCATGGGTAATATTGGTGTCACTGAGGAGCCTTGTCGAGAGAAAGTTTCTCATTTGCCACCCACGTCGGAGCAGGTTTCTGTAGGAAACCAAGGTTATTCACCAATGAACATGCGAATGGACAGGGTACATTTTTATCCGTTGGTTTTTAATTATGCCGTGTTTTAAAAATATGAATCCCTCTGAACATTCTTTTGGCTCTATTATGGTAGGGACAAGTTTCACAAAACGACTTGAATTGCACAAACGAGATTTTTAAAGGCATGGTGTCAGGAAATCCACCTAGTACATCTGCTTCAGGCGACAGAAGTGTTGATATGTCTAATCAAGTTAAGAGTGCTTCGTCAAGGTACTCGTACGTTCGGTTGAAAGGCTTTTGTTAATTATTCACCCTTTGATCGAATTTGTGAAATTATTTAGTTAGTGTGGTCTCTTTATAGATAGTTTGTCAAGTAACTGACAAAGTTACCTTACTATGTTAACTGACAAAGTTACCTTATGTCACCTTGAACTCTCATTCCCTACTTGCTTGCAATTGCTTTTCTGACACTTTTTTTCGTGTGCAGGCAAACTATGCTTGAGCTTCTACACAAGGTGGACCAGTCGGAGGAGCATTCCTTGGAAGAAACTGTTTCTGGGATTCCTGAAACAACGTCCTCTGCAGAATATGGTGGTCAATTTCGGCATAGTCAGTCATCTGCTTCTCAGGGATTTAGTCTACAGCTGGCACCTCCATCTCAACCAGCTCGCTCACCTGATAACGTGCAGTTTTCAATGAATTCTATGCAGCCACTGAATTCACTTCATACTGCCCCTGAAAAATGTGGAACAAGTCAATCAAGGTTTGCCCCATGGGCATCTAATCAATCTTTTCCTCAGCAATCCACTTATCAAGGACCAGTTCCTGGAGAAAGCAATGTTAGCTCTGGTTTCCCTTATTCCAAAGGGTATCACCAAAATCAACTGATGACTCAAGGGAAAGAAAGAGATGGCAGTGACTTTGAGCAACGTGGACATTCAGCACAAACACCTTCCCTGCCAAATCAAACAATCCACAACGATAAAGGACATTCAGCTGAAGGATTTCGTATGCTGTCTGCTTCACAGCCTCTGGTTGCATTTAGCTCTCCTCAGCCGAGTTCCTCTGCTGGTATGATGTCTAACTCACGAGCCGGTATTTCAGCTCCGCAACATCGGTTTTGGAACCAGCCATCAAAGCCTCAGACAGATATTTCACGGCTGCATCCATTTCCCACCAACCACGTAGATGGGAGCTTCTCAAGGCAGGAGAACAAACATCAATTATCCTCCCAAAATGGAGGAGACATGTCATTAAGTGGGAGAGACATGGTGAATATGCATGGTTCACAGAGTAAAGATATGGGTGCAAAACAAACATCTGACGCTGCTTCGTTATTCTCCAAAATGGCGCAGAGCAATCATCAAACCTTTGGTCGCTCTCTTCCGTCAAACAACCTTCCAAAAGATAAATCGCCTCACGATGAACATATGGCTGGAAGTGGGGAGGGTGTCGCACCCAAGATGACTGTAAAGAGAGTTGAAGATAGTGCTATTCATCTGCAAAAGGTAACTTCCAAAGGGGAGCAACAGTCACCTTCAAGATCTGATGGTTTAGTTAGAGATGGATTGAATCACAAAGAACCGGCGAACCAAATGCTGCATTTTGGCCAAACGGATTCTCAGAGTTTCGCCAATAAGAATCATTCAGCCTCGGCTGGAACAGATCATCAACAAATCAGTCCTCAGATGGCCCCATCGTGGTATAGTCAATATGGGACTTTCAAGAATGGACTGGTGCAACCCGTGAATGATACAGGGAGATTCACCCCCTTGAAGACAGGAGAACAATCTTCTAATGTTGGGAGTTCGGTTGATGGTACACATCCTGTTCAATCGTCAAAGCAGTTTAATGTGCAGCAAAAGTCGGGATCCGCGCCAGGAGCGGAGACTCCCTCATCCGAGTCATTGCCTCATGGTGCTACTGACAAAATTCTCAAGGTTGATAAACCAAAGAAGCGCAAAACCGCCACATCAGAACTTCGGTCTTGGAATAAAGAAGTCATGCAGGGTTCTCAGAGGCTTAAGACTCTCAGGTGTGTAGCTTATCAGCACTAATATTCCGAAACAATATCATATCCATTCCCGTATTAATTTTTGTAAATTCTTCACAGCGAGGCCGAGCTTGATTGGGTTAGAGCGACGAATCGATTTGCTGAAAAAGTGAGTTTCCTCATTTTACATGTTTTCTAGCCTGTCTCTTTGTTCAATGTTGTTGAATACGTTTATGGCTTATGTTCACACAGGTGGAATTTGAGACTTTACTTGAGGATGGCCCACCAATCAGATCAAAGAGAAGGCTTATATATACAACACAACTTATGCAACAACTACTTAGCCCCCCTCCTGCAACGGTGATATCCTCGGTTGCTAGCTCAAATTATGAGTTTGTTGCATATACTACTGCAAGGGCTGCACTAGGAGTTGCATGTAGCTCCACTTCTACCGACAGTTCGCCCACGAACAATTCAACCCCGTAAGGATATTTTCTGTTTATCCATGAAATACTGCGAGTTCGAGGTATTGTATTGACACAAATCTTGCCACTCTTCTTGTGTAGGCTGTCTGAGAGAGCGAAAACTGAAACAATCAGTGACCAGTACATCTGTAAAGCTGCTGAAGATTTCATTAGTAGAACACGGAAACTAGAGACCGACTTTGCAGGGTATAACACCGTAGCTCTCTCTTGTAATTGATTCTAGTTCTAAATGGGAACTCAATTTCATGGCTTGATCTAATGAACATATCTGGTCTTTCTTGCAGACTAGAAAAAGGAACTACAATTGCAGACTTGAGCGTCGAAGTCCAGGATCTAGAGAAGTTTGCAGTGATCAATCGTTTTGCGAAGTTCCACCCAACATCCTCATCTCTGGACCGGACCGTGAGTTCACTTAGGTTAAACCCACAAAGATATGTTACCATAGCTCCAATGCCTCAGAATATTCCTGATAGGGTACAATGTCTATCCCTCTAACTATTGATGAATCCATATATAATTCTGTTTTTGGCCAATCTTCCCCATTCATTGTTTCGTGTATCTCGTGCCCCAAATCTTTCTATTTTTGGGTGGGATATGAGTTTTGGTCAGAATCCTGAGAACAGTGAAGGCCTCTGTTGTCAAGAAGCCGGAGATTTCCTACTAGACATGTAGCATTAATGTATCCATCATCACGAGTATTGTAAGTCAAATTCATCTGTATACTTAGTAAAGAAAAATTGACAAGGTAACACCTCCATTAAACAGAGCGTAGCATATTAATAACTGTCAGTTTTATGTTTTTAACACAAGCTAAGATTCTAAAGATGTCTCTCTCAAATCATTCAGTCACTGAAACTTATCCAGCGCTGTACTAAAGAATTAGCTTTCACACTTTAGAAGGTTACTCTAATTTCTTCCCCGACCATCGCCAATATCTCATGAATCCTGTAACAAATATGCAACATGTACTCATCAGAATACATTCTGTGCCCAATAGTGGTACTCATGAATGTAAATTGGTCAAGTTGTTAATATATATTTACCTATGAGTGTCAATGATTACCTCTGCACTCCAAGTTACCAAGTACATCTGTATAACAATGAAAACTATTCAAATTCCTATAAGATAATGTAAACAGAAGCTAATTCCTGTGTCAAATCAAATTTCACATGCCTGCAAAATTTCCGGGGTTGGATGGTTGGTATGAGATACAGAAGATGTACCGAGATCATCTTCTTTCAGTCTGGGGAGAATTGGCTCAGATGCTTCCATGGAATATAAAGAGCACTTGAAGAGATCATCAAATTCCTCATGGTAAAGCTCATCTGACCAACTGAGTTTGACCGGTTGAGGAATTTCACAGCTTAAAGAGACCAGTTCCACTATGAGTAATCTCTGTTAATAGTGATGTAGATTTTCAGAAACAATCAGAAGCTAAGATATATGCAGAATGAGTAAGGAGGAGAGTAATACCTACCTTTAGCATTACTTCGCGTTTGAACATCTCCACAAGCTCTTCGGCTATCTTCTCTGTGATCATATCAACATTGCAAACTTAAGAAACAACAAACATTAAAGATAATCAAGAAGTATTATTGAACCTTTTGTCTTAGGATCTTACCAAATGCAGAGACATTCCAAAAATTAAACACAGGGACGCCACCGCAATCTCCAGCATCATTTGAATCCTCCATAGAGCCAGAAAACTGTATAAGTGAATCGCTACTAGGCTTCATATAACATCTCAGAGATCTACTTGCATTCACCATCTCAACAACAAGAGCTACCTGCATTTTTTCTACAGATTTGTTTACAGATTCCAAATCACAACAGGCTAAAATATCCCAATTCACAAGATTCTAGGTGATGAGAATAGGATTTTAAGTGCCACACTCACCATTTCCTTGTACGACGACAAAAGCTTGATTCGATAAGAACTCTGAGCATAGAAACAGAGACATTGGTAAGAATGAGAATGAATAGAAGACGAGGGAGACTTGAAAATGCAAATGAATCTTCTCACCTGTTGCTTAAACAGCTTCTTCAAGGCTTTCTTCTTGATATCAAACATGTCACTCAACACACCAAATTCCATCATTGGGATAAACCTATTGCCATGAAAGCACAAAATGGTATGAATCAATCACTCATCATGAATCAAACACCAGTCAAAGCAAAACCAAATTCCTAAACGATTGATTTTGCGCATTCTAAAGCATGAATAGGGAAAGAAAACTGAGTCATATACAAAATAAAAAGCAGTGCTCCACACTTTTGGGACAGATATGAATTGACGAGCGAAATAGCGTGAACTCTTGCGCCAGAACAAGCGGCGATCCATTGTTGCCGACAAGTTGACAGTTTTGACCACTGGTTCCTAAGATTCCGCTGAGCAGCTGGTCTCCATAGCCTCGTCGATGATGATAAACTCGCCGGAGATGGAGATGGAGAAGCCAGCGATCGCGAAGAAGACGCCGGAGATGGAGAAGCAGGAGGAGGAAACTGTGAGATGCTCATCGTAGTCCGAAAAGGGGAAACGAAACGAGCTTTTTGAGCTTAAAAGGCTACTCAGGAATTCTGTAGACGATTAGAACGACTCCAAGCTGCACGACGTTACGATGCCGGAAGTTGAACGGCGTAAAGACGCCGGCGATAGCTTCTTTTCTATTCCCCAACTTAGGGCTTATAAAGAAGAAACGCAAAGGTCTACTACACAATTGTGATTTTCAAAGCTCTTTTTTTTTACCTTCGATTATTTAAAATTAACGCTGGAAAAAATAAAGTTACTATGCTGTTTCTGTTGTTAAATTAGTAATTAAAAAATAAGTTATATACAGTAGATATAGAATCACTACTGAAAGTAGATCAGATTTTACAAACGAAAGTTTAGAAAGAGAGAGAGAGGATGTCTCACAGTCACGGGAATGCTTCGTCGGCGAACGATCCACGGCAACCTTCGGCGGCGAAACCTTACACTCCTCGGCCTGTTGCGCCGGAGGATCTTCCCGTTGACTACTCCGGATTCATCGCCGTTATCCTCGGCGTCTCTGGCGTTATGTTCAGGGTAAATTACATCAAATCTCATCGCTCTCTCTCTCTCTCTCTCTCTCTCTCTCTCTCTCTCTCTCTCTCTCTCTTATGATACTTGCTCGCCAGTAGAATCGTATAAACGCATGCTCCGATTGTTTATGGTTAAGATTTGGTGGAATTAGGTTGTCGGATTTCGCAGGTTAAGTCTGCGATGCATCAGCAGCAACCTGTAGCTCGTTGGTTCAGTTTTTCTGGTTTTTGACATTGGATCTTCCCAAACTTGCTAGTTAATTTTGATTGAATTGATTTAGCTTATTTTCCATATTGGGCAGATTCCAATTCCTCATAGTCTGATATGACTATACAAAACTGTGATTCTATCATATTATAGTCTAGAAATAGATCAGATCTTCTTGAGATTTGAGCTCAAGATGGCCCAAAGAGGTGGTCAATGGATAACAGATCATTTGTTTCGTGGAGTCTAATGGTTGAAAGCGAGAGAGAAAACTGTGGATTATTGTTCCATCGAAGACGCTGACTTATCTTTTTTTGTGTGTCTCAGTACAAGATATGCTCGTGGCTTGCAATCATATTCTGTGCACAGTCTCTGGCCAACATGAGGAACATGGAGAGTGATTTGAAGCAGATCTCCATGGCTATGATGTATGTTCTGATCTCACTTGTCTTTTCATTTACTAAGAGATCCCAAAAAGCATTGAAAAATGAATCAACTATTGCGAATACCACTTTCTCTTGAGCTCCCCGAGTTCGAAGAATCTTTTATCGAGCCATTGAAATTAGATTTGAGTTGATTAGATGATCTGCGTCTTAAGTTTAGCTGGTTGGACGCAAAAGATGATGAAATCCCAGAGATGGTGGTGTCGATTGTTGATGTTGACTCAAATTTTCTTGTATTGAAACAGGTTTGCTATAATGGGATTGGTCACAAACTACTTGGGGCCAAATAGACCCGCGGCAAAGAAATAATCCTGAATTAGTCTGCTTTTTGTTGACATGTTTTTATCAAACCTTGTTTGGTTCTTGTTTCAAGACCTTCAAGTTATAGATATATTATGAAAGAGATTGCGTCATGAGGTTTGAGCTAGTGTTTTATTTTGGTGAAACGTTTGTGTTCGACTCTCCTATCTTTGAGGTGTTTTGAGGGACAACCCTGAGATCATGTTCAGAGATTTTCATTTCAGATGCAAAGAATCTGAATTCTGACTTTTCTTTGTTTGATCTCCATGAGTTTTGTCCCAGCTACGAATCCGAAAGACTGGACTAGGATCATAGTTGATGGATCAGATGTACGATAGAATTGGAGTTTGTTACTACAAATTGATATTCAAGTTATTGCAACATGATTTCATTATTTGACAACTAGCCCACGTTTTGTAATCTGAAATTTTTGGACAGAAGATCTCAAGTATTTAATGATGATATCAGTATCTAAGAATACGTCAGGGTTTTCGAAACCAGGGGACGAAGGAACAGGATCAGTGAGCAAAACTGATGTTCAGGTCCGGGAGTAAGATCCGAGGTTCGGGTCCAAAGCAGATGGCTCGTAGATGGAGGAGAAACTCTCTGTTACAGACAGAAGATTTTAGACGAGAGTTGTTGTAATGTGGGCCAGTGATGACTAACTAGTACTCTACACGACGATACCTTACATCTGCGTTTCAGACATAAATAAGTCGCAATCGTTCATCAATCATTTTTTTAGATTTTCAATTCATAAATCATTAACAGCCTTAAAGAGAGTGGTGGGGTATTTGTACTAAGCAAATTTTCTTTAGTAAAATGTATACAAATAGATTTATCTTACAATATTTGTGATGATGCATACAGTAACGCTACATAATATTTAACAGAAAATCTCTGGCTTTTTTCACAACGGAGGCCTTCACTGTTCTAAGGAGTCCTAGTCCTACCCACCCCGAAGAAAAAATAGAAAGATTTCGGGAAGATTGGCCAAAAACTGAATTCTATATATGGAATCATCAATAGTTAGAGGGAGAGACATTGCACGCTGTCTGGAATATTCCGAGGCATTGGAGCTATGGTAACGTATCTTTGTGAGTTTAACCTAACTGGACTTACGGTCCGGTCCATAGATGAAGATGATGGGTGGAACCTCGCAAAACGATTGATCACTGCAAACTTCTCTAGGTCTTCCACTTCGACTCTCAAGTCTGCAATTGTAGTTCCATTTTCTAGTCTGCAACATGGACCAGAGATGCTCATGAGATCAAAAGCCACTCATTGAAAACTGGAATCAATTACAAGAGAGAGCTGTGGTTTTATACCCTGCAAAGTCAGTCTCTAGTTTCCGTGTTCTACTAATGAAATCTTCAGCAGCTTTACAGATGTACTGGTCACTGATTGTTTCAGTTTTCGCTCTCTCAGACAGCCTACACAAGAAGAGTGGCAAGATTTGTGTCAATACAATACCTCGAACTCGCAGTATTTCATGGATAAACAGAAATATCCTTACGGGGTTGAATTACTGTCGGTAGAAGTGGAGCTACATGCAACTCCTAGTGTACCCCTTGCAGTAGTAAATGCAACAAACTCATAATTTGAACTAGCAACCGAGGATATCACCGTTGCAGGAGGGGGGCTAAGTAGTTGTTGCATAAGTTGTGTTGTATATATAAGCCTTCTCTTTGATCTGATTGGTGGGCCATCCTCAAGTAAAGTCTCAAATTCCACCTGTGTGAACATAAGCCATAAACGTATTCAACAACATTGAACAAAGAGACAGGCTAGAAAACATGTAAAATGAGGAAACTCACTTTTTCAGCAAATCGATTCGTCGCTCTAACCCAATCAAGCTCGGCCTCGCTGTGAAGAATTTACAAAAATTAATACGGGAATGGATATGATATTGTTTCGGAATATTAGTGCTGATAAGCTACACACCTGAGAGTCTTAAGCCTCTGAGAACCCTGCATGACTTCTTTATTCCAAGACCGAAGTTCTGATGTGGCGGTTTTGCGCTTCTTTGGTTTATCAACCTTGAGAATTTTGTCAGTAGCACCATGAGGCAATGACTCGGATGAGGGAGTCTCCGCTCCTGGCGCGGATCCCGACTTTTGCTGCACATTAAACTGCTTTGACGATTGAACAGGATGTGTACCATCAACCGAACTCCCAACATTAGAAGATTGTTCTCCTGTCTTCAAGGGGGTGAATCTCCCTGTATCATTCACGGGTTGCACCAGTCCATTCTTGAAAGTCCCATATTGACTATACCACGATGGGGCCATCTGAGGACTGATTTGTTGATGATCTGTTCCAGCCGAGGCTGAATGATTCTTATTGGCGAAACTCTGAGAATCCGTTTGGCCAAAATGCAGCATTTGGTTCGCCGGTTCTTTGTGATTCAATCCATCTCTAACTAAACCATCAGATCTTGAAGGTGACTGTTGCTCCCCTTTGGAAGTTACCTTTTGCAGATGAATAGCACTATCTTCAACTCTCTTTACAGTCATCTTGGGTGCGACACCCTCCCCACTTCCAGCCATATGTTCATCGTGAGGCGATTTATCTTTTGGAAGGTTGTTTGACGGAAGAGAGCGACCAAAGGTTTGATGATTGCTCTGCGCCATTTTGGAGAATATCGAAGCAGCGTCAGATGTTTGTTTTGCACCAATATCTTTACTCTGTAAACCATGCATATTCACCATGTCCCTCCCACTTAATGACATGTCTCCTCCATTTTGGGAGGATAATTGATGTTTGTTCTCCTGCCTTGAGAAGCTCCCATCTACGTGGTTGGTGGGAAATGGATGCAGCCGTGAAATATCTGTCTGAGGCTTTGATGGCTGGTTCCAAAACCGATGTTGCGGAGCTGAAATACCGGCTCGTGAGTTAGACATCATACCAGCAGAGGAACTCGGCTGAGGAGAGCTAAATGCAACCAGAGGCTGTGAAGCAGACAGCATACGAAATCCTTCAGCTGAATGTCCTTTATCGTTGTGGATTGTTTGATTTAGCAGGGAAGGTGTTTGTGCTGAATGTCCACGTTGATCAAAGTCACTGCCATCGCTTTCCTTCCCTTGTGGCATCAGTTGATTTTGGTGATACGCTTTGGAATAAGGTAAACCAGAGCTAACGTTGCTTTCTCCTGGGATTCCAGGAACTGGTCCTTGATAAGTGGATTGCTGAGGAAAAGATGGATTAGATGCCCATGGAGCAAACCTTGATTGACTTGTTCCACCTTTTTCAGGGGCAGCATGAAGTGCATTCAGTGGCTGCATAGAATTCATTGAAAAGTGCACGTTATCAGGGGAGCGAGCTGGTTGAGATGGAGGTGCCAGCTGTAGACTAAACCCCTGAGAAGCAGATGGCTGACTACGCCGAAACTGACCACCATATTCTGCAGAGGACGTTGCTTCAGGGATCCTAGAAACATTTGTTTCCAACGAGTGCTCTTGCGACTGGTCCACCTTGTGAAGAAGTTCAAGCCTGCACAGGAATTATCCTTTCAGAAATTCAATTGCAAAGCACAAATTGCAAGCAAATAGGGAATACAGATAGTTGATAACCACAGTCAGAAATTTGATAGAGAAGATTGAGTTTAAGGTGACAAAATTAGGCAACTCATTCAGTTTTATGACAAACGATCGATAATTGGTCACACTAGCTAAATAACTTACACAAACATGTTCAAAGAATAAATACCTTGACGAAGCATTTTTCACTTGATTGTCCGCTGAAGTAGATGAACTAGGTGAGTTTTCTGAACCCGTGCCTTTAAAAGCCTCATTTGTGCAATTCAAGTCGTTTTGTGAAACATGTCCCTACGATAAATGAAGCGAAGAGAATGTTCAGAGAGATTAAGATTTCTAAACCGCCAAAAAAAAAAAATTAAATGATGAAAATTTACCTTGTCAATCCGAATGTTCATAGCTGGCTGACCAAGTGACTTTGACTCCCCAAAATGAGAAACTTTTTCTCGACAAGGCTCATCAGTGACATCAATATTACCCATAGGATGATACTGAAATTTGCGAGGTATGGACGGCCTAACACCAACATGACCAGATTGTGTTTCTTTCCCACCAGGCAACATAGACAAATCACGAGCATTTACCATTCGATTTGATCCAGCATTATTACTCGCATATGACTCAAGAATCTGACTGCCGTCCCTAGTATTCAGTTGAGGGATAGCCTTCTCCACGGAGTTATAATTCAAATGATGTTGGATATTTCCCTGGACATCCCTAGAAAGGTTAGAAAGATTTCCTGCACCAGTAATGCCAAATTCATTGCTTCCCCTTTGCATTGGTAGATTTTGGGTGAAATGATTATTCTGTTCCATCAGAGCAGCTGGATTTGGATTAGAAGCAGCCTTCCAGAGACCAAGTCTATCTTCAGTGCCCTCATTCTTCCGAACAGAACTTGAAGAATGAAACATATTTCCACCCATTGACTTATCTGAAACATTATTTCCTCTGTTGCGCATATGTTGAACAGCTGTCTGAATGGAATCAATGTGGACTCCCTCACTTACTGTATTTGAAGCCTTGACACCCGACTCTTGAGCCCTATTACCAATATGAAAACTTGCATGCGGGGCGGTATTGTTGTTAGCCTGTAAAGATTGAGGTTTACTACCCCATTCATGTAAGCCTGCATCACTACTGGATGTTTCTGCTACAGCAGATTGCATAAGAGCACTCCAACTCCCACTTTGCAAAGAAGGGCATGCATCAAAAAGGTCAGAATTACTCGACATCAGATTTCCTGTCAAGCTCATATCCGTGCTGTTTCCAAATGCCTCCCACAAATTGTCATCTGAACCAAACAATATCTTCTCTTCTGTTGGATCCAATGCTGTCGACTTCTGCAATGCAGTGATATTTTCAGGCACTTTCATATATGATTTCTCCTGCACTGAAATGTTCCTCTCGCGTGAATCCTCTGGCTGAAAACTTTCAAAATTCGGCCTATTATTTGAACCTGGAGAAACTGATGTATTGGAGAACAACAGTTTCTCCTGAAATGTGGATCTAGGGAGCATATGACTATCCTGTACATCACCCTGATTCAGAAATGAAGTTGGCTGATTTGTGAGCAGGGGATTCCTGTTTGCAGAACCATGCTGCGAAGCTAACCTGTTCATCTGAACGGAAGAAAATGAATTTTGGGGTGCATTTGCCCCACCAAGAGGCATACCGTACAATGAAGGTTCAAACTGTTGTGCCAACAAGTTGGCCTGCCCATGCTCAGGGGTAATCATGAGCCCAGTGGATGAACCTTGAACAACTGGCGACATGCCGCGATGCATCCAGTTTGTATTTCCTGTCATAAGATCAGGCTGCCAACAATTACTGGAGGCATCCTGAAGAGGGATGCCATTAATCAAAGGATGTGACTGATTATCACTTGAGCGACTTCCATTAACAGCATTCGAATTCAAAGAATTGAGCTGCCTGGCCTCTAGCTGTTGCTTTTGAAGCTGTTGTTGCATTTGATATTCATGCATTTGCTTAACCATAACTTGCTGCTTAAGTAGTTGCATATCATTGAACGTCATCTGCTGCCTTGGAAAAGGCTGGAGCATGCCAGGGAGCTGGCTGTTTAACTGTTGTTGACCACCAAAGAAATCATAATTAACCGGAGACTCTCCTCCCATCTCAAACCTCATAGGACTTTTATGAAGGTCTGCAGTGAATCCTCTCGCTGATAACGTATCTCTACTTGCTTCTGCATCCACTCCCAAAACATTTGCTTCATTCCGCGTTGCCCGGCCATGCATGTAACCATTTGCGGGGTTCTGGTGTTCTTGCAACAGACTTTTCGAATATTCAGGCCTTAGCTGCTGAGTCAAATTCAAACCATGCTGTGAATTTGAAGGTTGCCCTCTCATAGGATCACCTGGAGTAAGCGAGAAAGCTACGTTTAAAAGCTAACAACGAAAGCAACATCCAACATAATAAGCTACAAGTTATGAACAAAAAATCTTAAGGAGACAAAATCCATACCAGGTTGATGTGTACTATAGCTCTTCAGATTGTCAATAAGGGATGGGTCTATCTGCCTCTGGTTTCCAACTAAACCATTACTAAAACTGTTCCAGCTTCCGTCAACAACCTGAGACTGATGCTGGTCTTGGGATAGGCCCTCCTGTCCAAAGAAATTGTGGATCCTCTCTCCAAATTCATTTCCAGGCATAGATTCAGGTCCTATAGATTATTTTTAAATATCGAGACCCCGAAAGGAGACAGAAAAGGAGTTCAAGGTTGTGTCTCCTTTGATCTAAAACAACCGTTGCTCCTGCAAATAGGAAACAAAAGCGCGTCAAATGAAAACCATCGGACAAGATCATCAACCTCTCATTCATTCATATTATAACAAAGCAAATACTGAGACCAGGAACCTGAATCAGCATTGTTTCCTTAAATAAAAAACCGTACACAGACGTCTAAGGACCACATAGCAAAGGCCTAAGCTCCAATCAACTTTTGACACTATGACACATTCAATGTGCTCCTAATTCAGTAAACATGAGAGCTCAATTGCAGTAATTGCCATTCAAGATCTTCATAAAAGAAAACCAGCTGAAGTCGCATTTCACCGCTATAAACCCTTTTAAGTTAGCTCAAAACCCAGCTACTTTCTATGAAATCTGGCGAATCCACTCGAGATCGAAACTGCCGGCAACACAATTTCACACCAAATCGAAGCTCTGGTTATAACATGAACATTACCATAACCTGGAATTCAACCTCAAACTACAGCCTCCCAGACTTTAATCCTCAAGAATTGGGGTATATAGAGCATCTTCCTTTAAGGACATACTAGACAAAATTAGGGTTTCCACAGCGAGAAGGAGAGATGTATACTTACACTTCTGCCGCGCCTACGACGAATGGAAGCCTTGAAAAAAGCTTTCTTCTCCGACCGCAATTTCTAAGAATACGTTTGGGTTTTCGAATCCGAGAATTAACGAAACCAGAGAGAGAGAGAGAGATAAGTGATCGAAAGCAGTACGAAATTTTTCAACGGCGGACGCAGGAGCAAATCCGAGGCTCGGGTCCGGGAGCAAAAATGTGAGGCTCGGGTCCAAAGCAGATGGCTCCCTAGATCAAAACTCTCTCCCGCAGGAAGAAGGTTACGCTCCTTGTGTGGGCCCACATAAACATTAAAACGACACCGTGTTATATGATTTGCAATAAACAGCCACTTTTGAATAGTTAATGAACTAACATGTCTTTCTCGGGACACTAATAAACCGAACATAATTGTGTTTGGAAAAACCGTAGAGTCCATTCTAATCCTATGTAATTACTCCCATCAATTTTTTTTATAATAAAAAACTGTCCTTAATTGCGTGCGTTTAAAGTCCCTTTTTCCCTGCCACGTCACACGTATAATTTAAATTTGCATGCTCCTTGCTTTTTCAGACCAATATGCATGCATCTTCTTAGTTACGTGTTCTCTCGCTTCTACATTCAGAGACTCTCTCTGTATGCTAATGAAACCAAATTCAAGAGAATCTTATCAAATGATCACTTCAGATGATTGATCGAATAGATATATGCATAAAACATTATCTGGACTAGCCAAAAGAGTTTTCGGCGAGACTCAATGTCAATGCATGATCGACCAAACCCCGTTTCTATCTCCAGACTCTAAATTTCGTGTGTTACAAGTTACCACGTCTAAAGCTATATACAGAAAACTTGGAAAAAAATTCCTGTTTCACCATTCCAAGTATTGATGGAATTAGTGACTAAAACAAAAACAAAAAAAGTATTGATGAGTCATGAAACACAAAAATACATCTAACAATCCAAACCGAACGAAACTTAAATTTTCAAACTGAGAAGGACCCAAAATTAAAGCTATTTCCATGAAACAACCTAATATCCGAAAAATCCAATCAAAATTAAACCGAAGAAAACAAAAAACTGAACTGCCCATGCATACGGACCCCATATAACTTGTTTTCTCGGTCTTGTCTTTGTTCCACCTCTTTCCGCACGCATATAAATGATCCTTGTTTACAGAAATTTTATTTATTATATATAGTATATAAGTACGTAGTACATCATATCCTTTCATAAGAGCTTGTCCTCACTAGAAAAGTAATGTAGTAGTGTCATTATCATTCGTCATCCACCCCTATCTTAGTACTCAAGATTCAGATTCACTGTGCGAGGCTCCTTCTTACACGAAGCAGCATCTTTCGTAAATACTATTCTCTTGTTTAACTGAATATAAAAATGCATATTTATTGTTTTTTGTGGGTGGGCTCGACAACTTCTTTTTTATTCTGCTCCTCTTTTTCGTTTAAAAATAAATATAAAATCAGTTCTTTATGAAATTCAAATGCGGTCTATGATCCATAAACGTGGCCTTGGCATTTACCCGAATCCCATCCGTCTCCATCATTTGCCTTTCGATCGTATATGGAAGTTGGAACGACGTCGACGCCAATTCTGCGGTAATCGTAATAGTATTAAAATTGTGGAGCCAACGGAAACACAATGCATTTTTGCATTTCCATGCACACCTTTGTTTAATTTTCTAAAGAGAAATTAGTATATATATAATTTGTATTGATCTAATTTTTTTAAATCCAGTTCGACTTTGAAGGAATTTAAGTTCGACTTGTATATAATTCTTGTCAAGACCTCGATCCCGCATCCAGTAATAAAATAATAATGATTGCAAAGGACAACACTAATAAAGAAAATGCTATAACGAGAAAGAATTCTGAAAGACGTACTAACGAAAATTGTGTCCTAGTGACCATAACAGGAGTATCATCCAACACTATGAACCACATATCTTACCTACCCTTCACGAGTACTCTCCAGCTACCACGATTAACGATAAATATATGGTCCAGAGAATTTCCGAATGATCCGCTAATATTCGAATAACTGAAATTATCAAGCAGTGAGTTTAATTTTTTGTAACCGTATATCTTTTTAGCCTTTTAAAATGATAAACTCATTTATGAATTAATTGAATATATATTACGTTTAACCCATCCATTCATATTGTCACATATTTTTGAATTTTGTTAACTTCCTTTTTATTTCTTTTCGTATTTTCTCAAAATCATATGTAGTCATTATATATACACACAAAAAAAAGAGATAGATATTGACTAAAAGGTAGTGAAAAATTACAAATCTATAGACATTACACCATAAAAACCATTTTTCAATAGACAAATATATGGTTTTACTATGTGTTGCGGGAATCAACGGAATCAACTTGATGTTAGTATTTACAAATAGACGATAAATCTTCTAAAATTAATTATAAACACGTGAAAGCTTAAAGACATTGTGTAATATCTTCTGATAATTTTTAATGTTCAAGACAGTATTTTGATTATGAAGCTTGGTCGAAACCAAAAACAAAAATCAAAAGACAAGAAGAATTGAAGAAGTGAAGAACACAACGTTTCGTTTTAAACCATACAAAAAAGTGGTTCACGATGTGATCTTAAATGTATATCTCTTTAATAATCACTTTTCCGTTGAAAAGGAGAGGAAAAAATCACTGTAGACTTAGTTTTTGGAAAGTATTTCTCATCCCCTTTTCGCAAGGGGATTGTGTTTTTTTTTATCGAAAATACATGGTCCATGGTTAAATGGGTCAAGAGTATAATTTAGTACTATAATTTTATAATCAAAATGTTCTAAGTTCTATCTTATATTTATATAAAAATAGAAGAAGATGTTCTAACTTATATCATATTAATTAGTGGCTTTACTTAACCAAAAGATTGTTACTTATATTTTTCAACCTACGTTCTACTAACGACTAAGTATTCAGTAAGATATATAGCTACCTTTCATAGTATTAATCAAATCTTACGAACCAGAAAGCTCACCTACCATTCGACTCTCTTTCGCTTCCAACTTATTCTACATAAGATAAGATTTTCTCATCTACATATTCGTATGTTTGACGTCGTGGTGGGATCCATGATTTATCCACTTTAACAATAGAAAACAAAAACCTAATCAGAGAAATATAAGCTCTTATGTTTTAAAAGGAAAAAAGCAATGGAAATTGAAGCTTTTTAACCAACAAAAAAACCAGAGAAATATACATTATTATAATTTTATATATTCTGTCAAGACGATAATTATCAATGTATATGTGTACTAATAATGTTATTACTCGATTACACCCGTAGTTAATAAGCCACTTAAAATTAACTATTTACAAAAAAAAAAAATCTTTTGGTGACTTTGATTTGATGGTGTGAAAATCTACATCTCATTCTTCAGTATTCAGATGATTATAACAAAATGTTTTTTTTCTAAACTTGCATTTCCGATAATCTAATACTAAAAAATGTATCGGCAGAAAGAATACTAGCTTGAAAAACCTTTTTATAAAAAAGAAAAGTAAATATACTAGCTAATGGTGCCCAACAGGAGATCGAAGTGGTGATGTTTAATTAGTTAAAGGTAAAAGAAAACCTATTTCTAACTTTTGATGAAACAATAAAAACAAAAAAATCTTTCTAACCTAACCGAGACATGCATAGATAGATTATTGGATTTCGCAAAAAAAAAAAAATCACCCTTTATTTATAGCTTATGTTTGTTATTCCTCATTTCTCACTTACCATTCAAACCCAACACTATGGCCACTCTCTTACTCACAATCCTCCTCCCCACTTTCCTCTTCCTCCTCGTCCTCCTCCTTTCTCTCCGCCGCAACCACAACCGCAGTAGCCGTCTCCCACCAGGCCCAAAACCATGGCCCATCCTCGGAAACCTCCCTCACATGGGTCCTAAACCCCATCGAACCCTAGCCGCCATGGTAACCACCTACGGTCCAATCCTCCACCTCCGATTAGGGTTCTCCAACGTCGTGGTTGCTGCGTCTAAATCCGTGGCCGAACAGTTCTTCAAAATCCATGATGCCAATTTCGCTAGCCGACCACCAAATTCAGGAGCCAAACACATGGCATATAACTATCAAGATCTTGTCTTTGCGCCTTACGGACAACGATGGAGAATGTTGAGGAAGATTAGTTCTGTTCATTTATTTTCAGCTAAAGCTCTTGAAGATTACAAGCATGTTCGGCAGGTAACAGTATTAGTTATAAACGTTATTCTCATTTCCTAACGCTATAACTCACCTATATATAGAGATAGTCATGCCGTTAATTTTTATATTTATGATTAGTTTATTTTATATCATTATTTAACTGTGGTACGAACTCTAGAATTTAATAAAATAAATTTAGAGAAGTACGTATAGAGATTTTTAATGGTGGAGTGGCGTTTTTTTGTTTAGTATTATGTTTTCAGTGTTGATAAAATAACCAAAAAATAATAATGTTAGTAATCGTTAAAACACAAAACAAATTTTGTTGATAAAACGAGATTTATGACTTTTTATCAACAGATTTTGTTTTGAAAAACGAGAACTAGAACATAATACTATAACAAGTTCCAATCCTGTAGAACTAGTCACCAAGTCATAAAACTGGAACTTTTTTATCAAAAAATATTGTTTCGTTTTTCACGATTTGCAACCTTTTTCGTTATTTTAACAATATTGGAAACATTGCAACCTATAAACCCCAATTTAAACGAGTAAAACAAAAAAAAAATACTAAAGTAGGCCTAAGTGCAACTGTGCAATACTGTCGTTGCCATAGACGTACAGTACGATGTATCCTTGATAATACCATGGAAAAATGGAAAGTTCATCAGAAACCCAAGGACAAAATACTTCAATATGTATGGACCACATTTTTCCTTAAATAAGATGTATCAACGAGTCACCACGAGACACGAGTGATTCACTTTCAGTAGTATAAGATTGTTTTTGCATTTTCGTTTAAAAAAATGTAGATGAACATACAAGATGATCCTGACAATTTATTTATAGGTAGATTACTTTTCATTGATGGAACAATTGAATATACAAAAATGTAAACTAGACTTCAGAATTTTAAGTTTAGGGGTTAAAGTAACTTAACTAGGGTCTAAAGTGTATATAGGCTTTATATTTGAGCTTAGGATTTAGATATTGGTTAATTAGTGGATTTTAATCGATTTAAATTTAGAAGCAAGATTATTTGTTATTAAGTTATTACTTTTTAAAATCATAGTTAAAGTCATGTGTTAGGGGTTTAATAAATTCTAAATATTAGTTGAAATTTAATGTTATTAATTTTTATAAGAAATCGATTTTACATTCGATTTTAGTTTTTAACATCTTTGTAAGTGCTTTTGAGTTACTAAAGCAACTTTCTTATTTAAAAACAGGCTTATTGAATTTTTTTTAAAAATTACGTTTTGAAAGCATTTGAGTAATTGTAAATCTTAAGTAAATTTATAAATCAATTATAACCCTAACTAAAATTTATTAATCAACTAAACTTCATACACCAATAATCCTACTTAGAGTTTTATAAGGTTTTTGCTGTTAATCAAACATCAAGATTTAAAAATGAGTAAAATAAATTCCAAAATCAACTAATATACCCAAAATTTTCCATTTATAGTTTAAGTAGAGCAAAATTGAATTTTACAGGAAGAGGTAGGAACGCTCACGCGCGAGCTAGTGGATGCAGGCACGAAACCCGTAAACTTAGGCCAGTTGGTGAACATGTGTGTGGTCAACGCGCTTGGAAGAGAGATGATCGGACGGCGTCTGTTCGGCGCCGGAGCTGATCACAAAGCGGAGGAGTTTCGATCGATGGTGACGGAAATGATGGCTCTCGCCGGAGTATTCAACCTCGGAGATTTCGTGCCGGCTCTGGATTGGTTAGATTTACAAGGCGTTGCTGGTAAAATGAAACGGCTACACAAAAGATTCGACACTTTTCTATCGTCGATTTTGAAGGAGCACGAGATGATGCACGGTCAAGATCAAAAGCATAAAGATATGCTCAGCACTTTAATCTCGCTCAAGGGAACTGATTTTGACGGTGACGGCGGAAGCCTAACGGATACTGAGATCAAAGCCTTGCTCTTGGTTCGTATAACGATCAATTAATTGTAGTATTAATTTCATACTTTATGAAAAGTTATTGATTCCTTCTTAAATACAGAACATGTTTACGGCTGGAACTGACACGTCAGCAAGTACGGTGGACTGGGCCATAGCTGAACTGATACGACACCCGGATGCAATGACCAGAGCCCAAGAAGAACTTGATTCAGTTGTAGGCCGCGATAGGCCCATTAACGAGTCAGACCTTTCTCGGCTTCCTTATCTTCAGGTATACCCTTAACCGGGAATTAGGAATTGTCTTGGTTAACGAGCTCTATTGTTAATCCGGTTTAAACGGTTTTGTTTTAAAAACAGGCGGTTATCAAAGAGAATTTCAGGCTTCATCCGCCGACACCACTCTCGTTACCACACATCGCATCAGAGAGCTGTGAGATCAACGGCTACCATATCCCGAAAGGATCGACTCTTTTAACAAACATATGGGCCATAGCCCGTGACCCGGAACAATGGTCCGACCCGTTATCGTTTCGACCCGAGAGATTTTTACAGGGTGGAGAAAAATCCGGCGTCGATGTGAAAGGAAGCGATTTCGAGCTTATACCGTTCGGAGCCGGGAGGAGAATCTGCGCTGGGCTCAGTTTAGGGCTACGGATGATTCAGTTACTGACGGCGACGCTGGTTCACGGATTTGATTGGGAATTGGCCGGAGGAATTCCGCCGGAGAAGCTGAATATGGAGGAGACTTATGGGATTACTCTGCAAAGAGCAGTTCCTTTGGTGGTGCATCCTAAGCCAAGGTTGGCTCCCAGTGTTTACGAACTCGGGTCGCGCTAAACCTAAGTTTGCTTGCCAGCAAAGGTAGGTCTTGCACGGAGGTTAAAAAGCTTGTTTCTGGAATTTCCTCAAATAAAGTTTAAAATAGCGTAATGTGGTCCGGAGTATAAGGCTATGTTATCTGCGTCGTCGATCCGATGCCGAGGAAGAAGACGATGGCTCTCGAAAGCAAACCTGATCCGCGGACCCGACCCGTTTTATACGACTAAGATTTTCATTCATAATAGTATATGATAATTTTAAATTTTAAATTTTTATCGTGTAATTTTTACAGTACTGAATTTTGTATTAAAGCATCTTCCTTACTGTACCAGATGCATTTACAACTCTAGATTTTTTTCTGCCAGCAAAATCAGATTTTTCCATCTTTTTTATATATATTAAAGTGGAACACCACTACAACCTGCAATTCTGCAACACATGTTACATTACACATTCATTTGGCGTTTTCCAATAAGTTATAAACAGTGAATGTTTGTAGACAATAGACAATTATAAACAGTAAATCATGTTTCCCCTCTGTTTTCAAAAGTGAAAAAGTTTCTAAATATGTATATGTATTATACTTTAATAACTCGTCGGACCATACTATTCCCACCTTCTAATTAACCTTGTATACACTGGTTTACCAACACCATGTCTCTTCCTTGTTCAAAAAAACTCCATGTCTCTTTAATTACTTTTTTTCTTCTTCTCGAAATTTGTTGATAATAGAAACTAGTCGAAGTTTCTCTTTAATTCTGTTTTCATTTAATATAAGCGTCGTTGTTATAATTTCAAATTTCAAAAAGGTACTTACAAGTTCACACGGAGAGCTACAATAATGGAAAAGCTGACTCAAGAAGGGCTAGAAAAGAAACAAGAGTCACGGAACAAGTAGTCACTTTCAATCTCAGTATACAGTACACTAGTGTCTGCTTGCATCTCTCTCTCTCTCTCTCTCTCTCTCTTGGTCTAAAAATATCAGAAGAGAAAATCTCTCTATCTATTTATCTCTCTTTCCCTTTCTCTTTCAACAAGACAATAGTGACGACATTTGTGTTTCCATGGCTGTTCTGGTTCTCTATCTCCTCGGTTTCCTCATGGCTGGCCACTGTAGTAAGAAACTCTCGCTCTTCACTACATTACTTATCTCTCTCTTTTTTTTAAATGTGTCTATTGATGGGAACTAAATTTCAATAAAATTCTTTCGGCTCTTAGCTAGTTATCACTACATCTCTTAAGTTCACGACCCTCAAAAAGAAGGTTTCCTCAAATCTTCTTGGCTTCACACTTACAATTTGTTTCATTTGGTAGGCGCGACGTGGTGTGTGTGCAAAACAGGACTGAGTGACTCAGTGCTACAAAAGACATTAGACTATGCTTGCGGGAATGGAGCTGACTGTAACCCAACTCACCCAAAAGGGTCTTGCTTCAACCCCGACAATGTTAGGGCTCATTGTAACTATGCTGTCAATAGCTTCTATCAAAAGAAAGGTCAAGCTTCTGAATCTTGTAATTTCACTGGAACTGCCACTCCTACCACAACTGATCCCAGTAAGTTTCCCTCAGAAATCTGATGCTTTTACTGTGATTGTTTACAACTCTAAATAGTTTTTGGAGTCACAGAAAGTCCACCGTCATTTTGGTTACTTAAAATGATTTGGTATTAGAGATTAGTGAATATTAAAGTTTAAAGTAACAATTTGGTTTTAGTAATGTATGAGGAGGATCTGATTTGGTTACAGTACACTAAATGTTTTTTTTTTTGTGTGTGTGCTTTTTTGCTTTGATGGGTGAACATTTTGTCACAGGCTACTCAGGATGTGCATTCCCTTCTAGTGCTAGGTATGGTTCTTTGCTTTCTTTCTACATATTTATTACCTTACTGGCTTTATCTTGAAATTGAAGGAGAGCCAAACAAAAGATATCTCCTTTATTTAGTACTAAAAATTAATTTATAATTTCTATTTGTGGGAAAAGGTAAAAAAAGTAAACAAAAAGCTTGATCTAGGCCAAATGTGAACAATTTTTATTATGTTGCTTTAATATGTTCGACTCACTTTAAAGACTCTGCCTTTTTACTTAACGCATTGCTTAAAATACTGTGGTAGTCAACGTTGTGAGTTCATTTGAAAATAATTATAATAATAATAATGCATATGAAATGTGAATGCAAACTCTAACAATGGAGGCTTAACATTGAATGATTTTGGATGAACAGTGGCTCTGGAGGAAGCAGCAGCACCGTGACGCCAGGCAAAAGCAGTCCAAAAGGAAGTAACACCATCACCACATTCCCCGGCGGAAACAGTCCATACACCGGCACACCAACCACCGGTTTATTAGGAGGCAATGTCACTGATGCTACCGGAACCGGGTTTAACCCGGATTACTCAACCGAAAGCAGCGGTGTCACGCTCCGTAACTCCAAGACCTTATTCCTCTGCTTGTCTTTTGTCTTGATGATGATGCTCTGAAGATCATGAATGTCTTTCTCTAGTTTACTGTTTTAAATTCAAAACAATATGTTATGTCAGTTTCTACTAGTTCATTTCGGATTTCGGTTCATGCTTTTTTATTTTTATTTTTTTATTTAGGAGAACAATTAACAATGTAAAACCGAATCGGTTTGATACGAATTCGATTTCGGTTCGTTATCTTTGATCTTAAGCATCAGATTAGATTTTAGCAGTGAAACTTAAATTTTATTAGATTTGAATCGGTCTGAGCAATGAAAAAACCCATTAATAGATCAGATTAAGATTTACTATGATCGATTATTTTGTTGGTAAAGTTGAACAATTTAATATAAAGTATCTCGGTTTAGTTCGATTCAGTCTGGTTTATTTCGGTTTGTGAAGTTGTTTGGGGAACATAAGCCTCTAGTTCGGTTAGAGTGTCCCCTCGGTAATTGAAAATATATATTTTGGTTATATCTGAGTTGGACTTGTGAAGAAAACTGCTTCAAGAAGACGATCTCCTTCTTCTCTCGTTTTCCGCTTTTTTAAAAATCTAAATTTTATTTTGCGTACTCATCGACGCCATTTGAAGATCCTTTTTGCAAAGAATCGATGAAGAACAGAGACAATAATCCTTCAGTAAGATCATCGCTTCTTTCGATTCAAATTCCAAGATTCGAGAACAGGGATAAAAGTCCTGCGGTAAAAGGGAATTTAAAGAAGAAAACCCCAAGAAATTATCATTGGGTCTTCTTTTAAATGATTTCTCTTCAGGAATCCATTAATTAGCATTTGGAACTGTTCTATTGTTTAATCAAAAGATCTCCGCCTAGAAGAATCTTGAACTGTTTTATTGTTTTAGTAAAGAAATTCTGAGAACCAGAATCATATATTGATTGGCTTGAATATTCCGAGATTCTAAGGTTTCTGCTGGTTAGATAATTCTTGATCATCATGTGTTTGTTATTGGTCATGACTTTAATCCAAGTTTTCTATTGGTTTGTGATCTGCTGATTTTATTCAAATCTGTTATATATATAGGAGCCTTGTCACATATGTGGGGATATCGGCGTTGGGAATTCTATTATGACTTGTTACAACTGCAGAGAAGTCAGAGAGCATATGTAAGATCATTACCACTTCTTGGTAAACTTTTTTTATATTTTATATAGCATATATATGATTCTGATTCTTTTTCGATGAATCTTTCGCTTCCGTATATTCAGTTATTGCGCAAAGATCCGTTTACGATCTTTACCGGACATGTGGCTATGTCAAGCGTGCAGATCCTCAACTCGTGTCTTACATATTTCGAACAAGAAGAAGGCTTTATCAACCGATTATATGTTATCCAGTAGTGATGATCCAAGCAAGAAACACAAACCGCCATTTCTCGCTTTTCCTTCTCCAAAGAGAAAACGCCGGACGCCTCGGTTTGGTAAAAAGCAAAACACAATATATATTATTTGGTTCAGTCTCTGACAAAATTTGAGACTATGATCTTGTTCTTGTGTTTCGTATTGTGTGATTTCTTTGAATTTTTATTTTATTTTCTTGTAGAGGTTACTGAAGAGACTAACAGTCGTCAAGGATCTCAAAGCTCGTATCCTTGTGTATTTCGTCAGATTAATTGAGACACTGTTAACTTCACCTGAGCTTATTTGCTTAAGTAATTAGGGCTCGTAGAGTTTTACTCTCCTTGGGGTTCAAGTTACTTAATTACTGGCTATGTAACGTTGGTTTCATGTCATGTGACGTCCTGTGGTCGCCATTCTATCTTGGTCACTCTGCCTCCTGCTTGAAACTCACTTTTTGTGCTTGTTTTAAAATTTTATTTTCATCATATTTCATGATTAAAGTTTGTATTTTCTAAACTAAAAAAAATGTTGGTTCAAATTTTATTTTGAGAGCTCTAGTGATAACTGTAGAACCTGTTCATTTGCTCTCGAGTGCTGCTTTAAAAATGATAATCAAAATGGTGATTTTATTTATCACGAATTTAAATTATAGCTAAAAAGTTACCCGCGCAATTGTTATTTTAATAATTTTAATCAATTTTCAAAATTTTAATCAACTTTCAAAATTTAAAAATTACCTGCGCAATTGTTTACATTTAACTATATAAACAAAATAAAACAAATTATATTTTAATTTCATTTTTTTTTCTTTTTACCTTTTTAAAAATTAAATAAAATATATTATCATTCACTAATTATAAATATTCTATAGTTGCTAAAAATTTAGTTGGCAGTTGAATTTGTAGTGATAATTATTTTTTTATTAAAAATGGATAACTAATTTCTTATTTATATTGAAAATTTTCATATTTAAGAGCTTAATTATATCTTCCATATTTTTCTATAAGTAACATTTGAGTAAATTTGGTGACAGTTTAGCCTTCTGTTTTTGGTAAGCAAAATTTTAATGCATTTATAACAAATGATTTAATAAAATGTCTAAAATGGTTTAATGTTGTAAAATTAGTTACTTCGTTGGTTATTTGGTGTCCAATGATACAGCTCCAAGAAGAAAACAAGGACCACGTTTTGTTTGGCTTTGGATATGCATAAAATCGGACAGCAATTAAGCGACGAAGTTCCTAAGAGAAGTATACTCAATTTTTATGGTCGAATATGTATTATTATCCTTTATTTAATAACCGGCAATTGTACCCTTGGCAGCTCCTAAGGCTTCTTCACTGACTTGCCGGCCTATCGCCGAAGAAGATTACTTCCTTCCTTTAATCCTCCAGACTTTCCATTGCTGTATTCTCAAAGCTCCAATATTTCTTCTTCTTTTCTTGCTTCCAGTTTCTTTGATCACTCCCCATCACTTTGTCTCTGATGGAAAGTCGAAGCCTTTTCTGGGTTTCTCCGATGGGTATTGCTCACTACTTGGATTTTCCGCATGGAGTGGTAAATTAGGGTTTTTGGCCATCGCCCTCAAACGGTTTGCAGCAGTCTCGGTTCTATGAGTTTGGGAATACAACATCGCTCTTGAATTGGATTCTAGCCTCGATTAATTTTGGGATTCTTCTGTGATATTATAGCTTCGTTCTTCTGGTTGGTGCTGAAAAATTGAAAGCCTGAGTCTTTGATTCTAAAGCTTGGAGTGAGATTGGGAAATGTTTTCGGGGAGGTCTACAATGTTTGAGGAGTTGGAGCGCTCTCTTGATTGTTGAGGACAAAGAGAGAAGAAATGGATCTATGGATAATCGCAGCTACTGCTGCTACAGGATATATAGCCAAGCATCTGCAAAATGTATCAAAAGGTAAAGGAAACTTCCCCGAGTTTTCTTCTGAAGATTTGATTTTGACTAATGTGAAGCCAGAATCTCCGAGATGTTTGGTTAGCGGAATGGTACCAAATGAAGAAAACTTTGAGGATTGCCTAAATGGGGGAAATCTAGATGTATTCGAATGTGGCAATGTATACGGAGTGGAAGTAGCTTCGGGTAATGAGGAGATTCGTTCAGATTCTTTTGGGAACAGAGCGTTTCTTAGGCGAAATCAGCGGTACAAGAGTCTTATCAAGCCTTTTTCTATGGAGAAGAGCGTAGTGTCTCGATTACATAGAGAGCAAATGTCCATGGAGGAACATATGCGTAGCCCTTATCCATCGCCGTGCGGTTCAGTTTCGAGGCCCTTGGTTGTTACTGATGGTACAGAAGTAATTAGCAGGAACTCTGGAGACTGTATTAGCCAGCGAGTCCCGAATTTCGGAATTCCTCAGCTAAGGAAGTTGGAATCTTCGGGTCTTTATGCTAAGAGGAGAGATGGTAATGCGAGTAGGAGATCTGATAATGGGATTGGTAAACTTCTTACTATCTTTGTAAATGTGTAAGATTTGTTTATATGTTAATAAAGGAGAAGACTTTACATTCTGTTTTTCTTTTTTCCGGATCAGATGATGCAGCGTTACTGTTATGCTTTGGAATTTCGATTGGGATAATGTCATCATTTCTACTAGCAAACCAAACCGAAGTTAACAAGGTCAAACCTGAGTTAAAGCAGACTGAGGATTTAGAAGATGAGCTCAAGGCGAAAGATTCGTTGACAGTGAAAGATGACTTCCACAATTGTGGAAAACAGTGTGATGAAAAGACGTTAGAGAATTCAGAATCTATAAGTAAAATTGAAGCAGAGCTTGAAGCTGAACTTGAAAGGCTGGAGATCAACATGAACTCCTCCAACATTGAGACAAGACTCTCAGATGACTTTGAGGTGAGCTTTATACTTTTACTTATGTTTTTTGTGCTTTGCTTTAAACTCATCATCGTCTCATTTTTGTCGATCATGTCTGTTCATTTTGGAAGTTATCCCGCTGCATTAAAGTTCCTTGTTTATCCATAAATGACAAATAGAGCGAAACAGATATTTGACGGTATGAATTGCCATTGGTTTATAGAACTTAAGTTGGTTAATTGTTTCTTGATTCTGCAGCTGGAGTCGGGTTTTGAGGTAGAATTTGCGCAGGGAGAGCTGAGAGATGATCTGGTTGAAAGGCGGTGTTTTGATGAAACCGAGTCCAACCAGGAACCGAGTGGAAACGCCACTCCTGAATCAGGAAACTATACAGTCTCACCTCGTGAGTTAAGCTTGCGTCTGCACGGAGTTATCAACTCGCGTTATGAGAAACGGATAAAAGAACTCGAGATCGCCTTACAAGAGAGCCAGAGGAAAGTGGAGCAGCTAGTCATGGAATCAGAGGAAAACAAGAAGCCATTGTCAAGGATTTGGGAAACCCATCAAGTGATGAAACACAAGAGAGACTCAAATCTTCCAGTTTCTGTATCGCATGTAGAGCAGAAGCATAATCCTGCAGAGAACCAACCTCTGGTTATGAATTTAGCAGGGCCAGCGCTTGATGCGTTCAACGAGTCTTACGAGGAACTGATGGATATAAACGATTATTCTGAAGAAGACGATTTACCATATGAGATGCAGGAGAATGAGCGGCAAGAAAAATTGTCTTTGACGAGCAAAAGCTCACCTTGGAGCCATAAAGATTACATAAAGGATTCCTCAAGAACTTCAGAGGATGTGAGTTTCTTCAGTCTGCAAGAGCTACTTGGTCTGAGCGACGAAGAAGAAGAAGAAGAAGAAGAAGAAGAAGAAGAGATTGAGAGTGAGATGGAGATGCAACTGATAAAGCAGATTGTTGAGAAAACGAAACAAGGGTCTTCTGCTGTGTTTAATGCCCAGAAGATGCTATTTCTCATGGAAGAAATAGAACAGAACCCATAAAATGCTCAAATTCTCATTTGTTTCTGGTGAAATTATTGTAGGCGTCTCCAGTTAGTGTGTGTAGATGTGTAAAGATTTGGTGAAACTTGTCTTGTCAGATCCAAACAAACTGAAAATATGTTTTGTCAAACTCCATGTTTATGCGAGTAACGGTGTAAAAGATGGAAAATGAAATCTGGCCAATTAAGGCTATTAAGCTATAAACTGAAACCTTCTAGCTGAGTGAGTAGGTTGGCTAATTAAGGCTATTAAGGCTATTAAGCTATAAACTGAAACATTCTAGCTGAGTGAGAAGGTTCAAAAGAGGGCGCCAAACACAAAATTAAGAAGCGAGACAAGAAGAAGCGGTGAAGTTTTGGAAACAGAGGTAAGGAAAATCGGCGGGAATAATTAACCAAAAATCTAATAGCTCCCGCGCAAATCTTCCCGTTTACAAAACCATTTCGCTTCCCTGATTATTCCTGTATCCTTCTCACACAGATTTGGATTTTGTTTTCCGAGAGAAATATAGATAGGGATTAGGGAGAGATGGAGAACTCAGTGACCCAAGATGGTATCGCCACAGTATTATCATATCAACCCCTTGATTCGTCCTCTGTTCGACCTGAGATCGTCGTTCAAGTCGTGGATCTTAAACCTGTTGGAAATCGATATACGTAAGTTTCTTACTTTTTTTCACTTCCACACAATGATTATTGTTCTTTCAATTCATCACCCGAGTTTGAGATCGATTTGCTGATTTTTCCCTTTTCTCTCTCTAGATTGTGTTTCCTTGATATATTTGGTAGTTCAAGAGCTGCGCTTTAACTTGAGAATTTTATTTTTGTGTGAATCGATCTAGGTTCTATTGATATGTTCAGAATTCGAGTTCCGTAATTCTGGTTATAGATTAGGGTTCCTCGCGATTGATTCCCTGTTTGAGATCTGGGTTTTGTTAGCGTCTAGCCAATTCTCAGTTTTCTTTAGATTTGAACATAATACTGGGTTTTGCTCAGGGCTGTGTGATTTTCGTTAATCGAGTTTATTGGTTCGATTTTGTTGCTCAGGTTTAATGCTAATGACGGAAAGATGAAGATTAAAGCAATGTTACCGGCGACTTTGACATCTGTTATCACCTCTGGGAAAATCCAGAATCTGGGTCTGATTCGCCTCCTTGATTATACCGCCAACGATATTCCAGGCAAATCAGAAGAAAAGTAATTATCTCTTCTGCTTCTTTGATGATCAAAGAAAACAATGAGTTGGTCAATGAATTCAACAAAACTAATCTTTTGTCTCTTTCCTTTTAGATACTTGATTGTAACGAAATGCGAGGCTGTTGCTCCTGCACTTGACTCAGTGATCAAGGCGGAGATTAAAGCTTCCAATGGCATTATGCTCAAGTCGAAGCAGGACTTTGTTGCCAAATCAGCTTCACAGATAATCAATGAGCAGAGGGGAAAGTAAGCAAATCTAACTTACACTTCTTCGATTCATATTATTTGTCAAGTTGTTATGAATGTTGCCTAAACAACCTCTGTGGGTTTTTCTAGTGCTGCACCAGCTGCAAGAATGGCTATGACCAGGAGGGTTCATCCGCTTGTTTCCTTAAACCCCTACCAAGGAAGTTGGACCATCAAAGTCCGTGTGACGAACAAAGGAGTCATGAGAACTTACAAAAACGCTAGAGGAGAAGGATGCGTCTTTAATGTAGAACTAACTGATGAGGAAGTAGGCCTGCGACTTTGACGAATTCTCTAACTCTGATAAATTGTCTTAAGACTTTATGTGGTGATTGATTTTCTTTATTGTTGGATTTTCAGGGAACACAGATTCAGGCAACGATGTTTAACTCAGCTGCGAAGAAGTTTTATGACACATTCCAGATGGGAAAGGTGTATTATATATCGAGGGGATCACTTAAGCTTGCTAATAAGCAGTTCAAGACGGTTCAGAACGATTATGAGATGACTCTGAATGATAATTCAGAGGTTGAAGAAGCGAGGAACGAAGAAGCGTTTGTCCCTGAAACAAAATTCAACTTTGTACCCATTGATGGGTTGGGTGCATACGTGAATCAGAAGGAGCTTATTGGTAAGAGCCACTTCTTATATAGAACTCTTCTTGTTTGTAAATACTGGTTCAGGATTATAGTTAGCCACCTGAATGTTATTTCATTTTCAGATGTTATCGGAGTTGTCCAAAGCGTTTCTCCTACGATGAGCATTAGAAGGAGGAACGACAACGAGATGATCCCAAAGAGGGATATCACTTTAGCTGATGAGACGAAGAAAACTGTTGTGGTGTCCCTTTGGAACGATCTAGCGACTGGCTTAGGACAAGAACTTCTAGACATGGCTGATAAGCATCCTGTCATCGCAATTAAGTCTCTCAAAGTTGGAGATTTTCAAGGTAAATCTTAAATTTCATTTTAAGTGAAAATAGTAACTTTGTCAAATTGTGTGCTGATAGAAACCGACTTTGTTACTTGTTAGGTGTGTCATTGTCCACTATCAGCAGGAGCAATGTGGTGATAAATCCTGATTCTCCTGAAGCTACAAAGTTGAAATCTTGGTATGACTCTGAAGGTAAAGAGACATCTATGTCTGCTATTGGCTCTGGGATGAGCTCTTCTGCCAATAATGGATCAAGATCCATGTATTCTGACAGAGTCTGTCTTTCTCACATCACAAGCAACCCGTCTTTAGGCGATGAAAAGGTACTTCAAATTCTTTTACATATGAAGTTCTGGGAAAAAGAAAAGCTGTGGCTTATGTGATCCTGCATTTGTATTGCAGCCTGTATTTTTCAGTACTAGAGCTTACATAAGCTTCATCAAGCCAGACCAGACAATGTGGTACCGTGCTTGCAAGACCTGTAACAAGAAAGTGACTGAAGCAATGGACTCTGGTTACTGGTGTGAAGGTTGTCAGAAAAAGGATGAAGAATGCAGCTTAAGGTGAGAATGATACTGAGACTCATAAAAATTACATTCAAGAATAGAGATCGAATCTTGTTTGCTTTAACTGTGTTGTTACTTAATGGTGTGATTAGGTATATAATGGCGGTGAAAGTCTCTGATTCAACCGGTGAAGCATGGTTTTCTGCATTCAACGATGAAGCAGAGAAGATTGTTGGATGCACAGCTGATGGACTCAATGAACTAAAATCAGAGGTAAGAAAACTAAAAACCATTTAAAAGATTTAAAACATTCATAACTCTCCAGGTTCTGATTTAAAACTGTATGATGTTTATATTTGGTTTTCTACAGGAAGGTGAAGTGAATGAGTTTCAGACAAAACTGAAAGAAGCTACATGGTCATCTCATCTCTTCCGTGTTAGTGTTTCTCAACAAGAGTATAACAGCGAGAAGAGACAGAGGGTAACTGTGAAAGGTGTTTCTCCGATTGATTTTGCTGCTGAAACAAGATTATTGCTCCAAGACATTTCCAAGAACAAGACATCCCACTAATTCTAACCTTAATTATGTTTGTATAAGCTTTTGCTAAACTAAAAAACCCAAGCTCGCTCTGTATTATAAGCATTTCTGCGGTCAGTTTCATTCGTTTTTTCTGTCACTAGAAAATTGACACAAGTCTTAAGTTTTGCAACAATCATCAATAGACTGAGAATAGAAGAGCAATTTAACAAAAAAATTAAATTGAAAAAAATGAAAAATTCCAAGGATTCTACAAAAGCTTAAAAGAAGGCAAAGTAAAAGAGCTGATTCCGTTAGAGAATCACTGAAGCTTAGGCAAAGGAGAAGACAATTCCTGGAAATTGTGAAGACTTCCAGTGAAATCAGTGAACAAGCCATCAACACCAATCTTGTTGATCCAATAATCATACTCCAAATACGCATCTTGATAAAACCCGAAATGCAGAAACTGGTTCTCGTTACGGTATGTGTATGGATGGACCTAGCAACAACAACATTATTCAAATGTGAAGCTTAGAGAAACAAACCAAAGATTGATTATAGCTAGAGACATAAGTTTGAGTCCTACACACAAACCTGAAGGTTACGCGAGTGTGCTTTTGCAACCAAATCCGTTGGTGTCGTGAGACGGTTACCGTTCACAGGAACGATTGTGTCTTTCCATGGACCAATCCCAACCACATATGGCTTAATGTAATCTAAATATGCGTCTGATGTAATCTCCGCGTATGTCTGCATTCACATTCATTCCCATCTTAGAGATATAATAAGCACTTTTGATTGGTTTAAAAACATAAAGTAGAAAGGAAGAAAGTAAAATGCAAAGAACCTTATTAGTGTCTTCGGTTAGTATAGTGACATCATCGATCAAGAACACTTTAGGTGAGTCTGTCAAGTTTGAAATGTAAACTAGCGACGTTGCAGCAAAAGACTGGATAAATATTGGCTGTTTTAGCCAATCTTCAGACATATATGAGCCTTTGTATCCATATTTCTCCAAAGTTTCCACAATTTTATCCTCGAACTTTTTACCATTACCCCATTTCACCTGCAGAAAGTTTCCAAAAAAGAATTTAAACACAACTCCATTTGTTATCAGCAATGACTTGAGAGTTAAAAGTTTTGATTTGGATTTTGGAATTAGGTTACGATTTGTTTACTTGCTGATTGATGAAAACCGGGTTCTTGATCTCTGGATAGATCCCAACAACTCTAGATGCATCCAGTGCTATCGAGATATACTCGTCAAAAGTAATAATCGGGAATTTACCTGATAATACCAAACACATTTGCGTTTAGAATTCATTGCCCAAAATAGACTTCAAAGTATATAAAGAAGAGAAAACATTCGTATTTACCGTTGTACTGTTGATCCCTGAAAGGATACCTCTGCTTAGCCCCAATTGTTTTCAGCTCGTCGAGAGTAAAATCAACTGCTCATGGAATGTTCATCAATCTCATTGTTAAACTTTGAAAACAAAGAAACGAATTGGCTTTTCTAGTGTTTTGAAGTTACCAGTGAAGAAGCCGGTTAAGTTCATCCCTTGGACTTCATAGGTTCGCTTACGGTCTGCAAACTCCTTGTGGTCGGCAACATCGGTTGTATCATCGAGATTAACATCGTGATGACATATCAGAACACCGTCTTTTGTAGATAGAATATCTGATTCTATGAAATCTGCACCCTCCTCAATGGCCCTCTGCAATAAGAAAAACAAATCACAGGTACATAAATCTTAATGCAACGGGACAAAATTAGAGTGAAGGTAAGAGCTTTTTACAAGAGATGAAATACCATATATGCAGGAGCAGTTTCTTCAGGGAACTCTCCGTTTGATCCCCTGTGTGCAACATTGAAAGCACGAGAAGTCTGAAGCGGTTTCTTGGTTCCATCTCTTGCTTCACTTGGGAGACGATACAATGGCCTTGATGCACAATCAGCAATCAACAATGACAGTAAAAGCAATGGTAGAAAATCTGCAAAAAAAAAAAAAAAATATATATATCAAGATATTGCAAAATATAAAACTTTTGGAAGACATAGAAGCAATATAAGTTTAACTAAAAAGCAGAGAACTTTGATTTCTAATCTGCCAAATCTCTCACTCAAAAGGGACCAAAAAGAATCATAAACAAAGAAATCATCATCATGAAGTTTTGAGGACTTACACTTCAAGCCCATGACTGAAATGCGCTTGAGAATTCCTCCAAGTACCTTATATGAAGGAATAAACTCTCTGGATTTACAAGTGTGCATCCACCATTATATAGATATACGAGCATATCTTCAGAACAAAGAAAAGATTTTGCCAGAAAAAAACGTAACAAACTCATCAGCGTAAGAATATTCCATTGAGAGATATGCATATTGAAATAGTAAGCCAATAGAAGATAAACTCTTCTTTCGTCTGCAGTTTATCGTCGTTTGAAAGAATATTCTGTTCACTTAGAATTTATGATTATAAATCCTGGTTGAGATAGTTTTATATACATTTGATTTTGAGGTGAACAAAGATACCATAAAACATAGATATTATAAGTTTGGTGATATGATGAAAACGCAATTCAGAATTGGTTGTGAATGAAAAATAAACTCTTTAGTATATCATAAAATCCCAGTCACTAGAAACAAATCTTGAACTCACATGTTTATAACAACACATTGGTGAAATCAGAAACTAGAACATCAATTCTAGAGAAAGAGAGAAGAGACAGTGAAGAAATACAAAACTCAAGAAAGTGAAGAACAAGGAGAGGCTCCTCCATTTTTCTCAGGTTTCTTCAGACTGCCATGAGATCACCATAGCTACGCATGAGGAAGACTCCTCCTGCAAACACCCCAAGTGATCGCAGAAGTTTCTGCACCACAAGAGAGACAACAACAAAAAAACAAAAGCATTCGTGTTTTAGAGTGAGACAGATTTCGATGGTAAGAGTCGATAAGACATTTATGTAAACAACAAAGTTAAGTATCACAAGAACAAGAAGCAACATTCAAACGATTGCTAACGACATCGTGAAACCTAAAACTGAAAATTTATGGAAAACCCCAAATTCAATTAAAGCCTAAATTTGGCGTCTCGAAAATTCCAACAGAATCAAATTCTACTCCAAACCGAATCAATTCAGAGTAAAACGAAGCAGAGAAAAACCTAAACCGAAATTCACAATCGCAGCACTAACCAAAGAATTCAATCCGAGGCGTAGAGAAAGCCTATGAATCTAATCACAATACATACAAGAATATTGACTCCAATGCTCAATTCAGGATCAATCTGGAATCACACGAAACATAGAGAGATGGTAAGAGAATTACCATGTTGGCGGCCCATTTTTGTTCATCGTGGACCTCAGAGTGCCACAAAGCTTTAAGCTTGTCGAATGATACAACAGTGTTCACCATTGTTGCGTGCTGAAATCGGAACTTTGATCGTCTGGATCGGAGACAAAAGAAAAAAGCTAGGGTTTTAACGTCGATTTGGGATCGAGAGAATTTAGTCGGTCACTTCTAAAGTAAAGGGTTTAGGGCTGTCTAAATTACGAAACTAACCTTTACTAATACTAACTCGCCGTTTTGGTTTTAAAAAAATGGAGTGATTTGGAGTGATTTCAGCCAAACAAAAGCCCGAGAAGAGCTAACCAACCATGAGCAAACACGTGTACAACACAATCTTACAAATCTCAAAACTCGTGATCTACAAGCTCTGTCTGGTTTGTTACGTTGTTCTATTGAAAAAAAGCTTCGGAAAAATCGAGAGAAAACGAGAGAGGGAGAGAAACAATTACAAAATGGCGGCGAAATCAATCTGTTCTTCTTTAACAGTGCACTCCATGGCGAATAAGAAGCCTTCACCTTCTGTAACAAGAACAATAACCGCGAAGAAGGTAAAACACAACTATTAAACTGGTTTCATCTTCTTCTTTCTTTTTTGCATTTCCTCAAATTTAATTGATCTTGATTGATTCACAGGGCACAGCGACTCCACCGGTTAAGCTACTGACAAGAGTTGAGCAGCTCAAGCTTTTGACCAAAGCCGAAAAGGCTGGACTTTTGTCTTTAGCAGAGAAATCAGGTTTCTCTCTATCGACCATCGAGCGTCTTGGATTGCTCACTAAAGCCGAGGAATTCGGCGTTTTGTCTGCCGCCACCAACCCCGAAACGCCTGGGACGTTATTCAACCTGAGCCTCGGTTTGCTCCTTCTTGGACCGGTTTTTGTCTACTTGGTTCCTGAAGATTACTCTTGGGAAGTGGTGGTTCAGCTCGTGGTGGCTCTCGTGTCTGTTCTTGGTGGCTCTGCTGCTTTTGCTGCTTCTGGCTTTGTCTCCAATTTGCAGAGATCTGATTAGCCCGGTCTCTGTTGGTTTTGATAAACCGGTCGGTTTTTGTATCAAATTTACTCGTATATTCAGTAATAATGTACTACGTACGACCTGGCAATAGACTTTTCTACTTTATTGTGGAATTCTCATTTCTCATGTATCTGATCTAAATTGTTTCAACTCATTTCACTATCTCTTTGTAAAACTGTAAATGGTTTCATATAACAGAATCCAAGAGAAACGTTTTGCATTTCAATAAGTTCAAATGTAACCTTTTTCTCATTAAGCTCTAGAACTTCGGGAATTTGTTAGATTGATGCAAGTGAAAATTTCCATCAAAGAGAGAATATGTAGTTGTATTTGGGTCACATAATTTTATGAATCTAGCAATAATTGTTTGGGCCTGTTTTTTATACATACAGCATGTGTAAACAATTTTAAAAATCTGAACCATAAAAAAAAAAATCATAGTTTGTTTTAAGAACTAACATTTGAAGTCCACTATTATTACAAAGTATATCAATATAAAAATTAAAAAAGTAGGAAAAACAACTTCAACAAAAGTTTTGCCCATCAAATTCGAAAAAACGCAAATTATCAAGATGAAAAATTTATATGGATCAAAATGTTTCTTTTTTTTGTTGAAATTATTTACTGAGAAAAACTTATTCTGCTGAAATTGTTGATGCTTTTGAGAGTCACATGTTTCAACATGAGAAAAATTGAAGACTCCAGCAAATAAAATTTGAGGTTAATTTTTCAAATTTCTCTTTCGGTTATACGTTTCAAGTAATAGTAATTCATTTTGAATTGATTTAAAACTTTAGAATTTGAGAGAATTTTGAAAAATAATCATAACTTTTGATATTGTTGATTCAGAAATTTTAGAGTTTCCTAATAGATTAAGATTGAATCAACTTACTTCCGAATTCATTGATAACTCAGATACTCTTATGCATTTCGACCAAAGATTCGATAAAGACATCTGTTTTATCGACCATAAATTTTTACATCGACACAATTTGTAACCATTAATTAAAATGCTGAAGTTTTGCACAAGCGATGAACTATTGAAGAATTCAACATTTTTAAAGAGGTATTAGATTGAGAAGACTATTTTGTACTAAGAAACACATGAATGAGAATGAAGGTAGATCTGATTTTACCTTTCTTACATCAGCCTAATCTGTAACCGATAATCAATGAATACTATTAAAAATTATATTAGATTATTAAATTAAAAAGAATAGACAAAAATTCAATAATAATTGATTTTGAAGTAATTTGAGTTGTTTATTAAAATTCAAACTAATTCTATACAAGTCACAGAAAAATGGTAAAATTATTTTTTATATAATTTTTAGGTGAAATTTTATTAAATTCCTTCCAAATAATAATATTAGAAAATATATTACAAATTGTACTATAATTTAATAGAATGTCTACGAATATTCAATCTAATAACAAATGAATTTCAAAGAATTGATAAAATGCATAATCGAATAATACTATATTTAGATAGAATTTTCAATTATTTCAAATTTCATTAAAATTTTCAATTAGATAACCCACCTTAACCGGTAATCACTAATCTGTGAGACTGAATCTCGGTTTAAAGTTGAACCAATCCAGTATTTCCGAGTCGAAACTACCCAGACCGGTTTTATAATCCTTCGTTTCATCTCTATTCCGTTTTTCCCCATTTCCTTGGCCAAATCTATCTTTCTCGAATCGAAGCTCTCTCTCATCAATGGCGAAATCAGTGGCGACGGCGACTTCATCGCTTGTGCAAAACCTCAGGCGATACATTAAGAAACCATGGGAGATTACCGGACCTTGCGCTCACCCGGAGTACCTGGAATCTGTCCCGAAGGCGACGGAGTATCGTATCCGATGCCCCGCCACGATTGACGAAGAGGCGATCGTGCCGACCTCGGATCCCGAGACGGTGTACAACATCGTATACCACGGCAGAGATCAGCGCCGAAACCGCCCGCCGATCCGGCGTTATGTGTTGAAGAAGGACGACGTGGTTCAGATGATGAATGAGAAGAAGGCGTTCGAGGAGTCGGACTTCCCTAGAGTTTACTTGACAACCACTGTCGAGGAGGACGAGAACGCGCGTGGCGGAGGCTACGAGTAAGCAAGAAGGTGAGTAAATTCGATTTCTGGTTGGCATGAGATTTGCCTTATTGCTAGGGTCAATGAGATTATCAAATTTGAGGTTTCTGCTGTTCGAATTCGTTTGATTATCGTTCCTTTGATTATTGGGAGATTAGATTTATCGAAAATGGTCAGTATAAGGAATGTTTTGGTGTTCGCCGGTAGTGATGGTTTTGTTGATATAGTGCAATGTGTCCTTAACGGTATGGTTGTTCTTGTAGGTTATTGTCTTCTCCCTGCTGCTTTAGTTTTTCATAGAGCCTGACATGTCTTTTGGTCTTGACTAGATGAATTGTATGATGCTCAATTAGTTTAGTTGCGACAATGCAGATGGTTACTGGAATATCCTTGTAGCAAGAAATGGCAAGTTTGGGATTGTAAGTAACCTGTTGAATAGATCTAACTAGCTGCTGAGTCTGTGTGGCTTTTGCTAACTTATTTTCTATTTGGATTCCGACCAGTTAGATAATGTCTTGGTTTGTGCTTTAGCCTACAATTTAATACTGAGTTTAGTTATTCAAATATCTATCTGAGTTTCCATTTCTCCAGACTGAATGTTTTTTCCTTCTTTGTAGGTTTATTCTAATCTCTCTGTCTTTCTCCTGTAACCTGCTGATGGGCGAAGGACTGCGTGTGATATTTCTCAACCGACAAAAGAGTCTCTCTAGTTTGCTTTATCTAATAAGGTTTCTAGTAACTTTGTGTACTACAAAACACTTGATTCTCCTTCACAAGAACCAAATTGTTGTTCAGTCACATTCCCAATGTTTACACATATAACAATATATAAATATTGTTCTATGATGATGAACTCATGATTGTTTCAATTCTGTAGTTATATAGTTAGAAATGGTTGCTAATGTAACACAGAGAGAAACAGGTAGTGGTAGTCTCTGTGTTCTTGGGGACCCCTTTTCTAGTTTCTTATATGTCCAATTCATCAATGATAAAGAAGATAGAAAAAAAGGAAGAAGAAGCAGAAACTGTGGAAAGCCATTATGCCACCAAACTTTATGTCTCCACGAATGCATGTATGTGTGTGTGCGTTTTTATGATTTTACCCGAGACTACTGTGTCTTTCACCTCTTTTGTTTCTGTCTCTCGCAAGGAAATGTCATTGTCGCTCTCTCGGCATGTGCCTTTTGCATTTACTGCCGTACAGACAGAGAACGACGGCTCAGGATTAAAGAAAAAGGGTACTGTGTTTTGCAATTTGGGTCCAAAATGTGTCTCCGTGTCTATGTGATATGCGTTAGTCGTTACATACGCTACACAGTATGGTATTGGAATCGTTCGGACTTAGAAGAATTATAGGAAAAAAAAAAGAGGTTAAAATTGGATTTTTTTATATAGCTGCTTCAATCGACTTGAAGATCACAAGATCCAACGCGCTAAAAGTTGAAAGAATTTGAACCAGAAACTGAAGTCCCAACTAGAGAAACTTCTCAATCTCTGACACATAGATCATTTTTGACACATTTATATAACTAACAATTACTCGAAAATTGTGGTCTGATTGGTAATCAAAATTACAATTGTTGACAGCGTTTCAGACAAGTGAAACAGTTATTGAATACCGTGACATCTTAGCCGTATATACGGTAATTAAGTACTTAAAATGTAGAACTAACAAATTCTACATAAAAAAAAAAACTCGCCTTAAATTAAATCCACACGGCAGTACAGTAAGAAAAATCATTAATTGATACATCAGCCTATCGTCATTCTTCTGACAAGTACAGTATATGTATTTTTGTTCTCAAAATGTTCACTGGAATTCTTATGAATTTCGATATATATAACACATCTGCTATTGTGATTGACTGATAATGTGCAACTAACATAAAAGCTAGATAGAATGAGCTAAAAATTTCACTGCCATACACATAGTGGTCCATGAATCTCTATGTGTATCATATATATAAGATGCTTTTAACAAAATACTCTTTAATTTGGTCCATCCTCTATCTTAGACCAACCATTCTAGCTGTCAATCTAAATGCCTGCTATTACATTACAAGATTCATATATATATATATATATATATATATATATATAGAACTTTGTTGGGATAACCAGGAAGAGAACCAAAGGGAACCCTAATTTTTACAAGTCTGGGGTGTTAACATCAAACCACAGTACTTATGTAACTGAATTTCCCCTGTTACCATATGTATGAGTTGGTTCCCAGTAATTATTAATTATGGCTTCGATCGAAAGAAAATGAAGAGATGATTACGTGTAATGAAATTTAAATTTCTTTTAAAAGTGTTTTAGTTGAATGAAGATTAAACTACGAAAGAAATATAGTTTTCTTATAAAATTGATTTACTTTTATTTACCATGTATTTTGAGTATAGTGAAACCATAGCATCTTTGTTTCTGTCAACAACATTTCGATAAGAGTGTCTATACACTCACAAACATAAATTGCTCCTTTCTTATCCTTGTCTATAAATTTCTTTCATAACCAACTAAAACCCTAGGGAGTGGAGTATATTATATATATATATATATATATAAAATATATTCCATTTCTTGCTCAGCCTCAATCATATAGTGTACACTACTTTTGTAGAGAACGAGAGAAATAACTTTCAATTGTTCATCATCTAGGTTCTTATTCTTTTGTTCAGCCTATTTGGCGAAAAGAATTCACCGATCTGGCTAAACCCGGCGAATTCAAGCTTACCAGTTATCCGGGGTAAGGTGTATCATCTTCTTTTTTTGCAATAATTTAGTTTGTAATCTTTAGGGCCAAATCTTTAATACCTCTCTTGAATCCTAATATATTGATCTGGATCGATTACTTGGGAACTTTTTATGTCATACAAAATATGTAAGATGTGCAAGTCGAATAATCTATTAAAATTTTATTAGTACTTTCTTGATCTAATGATCTTAACCAGTTATTGTCGTTTACTATTGAAATTGCTTTCATTTCATGTGATTAAGATCTCAGGAATGTTTTTTTTGTGTTGTTTTTGCTTTCAGATCGATAACATATATATTAAGTAATAAACGGAGATATGAGCTTGAACTCGAGAGAGGAGGACATGGGAATAAAACAAGAAGACAACGATCGTACTCAAAGGACATCTTTGTCCTGGTTGAGGCAAAACCCGAGGATCGTGCGAGTCTCGAGAACATTCGGAGGCAAAGACAGACACAGCAAAGTGTGCACAGTTCGTGGTCTTCGAGACAGGAGGATAAGATTGTCGGCGGTGACCGCGATCCAGCTGTACGACCTTCAAGATCGGTTAGGGCTGAGTCAGCCTAGCAAAGCCATTGATTGGCTCTTAGAAGCTGCCAAGAACGACGTCGAATTGCTTCCTCCTTTGCAATTCCCACCTGGTTTTCACCCTAATCTCACCGCCGGCGCCGGAGAATCTTTTCCCGGGGTCTTCGAAAGTTTCGATCTTGGAAGCGGCTCGTCGAGAAATGATACGACACAGAGAGAAAGTTTGGATCTTGAGAGAAGGAAAATGGTTAGATTCGACGAAAGCAGCAATCTTGGTCATCATGGGTTCGACATCGATCATCGGTTTTCCTCCAACTCATCAAGCCAAAGCAACAAGCTTTACTTCCCTGCTTTGTCGGCGTATAATAGCAGCAGCAGCTCTTATCATTACAATATTGGACATCTCCAACACGTACTGGACCAACCTGGCAACGTTACTCTCGCATTCTCCAATAATGATCTGAATCCGCCCGCGGCGGAAACTATGATCAGCTCTCTAATTCCGAGGTATCCTCCTTCGTTTCTCGGTGGTGGTCAACTTCAACTCTTTAGCTCAAACTCGAACTCGTCGAAGCAAACAGATCATGCCGAGTAATTCCAGCTTGATTTTAGACAGATATCTTTCGTAAGCTGATGAGTTTGATTGTTTGAATCACGAGACAAACGGAAGGCAATATACTATATAGTCTTTATATAGAGAGAGAGAGTTTTCTATGGTTTAATGGTTATTGTTGGATTGAGTTTATTTACATTTTATGTTTGGGTTAAAATATATAGCTCTTATTAAGCATCATTATCCACGACCGACTAGTATATAATGAATACAAATAATTTTGACTAGTAATTTAGTATTTTTGGTAATGTCTGGAAGATTTGAAAAGTTTTGTGTGAGAGAGAACTACATTTCTTGTAGCAAGATTTAGCAAAAAAAAAAAATTCTTGTAGCAAGAATATATACATGTTATAGATATGTTCGAAAATCGAAAGTGTGCCTAGACACATGACCTCATTGCATGCCAAACCCTAGCTTGTTTGTCCACACCCAACACGTACGTACACATATATGATACATCCATAAAAAAAATAGGAAGATTAAAAAAAAGGTATAATGCATGTTTTATTTTTGTTTAGGGCTGAGCATATCAAGCAAACCGAATCGAACATATATACTCTCTTTTTTTTGTTGTTTACTTCAGTTCTGCATATGTTTCCCGTAACCAAATCCACTGCAAAGTATTTTTGCAAGGTTTTAGACAGTTAATACAGTTGTCAAATGATTTGCTGTGGTATCTAGGTTAATCTATTGGGAGTTGTTGCGATTGAAGAATAAAAGAATGAAGATGAGAGATGATTAGGCAGTTAACGCAGCAAGTGAAACTTCAGTCAAGCACGGATCCCTATTTATCTTCTTTTAACCATTTGCTCTTTTCTCTTTTCTCTTTTGTCTCCTCTTTTCATTTTCCATTAACTCTAGATCATCTCTCCCTTTCTCCCTCTCACATTATTTAAATACAGTGATAAATTTGAAAACACAAACTCTGAATTCTACTTTATGGCAACTAACTTCCGCTATATATAGAAGATGTAATGTATGCGCCAATAATCCCTAAGAGATCAAGTTCGAACGATACTAACAAAATATAAGCTGTAAGAAAAAGGTAGTCGTTAATGGATGATATTAGTGACGTCAATAAATTATGACAAAGTAAAATTATGTGTTGGACTTTCTGATCATCGATAGGAACTCGTATAAACATTATTAACAGAAATTAAATGCCTTTGAATTCCTTGGGCATGCTTGAGCTATACTTTTTTTTTTTATATGAATCTTTTTAGTACAAGGGAATAATGATTTCGAATTGGATATAAATGGTCCATATATATGACTATAAGCGTTACTTTACTCACCGGCCGGCATGCTTCAACTTTAGCAGAGGAAAAAAAACAATTGAAACAAAAAAAGAAGTCACACGTTGTTTCATTTTCACATCTACTATTTACTCACTAGGCATGCAAATTCTTCTTCTTCTTCTTCTTTTTTGTTTTGTTTTTTTCACAACCTATCTTGTCTTTCTTGTTGCGACTAGCTTTTCTTCTTTTCAATTCAAAGATCAAAATCATAACAGTTCTAAATTTTACCAATAATTTACTTTTGTAAATTTTACGAGTTATACGTTTGTAGAAAATCTCTACATATCAAAAAGATACTCCTGACAACAAAACCAAAAACATTTATTTATTGGTCCTAACCATACCTATGATTTGTTCCATATTAATAAGAGATCGGACAAGTTGTTTCATACTTTCATGACAGGATGTCGAACACGTGTAAATCTAAGGCATGATTGGCCAATGATAACTAATTAGGCTAGTTAGTATAATTAGAAAAAGACAGCAATTAATATATTAAAATAATCAATCAAAAATGGAGGTGCGGGGAATCGAACCCCGTGCCTCTCGCATGCGAAGCGAGCGCTCTACCATATGAGCTACACCCCCTTTTTGATATTCTCGGTCATTAAACAATCTTGATTACAATACTATTCGGAGTTTATCCGCCGGTTGGGTCACATGGGCCCCACGGGTACGAAATGTCTCATATTCCTTAGGTGTAGTGCACATGCGCCGCACAAGATAACTTTCTGACGTGGAAAAGACGTTATAACCCTTATATCTTGTTTACAATATATTTTTTCCAGGTACCTCATGGAGTTGTTGTCTTTAGCTGGACAAGGACGGCATGTCGGAAATATTCGTGTGTGCCTACCAAACTGAACCGCTCAAAAGATTGGTTTCGGTTTACACAGAATTAACTGTTTGAAAATGTAATTCGATTTTTGGTCAGTTCGGTTATGAATACTAAACTGATCGGTTTGAAATATTAAATCCCTAGATTTATTACTATTCTCTCCTTCCTCTCCATTGTCGAGCCCGAGCCAGATCCGTTTCTCCTCCACTTCCTCTCGATTCTGTCTCACTCAGCTTCTCCGCATGCCCCTCGAAGATCGACACTTTCCGGCGTTTTCGGTTTAACATCTCGACTCGCCGTCTTCTCACCGTCGCAGACCTACAATCGAAGTCGTGTTGTTCTTCGTTCTTAGTGTGAACAGAAACCAAACTTAGTCTATTCGCACCATAAGATGAACGATCTTCTTAAGGTGAGATCCTTTTTTCGCAAGTGTTTTCTTCATCTTCCCGTTCTAGACATTTAGGGTTTTGTTGAATTTGAATTAGGTTGATCATCGAATGTGGATGCTTTGAGAGTTTTTGTTTGTGTGCGTTTGTTCCTGAGGTCTCAATCTAAACTGCTGATGTAATAAAGTATAAATGCCGCGAAGTCCACTCTTAATTTTCCAGAATTATGGTTTGACCATCCTATAATTTCACATTTAAGCAGAATCTGAATGCTGTATGGTTCTTTTTTTATGTGAAAATTTGATCTAAATTTAGCCTTTTCTGCTCTTTCTCATGTAAAACTCGAAGGGTATGATTGTGAGGGTTTATGGTAATCGATTATTGTCTTTTCTTTCTCTAGGGTTCGTTTGAGCTTCCTCGAGGTCAATCTTCTAGAGAAGGGGATGTCGAACTAGGGGAACAAGGAGGGGATCAAGGATTAGAAGATTTCTTTAAAAAGGTAATCTAAAAACAAATAAAAAGCGTGTTATATTACCTATCAATTACTCTTACTAAATGTTTCCTCTTTGTCTTCTTAGGTTCAAGAGATTGACAAACAATATGAAAAGCTTAATAAGCTTCTTAAGAAACTTCAGGTATAAACCAATTACTATTTTTTTAACCTTATGCTATTTTTTTTTTTTTTTGATATGTGGTACTATATATAGCATGGATGTAAACATTGCATCAAAGCAAGAGCAAGAACTTTCCATTGTAGTTTGGTTACAATGATTGGTCGCTTTCCCTTTTAAGATTTATGATTCTGCGGCTTCTCATTTTTATTACCGTTGTAAACCCTATAGGCTGCTCATGAGGAGTCGAAGGCTGTCACCAAAGCTCCTGCCATGAAGGGTAAAATTTTGTTCCTCTAGAAATATTACAAGCTAGTGAAAGTAATCATGGATATGTATGTTGCAGGGATTTTATTTACAAAAGCACTAAGTTTCCGATGATTATTAGGGGTTGCTTGCACTACCAGTAAATAGAATGGATTTTAGCTTAAGCATGTGTTCCACTGGGACTAAGAACCAAGCATTGGGTAAATTAAACCATACATGTATGAGAATTCGAGTTAGGGAGTTGTACATTTCTCGAAACTTTGAATAGTCTTAGATGACGAAGTATAGAGCCTAACTAAGATGAACTTTAAGCAGCCTCGATGTTTTCATGTAGTGTCAATGGTTTGCCATTACCTTACATATAGTTTGGTGTTCTGTGTGTTGCTCCTTATGTTATGGACAGCAATAAAGAAGAAAATGGAAAAGGACGTTGATGAAGTTGGAAGTATAGCCCGTTTCATAAAAGGGAAACTCGAGGAGTTGGACAGAGAGGTATGGTCACTGGCTATTTGTCTTCTAATCTTACAGTTGTTGGTTTGATCTAGTTCTTGTATATTAATATTTATTCAAATGTTGTAGAACTTGGCAAATAGACAAAAACCTGGTTGTGCGAAAGGATCTGGTGTGGATAGATCAAGGACAGCAACGACTCTGTGAGTTTTAATAAATTTTAGTCAGATGATTTTATTGTGATTCCTTTATTTTTGGGGTAGGATTCAGCTGTTATCTAGTGACGGATGCTGTTAATATTATCAAAGGCTTTGTTTATCGGCTTTATTTCATTAAATTCATATTGTTCATTTCAAAGAGTTTCAATGGCCATAATACTTTGGAAACTTCGATGAGTAACTTTCATCTTGAACAGACCCTAGTATCAGTCTTTGCCTCTCCATCATGAAATGTTTAGAATTTGGTTTCTGTAGCAAACATGGTGGTATTTTCTCAGTCAGTAGCTTTTAATGCAAACTTTCTTTAGTATGACCTTTCATTCATTTTGTGCAACAGTTCCTTAAAGAAGAAGTTGAAAGACAAGATGGCCGAGTTTCAGGTGAGTTAGGATAGAAGTAACAGATGACTCTTCAAATTTACGGAAACTGTCATTTTCTGAAATTAAGATTGTGACTTTCTCTAGGTTCTACGAGAGAACATCCAACAAGAGTATCGCGAGGTTGTTGACAGGCGTATTTTTACAGGTATGTTAGTTGATGCTATGTGTTTGCTTTAGTTATTCCGTTCTTATTTATCTCCTCTCTTATTATATTTTGTGTGTTTTCCATGAATTAGTAACCGGGCAGCGAGCGGATGAAGATGTAAGTAAAGTGGACTCATGAGTTTTGTTGGGGTCGCAGACATTTGAATCATTCTCATGCCTTACTGTGTCTCGATTTTCAGACAATTGATGAATTGATTGAAACTGGAGACAGCGAACAGATCTTCCAGAAAGCGATTCAAGAGCAAGGAAGAGGACAGGTTTGATTTGAGAAACATTCGCTATATATTATGTATTAAATATTACATATATATAGAAGATCCAAGATTTGAACGTGCAAGTATGTTTATTGTTTTCTCTCCCAGGTAATGGACACTTTGGCAGAAATCCAAGAACGTCATGATGCTGTCAGAGACTTGGAAAAGAAACTTCTTGACCTACAACAAGTATGTCGGATTTCATATCCTTCTTGCACGATGAATATCTTTGAACCCAGTTTGATGCAATCTATTAATCATTGTATGGAGTCATTTGCTTAATTAGGTTCCCCGTTCTTGCAGATTTTCTTGGATATGGCAGTTTTGGTTGATGCACAAGGAGAAATGCTTGACAACATAGAATCTCAGGTAATTTGGAATTCTGTTTCTATAATTGGATTAAATTGGATAAAAGCATAAGCCAAGGTTAACAACAGTATGAAGTCGATATTAAAAGAGTAACAACCTCACAAAATTTTGAACTGGCCTTAAATGAATTCATCTTCATACACTCTTAACATGAAGGCATTGTAATAGTAAATAATGATTGATTTTTCTTTTTTGTGTGGCTATTGTAGGTGTCAAGTGCAGTAGATCACGTTCAATCGGGAAACACGGCTCTTCAAAGAGCAAAGAGCTTACAGAAGAACTCAAGGAAGTGGATGTGTATTGCAATCATCATCCTCCTTATTGTTGTTGCAGTGATCGTCGTTGGTGTTCTCAAGCCTTGGCAAAACAAGAATGCTTGAAGAAAACAAAGAATGTGTAAAAATTTATCCATCCATATGTACGGCTGCTTTTCTATTGAGTGAGTGTTTTGTTTACCAAATGTGTGAAGTTTGTGCTTTAACCAAGAAATGAAAACAGGCACACAAAACACAAGTCTATATTCTTTTAATTGGATCAAACAAATCAAATTTCTTTATTACTTGTGCAATTTCAAAGGTAGAGAAATAGATCTAATTTATGGTGACATTATTATCCCCTTACTCTCAAACTGTGATATATATAATAACAAAACTTTAAAGCAAGAAAATTAGAAAATAAATGCATTGTTATCATAATATGAAAAAGGGAAGATGATACCAACAATTAAAGTTTATAGAAAATGTTGAGCTCTTTGTTGATGGGCTGATGAAAATGAAAGCCCAAAGAGATGTGAGAGCACAGGTGGGCTTTTCTTTCTTAAGAAAATACAAATACAACAGAAAGCCCAAAGAGATGTGAGAGCACAAGTGGGCTTTTCTTACTTAAGAAAATACAAATAAAACAGAAAGCCCAAAGAGATGTGAGAGCACTGGTGGGCTTTTCTTTAAATACAAATAAAACAGAGAGTTCCATCTAGTTGTTATGCCAGATTCCGATCTCAGAGTAACCATCTTCGGTGGCACAGGCCCTGAACATTCCGGTGGAGTTAAAGGGCATAGTGACTTCACCATTGGCGGAGACAGCAATGAGTCCACAGGTTCCTATGGGTCCGGATTGGTCAACAGCATAAGCCGCAGCGTCGGTTAGAGACAAGCCTTTATACTCCATGAGCGCAGCCACTTCTTTAGCGACGGTTCCACGGATGATCTCTTCTCCTTTGCCTGTGGTTGAGACGGCACAAAGGTGGTTAGCGTACGTTCCTGCGCCAATGAGCGGCGTATCCCCAACTCTGCCAGCCATTTTGTTGACATAACCGCCCGTCGATGTAGCCGCAGCTAGATTCCCGGCTCTGTCCACCGCTACACATCCCACCGTTCCTGTCTGGCTGTCTCCCGCTTCTCTCGGAGTAGGGGCTGTGTAATCCAACTGGAAAAAGACATTCCGATGAAATGAGAGACTCAGAACACATGTCTCGATCCACGGACTGAAGCAACAAAATTACCTGGACTCGATTGAATTCTTTGGCCTGCTTTAGCCTTGCAATGTTTTCAAGAGTTATGAAATGGCTTGGTTCGGCCGTCTCAACGCCCTACAAAACCCAACTAACTAGTGAGTAAAGAAAGTTTTAAGTAATTCAAAGGAAGAAAAAAGGAGAGACAAGGATTTCAGTTTCAGACAGACATGTGCTCTTGCGAAAGCTTCTGCGGCAGCGAAAGCAAGGTTGATGTGAGGAGTTTTCTGCATGACGAGGCGAGCTAAAGAGATGGGGTTGATGACAGTGGTGAGGCCCATGACCGCTCCACATCTTTTTGTTTTGCCGTCCATTATCGAAGCCTCCATTTCAACAGTGCCTTCCGCAGTTAAGACTGATCCTTTGCCGGCATTGAAGTCCGGGTGGTTTTCAAGCTCTCGAACCTTTTTCAAGTTATATCACACAGTCAAACTCTTGCTACTATTTAACTGGTTTGTTAGTTTAGTTGCAGAAATTGTAATCTTATCATTTTCAGATTAAGCACTGTCCTAATGTCTCACACAGTGATTTAGAAAAACTTAAACTTTCTTTAATTTCGTCTCCCAAACTACTAAATAGATGAGGAAATGAAATCACAACGATCAGATCGAGAGAGAGAGAGATGCGTACGACGAGTTCGACAACGTCCAAGGGAGGCTTGCCGGATTTGAGGGCGGAAACGCCAAGATCGAGGCAGTGACGGAGGGCCATCTCACGAGGGATACGTCGCTCGTCCGGGAGATCGATCGGAATCTCTCCGCCGCCGCCGTGGAGCGCTATCGCCCACCCCACCATCGCTGGAGGTCTTAAAAACGCTTTCTCTCACCTTCTCAAAAAGACTTTCTGCTTCGTCGCCACTTCACTATAACTTTTGGTTTCTTCTTCTTTTTCTCTTGTTTGACAGTTGACTCTCTTTTTTCAACTTCTTGTTTGACAGTTGAACAAAAGAATCTTTTTGAGATGTAAATGAAATGGAATCTTTATTATATAAAAACTCTTAAAATATTTATTGACAAATTACAGTCTTTTCTGCAATAGCAGTTTGTCTATTAAAAATCTATCTAACCTTGAATTTGATTTTCTAAAAACAAAGTCATCTAATTTTCTTTTGGAATAAGCAAGTAAGAATAAATGAATAATCAGCTACTCTAGTGTAAAGTGTAAACTCAAGTTCAGGCCACATTAACAGCTTTTGAGACGCCTCATAACCGTAAAGTGCTTCATTTATCATCTTGAAAAATATGATTTTTCCGCTTCCAAAACGCCCTAAATCATCATATTAACTACATGATCAGCCTTTTATGTATAAGCAAGCAAAAATCATTTTTATGAGAATAATCATATAAAAAGTGAGAGAAGAAACCAAAATACAGTTTTGTTATACCTTAATGATCATGATGGCTGCTTCCTTATGTATGAGATCATTGTGGCAAGAAAAATTCTGAACGCAACTGGGGCAACCAGTTTCAGCTGATGTGCAGCAGCAAGACGTTAAGAGATCCAGAGAACTTTTTAGAAGCTCAGTGAAGAAAGGACGAATCTGCCATACAACAATTATGATATTACTATCCAAACTTCAACAAAAGTGGAGAGTTTCTTTTCATTTACCTGGGCGGATATGCCGGTTCCTCCAGGATGACGATCGTATAGTAAGATTCTTGCTGGAAAATAACCCGTTTCACTCGAACTTGCACATTCCGGAGCTAAGTCGGAATAGTTGCAACGCACGAATCTGACCAAAGTTTTAAAAGTTATATATAATCTTTGCATTCTAGAGGAGAAACCAAAAACAATAAAGACAGAGAGTTGTACGTACAGTGGAACAACATGGAGAAGAGCGTGACAAGCGGCGTGTAAACCAGCACGGAAGTTCTCCACTGCTGATTTTACTGACTCGGGGACTTGAATCCAAACAGCCTATTATCCATACACAACAACTTTAATCACAGCAAAAACATAAAAAAGGTATAAGTGCACGTGTGTGAGGCTGAAGGTTGAAGAGAGACCTGTGATTGGTAAGAGTAACTTGGGAGTGAGAGATCAGCTTCATCATATGCTTCATTGGTTCGTTTCCGGATACGTAAAAACCCAAACCACGTTGTCGTCACCGTACAGGCATGAGCTTGTGCTGTTGTCTGTTCAAGTTGATTCTTTGGAGCCTTCAATCCGTAAGCCTGAAACGAAACATGAACATGGTTAATGAAAAAACAAAGAACTACTACCCCACAAGAGAACCACAGTTAGGTTAAGCCAAAAGTACTTACAGTTTTATCACCGTTGACATGGATACTAGTGAAATCCCGAGGCCGGGTGTAGTAATCCACGTTTGCTAGTTTACACAAAGCTATCTTTTGTTTTGTATCCAAACTCGTGACCAGATAGTTCCTTCCTTGGTTCATATAAATCGCTCCTTCATAGACCTGGAAAAAGGCTTTGCTCTCCTCTATTTCTTCTAGGACATTGTCACTTCTTTCTTCCATGGCTCTGTATCTTTCCGTCTCTATGGCCCGGATAGAGACTCTCTGAGTAGGCTTTTTCTGAGAAAACATTGTCCAGCAAAAGGTGTTTAGAGCAAGGAAAACTCGGTTTCAAGATGTTGTAATTTTCAATGTAGTGTCGGATTATACCTCTCGACCAATGTAGTTCCATATTCTAGCAGAAGAATCACGGGATGGATCAAAACTTAACACTCCTCTCTTCTTGAGCAATTCAACGGTGTTGCTTAGGCCAGAACCAAAGTATTTTCCGTCGTACTGCAAACTCAATGGGTGCTCAAGAGCAGCACAAGCCGCATGCTGCTCAAGGACCTGCAAGAACCAGCAAAAGCACGTCGGTATTGACAGTCCGCGCAAGATTCTAAGCAGAACAGAATTAAGATCACAGGTTACTAACATGTTGATTTTGAGAATCAGTATGGCAACACTCGATTGGGCTACGGAAGAGCTTGTCCGGGAATTTCATGAAGTATTGGTCAAGGGGACCTTCAAAGGCAACATATACCGCAAGAGAGGGCCTTCCTCGTCTTCCGGACCGACCCGCTTGCTGCCAAAGACTGAAACTCAAAAGAGGTTTAGTCATTGAAAGCTGAAACTTATAGATTAGAGGGAAAAGAAAAGAGGCATGCAGACTGGTTTACCTGGCAATACTGCCTGGAAAACCTAAATGCAACGTTACGTCAATGTGACCGACGTCAACCCCCAACTCAAGTGCGTTTGTTGCAGCAATACCACAAAGCTTTCCACCGAATAAGTCACCCTCTATTTTCCTCCGATCCTGCAAATTATCAGAGCTTATTGATCTAGTAAACACAATCCATCTACAACAACACTCAAGCTCAGAAACATAAAAAATAAGAAGATGTACCTCGGCAATGTAACCTCCACGATATGAAGATATGGCGTCAACCCGGTGAGGAGCAGTCTTAGCAAGAATTTCACGCCTACAAGCATATTTTGCAGATTTTAAACTCCATCATCGTTTTTATAGTCAAAGAATAAGACTAGAGTAAATATTTAATCATCGTTTTTACGCACGTGAAACACAGAACAAGTTCACACAATTTGCGAGACCGACAGAAAGCTATGCAACGTAGGCCATGTTGAACCATCTCTGCGAAAAGGTGTGAAACTTCAGAAAGCGGGCTGAGAAGAAATGAAACATATCAATTGTTAGCTACAGATCGATGACCATAAACTTTTGATTTCTTGTAAAAATAGCAGATGGCTAGAGATACCTTGATGATTTATCTGCAGCAACTCCATTAGTACTCATGACTTTCGAAATATCCCTTAATGGTTTATCTGCAGCATCTCCATTAGAACTCATGACTTTCGAATCATCTTCAGATTTCTGTAAACAACAGATAAAAAAGAAAGGGGTAAATAAAGTCTCAGAATTGGTTCAAATCAATCTAGAATACTGAAGCATACATTTTTGGGGAAGATTGTGGGATTCCACAGGACAAAAAGCTTTTCAGAGGAAGGACTTCCATCATTTTCTATCAGCTCGAGCTCATTTAGGTTTGCAAGCTCCTGCACAATCACCAAGCCATGTTTTTTGATTCCGTAGCATAGATTTTGATAATATATCCAGATAATCAGTAATGTAGGCTTACCATGCAATGCTCTCGAGGATTGGCAGAAGTTGCAGTACAAAATATGAATGAGGGATTGGCGCCATATACTGGAAATTAAGATATGATTGGGTCAATTAAGAAGTCTAAAATGGAGACTATTGTTTTGACCATGGGATCAAAATTGTCACCGTGAGAGCAGATGCGGCGTAGTCTTCTCAAAATAAGGGCTGTGTGACAGCCAAATGCTCCCTTGTAAGTATGGGCTTCATCAATTACAATGTACCTAATATATTCAAATGTACACTCGACTTAAATCATGGATTACAAGCAGGACTTGTTACTCTCTAAACCAACTATTTTCTTGCAAAGATTCTAATGCAGTTAGTCAAAAGTTTAAATAAGAGGAGGATTGATTTCTTTTGTGTTACCTAAGGTTTGATAAAATCCGGCTGAATTGTCCATGAGGAGGCAAGATTGACATATGTAACATATCAGGATTTGTGATCAGCTGCATCCATATATTGAACTAGTTAGTATTATATGTATTTGAGAATTCAGATGAGCCTAAGTTAATGAATCACACTATTCTGCTGGAAAAAGAAAGACAGATCGAATTTACCAGTCTACCGTGATTCCTCAGCCTTGTTCTGTCCTTCTGAGGAGTATCACCATCATACACCCCCATATGTATGCTAGCTTCATATCCCTTTATTAAATCAGACAACGCTCTAAACTGATCCTGCGCCAAGGCCTGTACAATGAAAAAGAAAACCCATGTTTCTTCTAAGAATATCCAAAATTACTGAAACTCAAAACAGAAAAACTTTTATATAAGAGGCAAGCTTAGTAACCTTGGTCGGAAATAAGTACAGGGCACAAGCATTTGTATCTTTGGTCAATTCCTCAAAGACTGGCACGTTATAGCAAAGAGATTTTCCGCTGGAAGTCATGGTTGCAATGACAACATTCTTCCTAGACAAGGCTGCTGAAATTGATTCGGCCTGATATAAAGAAAGAGGAAAGGTATGAAGCCAAAAAAATTAAAATTAATAGACACAGAGATACATTACAAGATATGGTACCTGATGGCTGTATAATGTACTGATTCCAATTCGTTTCAAGGCAGACTTGGTGATTTCTGAGAGCTCATCTGGTATTTCGACGTAGACAGCTTTTCTAGCTTTTATATTTTCAACGTGAACTATCTGCAGCAGAAAACGAATGGAGATATACTAACAAAGCAGACCTAAGAATTTGAAGGAGAGCAAAGTAAGAGAGTAAGAGGAGGAGACTAAACTACCTGTCCTTTAGATCCAAAACCATTCCTGAGATGTTCAACCATCTCCACCGGAAGCAATGAGTTTGTGTCCTGTTAATTTGAATGAAAGTAATTATAAACTATACAACATATCTACCAAAACAATTAGTGGTTACGCATGAACAGCTCTACAACTACGAATGCTACAAACACTGAGTGCTGTTGTATATCGAAAAGTCTATTTCAACTGAAACTCGGGCATAACAGAAGCAGACTCTTACATGACACAAAGACCGGGATGCACGAGAGCCAGAGCGAGGAAACCTGTCTTGTCGAGCTTGTTCAGCTTCATTTCCACCAACACCTTTACCTTCCCTGGCGAAGATAAGCATGTCCTCCAAGGAAACATCTATCCCCTTCTTACATCGATTTTTTAACTAAAAAGCAAAAAATACTTCATAAATCCAATATCCAAAAGTTATAGTAAATAGATGGCTTAAGCTGTGACCCCCTCTTAACATTGACAGGTTTAGACGAAAGAAAAGGTGAGAGTAATATACCAGTATTGATTTGATGGACTCCCACAATTCAGCCTTAAAAGAAGTCTCCCGCTTTTTCATAGAGCTAAAGACCTTTGCAAGTGGAGGTTTTTTCAGACCTTATATAACCAATGGTTTAAAACAAACAATAGTAGTCCTTAGTCTTACAAGATTACTCACAATAGCTAGGACAAAGAAAGTAAGTACATTCATCTGAAAAGGGTACCTGGTTTTTCATATTTTCCACCTCCATCTGTCTCCAGAAAATCAGCTATAACTATAGCATTCTCATATTTCACAGACTCAAAGTCATCAGTGATAACCTTTACTACCTACAACAACCACTGTGGTTACATCTCATACAAAAAGAAAATCATTGAATGAGTAGGAAGTATCTAGAAATATCGACAAAAATCACCTTGGGGCATATGATTGAAAGATTCTTCACGTCCTCTATACTGGCACGGACTCCAGAAGTTGCTAACCGGGCAAGCGATTCCTCCAAGCGGGTAAAGAATAGTTTTTCTCCACGGTACTCAATAAGAGATGAAAAGAGGTTCAAAAAACTGAATGTCTCCATAGACAATTTCAACCAATCCGGACAAGAACAGGAATAGCTACTTGTTTCCCTCGACATCAAGCACTTTGCAAAACCTGGAGATGTCAAGCAATTCCTAGACTTTAAAACCTCGGTAAGCTTCTCTGTGTTCTGACCCTTAAACGCATCTCTACAATCAGACTCCAAAACACCTCTCAGGAATTCATCTGGACACGTTTCTTGATCCCGTTTTCGTTTCACCCCAACAGAATGATTCTCAGCTATTTTAGCGTTTCCAGCTCTGGAGGATGAAGATTGTCGAATCATTGCAGAATACGTGGAATCTGAGAAGCTTGAACTCAAGGAAGGCTCTGGTAAATCAGTTTTTGGGGTCTGTGGACGTTCCTTCTTAACAAAAGGAACCAGAACCAAGAATTCGCCGCCATTAATGGCAGCAGCAGCCACTCTACTGTTCAAACTCAGTTTCGTACCCTACAAAAAGAACGAAAACTATAGATTGTAAGAATACAAGAGAACACAATTCTTCCCGAGAAGGGCTAATTTAGAAGAAGAAAAAAGAAACTTGAAATCGATGACAAAAAGTATACATTAAATTAGAAAATTTTCATAAGATCAATGTGGAACGCTCCAAACCCTAAACGGCCGGAGATATAAAGAAATACAAAACGCCAAAAAGAAATAATGAGCGCAAGCATTACCTTGAAGTACAGATGAAAATTGGGAGAGGAAGAAGCGGGAGGGAAAGAGGATTTTAGGGCTATCTTGAGTTCATGAATCGTCCCGTTCGAAGAAACCTTAACGATCGTCGATTCACCGGAAAGTGTACGCACGCAGATCGCAACAGTGTTCCCGCCGCAGCGACTCTCGTCCGCCATTACCGAATTTACTTTTGTCTTCTTTCTCTATCTCGAAGAAGAAGGGTTTTATTAATTTTATTTATACAAGTTTTTTTAAAACTTCGTTGGGAGAAAACACGACGTCGTACTGAATGGCTATGGCGCGGAATTTCACACGGATAACTGATTCAGCACGTGTGAGCGATAAAAGATTAGGATAATATCCGAAAGGACCTTATGCTATTCAAAGAATTCAAATGTGAGCCCTGTTTATTTTTGCTACCTTGTTAAACCCAATTTCATCACCCACGATTCAAATGTTTTCCAATTTGGCAAAAACATTTTCTTGAGCTCGAGAATTTCAGGATAACTAAGGAGTTTGACAAAGAACACAATTGAAGTTCAGTCAATTCTTTTTGTTTATATTTCTTGATCCATCTCAAACAAAGGAAGTTACATAATTTATGTTTTTTTCCAAGATGTTCATTGGATACAAAACAATATAAACCCCAAATATTCAAGTTAAACAAGTGTGCACATTTCTTTTCAGAACAAAAAAATCACTGCATTCGGTTCCAAAGTTTCTAGATTTTGTTTTGTCATTTTATGTTCCTGGGATATTCAGAAAATTCAAGTAAAAACTAATTTAAAAAACCTTATAGATATACATGCTTAAATGAGAAATGCATTCATTGATTTAGAGGAAACCATATCTTTCTGTTTCTCACAGAAGCTTTTCTTCTCCAAATTTTTCATGGTACAAATCTACATACACCTAGGAAAACCAACGAGAGCCAATCCTAAAAGAAAGTACCTGAAGATGATTAGTATTTAAAGGCTAGTGATTGCAAGTAGGCTCGAGCTTTAGCAGCCATGGCTAGAGATTCTTCATCTTCTCGTTCCTTTGCGGTAGTCACCGCTGCAACATAAGCTAATCTTGCTTCTTCCATTTTCCTCAGGTCACTTTCATCTACATCGTCCTGTTTTTAACGTATTTGCAACAGCTTTAGATATGACCCCCAGAAGAAAATGAAAAAAGAGAGATGATCGTCGTGGTTTCTTGACTTACGAGATATGGAAGATGATCAAATTCGTATGGGGTTGCATCATAATCCCTGTCGAGTTTCTTGGATTCTGTTTTCGCCAAAGTTTCAAATACCCGTGTGAATGAAGAGATTTCTCCTTCAACAGCATCTAGCTGTTCTTGAAGCTTGATTGCTCTCGCTCCTGTTGTCTTTGCTTCCCATTGAGTCTTCTCAAGAGCGGCTTGCTTGTCTGCAAGTTTGACCTAGTGAAGATAAAAAAAGAAGTTATAAACATATAATAAAAAAGGGGAATCGTTAAATATGTATGCCTCCACAAAAAGGTGTCAAAGCATTAGCAGCTTCTAAAATTCGACCTATTCTCAGAAGTAACATGTATTCTCTATTATCTTCAAAACCAGATTCAAAATATACATCGGTCTGTGAAACACAGGGGAAAAACTGAAGACGGATAAGAAGAAAAGGTTTACCTTTGTGTCTGATAACAGTAACTGTATAGACTTGATCAACATATCCTTTTCAGCAACCAAGCGTTTTGTTTCTTCAAGCTTTCCCTGTATCTCGTTCACCTGGTTCTTTGATATATCCACCGACTTTAAAACCTCTTCTTTCTCTGATAATTTTGTCTGCAAGTCATTCACTTGCTCTCTAAGTTTGGTTAGTTCTTCCTTTTCAGCACCAGCCAGAGCCTTGGCGGCTTCACCATCTTCCCTAGCATCGTTCACAACATCGTTATTTCCCTCTGCATCTCTCTTCTTTCTCCCTGGGACTGTTTGAGAAGCATTTCTTCCCTATAAACCAGGGACAAGCAAATACAAGTTAACAACTGGTACAGCAGAGCCTCAAACAAACAACTCACCTTGAGATCATTTGACAAATGAGGGTAATCGAAACCCAACCCACCCATTAAAGTGCTCCAAAAACAGGAATCTATTATTACTGCATATAACTATTGAAAGACGGCTATAACCCCTTATGTATATACAAAACTCTACCAAACCATTAAGCCAAGCTGAAATCAGCTCATACCCAAAAAGGAAAAGTTGAAACCTAACTAATAAATACCACAAAGAGATTGATAGATCAAAAGAAACAACTCACCCTTCTGGACAAGGATTCTCTGGAAGGCATCTTAGTGTAGATCATGGAACCACGCCGCTTAAACGAACTCCTTTCTTTGTGTTCCTAATCGCGTTCAATGAGATGAAACATATTAAATTCCAAACTAAGTATGGAACCAACAATTTTATCTTTCAGAAAATTTCAAATCCATATTTCCAAAACCATGTATTTCTCTCACATTTACATATATATCTACAATTTCCCAAATTTGTCCGAGAAATGAATCTATCGAAAGTTCATAAATTGCTGCAAGTTTCTCCACCCAATTGGTCGAAACCACCAACATAATTTCGAAATTCCGACTAATCATCACCGCATCCCCAATCCCCTCGAGCTCCAAACATATTCCGCTCTGATAACTCGACAAAAAGGGCGAGAGAATTGAGGTGGGTAGATAAAATTACCATATAATGCTCGATGAGGGGAACCATCTCGACGAGATCCTTTAAAAGACGCCGATCTAGATTCTCGTTGCCGGAGTTCGTAGCGGAGGCAGATTGGTGAGGAGACAGTCGGAGATCGTCATCACCGGCGAGCCACGAGCCATCCCCAAACCCAGAATCGCTTTGCAAATCAACGAAATGCTGCTGCTGCTCATACATCTTCTCCTTCCTCTCAATAGATCTGCTTCAGTTATCAGTCTTCTAGACCACAGTCTGAGCAGAGAGAGAGAGACAAAGATAAGACTTGGATTTTTCTCTCTTTTTTTCAAAATCGTTCTTCTTCAAGTCGGAGCTTTGGATCTCAATTTTTTTTCTCCAACGTTCATCTGAAACTACCAACTTCAAATGACTAATGTATCCTCAATTCTTCTCTCTATTCTCTGGACGTACCCTGTGATTTTTGAATTATTTCCTTTAGAAAATATATTTCTTTCATTTTGTTCCCTTTTAAGGCTTCAAGTGTTATCCTCTGTCGAACGTTCCCTTAAGTTCACATTAGTGTATGTTATTTCTTTAAGTTTGGAGAATGAGAAATTAGAATCATGTTAATTAAAAGTCGTCGACGTATTTTCCTGATGATGGGATTACAAATATGGGTAACAGTCTGATCCAAAACGAAAGATAGGCACCATCACCATAGTTATAAATTAAAATAATACAAGATAACGTGATTTTCTTCCGTCGTAGGCAAAGTGCGGTCGTTTCAAGTAACGTATTATCTCAGCCGTTCATTCAACAATCGATACAAAAGAAAACATGGAAAGCCTTCCTCTTAATGATATTCCTCAGAAACAAAAAGAAAACCCCAAAGAAGATTTGCGTTTACAGTCTAAAATGCGGTTAGCATAACCGGGTCTCAGTAGTCTTATGTCTCGAAAGATAATGGACCCCACGAGATAAAACAGTAAAAGATTATAAATAATTTCGAATGTACAAAAGAAAAGAAAAAAAAGGATTGAATATATGACTATAATAATTTAAAAAAAAATCCCTTTTTGAGATAAAGAAGAAAAAAACAGAGGACTCAATTTTGTGGTGTTTTACCGGATTGTGCTGGTTTTTTTTTAACTTCTATTGTTCGTCTTGAGCCGTTTTGGTTTCCGAGTTTGCTTGACGTCGTCGTTTCCGGTTCGAGAAATCGGTTCGCGAACTTCATGATCCTACCAGGTAGTAAACAAAACTAAAAACCATCAGGGTCCATCACACACACAATAAGTGTCAAATTCGATGTGTTTAAATCAGATCAACTTGTAAAGAAAATGAACCTTGAAAGAAGAGGATTGTTTAGCAAGCTCGATTTCAACAGAGATGCTTGCTTTCGTTAAGTCCACTCCTGAATTCTCCAATGCTTCTCTTAGTGTTTTAACTAATCTGCTCCACAAAGAAAACAAAAAGGTTTTACTTTTTTACTTCTAACTGTTTCAAGATCAAAAGAGAGGAGAGATTTTAGTTTACCCTTGTGAGTAAACACTTGATATACTGATGTTACCCTCATGAACTTCCTCATCCCCTTCTTCTTCTTCTTTCAATGGCTGAGTCCGACTCCGAGAACTCAGGCTTGGCTCTACGGTTTCTGATGCGACTCTTGTGTGGAGCTGAGTTACGGGGTTACCCGCAATTACAGCAGAGAACAAACTGTTGCTTTGAACTGACATAGGAAACGGAGCGGTCGTTGGCATTGCTCGGTTCAGTGTTTCTGGATGATCAATAACACCGCCTTGTGCTGTTGCGAGGACCGAAACGGGAATGTTGTTCTTCTCTTCTTCCAATTTTGGAGCAAAAGCAACGGTTCCTTCAGGTACTAGCTGTTGGTTGTTTCTCTGCTGTAATGTATATTGATCACAGATTAACATTACATGGTTTGTTTGTTTTCAAGTTTCGAACCTGGAAAATAAAAGAACGAGGTAAGGTTGGATAATGTGAGAATATATTTACCCAATTCAATAGCTTCGCAGGTTCGTGATTCCATCCTTGGTACGGAGTCTCATACTTATTTGCTTTCTCTTGTAAGAACTGAATATACTCGATAACCTACAAATGAATTTTCAAAAGAAGAAACATTTTGGAGATTAGGAAAAGATGAGAGACTGAATCTACTGTTACAGAAAATCTGGCGAAAAGATGATAGTTATACCTCCAGCAAGAAGGAGGCCTTGTCCCTTTTTTGGTCGCTGTTGGGTATTAGTTGTCTCAACATTTGAAATCTGCAGACCGATCCATTGACAATTTCTGGTTAGTGTCTCCTCCCCGCTATACTCTATAAACAGTTTCTGGCTTTTGCTACATTTCATAACTATGAATACATGTTCCAGACTTACCTATCATTGATCTTGCTCCTCCTCCGTTGCTCAGTAGCAGAATGTTTAGACCTAGGCGTGTTCAGCTTTTGATCGTTACCAGAGCCTCTCGCGTCTGATTTTACTCTCTGATCCACTGTTAGAAACCAATCAGTCAGATCTTAAGCTGTTAGAAAAGGTAAAGCTGACATCTCAGAAAATACAAACCTCTATGGCTCTGGCTAGTGGATGAGCTTTCTTTCTTCATGAGGAAATCTTCTTCATCATCTAAATCATCGTCCTGTGAACTTCCTTTCGCTGATCTTATCATGTCCATGAAGCTCTGGCTCTTGAGTACAGACCCTCTGCAACCAAAGTAAAACCTTATTTGATCAGTCTCTTTTAAGTCCACCGACCGAGTAATTGAAAACAGAGAAGAGATGAGATGAAACTGACTGAGAGGACGAGCGAGAACTAAAACCGCTCAAATGGTTATTCGTCAAAGATTGGGACTGTCGTTCCACCACTGGCCATTGTCTCATAGCAGTTGCAACATCAGCTATACATTCCACAAAAAACGCATTTCATCAATTTCATGTGGTTTCTAAAACACTAGTAAACTAGTCTAGTTAACATCAATATTCGATTTTTTTCTTGTTACCTCTCATGTTTGCTCTCTCCCCAACATTATTCTCCTTCCTTGTCTGTCCCTTCTTCCCAGAACCAGATTCATCCCACAGCGTAAACCCGCTTGCCGCAGCAGCGTACGAGCTGCAGTTAGCGTTTGAATTCTCCTCCACGACGTTTCTCTCATTACCACCACTCGCTTGCGCAGCAGCAGTGAACATCATCGGTGGTGACAACTCGGGCTTAGGAATTCTCTGATGATGATGATGAAAGTAAGGAATAGGGCTGATTGTGTAGGTTCCTATACCACCGGGAAGCACATGCTCCAGTGGTGGAGGTGGTGCAGGCGGCGGTGGCTTCTCGGACGCTGAAGTCGTAGTGTTAACCCTACTTGTATCTTCTTTAGCACCAACACATTCTAACGGTTGAAGAAAATCGTGGGTTTTCAAGTGGCTACCTGCTCCACATTCCATCAAAATTTCTATAAACCATAAGTATTATATCACACACATTGATATCATTCTTACTACACACAAACATTGATACAATTTTTCGTATCTTATCAGGTTCTAAAGCATATAGGACAAAATATTTCAGCTTCTCAGTTAAATTGAGTTATTCACATATATTATGTGTGAGAGCGGTCAAACATAGTTACAGAAATATTCGAATGCAAGCTTTGCGACATGTGTATCCCCATAAACGGTCCCTTATTTCTCTGGGCTTTAAACAGAGTTGGGACCAATAGGGCCCAATTAGATAGCAACATTTTGATCCATGATTCGTCTTAAAGGTCAGATCAGATGCACGCGCGGAAAAAACGTGACGCCTTTAAGAGAATCTTTTAATGAAAAAAATAGTAATTAAAAAAGGCTATGAACTGAAAAAGGGTAAAAGGGTCAAATACCTTGAGAAGATGGTGTTGGTTTTGGATCTGGCTGGACGGTTGAATGACTGCAGAGCGATAAAAAATCATGTGTTGGTTTTCTCCCTGTGGAAATTCTTCTAAAAATCAAAATTAAAAACGAAAAAAAAAAGAGAGAGAAGATAATCCTTTTTAAATCAATAAAACCTTGAAGAATAGTATTAATTAACTCACGTCTGATTTATGTTAAATTAGGAGATTTGGTAATATCTGATAATATAGTGTTACCTTGGGTTTTGAAGGGACGAGGTTGAGGAAGCTCCATGAACAGGAACTTCAACGGTTCTTGAATCAATATGGATCACGATTCTGCGGGGTTTATCTTCGAAAATCTGAAGCGATTATCTGGAATTCGACAGGATTTTAGAGCTAGCAACTCAGATCTGCGACGCCTAGTGGCTAATTCAAGAGATGTTGCGTCGTCCGATGCTAGAAGAAGAGGAATTGAGCTCGAAAGTCGCAGAATTATGCTTTCTCCCGAGAAAACTTACTGAATTTCGATCAAATTCTCCTCGATTCAGCCCAAATCAGCCTCCGCTGCAACTTTTCCTCGCCAATTGTGCAGGAAACGCAGGGATGGCGGGAGAATTCGACGAGAAACACCGAAGAAGTCGCCAAATTGATAGATTCGATAGATCTGTCATCAAAAAGTTTAACCATAATTCAGCAGAATTCTAGCTCAAACCAACCGAATTCCGCGTAATTCGAGTCAACCCGTGAGCATGGTGATCCAAAAACTGGTATCCAAGTCAAATCTAAAATAACGACGGATTCTATTTGAGCTAAGATTAGGAGCGTACCTTTTCGACGACAATTGTGTGAAGTTTGGATCTTTTAGTCAGAGCAACCAAACAAAAAAGGTTCGAATTTCGAGATAAAACTCTTCGATCTGATCGGAAAATAAAAGATCAGCCAGAGAGCTCTCTCACTCCCTCTACCCCTCTCTCTCCTCTCTCTTTCTCTCTCTGTGTTTTGAGAGAGGAAATGAGAAGGCGGAAATCTTTTATACAGTCATTATAACGCTCCCCGTTTAACAGCAGTACACTCCGTTTAAACGACGTTAACTCTTAACGGAGTCACGTGGTGGATGTCTAGTTACTAGTTCGTTGCTTTGTAGTGTAAGGTAACACAGGTTTATCCGTTTAGCGGCGCTAAAAATAAAAAGTAACAAAAATAATACACACACGCACCAAAATTATTATTTATTGGTTTGTTTTGGTTTAATCGATGTACGCTTTTGTTTTTATCGTGTTCGACGATCCCCATTAATTTGTTTAGCGTTTTTTAATATTCCACTTAGAATGATGGAATGGTGGAAAAACTCAAAAATACAAGAATTTTATCAATCAAAAAAATTTATTAAAAAACGTAAAAACGCAAGATTTGCAGAATTATGTTTTGGTTTACAGAAAATATAAAAAAATATTTATTAAACAGAAAAACAGGTTTGAAGTAAATTATACGGAATCAATGTTTATTTATTTAATTATATTTTACTATTTAAATAAATATAAATAAATAATTTAGTATTACAAAAAAATATTTAATAATAAAGTTATATCTATTATTTAAGGTTTGCAATATTTTTTTATGAAAAATAAATTATTAAAAAGTTACAATTAGAATTATATTATTTTATAATAACTGATTGAATTATTAATATTTTATTTTTTATAATATATAGTAAAAAGCAGAATATTTTTAATAAGTATATTCTGTAATTCTGCAATTCTACCATAATTTATCCAATCGTATTAAAAAAAAAGTTCCGCAATTCTGTAATAAATTATTCCATAATTCATTTTTTTCGCCATTCCGCAATAATCGACGTAAGAAATGATATTATTCATTTTGAAGTATTTTTTTCTTCCAAAATATTAGTAATATTTATCCTTCAACTATGTTTGCATATATCATTAGATATTCTACACAAATAAACCGGCCACTTTGATGACTTTTCACTAAAACATTATGATTAATTGATGTAAATGTCACATATTGTCCTGTGAATAAACAATTATATATATGCAAATCACCAACGCTGTTAACTATGCAAAATAAGTGAAAACAAAATTCATCGTCGATATATATATATATATGAAAATGTACAGAAAAGTTACTCTGTTGCTATAACTTTTACTAATATAATACTACTAAAGAATGCTTAGTTATATACATGAAGTAGCATTTACTTTCGTCGACTCTATCAATTGATGGTCATTTTTCAATATTCGTTGTCGGCAAATGAAACTCACATGCAGCTATTAATTTAACTTTATATAGGCATGCATACGCAAACATATGTTCATAATATGCCACAATCATGCCGATAGCGAACATTAAAATCTTCACGAATTTATAATTGAATATTCCAATAGTTGGTGACATTTTTCTCTATATTTTCAATTCATTATATGTTTTTTGGCGTGTCAAGGCACTCTATTTATTTACTATAAATTATACTAGAAACTACCCCGACTATATATTATTCCAAGTAAATGCAACAAAACGAAAATCAATAAACTACGAACTTCATGTATTTGAAATTAAAGTCTTCGTATATATTCCCGTATTTAATAAATAGTGTGCTACCATGACCTTTGACGAAGAGAAATCATATGATGATATTTGATGAAATCACGTGTCTCTTCACCATTTTCTAGTAATTTATATGTAAAAATTAAGGTTCATAACTTACTATTTTGAAGAAAAAAAATTTACTATCCCGACGGAAAAAACCCCACAACAAAGAAAATTTTAGTGTTTCCGTTTAAAACTTTAAATAAAAAAAACGTTTGTGTAAAATCTGTGATATAGCCAGACTATTGTGTGTGATGTATGCAGTTGAGCTGCATAAACATAAATATGCATGTTAGCATGTATCGATTTCACACATGCACTTTTTAATTGACTATGCATTTGCCTCTTCGTCTATAAATCCTCGTTGTAGAGAAGTTTGATTTAAAAACTCTGGAAATACTAGCAAAATTATCTGAAATTGATTTACTATTGAGAGTTCATTAGTAAACGTCGTAGTGATACTTATAAATTTATAGTAGAAACCATGCTGTAAAATGATGGTATGCAGGGGGACAAGTATAGTTTTGTACGTGTATGCGTCTATGTGTTTCCTGTGAGTGGGGATCTATGTATGTGACATTAGGTGGAACAAAGACAGCTCTTCCTTTGTGCGATGCCATTAAAAATTGTCTAAACTTCATAATCAAGACCCTAATCATGTGAGCTAAACCCATTTTAAATGTAGTTGAGTGCCACTTGTTAGCACACCAACTTATTTTTATTCGAAAGTTGTATATACAAGTAAACCAAATAGACGACTTATAAAGAAATTTAGTAAGCATTTACCAAACTAACATTGTATAATATGAACGGATATGAGTTAGGCATTTGGAAAAATCAAATAGTATATTTTAATACTCCTATGAAGTTTTGACTTGATTATTAAAACCTGAAAAACCAGCAGAATTCATGATAGATCAAAATATATAAACATAGAAGACAATTTTTGCGTGTATTATAATTAAATGGTATATTTTAATTACCGCCCCATTGTTGCGTGTGAGCTAGAAATGAATTTCTATGCCCATCACTTGAAAATATAGAAAACAATTTTAAACACAAAGAGGGAGACGAGGAACTATAGCTAAATAGTGTTGGATCACATGAAAAGAAAAATGATACAAAATTGGGAAAGAGCATAAACAATAACACATCCCCACATGCTCTCCACTTTGTCCCGTGAGTTGTTAGGTTGTGTCTAAACACGCTTTTTTTTTCTTTTTTCTTTTTTTCCTAAGTATATAACCCATGATTTATATTATATTATTTGCGACCTTATGGTTCTTTTATGAAATGTTTTAGCTTAATTAAAATCGGTTTCTCTCTATAAATATAACAGGAGATGGATTGCGCGAAAAACAAAAAAAAGGGGAACAGTTTATATGTTGAGGGGGATATTATTGGTATAACGAAACCAATAAGTAAAAGGGATCAAGGTAAGTACATAAAAAAGAAATGGTCAACTGAAAGTGAAAGACGGGAAGAAGAAGAGGTTAGTGTGATGTCGTTTTCGTGGTCTAGTGGGGGCCACGTGAATTGACTCTGTAACTCACGTGAGAAAAATACTGTAGAATCTCAAGAGTCAGGACATAAACTGATTTTCGAACATGAGTATTGATAACGGGGGTAATTTAGTCTTCACTCGGAAGTCGCAACTGTTTGCTGATGTGCCACAAACCGACCTTCTTCTTAACCATTCGTGGTTCGGTTTGTACTTTCTTCATCTTTTACTTATTTAGTTATTTAGCATAACTTCAGGCGTTTTATCTACGAACACAAATGTATATATTATCATCAAATGTGTGTTACGGCAGTTTTGCACATAAAAACAACGGGAAAGACACTCACTATTCCAAACTTTTTGTGAGATGTATATACAACTACAAGTTGGAAATTTTAGCCTTGCATATGTGCATTGTTTAGCGTGCTTTGGAAAGCATGGTAGACTAATATAGTAACTGCTAGTTA